ACAGTCCGAGTAGACGGTCCCATAAATATATCCCAATTAGCCTTCTTGTAGTTGTAAGAGGGTAAGAGATTCACTGTCTAGTGTGCTTGCTAATGGTTTTCGTTGACTTTGGCTAGCCTTGGAAGCTTATAGCTTCGTGGTCAGATCCTGTGGATTCGGTATAGTCCCAGTTATTCCAGGTAATCGATTTGAACGGTGTAGTGAAGGTCAGGTCAATAACTGAGGTTGTTATAAGGTTAGACCTATGGTATGTACCTCCTCTTTCCTTTATTACTCTAGGATCTACTAGGATATCCGCCTTCTGTATCTGTAGCCAGTCTATTAGTATAGTGGCTTTTGTAGCCTTTGTGGTGTTGGCCTCTCCGTTCCACCATGGGTGGTGTAGGTTGAAATCCCCTACTATTAGGCAGGGTTTTCCTAGCTCGTAGTGCTGTAGTGCCCTTTCTACCGTCGTGGACCCTAAGGCTTCCGCTTGTGGTTGGTTGGGTAGTGGGTCTAGCAGTTGTCTTTCGTTATAGACGTTAAAGATTTAGAAGCTTTCTAACCTAAATACCTCGATCGCTTGAATACCGAGGCCGTTGGCTATATCGTATCTTGGTGTGAATTCTAGCTGACTGTTTTTTCTAAAGTAGGCTATTATTCTGGGCCTGTGGCCTTTTTCCAACGTTGGTTGTGGTAGAATAGTATGGAAAGCTGGGTGATTTGTTGCGTAGTAGCCATCTTCCTTATTTTCAGGGTAGTGCGGTTCTTTGTAAGGAAACCACCCTCGTAGCCACCATGGCCACCGCCACCAGGGCCACCCTCACCACCATCGCCACTATCGCCACCGCTACCAGGGCCACGCACTATCGCCACTACCTCCCTGGCCACGCAAAGATGACTCGTAACCCCTTTCACGTGTATATAGACTATGGCCTTCGCACACCTCTTTAGCTCAGGCCAGGTTGAAGTCTTACGCCAATACCAGTCATTGCTCGCCCTGCTTGTTGCTCCTATTGTGACCACCTTGATCAGGCGTACCTGCCTTCTCTTACATTCTTGTAATAGCACTATAGTTGTGTTCATTTCGAATGCTTGTTGTAAGACGGTATGGTGAGCTCCGCCCTGTCTACTGACGTTGTGTTGTAGCACTGATATAGGTTCTATCATATACACTTCGTCTTTACTGCTCTTACTACCTCGCAGTCCAGGCTTGTGGATTCGTGGCTATTACCGCAGTTTTGCACTTTCTTTCTAGCTGTTGGCATGGTCCTTGTTTTCCACAACTCTTGCAGTAGTGTGTGTTACTGTAGTGGCCTTTGACACACCACTTACAGGCTACTGGCTGTTTACAGGTATCTGGGTTATGTCCAAATCCTTGGCATCGCCGGCACTGCGTTGTAGTGCTAAAGGTCTTGTATTTTACTACCTTTAGGCCGGTACCTTCAATATTTAGGCCCTGGAGACAGGCTTTTTCATCTGATGAGCTCTCTACTGCAAATACTATAGAGCCTGCAGCTTGTCCTTCTTTTGGTTGAACTAGCCATCTTGGTTGGCCCTGGATGTCTATGTCGTTAGACTCCCAGCATTCGTGTTTAAACTGATTGAATTCGTTGTCATGTAGGTAGGTTGGGACGTTATGGGCTACTAGTTTCTTCCAAGTAGTGGGTTTCTTCTGGTTTGTTATAGGCCAGTGTTTCACTACTTCGATCCACTGGTCTTCAGCTTCCAAGAAGGCCTCTGGGGTGTTGTTTTTGGTGGTTGTTACCACTACGTTATCCTTTTCTGTTAGGTGTACTCGGGCAACTGCGTTATATTGTAGTGCCTCGTTGAACTGGTCCCTTGTAGTCTTTGGGACTAGTTTGTTTTCTTCATTGAAGTGGTTATCCGCTAGCTCAAAGACTACTTTATTGGTGTTCAGCTGTTTTGTCTTCGCCTTCGTCTTTGTTTTTGTCTTCGTGCTTGTAGTGGTTTTGGCTTTGGCCGTAGTTATATAGCCAGATTTTAAGCCAGCTACTAGTGCTTGTACATAGGTAGGTTTCTGGCTCTGGTTTTGGCCTTGGCCTTGGTTATAGTTGTTCACAGCGTTTTGAAGGTTCTGTACTTCTCTGTCAAAACTGTTCTGCAGTGTGTTGGCCTGTTTTACCAAGGATAGTGCAGCTTGTAGAAGGCTTACTACTGCTCCTTGGGTCTCTCGCTGTGCTAGTTGTACAGATTCAGTAGACTTGGCTGGTTGGCCCTCTGGCTTCAAGGGCATATTACAAGCCATTCGACTGTTAGGGTCGTCTGTCTGTAAGAGAGCACGGGCTCCATATGTTACGATCCTGGTTCAAAGGTGCAGAGGGCGTTGCCCGCCCGCTGCAGATTGGCTGGAACGGCACTTAGAGTGGGGCTCTCGCCAAGAGAAGGTGCATCCAATTAGAGAGTGCTCATTGGGGCCAGTGCCAAGGTGCACTGAGCATGTAAGGCAGAAACTCTGATTGGTTGCTCATAGTTCTATATAGGAGCTGGCAGAACGCTCCCCCTGGGAGAACGGTTCTGCAGCTATCAATACATCTGGTTAAGCACACATTGGTTGTGTGTTGAAAGCCTGTCTTTCGCAATCTGTGCACGATACTCCTTGTCTCCTGTCATCTCCTACCTGCCGTCCAGACCCCCACAATCCTAGGCCGGGCCTAGCTCCGTGGACCTGTTGTCCAGATTGTAACACCACAGGATGCTGGGGTTGGTAATTATAAAGATAGAACAAAGGGCAAGCTCCTATCGCACGGGTAATACAGTCAAATTGGAATGCCACTCAAAGTGTATGAGTACAGTGAATGTGTATTGCTTACTTGAAGAACCAAGCAAGAACTATCTAAGACCGTGGTTAACCACAGCTGATAACTCTACTTAAGAACCGTGGCCTGCCAGAAAGCTTGGTGAATTGGGTAGACTCGTTTTGCAGTGGTGTTACGATCCTGGTTCAGGCTCGCAGGGGGCTGCACGGAGCCTCCCGTTATTTGCTGACGCCAGGAAGTGAGCTAGTTCCCCGCTTCCCTCGAGTGCAGCCAATAACGAGGCGGTCAGTACGATCAGTATGGTCAGGGCGATCAGTGAGAGAACTGACCACACTGAGCACACTGACCGCACTGAGCACACTGACCGCACTGATCACCCAGGACCAACGCTCTGATTGGTCCGCCTTAGATAGATATATACGACGACCGTAGCCACGGTCTTAGATAGTTCTTGCTTGGTTCTTCAAGCAAGCAATACACATTCACTGCGCTCATACACTTTGAGTGGCATTCCGATTTGACTGTATTACCCGTGCGATAGGAGCTTGCCCTTTGTTCTATCTTCATAATTACCAACCCCAGCATTCTGTGGAGCCCGTGCTCCCTTACAGACAGACGACCCTGACAGTCGAGTGGTTTGTAATACTATGACAACCAATTAGAATCCTTATCCTATGTGCTCAGTGCGCTCCGTATGCTCAGTGCGCTCCAAGGCCAACTGAGCCGACTGGGCGTACTGATCATACTGAGCGTTCCCTGATTGGCTGCATCCACTTCGCCGAGAGCCCCGCCCTAAATGCCACTCCAGCCAATCTGTCGCGAGCGGGCAACGCCTACTGCACCTTTGAACCAGGATCGTAACACCAACGGCTACAGAACCTAGCTGTAAAACAGATGCTGGGAGCGTTCAGAAACTCTCCCTACAAGGCCTTAGTATTACAAACCACTTGACTGTTAGGGTCGTCTGTCTGTAAGGGAGCACGGGCTCCACAGAATGCTGGGGTTGGTAATTATGAAGATAGAACAAAGGGCAAGCTCCTATCGCACGGGTAATACAGTCAAATTGGAATGCCACTCAAAGTGTATGAGTGCAATGAATGTGTATTGCTTGCTTGAAGAACCAAGCAAGAACTATCTAAGACCGTGGGTACGGTCATCGTATATATCTAACTGTGTAACCAATAACAATGGTCCCACTGGCCCGTGGTCCCGAGACTTGCGGTCTCGGGACGCCGGGCGCGCGGGACACTGTCCCGCGTCCCCGACCTTAAGTGGTCCCGAACCTCGGGACCCAGGGACACTCCTAATTGGTTCCTTCCATGGGACGCTCCTGATTGGTCCACACCAAACTGAGCGTGCCCCACTATTGCGCATTTCGACAAGGATTCGTAACACTTAGCTCTTGCTTTCTTTATTTCCTCTAGTACACTAGGTAGATAGGCCGCCAGTCTTTGACTGGCCACGCCATACCCCTAGCTAGAGGCTGCATGCGTGTAATGAAGAAAAAAAAACTCCTATTTTTCCGTTGCTGAGATATATCTACTATCTTTGCGCCTGATCGGAATCTTATTCTAGCTACCACTATGCAGCTATGATACAGTTTCACGAGGTCGGCAGAGGAGAATTCAATTTGTACCATGCCACAGTCACTAGGTGAGCCACGAGATTATTTTCTTGAGGCCGGAACTCTTTCTTGTCAAGACGCGCACCAGAACTCTGATTAATAGGGCAGGGATACGATCAAAAGACAGACGCATTTATGGAGGCAGCAGCCAAAACTCGTCGACCCCCGAGGTAATACAAACAGCTAACTGGACATGCCTACATTGGTTACATATTCTACGTTGATCCACGAGCCTTAGTCTTAAAGATAGCAGGCCTCTCCCGTGGCCCTCGACGACATCCTTTACATTCAGCTTCAACATGCTTCGCCATAAAGAATCGAAATCCTCCCCTGCCAAGTACCGAGGTCGCCTATCTCGAAACCCCAATGCCGCACAATTTTCCCTGTCGGTTAATTGCCGTCTCCGTTTGATTGGACGCGTGCGCGGCGGACGCGACTTTCGAGATGGGGGGGAAGGGTCGGTTGGATATTGCCGGCCCCTTGGCACAGTGCCTGGACTCGGTACGGGCACACAAACAGGACATCCTGTCCATCCACGGCCAGTCGACGCAATCACGAACTCTGAATATGATGAAAAATTCCCGACGCGGGCTCCTGTGACCATGACCATGACGGCCATGGCGTGGAAAGGACTCGGCGCCACGGGGACGGTGCTGCTCCTAGCTGCTACCTGTATCCAGGACGGCGCCGCCCAAAACATCAACGTTGGCCGGCTGCTGCGCTTCTCGTGCAACCAGCTCGTCATCGAACGAACGGACCCCCTGGTGAGCCCGGGCATGAACCCGTCGCCGCACACGCACCAGATCGTCGGCGGCAACTCGTTCAACGTCACCATGGACCCGGTGACCATGGACCCGGCCACGGCCTCGACCTGCACGACATGCACCTTCTCCGAGGACTTCAGCGACTACTGGACCGCCAGCCTGTACTTTCGCTCGCCCGAGAACGGCTCGTACAGGATGGTTCCGCAGCAGTACGGCTTTACTGGCCTTGATGGCGTGCGGCACCCGCAGAGCGGCGGCATTACCATCTACTACATGACACCCTACCGCAGCGCGAACCAGCATGTGACAGCCTTCAAGCCGGTAATATCCCTTCGTACATGATGAATGATTCTGATCATTTTGCTCGGTTCATTTTACTCCCTGGAGGGCCGAGTGGCTCGCTGACTCGGAAAGAAAACAAACAGGGCTTCCGAATGCTCGCAGGCGACCCGACGCTGCGCAGCCGCAAAGGGCACAACCCGGGCATCTGCCACCGGTGCCAGGGCAACAGCCAGAGCATCGGGGCGCCGTGCGCGGGGCCCGCCGACACGTTCGAGTTCCCGGCCACGCCGTGCTCGGGCGGAATCCGCGCGACCGTCATCTTCCCGTCGTGCTGGGACGGACAGAACCTCGACAGTCCGGACCACAAGAGCCACATGGCCTACTCGCCCGGCAGCGGCGGCCTGCTGGCGGGGGCGGCCTGTCCGGCATCGCACCCGGTGCGCGTGCCGCAGGTCATGTACGAGGTCACGTGGAACACGACGCAGTTCAATGACCCGCGGTATTTTCAGGGCGGCCGCCAGCCGTTTGTGTATAGCTTCGGTGATGCTACCGGCCACGGCCAGCACGGCGACTACCTGTTTGGGTGGAAGGGCGACGCCCTGCAGCGGGGCATGGACGCGGTTCTCGGTGACAGCTGCGTTAATGACGAGTGTCCTGTCCTCAAGTCTCAGTCGGCCGAGGAAGTTCTGAAGTGTACCAAGGAGACGCAGGTGCTGGGCGAGTTGGTTGGGAGGAACGGTGAATGTGAGTCGTGCCCAGTCAACGCATTTACTTCTATGGGGATGGATTGCTTTCTGACACTCGACGCAGGGCTCGACGCACTTCCTGGGAACGTGCCTATCACGTAATTGCATCGAGATGATTCATCGCCTACACAGGGACTCGGACCTGGGAGGACAGTTGCTAGCGAGGTCTTGATATGAAGATAGACAAGTGCCATTGAGTTGCAAGAACTCTCCGGATCTACATGGTGTTGTGCCCTGCAGATGCTCGCCTGCGGCAATGGCAGTGTCGTCAACGCTCGCTGTGCCTGGTAGCTAATAATCAAAACAAAACCGATCGTATAGCCAGCCACGCCAGTTCGCATATAGAGCATATGTGCGATATTGGGCAGGAATTCGTCCTCCATGCCCCATTCACGCCCAGCAACATAATTGAAATCCCGGCCGCAGTCTCAGGTTTGCTATATGATAACGCAGCCAGCTGGTTTACCCCAATTCACGTATGCTACCATGTGAATAAACCTTGTCACATCATTCCGGGTGCCCCGGTATCCCCCCACAGGTGTACTTCTTCAGCCAGGTCCATACCCAGATGACCACCCGTTGGACTGCAGCCTATTTAAGTAGATGAAGATAGTGCTGAGGGTCAGTTGATTTGCGAACATTTTTAATAGCATCTGATATCTCACTTGAAAGCTCTCCCGGGTAGCAGTTTTGGTCGTCTACAATGTCTACCTCGACAAGCGAGAAGGGACAATGCTCCCGCTGCCCTCATCGCCTGACGGATCATGCCGACAAGAAGTCTCATAGTGCAAGAAATTCCACAAGCGATGGTACATCTACCAGTGCAGATCGTATAGTTATGTAGACCACAAAGATATCAATTCAGATAAGTAGAGGATATGCCCTCGTCCATGCAGCTGCGATCATTTTGAACACATCATCTTCTAATTGCCGTTGCTCATTTGTTTTTGTGGACACCCGCTGTCGGGTATCTCTTGCTTCTGGCGGCATCGGCTTACCTTCCCAGTGGAAGATTTTCGAGTAAATTGTAAGGCATAGGTGATGGTATCCAGTCCACAAGTAATTACAATCTGCTAATCTAGAAATCAGCCCCCTGATAACCATGGGTGTGCCGGAGCTGTTTCCAACGCTGAAGGATAGGGCGTAAGGTCATGCGGGCAACCCCCGCCACTAAACCCGGTCTGGAGGTAGTGGGGATGACCCTTTGATGTACTATTGGATTCCGACATTACACATTGACAGAGAATGAAGTCCAACGTACTAATAGCGACAATGTTGTTGCGGGGGAATAGCTAGAAATATATCCAGTAGTAGGAAGGTAGTGTCAGATCGGGCGTTATCGTAATTGTTGGAATTGTCGCAATTTGACTCGCTATCGCTAATAAGTTAGTTAGCCGGCGGCTTCGTTACTAGCGCTAAAGACTTCAAGGAAGACCTAGCTACGACGTAGATGTGGTGCTAGGAAGTCTATTCCGAGATAATTGTCAACGCTAGGGACAACTCCTTTACCTCTAACCTCGAATTCGATACTGAAACCTACGAGTATGTGTCAACCACCCTTTTATTATGATGGGATCAAAATAATCGCACGTTTATGAGGAACGGCGACATACCTTGGAAATTACGGCTGCATGCCTGAAATTACGAACGCAGCGCTGTAGGGGAACGTTGGCGAGGTCAATGCTGGGGAGTAGGGGAGGCGGGATTGAGATTGGTATGGCAAACCTCCTTGAAGACTATAGAACCCAAATCCCCCCACCCCCCGGGCTCGACCGCCTCCCTGAACAGGGCATGGACATGCCGGGCATGAGCGCGTGAGAGGGGCAGGTGTTTTGTTCCGCATGATACCGAGTTGGACGGTTTGAAGTGTGAGGTGGCGCTTGTTTCTTTTCTTCGTTTGATACTTTGATAGTTCTAGCCCGAGAGAAACCATGCCGCGTGATTTAACAACTGCTGAGTATCCGTGTGTAGACCCTCTGGGTCTTTTCTATGTCAGTAAGAGCATTTATTCTCTGGTTATTGACTATGGGTGTTTCCTAAACCACTAGGTTAGCTCTTCTAGTTATCCCTACAAGAGTTTGCACCTCGGTAAGTATGTAGCTGTTTCTGAAATGTAACTCCGATGAAGCTAAGGCGGTTCCGGCAAGCATCAGTTTAGAGGATTTATGGCACTTGTCTACCGTGTGGCAACTCGCGAAGACTTTATCTCACAATATACAAGGGCCAATGATGTATCGTGTGCATGTAATATTGATTGGTGTGGCTACGCGCATAGTAATTGCTGGGAGCGACTAGAGACTCTGAATAGGCTAACTTGTAAAGGTATACAAACGCCGGTTTTGGCTCCTATCCCAGATGGTCCATCCCAGTAACCCAGCCTTTAGCCCCTGTATTCCGTATGAAAGTGCCCCAGATTGTGTAGTAGTGGCCCATCCATGTTGCCTGGCCATTCTATTGCCGGTAGTTGAAAGAGATAGGAAATAAAGGAGATCCCAAAAGATATTCCGTGACGACCCGTGGAAAGAAAGGACTCCTCAAAAGAAAGCCGCGCCAAACATTACTCTAACCTCAAATCCCACCGTATCCCGTAAACTCCGTTGTGCTGATTCCCATGTGCTGACTGCGATGTGCTGCAATTTGGCTACTAACCAGCGCCCAATTCAGTGTTGGGGATGAAAACAAAAAGAGCTGTGCTAGTGAGGTTCGGTCGTTTATTTTCAATGTGTTGTTGCGAGCGGCCACTCTACCAAAAGACAAACCAGGCACATGCTGCCTGACAGTATAGGCAACAGCAGCTACTTGGTCGCAACTCCCACATAATGTCTGAAGGCGAAAACGATCTTAAGATCCGGTGACTCGCTTCGTGGGGAGCCGCAGGAGGCGTCTGACGAAGCCGACGAGTCGGAACCATTAGCTGGTCCCCCTCCAGAAAATAGACGCTCTGAAGGCGGGGAATCCTCGCGATGACCCGCGGCGGCGGCCAGCCCCTGTTACAATCTGGACAACAGAGTCCACGGAGCTAGGCCCGGCCTAGGATTGTGGGGTCTGGGACGGCAGGTAGGAGATTGCTAGAAGGCAAGGAGTATCGTGCACAGATTGCGAGAGGCACTGCTCTCAACACACAACCAATGTATGCTTAACCAGATGCATTGATAGCTGCAGAACCGTCTCTCCCTGAGAGCGTACTGCCAGCTCCTATATAGAACTATGAACAACCAATCAGAGTACCTTCTCCATGCTCTGCGGGTCCTAGGACGATCTGTCAATAGATCGCCTTGGGCCCCACTAATGCCCTGCTCCGTGCGCCCTCCCTGGTCTTGGCAACAGATCGCACAGAGCACTCCCTAATTGGCTGCATCCATTTTGCCGAGAGCCCCGCCCTAATTATAAATGCCGCTCCAGCCAATCTGTCGCGGGGCGGGCAGCGCTCACTGCACCTCTGAACCAGGATCGTAACAGCCCCCCATCATGGTCTACCCACTTCTCGGGTACCTGGATGGGCGCACCATCAGCGCCGCCCTCGATGATGGCAGTGGCATTGCTGTCCTTCGTTGCAGCGGCCCGCATCTCATTGGCCGCGCGCCACTCGGTGTATCCTTCCACATTGGCTGGGCGGAACAGGCACCATGCCAAGACCCGCGACCAGTTCTGCCATGTCTCTTGGTCTGAACCAATCATTTTGCTGTACTCCATGTCCAAGTAAATGATCAAATTCACACGGGGCATTACAGGGTACGGGTCGACAGCTGTGGGTGGAACAACATATGCTTGGACGACGCGGACCCGGCCGTTGTGGAAGGATATCACAATCGGCTACAGGAATGATAGTTATGGGTTAGCTTTGGCGGAAGGGAGAGGGTTAGCTTTGGCGGAAGGGAGAGGGTTAGCTTTGGCGGAAGGGAGAAAGGGGTTGCTCACGGCAATGGGAGTCCCCCACGGATCGGGATCGAGGCGCTCGCGGATAGCCCGAAGCCTTTTGGTTATCAGGCAAAATAAGACTTTCATCTCGGCCATTGACATTTTGCCCTTGTCGACGTTCTCCATCACGTTGCTCATAAGGAGACAGCCTTGCCAGTCGCCAATCTCAATCATCTGCTCGACGGACTAGTAAATGTTGAAGCGTATGTCGTCCGCTTTGCCCACGGCGAGATATCTCTCTATGCCATCATACCACTGTAGAGGTCGTAGGTGGGCAGCACTGGCGTCCGAGTACGGCTCTGAATGTTTCTGTACTGTCCGGGTGCATGTTGCTAGATGCATGAGCCAGTTAAGAGCCGATATGGGTACGGGGCTCAAGTGCTTTCTGGCATAGTCGGTGAGCTGAGGGGGCTTGGTGAAGTGGTCGCTGTCGCGATGATGGATTCGCTCCGCTGGCGGGGTGATATTCTTGACATGGGCAATCAACGGTCCGATATCTTGCGGCGAAGGCAGCCAGTCTGGTGCATCTGCAGCCGATTGCGGGTAGATGTTGCGCGTCGTAAGGATGCCGGAATCAATTGGGAATTGCTCGATGGTGCCCTTGACAAAGTCGCTCCACATGAGCTTGAGGAAGCTAAAGCCTAGAACCTTCTCGACCGGCTCTATGCTGCCATCGCCACCGTCGGGTGGAGGAGTTGAAGATATGGTGATGCGAAGTGAGGTGGGTGGGCTACTCAAACGATTATTTGGTTCCCGAGCGGCGATGCGTTTCTGGAAGCGCTAGGCGTTAGTTATCGAGGCGCCAACCTCGGAGGAGGGGCATCGTATTACGAAGCCCTGAAGGGATGTACCTCGGTAGGTCCTGCTGAGTTTGGCGGCAGCCAATCAGGAGTGTTCCGTGTCTCGAACACGGAACGCGGAACTGAGTTTGGAGATAGCCAATTAGGGGTGTCCCGTAATCCGGTCGCGGAATACGAAACCTTTGGGTACGTCCCGTATTCCGGCCACGGAATCCGGAACCCTGCAACGAAGGCTATTTGGCCCCCTCAGATAGATATATACCATGACCGTAGCCACGGTCTTGGATAGCTCTTGCTTGAGGAATCAAGCAAGCAAGACACATTCACTGCACTCATATACTTTGAGTGGCATTCTAATTTGGCTGTACTACCCGTGCGATAGGAGCTTGCCCTTTGTTCTATCTTCATAATTACCAACCCCAGCATTCTGTGGAGCCCGTGCTCCCTTACAGACAGACGACCCCAATAGTCGAGTGGTTTGTAATATCTATATAGGAAGCTAGAGGAACGCTCTCTGGGAGTTGGTTCCTCAGCTATCAATGTATATAGTTTATCATTTATTGCTTGACTGATTGAGAGTGAGACTCTCGCAATCTGTGCACTATTGTTTGCCCCTTATACTCCACATTACCTATGTGGTTCGCCGCACTACAGCTCACCCACCCCCACCCTCACAGTCCTAGACCGGGTGTAGCTTCGTGGAACTCTCGGTGTTCCAGATTGTAACACGAACCGTACGTACGAAGGAAGGAAAGAAGGACCGAGTCAGAATCGAGCTTACGCTAGGCGCGACGGGATTTTCTTATACGGTTAGACATTACGATTAGCGCGATAAAGTAGGGAAGAAGATTCACGGCTAGGGAGGGCTTCGACTAACGGGAAGGCGTTGGTTATCGGGGCGCCAACTTCAGAGGAGGGGTATTGTATTACGAATCCCCGAGGAAATTCACGATAGTGGGGCACGCCCAGTTTGGTGCCAGCCAGTCAGGAGTGTCCCCGGGTCCCGGAACATAGGACGCGGGACCGCGGAACTTGGCCTAGGGGGCCGGGGTCCCGGAGCACGGGACTGCGGGACAGCGGGACACTACTGATTGGTCTACCTATATAGATATATACTATGACCGTAGCCACGGTGTAAGGAAAGAGCCCTAACCCACACACACGACCAACTCACACGCGTACCGAGCGGGCTAAGATCTCACTCCTTTGTCATGACCTCTCGCCCGCCCTGCCCTGCACTCTGTCATGTACATAAGCAGTGGCCCTCGCCCCCTTCGTTTGCCAGAGCAGGTTAAAGTCTCTTACCAATACCAGTCATTGCTCGCTCTCTTCAGCACTTTCATTGTGACTACCTTGATCAGGCGTACCTGCTTTCACTTACACACGGTCTTAGCTAGAGCTTGCTTGGTTCCTCAAGCAAGCAATATACATCCATTGCACTCATACACCTTGAGTGGCATTCCAGTTTGGTTGTGTTTACCGTGCGACCAGTAGCTTGCCCTTTGTTTAGTCTTCATAATTACCAACCCAGCAACCTTCTCTGTGGAGCCCCTGCTCCCGTACAGACAGACGATCCTAACAGTCGAGTGGTTTGTAATATCCAGTCATTACGGGACTTTTAGAGCGGTAATACGCCCTGCTCTCGCCGTTAGTTCCCCGTTACTATTACGTACGCCATTACGGTTCACAAGTCACAGGGAGCTACGCTTGACAGGGCTGTGCTTGATATCTCTAAGCGGGATTTCTCTTCAAGGCTTACTTATATAGCTGTCTCACGCGTTACTAGTCTACAGGGCTTGATGTTTGACATTCCTTTTGCCCTGGACCAAATCCAGGTCAAGAATGATGTTATAGGTGCCTTGCGTGTGGCGGATTACCAGCGCCGTGTTGATGCCGGCGAGGTGTTGGTTCCGGGTGTAGCCTAGATATCAGAATTGACTTTTCTGCCTGAACACCATGCTATTTACGTTGCGCCGCCGGAGGCATCCGTTCAACTGACCCCTTCCTGACTGGTCAGGTAGCTTATTTTAGGGTTTTTACTCGATGTGGCTCTTTACAACAGCTGTTACTTGCAACTGCGTTACCCCGGGCCGCTTTGGTGGCGCAGGCTCCAGACCCTAGGTGACTGGAAGGTCGAGATCTATATGTTCAAGACTTACGGTGTAAGTCAAAAAGTCAGGAAAAGGAGGTTCTCTGGCGTTGAAGATGCTCTTGTAGTAGACAGGGGCATCAACGCACCCACCGGGGTAAGCAGTCTGACTGTCAGGCCTATCTGGGCCGTACTTAGAAGCGCCATACCTCTTTTTCTACCTGGGCCGGCCTACAGGAGTTGACTGCGAATGACCTCAATCAACCACGCAGGAAAACAACACACTTTGGCTGTCAACAATGCGAGGTGGCACTCTCTAGCTTAGATGAGTGCTGGTACAAGTAGCATACCGAACAATAGGTGTAAAAATTGACGATTCCTTGTACCTGTACTCTTTCTGGATTCCTGAGCAACTATTGGATCAAAAAGTCTTGGCTGATAAGGTAGTTTAACTAATGCCGAAGCTGGTCCCCAAGATGAGTGTGGGGAAATAGGTGTGGGCCACAGGCCAGGCCGTGCACGGATCATACGCTAAAAAGGATGCGACCAATCAGGACTAAGCATCTACGCCAGCGCCCCCAAGTCAAACAACTCATTCTCCTGGGGCCTCGGAAAACCCGAGGCCCTTGGGCCTGGCTGTCGGGAGCGAAACCAAGAGTCCGAGGCCACTTAGCCAGTGGGTTGGCTCTAGACCGGACGTCCTCGGACTCCCAAGGCTTCCCAAACTCGGCCTGGCCAATGACCGCGGACCAACTGCTAAGGGGCTCGCCGGAGGAAGCTCCAACTAAAAACAGCTGGGTCGCGAAAGGATCGAATACCTATCGCACCACTGGATCAACTAGCAAATCGAAGTACCTTTACTAGGTCTTCTCCAAATCGCCGCTCACTGTGTCTGTACCCTGGAATAACACAAGCTCACACTTGTATCACATATGACCTGGCCATGCCGTATTACCGCATATGTGACCCTCCCGAGCTTGCGACTCAGCCATCCCAACCGGCCCGGCCAGGTAGGCGTCTTGGCTTGGAAGGCCTGACAAGTAGACCGAGCAGGATTGACCCAACATGAAATTCTTGGCGACGTGCAAATTTATTTTGTCACAACGCCCCGGATCCTCCCGTGACGCCTGAAAACTGGTCAACCCAATTTGAGGCTGGTCGGACCTGTCGCGAAACAGGATGGCCCGGATCACCCAAGTCGAGTGAGTGATTCATATCGACCATCCATTTCACTCCACAGAGCCCAAGTGCAGCCCGTAGAGCCGAAACGAAACAGTAAGTTGAGACACCAAGTTGAGGCCTGCAGTTGGGAGCTGGCCATGATCGCCGACCTGCCCGAGGTCTCGAAATAGACTGTGGAAAAAAGATATAAAGGGATGAAGTCTTCGTCTCTGAGAGACGCAATTTTGGACAACACCAATAACCGCAACAACAACAGGAACAACATCAAAGACACCACCACCATTACTACAACTACAACCACAAAGCCCCCTCTCGCAGCTTGGTAACCAACCATCGTCCAATATTCAACATGCGTGCCACCACCGCTCTCCTCCTCGTTGGCGGGCTCGCTAGCACCGCCCTCGGTGCCGCCACCAAGATGTTCAGCGACGAGAACTGGTATGTGGCATGAGCTCCTTGCAGGGATGCGCCAGTCACTTTCCACGTTATGGAAATGGACTAATTCTGCCCAGTGAGACCGAGATCACCGGTTCGAAGGTGGTGTTCAACGGGTTTGCCACCGGCGATGCCATCATCCCGCCCGAAGCCAAGGCCATTAAAGTTGACTCTAGGTCCGATGTTTGGAGTGCCTACCAGGGAAAAGAAGGGGACGGCTGCTTTGGAAAACTCTTTGGGTCCCTCAAGAATGAAGAGTGCGTCAAGTTGGGCCCTGAAAATGGCATTGTCTGCACCCGTCTATGTTCCGGGGGGCTGGGAGGGGGCAATTGCGCGCCGACAGAGATCACAGACAAGGATGAGTAGAAAGTACTGGCTTACTATTACTCCAGGGAGTGCCACATTTGAGGTTGCTTAGGTTGCTGAGTCATGTTCGAGATTTCTGCCTTCGATTTGTATAATACTGCACGTCGTAACTTGAATCTCCTTGTCAGTCTTCACTATTTCAACTCCTTTCATTCCTCTTTCTTCACCACCATCAATGTCGACGGGGCCATGCATTGCCCCGGAAGGCAGGACAGCTTGCTCCGGGTCAAGAGTGGTGGGCTGACTGATATCTCCCGATCGCGAGAAATGCCTTGTGCCGCCGGCCCCCAGAAAGACTCCGGAGGCGTCAGCATGCCAGCCCGTTGCTGCCTGCGACATTCAACACGGTCTTGTAGTTCTCCAAAACAGAATCAATGATAGCTTCGTCACCACAATTAACTTAATTAGTTGTTTGAGGACATATCACGTGGCCTGCCCTCCGTTGTCTTCAAACATGTCGTGGACGTGGAGGTCGCTAAATTACATCCTCGATGCCAAGATACCAAGGAGGTGAAGTGGGTCGATAATCATACCAAGCTTCATCACACATCACATCTATACCCTTCAACTTATCACTGGCCATCGTTTTAACTATCGTGACACGCGGGGGTCGAAGTGCTAGTAAAAGACGGACCTGAAAATGGGTTTGCGGCACTTGGCCCTGACTACTGTATTCCTTATTCTATCCGTACACTCGTGTAGAAACCCGCCGACGTTTTCGGAGCCCGGAGGATCTGAGGCTAGTAAATAAAGCCCCACTAAGCGCTAACAGGCGCGCTACTACTACTAACTGCGCTGGCAAGCTTTGCTCATTGGCTTGAAGAGCATCGAAACGGGCTGGCGGCCAGGGCCCCCGGCTCGGTTCAGAACCAGCCCCCGTTTCTCAGACGAAGCGGTCACGATACGTAATCATAAAGGAACTCAGTTCTGTCTCTCCTGTTCGGAAATGGTTCTAGGGAATTGCTCCTTCCCTCTCTCAAGACAACCAACCTCTCGAGCTTCCAGTTGTTTGCTCTTTCCCCTCGCGGTCATCACCATCGCCCCTCCCCTCCAGTCATGGCCTGGATTTATGTGCTACTGCTGGTAGCTGCCCCGCTGCTACTGACGAGTGCGTTGGTGCTGCAAACGGCGTGGTGTCTGCTTCGCAACTACGCGTCAACGCGCACGATCGGCGTGCCCATCCGTTTCATCCCCATCAGCCCGCCCAACCCGTTCTGGGTACTTGCAGACCGCACAGTGCTCTCGCTCGTCCGTCGCCTGCCCGGGCCGCTCGGCAACAACAGTTTCACGCGTTATAACTGGCGGGGATGGGAGGTCAAAGATCGCTTCCAGTCGCACTAGGAGATGGGCGACCTTTGGGATCTCGTGACACCCTTCAAGAACTGGATATACGTCAACGATCCCGGTGCCTTGAGTTCCATCTTTCGCCGCGGGAGTGACTTCACTTGCCCCGTCTTTGTTACAGGTAATCATGGCTCTCATTAGTACTTCTGCTTGGACCTCTGGGGCCACGGACTGACTTGATAACGTAGAAATTCTCAATGTTTTTGGACTAAACATCTCGACTGTGAGTAAGCTCGAGACTCCCCCCAACCACCAGCTGCTCTCGATAATATCCCTGACTCGCTGCTGCCAACTATTTCTGGTTATTACTAATGCCGGCTGCTTCAGGCCGAGGGCCAAGCTTGGAAAACACAGCGGAAGATTGCGCAGCACTGTTTCAACGAACAGAACAACGCAGTTGTCTGGGATGAGGCACTCACCTTAGCCCGCGACATGCTGAAATACTGGACCTCAAAGCCTTCGGTCGACACTGCGGCCATTGATCTGGGCACTATGTCCCTGCATGTGCTCTCGCGCGCCGGGTTCGGCAAGTCGTTCAAATTTGAGAGTCAAGAAGACAGAATGGCTCATGGCTCTTCGGGGACCAAAGCCGAGGCTGCAAACTACAAAGAGTCACTTCTGACCGTCGTGGAAAACTGCATCCTGATCGTCTGCCTGGGTACCAAGTTCCTGGCGCGGCCTTGACTGCCCAAGAAGCTGCGTGATGTCTACGCCGCATATGTCTCCTTTCGTTTATACATGACGAACATGTACGGAGAGGAGAAAGCCGCCTACGCTGACGACCGGGCGACCGGCTCGAACCTGATGCGTTCCATGATCCGCGCCTCCTAGGCAGATGTCAAGGACGGCGGTGGGCTAACCGAGGCCGAGATCTACGGCAACATGTTTGTATTCAACTTTGCCGGGCACGACACCACGGCCCATACATTCACGTTTGCCATATACTTCCTAGCGGCAATCTCCGACGTCCAGGAGTGGCTGTCTGAGGAAATCAATCACGTCTGTGGCCATCGCGCGGTCGAGGAGTGGAATTATCGCGCCGATTTCCCGCGTCTAAAACGTTGTCTCTCCGTCAAGCTCGAGACTATCCGTCTATACAGCCCTGTTCCCGTGCTCAAGTGGACCGCAGACAAGTCACAGCCACTTCTGATCGGCGGCAAGACCCTGGTGATACCGCCACATAGCATGATCGTGCCTAGCTACGGCTCCGTTCACACGGACCCCCGATTCTGGGGCCCGGACTCGCTGAGCTGGAATCCCTCCCGGTTCATTACCAAGAGTTCCGCCAACGCCGAGGAAGAGTTTTGCATACCTGTCCGCGGCTCCTTCGTCGGCTTTTCGGATGGCCCTCAGGATTGTCCGGGTCGCAAGTTCGCGCAGGTCGAGTTGGTTGCGACCATGGCTGTGCTCTTCGGAGGGGACTGGCGAGTAGAATCAGCCCCGAAGTACGCCGGAGAGGGCCCCGAAGCCGCCCGCAGGCGTGTCCTAGACCTCATAGAGAGCGACTCAGGTCCCGTCCTCCTGCTCTAGATGTTACACCCGGAACGTGCCCCCCTAGTGTGGAAGAAGAGATAGATCAGCCACCCAGCAACTTCAAGCCACACCGTCAGGCTATTCCTAGATGTTTTCATAGGCTGGGTGTAGGTTTACTCTGGCCCTCGTGAATTTCTACCTCCCCTGTGCCAGACCTGGGCCGCGAAACCCTAAATAACGATCGGGAAAGGGGGATCATATTCGATTTAGGTTGCTCACGAGTCGCGGCAACCCTTAATTAAGGACAGGGTCATTCTATGCACATGCAATAAGTACATGAATTTCGAGGCCAAGAGTTATTAGTACGGCGGTATAAATCCTTGAGCTTTCATTTGAAAAGAGGTCGACTCCTTGAAATTTACCACTCAATCTTTCATAACAACACAACCAACCACCCCTCTCAAGAACCTCACACAAACAGTAGTTACTCGCCAAAGATGGGGAGTATTATCAGAAGGAAGCATCAGAATATCAGCATCGCCGAAATTCGGGGTTACCCAAATCACGGCTCACTCCCTCCGGCTCTGGGCATCCAATTCGGGCTCCTGGCCGCCTCCGAACTGCTGCACCAGTACATATGGAGCAGGCTGCCCATGCAACTCCTGCGTGTGCTGGGGCAAACCCGCATACGCAGGCGGGCTCGGGTGAGCCAAAGTTTGTGGAGTCGTGGACATGGATGGCGCTGGATACTGGCGCTGCTGCAGCAACAGGGCCCTCCTCGTCTTGGCCCGGTCATAAAGGATCCATGCAATGAATATTGCCATGAGTCCCGCGAAGGTGGCGAGGACGGCTATTGCAATCTGAGCGCCCTGCGAGAGCCCCGAATCTAAGGGGGCACTTTCAGCAGCGCTGCCTAGGCCAGAGCTTGTACCAGAGTCCGTGTTGGGCCCTGCGCCGGGGCTGGAAGTGCCGGTTGAACTAGCCTTGCCTCCGTCTGTAGCCGTGCCAGCTGGAGAGCCCGTGGAAACCCCACCGGCTCCCGTCTGCTGGACAACCTAGTATCTGTTGTCAGCTTGCCCTGCGGATGGATCGACCACCAACAGCAGCACGGTGCCACATAATTACTTACCGATGACGCTATAATGCTTGTCGGTATAGGGAGGGTCGCTGCAAGGCACTGGACATAGGGATAATCGGCCGTGCCTATTTCATCGGCGGCGCAACAAAAGTCGCCAAGGTAATGCCACATGGTCCACGAGGTATCAGCACAGGCATAGACAACGGAGACGACAGACGAACAATCCGCGCCTAATTAGCACCCCCGAGTTGCAAGTCAGCACCGGGGTCAACCATCTCGAGATCAATAATTTGGAATAAAGGGGCGCGACACGGTAATTATACGTACTGCTGGGGCAGCAGATCGGATAATCTGCGTCACCCGTGTTGCACGTTGTGCCATTTGGGCAGCAGCTCTGTTTGCCACATTTGGCGTTGCCGGCAGGACACGAGTTTGACCGTAGGGCATAGCCGCCCCATGAGATGATGCTGCGTAACGCAAAGGGCGGCCTGTCGCCTTCGAGTTCGCGCCGTCCCCACCACCCAGCGGCAACGCTCGCGAGAGCGAGCATTATGAGGCTTAGTGGCTTCATTTTGGGGGCTGGCGCCGTTGGAAAGTCGGTGGGGTGTTAAAGAGGAGAAAGAATGGGTGGCGGGCGAACCCTTCCCGTCCACGGCGGTGCAGCTGAACCCATGCATGTTGTGCGGAGGGGCCAAGACAGACGCACATGCTTGGCAAGCCACTATTGCTTTTCTGTGGCTGGGAAGGCTTCCCAAGAGAGACGGGAAATACAACCCTGTGAATATCCAATCATTTGAAAGGTTGCTTGGTATTTTAAGCAAACTGAAGATACCTAGGTAGGACTTAATTACCCTAAATAGACTTGGCTAGAATACGGCCTACTGTACGCATAATTCATGCTCCTTGATCGAGGGTAAAAAAACAGGTAAATAGATATAATTCCCTTACTTGGACCTTATTTGGATCTTATTAAAGGGAAGGGCTAATTGGTAATATGTGTTGAGTGCTCTCATTTTAAGTTGCTTTATTTCTCTTTCCCTTTCTTCCTTTCACTTGAACATGGAACAGAACCACAAATATCTTCCGATTTGTAGGGGCAAGACATACTCTGTAATCAATCATCGACGGGAATCTTGGCGACAAGGCTGTCAGCACTGAGCAGCCAGGGGGCTGGCTGGGGAGGGGGCTGTTTCGGGTTCAACATAGCCACTTATGCAACCTGATTGAGCTCCCAGATCCCGAATCCTGCGGCAGGCAGCACTCAAATCAATTGTTTCCCATGTACCATATCTCCCGTTCACTCCTAATTCATGATTAACTACAACTCACCAATTACCTACCTACCTACCTAGACCTAAATATGTATTGTTGCTAATTTCCTGATTGTTTAGTTACTTAAAAGACCGAAGCGAAACAGCCTGGCTCCGAATAAACCGCGACACTGCACAGGCGTCCGCGCCTGATTCGAGACTTCAACCTTGAGTGGAGCCCAGAATTTGGCAAAGAAAAGATAAAGCGGCCGAAACATGACACGTATGAGGTTTATTACGATGCTCAAATGGGCGCCCCCGTTGCTTCTGTTCGCCGCATCGCTGTGGCTTTTCGTCTCGCCGAGCGTATCCATCGCTATCCTCATGACGCCCATAACTATCGCACTTGTCTACTTCTGTGTTATGCCGATACTGTCTTGGGTCACCCGGTCCGTTGCCTTCTTCCTACTTCGTGTGCTTCCATGGCTCGTACTGGTACCAACCTACATCTCCATGACCCTTGTCCTTCCAGCCATCATCTATCTCTTTTCGTTTGGCCAGTTCGTCATTCGCTTGCCACGCTTCCGTAACGCCGGCGTCTTCGACGACAGCCACCTGTGTGAGCGCTGCCAAAGTGCCATGCGTGCTTCTGCCCTGCTGTGTGGCTCTTGGTTTGGATTGTCCAAGGTCTTGGAGCGGAACTTTCTTTATGGCACGCTGGAGGAGATGCAACGCTCCTGGCGTGGATGCCACCTATGCGGTATGTGATCCCGGGCTCTCTATCGCCATAACGCCATCTAGTTTGCTCCGGCGTGGCAGTATACTGGACGAAAAGAGAGCTGACGAAGTAGGTGACAATTGAAGAAGCTCTCCTGAGCCGAAAGCTTAACGAAGATGAAACTGCCAGGCCCAGGGGAACCGTGGAAGAAAATACAACCGAACGTACCACTTTACTACCTAGTCATGGATATGAAAGTGATAGCGGTGTTCTCTTGCAGGTGGAGCTTTTAGGACAGTGGGCTTTGGACCATGAACCTGTCCTCGCCTTGTCCTTGCACACTGGCGGCGGAGCAAAGTTTGGTGCCCTGAGGGTGTCGGAAGGTAAGAATATCGTCGCTATGCACAATTCCCACCTCGATTGTCGCTCATGAGAGCAGACTTAAAAAGCTCACCGCTGGTATCATCCATTTCTCTCTAGGTCGCTACCAACCTCCGGACCCAGAAGTCCAAGTTTATATGGGGTCTGACCAGACTCTGAATATGATATCTCACTGGATAGAAGAGTGCGCGCTGCACAGCGGATGTCATACATTAGACACGCGTCCAGCATTTCTCCCCTCGAGATTGCTATTTCTCGGAACACCTGAGAGCCCTGAGCTGCGGATTGTCAGTCGATCAAGCCTGGCTAACGTTTCCAGTCCGCGGTACATAGCGTTGAGCCACTGTTGGGGTGGAAATGTTGGATGCACTCTGACCAAGGAGAATTATTCCGCTTTATCTCAGTCTCTGCCAGGAGGTAGCTTGCCTAAAAACTTTGCGGATGCAGTTCAAATCACTAGGAGGCTCAACGAGTCCTATCTCTGGATCGACTCTCTCTGCATCATGCAAGACTCGCCGGACGACTGGGAAAAGGAATCCCTCACAATGGGACAAGTATTTGCCTATGCATACTGCGTCATTGCGGCAACGGCGTCTGCAAACGCCCACGGAGGCTGTCTCCGAGACCGCCCGGTACCACGCAAGGAGCGAAACCTGATGAGCTCGAAAACACGGCGATACTTTGTACCCACCAATGCCGCACCGGTCATGACCCTGTTCGACACGAGAGTGGAGATAGCACCCTTGACGAGGAGGGCCTGGGCATTCCAGGAGAGACTGCTCTCGCGCCGGCTTGTTCACTTTTGCTCTGACGTGGTCCTGTTTGAGTGCAACACGATACAGGCTTCTGAGTTTCACCCAAGGGGTGCCAAGTACGAAAAGGAGCCATACTTGGTCAAGGATGGAAAGCTTGTTAGCTGGTTTGCTAATTCCGTCGTCGACCCGATTCTGAAATACACGGGGCGGGTAGACCACGACGACAACGACAGAGCCAAGCGCGGGATCCGAGGCGCGCTCGATGTCCTGCAGTCATTTGGCCCTGCCTCTCAGCACAGCTTAGCCGAGAAGATTGAATTCTCCAAGAGGTGGTTTGATATTGTTGCGGCCTACAGTGAGGGAGCCCTGACAGTCCCCACGGACAAGCTCGTAGCTCTCTCGGGCGTGGCCGAGTTGGTACAAGAACGAGCCCAGGCACCTTACATTGCAGGGCTGTGGAACGCGGGTGCCCTCGTGCTTCAGCTCCTATGGATGGTAAAGGAGCCAGTGGAGAAGCAGGGACTATTCTGTGCCCCCTCGTGGTCCTGGGCGTCGGCGAACGGGAGGATAGGGTTGGCCACAAAGACGGACATCGAGACGACGCAGCTGAGTGACAAAGACATTAACTTTGAGTCAGAAGTCGAGAGCGTGAGCGTTTTCTATAAGCACCAGTCTGTCTCGACAGCCAGGAGCCAGATCGATGCTGGCTCACTGACCATCAAGGGTCCGGGAGCCCAGGTATATCTCAGGGAGGTTCAATCAAGAGGAGATGGACGGACCGTCTACCTCAGCTTGACCAAAACGCCAAGCAACGACCCAGAGGAAGAAGCACCTCTCCGTCTTGCTCGCGACTGGGACTATGGCAGCGAATCTGACCATCCAGCCGGGTCTGTGTTTGTTGCCATGCATGTAATGACGGTGCGGATCCAGCATATCGCCGCACATAACTCTGACGATGAGACGCAGCGGTTTTATGGTCTGGTTCTGCGCCAGAAGAGTACGGATAGTTCTGAGGCTATATTCGAGAGGGTCGGCGTGTTCTGGACAGGTCGCCTACCGAGAAGTAGCGAGTCATTAGATCGGGAATCCGCCTGGACGCAGCAACGGATTGTTGTAGAGTGATGAGACAGATGGCCAATCAATGACAATGTATTTAGTTACGCCTTGCCAGAGATTAACTGTCGGGTATGACTACTGGCAGTGACCCACTCACCACTGGATGGGGTGTGGTAAGATTATTGTGAAGACCTATTTATTGTTATCTTCTCTTTCCCGGGTTTTAGACTTAACTGGGTAGATGTATGCCAAGCCTTGCGGTTGTGGCGTTCAGATATTACATCTGTCGTGTCGTAAATGACACGGATGGCCTAATTGAGGATGGGATGCATGCAAGCATTGCCTCTTGCAGATGAGTGCATTAGATGTTCGGATTGGCCGGACGGAACAGGCGAATATCGAGAGCTGAAAAGGATCGAATGGGCCAGTATTTGCTTTGCATAGAAGGAAAGGGCTCTCGTTACCAATTCGAATACATGCTTTGCACTCAAGGTTTCAGAGGGAATCGGCCGACTGGCAGATTGACTAGCGCTCCAAATTATTCGCGGATTGTTCGCAGATTCACAATGTTGACATTCAATTATCAAAACCTTCTCAGGCTCTTGGACAGGTCTGTAGGTAGGCTTTCCACCCATTTGTCGCGGAATGGGGATGGGGCGGCCCGGGCGGGGGCGGGGTAGCTCTAAAAATTGCTTGACTGGAAATGAAATTAACGCATTCCATTTAATCCCGGTATCGTTGGGGGGCCAAAGTGCCCAGCGTCGGCCACGTTGCCCCCCTCGAAATAATGAGAGGTTGGACAAGGAAAAAGAGTGCCAGGGCACATGCAACATGCACATAGATTTATTAGCTTGGCGAGCAGCGACCTGCAGAAACCTTAAAACTGCCTAGCACCCTAACTAACCTGGACTTGGGGGAGCTTTACTCGTTGTGCCTGCCTTCCTTGTTTTGGAACCTGGTGGGGCTGAGAATCCGAGTGCAGATCCTTGGCAGTTGCTAATGCACAGCAGACCCACACACGAGTCCAGCGCCAGGACTTGGCAAACCAATGGCCGCGACGTCATGCGACCTAGCCTGTCATCTGCGCCTCTGCCACACCCTTGAGACTGGACAAGCTCATTTTCGGAATCTCTCGACGCGCGGATTCGCTGTTTGATGGGAGAGGAAGGGAGGCAGGGCCCCTAGCCTACTTATTGTCAGGCAGACTTGCTATCTAGGCGGTTTTGTTTTAATTATGTACATACGAATGAATACCGTGTATACAAAGAGGTCTTTGCCCACTGGTGACCGAGCCAATTTGCTTAGCTTCTCGCGCATCGCCATCGCGCACACATCGTCGCATTGCAGCATCCATCCACCATCCATCGGCCGTCCCAACTTCCGGGTCACCTCCCTACGGACAAAGTGGCTGCGGCTAATCGGTACATAACTAATTAATCGGGTCACAGGTGCGCAGCGACACGGATAGGCGGCTATCATGGCGCCGCCCTCCAAGAAGCCCAGCGCAGATGCTGCTAGCCTCGAGGATAAGACGCGAAGTGAGCGAGGCTTCGCTAGCGTGGAGGCCGCTCTGGCGAGCGTCTTCGCTCTAAAACGGGTGAAGGGGAGTAAGATGTCTAACATACTTTCGTACCTTGGTGCGCGCAACCCGCTCCCGGTCCCCATCACCGGCAACGACATTGTCTGGCTCCTGGACAACGTCGCATTCCGTGGCCCGGGTGGCGCGTGGCAGGCAGAGTTTGTTGCCGCCGCCTTTGCCGGACCACCGTCTGGCAGGATCGTCGACGCAGTAAGCGACATTGCCGAGAAGCTTGGATTCTCAAAGGGGGACAGTGAGGAAGAGACGATAGAGAAGCGAGTCGGGCCCTTTGTCATGGGCATCCTACCGGGGCGTCAGGTGAAAGTGCGCTTTGATGACGGCGCTGCGGAATTGAAGCTGGGCCCCGGTGGGAGAAATGGAATCAGCAGCGATATCAAAGTCCTCACGGACGCGCCCCCGGGCCTGGCTGTTGACTCCACAGCCGAAGTCCCCAGCGGAACAACCGGTCTGCTGGATATGAAGACGGTGTATGCGGAGCCAGATGGATGGGCTGTCATCTCAGGTACGGCGAGCGTGCCTCGACCTGTTCCAGCTGCGAACGCGCGCGGACGTGCCAAGTATGGTTCCTAGCAACAAACAACAACTAACAGAAATGGTGCGCTTATGCAGACATTGATGACACTATCAAGATCACGCAAACAAACGACCCTCTTGGAATCCTGCGGTCCACGTTCGTGGTATGTCTGGCGTGGCCAACGCTCCCATCCCCCACTAGTATCGATGCTGATTCCACCGTGCCATGGTCACCAGTCTGAACCGACACCGGTCACCGGCATGCCGGAGCTCTATGCATATATCAAGGACATTCTGAACTCTGGGGCGCCTTTTTTCTATCTCTCGGCCTCGCCCTACAATCTGTACCCTTTTCTCCGCGACTTTAGGGAAACGTATTATCCTCACGGGCAACTGATTCTACGCGATGCCAGCTGGATGACGATTCCCGGGCTGCTCTCGAATCTGACACTCGGCACTCAAGAATACAAGGTCGACCGCATCAAGAAAGTCCACCGCTGGCTGCCGCAGAGGAAGTTGATATGCATCGGGGATTCGACCCAGACCGACCCCGAGTCTTACGGTGAGTCGCTCATACTTGCAGCCTGAGTCTGGCCAGGGCAATCCTTCCCTCGCAAGTCAAATCTTCTGACGGTAAACAGGAGAGATATATCGGACGTTTCCCGGGTGGGTCAAGTTGGTCCTCATCCGCAAAGTCAAGGACATTGCCTCTGTCGGCACGGCAGAGAAGAACGAGCCAAAGAGATTCGAAGCAGCTTTCAAAGGTGTCCCGCGGTAAGCTCAGCCCCAGCTGCGACAAAATCGTAGAGTTCTGATCTGACATGGGCAATAGCGAGGCGTGGCATGTATTTGAGAACCCGAGTGAATGCATCAAGTTAGTGCAAAAGGCAGTGGCCGCGGGCTGAAAGAAACAGCGCAACTCAGATGGTAGATATTGTCTCGCTTTTCAAGCGCCAAGTGGATTTGGATACCAGGTATTATAGACCTAGTAGAAGGATATGTTTTTTTTTTTTAAAAACCCCCCCCCCCCCCCCCCCCCCCCCTTTTTAGGGTGGATTTGGACTCTGGATAGGATCAAAGCTCTGTATATATAAAGATATAATTGGCTTGTTGGATTGACAAGGTCATTTGTTCCATAGTCACTGCAGTAATCGATGCGAATGAGGTGGTTGTGGTGGTTGTATTCTGGTCTGCTCTATGTCTAAGGTCACGAACTACGGGGACAGCGATGCAGGAGGTTACGTGAGGGGTGGTGCGCCTCGCGCACGTGCCGCATAGCGGCCCGCGTGGTGGTCAGCCACTGAGGCTGTGCAACCTGTTGACCAATCACGTGCGACTGCATCCTCTGATTGACTGGTAGTTCCCACAGGCACATGTCAGTTAATTAATTATTCGGTAACATCTGCTACCTTGGTACCTTAGCCAACAGTCAACCTAACATTTCTGTGCGACCGAAGAGAGGGGTCGGAACTTGCCGTTTTAGGAGGATCTCGCACGTCACAGAGATCATGCATTGCCCAGTCCCACCATCTCCACTTCCCCAGCCACTCGTTTTCTCCTCGACCCTCTTCGGATCTCCGGGCTCGGTCTCGTCCTGCGCATCGCAAGGATCAGCGGGTTCGCGACGCATAGGGCAGTCGTTCAAACGCTGCAGGATTCGAGCCGTTTGTATTTAATTGGACCAGGACTGCCTGCACCGCCCACAACTTTACGAAACCAGAGAGAGGCAGGAGTGATCTATCTCTCATCACAAATTTACAACAAAGGAGCCTTCTTAGTTTCACCGACGCATCAGATTCTCGACTTTGAATCCAGCCAGCTCAGATGACCATGGAGGAGATTCCGGCCAAACGGCAGAGGTCGGCCAAGGACGTGCCCTTCAATCTGATATACTGGCCCAGACTTCCCGGTCGCGGCGAGCACGTCCGCCTCGCCCTCGAGGAGGCTGGTGCCGACTACACCGACACGGCGCACACCGAGGGCGGCATTAGCGAGGTGCTTGCTCACGTGCAGGGCAAGGCGCCCGACGACAGCATCAACCCTCCCATTTTTGCCCCGCCCATTCTCAAGCACGGCGATCTTGTCATCAGCCAGACGCCCAACATACTCCTGTACCTCGGCCGGCATCTGGGACTGGTCCCTAGCGAGGACGACGACCCGGACGGTATGTACAGGGTCAATGCGCTTGCGCTAACGGCCCTCGACGGGCTCAGCAACGAGCCGCACGACTGCCACCACCCCATTGCGTCCGAGCTTTACTACGAGGACCAGAAGGACGAGGGCAAGAGAAAGGCCGAACACTACATCAAGACGCGCCTGCCCAAGTTCCTGAGCCATTTCGAACGCGTGCTTACCTCCAAGGCGAGCGGTGACGGACCTTGGCTATACGGGGGCGAGCTGACCTATGCGGACCTCGTGCTATTCCAGGTATGTCGAGCTCACTTCCCTCTCCCGGCGTTCTTGTCGCGCCCCGGACCCGGCAGGACGCAGGCTGATCCCGGATGCAGTGTCTCGACGGCGTCAAATTCATGTTCCCCAAGGCCATGGCGAAGTTGGAGCGCGAGGAGAAGCACTACAAGGTGTTTGCACTGTACGAGGCTGTCAAGGCACGGCCGAAAATCAAGGCCTATCTGGAGAGCCCTCACCGCCAGAAGTACAGCAATGGCATTTACAGGTACTACGAAGAGTTTGACATTGAGGGATGAGCCGCCAGCACACACAGCAGCAGTAGGCCCTAGAATTAAAGGCTTCCTGCATGAGGTAGATGAACAGGGGAATTGGCTTCTTGAATTTCTATTTACTTTTGTCAAGACAAGATTGACGTGTTGATTGTGGCGGATTGAACGTGACTCTCATTGGCACTTGATTACCTTGTACATTGTAAACATCATAAATATTATGTAGTCCTAGAGGTAAAACAAGCCGTCGGTTTATCGGGTTAATTACCAAGGTTTCTTGCCAATCTTGGATTTCTTACCGAACTATATTAATTATGTATTGGGAGAGGGTTGATGAGATACCTACCAAGATCTTGTTGGCACCTCAGCCAAGGTACATGCCCGGTCTGGCGTGTGGTGGGGAAGAAGGGGGCCCCGTTGAAGATGATCCATCGATCCCCGCCCCGTCAGCCAACATGATTAATACTAACGCCACCAGACATTATGACGCAGTGATTTTGACACGCGGGCACATCAGACCGGCCATGAAAGGAAAATAAGGTAATTGCCCATCCCACCATCACGCTCAGCAAGATGTCGTTATTCAGTCACCGCCCCGTGCTTGGTAAGTCAGGTGGGGGACTTTTGGAACACCCCTGCCTATGGAACAGCCCCTGAATCGGACCCCGCACAACACCACAAACTTCAATTGCCAACAACTTTGTCAATTAATTAGCTACAATGATGAAGTCTTTAGTATCGGATTCTCCTGATTCTTCTCTTTCAGAATAACTAAGGTCATCTCTGCCAGCCTCTCTCTGTGAGGCACGAACCTCCTCAATTCCAGGGAACTGCGTATTAGGGTCGACTTGGACCTTCCTTCTCTTTCGGCCTCTTGTGCGTTCTAGGCTTTTTTCTGCAGCCTCCAATTGATGCGCCGTATTGGCTAGTTGGAAAACCACGTAATCGAAGGCTTTTGCGGCCTTGCGTATGAAAAGTCGGTCGTTGGCAGTCCGTTTCTGGCCGGCTAGAAAAACCTGCCCCTGAATACGGAAATCCTTCGGCTTTTTAGGGGTAAACCATATAGGCCGGCCCTCCGAATTCTTATTTAGAATGGGGTTATGGACCTCTTGAAGGTCTATAGAAACCGTAGAGGTCAGTTGACCAACGTCGCCGTTAGAATTCTTAATAACAAGGCCGTTGCTTAGGGGCTTCCTGAGGCTGACTGGCCAGAGGCCTGTAGCTTTCCAGCCGGCTTTGATATTAGATTCAGTCATTCCATAGACCCTGGCTTGCCGGTAGCATTCTAGGAAGGCCCTCTTTTCAGCAACAGTCGAAGCCGGAAACAACCTCGTTATGCTTGGCTCTGTACCGGGCTTTTAGAGGGCCGAAAACCGATAAATCCAGGGGCTGGAGAACGTGGGAGGTGTGGGCTGGTAGAAATAACAATTGTACGTTATTAGAAAAGGCTAGCCACATGAATTCTTCGGTGGTATGACTACCGTGGCCATCTAAAATAAGGAGGCGCTTCTCCGAGGGGGTAGCTGGCCGAGTCTCTGGAAGAAAGATATTGCGGAGCCATGCGACGGTAGTATCATCGTCAGACCAGCCGTTTTCAGTGGGTTTCCACTTCCAGCCCTTAAATGGCTGTAAATCGCGTGGATACCATTGTTGTTGAAGGCTTCCACCTTTGAAAATGACGACTGGGTTCAAATACCGGCCGTCAGCGGAAATACATTCGATAATCGAGGTCCAAATTCGGTCTCCTTTCTTCTTTTTCTGGAATTTCTTTCTTTCCTTAGATCCAACAACCAGGCCGTTATCTCCAATGCCAGAAGCAATGCCAGTTTCATCTATATTATACCTATGCTTGGCTGGAATAGCCTCCACGCCTGGAGGCTTCAAATAGTCAAACCAAGGCCGGATAACGGCCTCACAGGCTCGATCAGCACGGTTTGCATGGATTCTCCGAGGCCTAATTGTAGAAATAGATGGATTTCTAGCCAAAAACCGGCTAGTCCAGCGTTTTCCGAGGGTCTCGTTATCTTCGAGCATTCTTCTAGCTAGTTTCCGAATTTGGGCGTGGGTTGGAGGGTGACCGAGCGACCCTTGGAATAGAATCCATTCGGTTAAGCGTTCTTCCATAGCCGGAGAAAGCTTTTGATTAATAATTTGGGCCTTGGAGGCTGGCTCGGAACCACGAACCCGATTAAAGAGAGTAGTAGGGGGGATGCCGTGATTTTCAGCAGAGCTACGGAGTAAGCCGGTTTCTGCATACTCTGCCAGCGCATTCTGCAAATCCAACTAAGTATATCGCTTCATCTTTCATTTCTCAATTGAATGGAGAAAAGAAGATAAGTATTGAAGCAGAATTGGTTGAGTTGCAAGCGATTGAAATAGGTGAGTTGGGTGGCGAGCGGCAAGTCCTTGATGACAAACCTTGTTCCAAATCCAGGGGTGTTCCATAAGCAGACCACCTGACTTATTAAATCCAGGACCAATTAAAAGAGTTCAGGATCGGGAATAATTAGACACGATGTGTTCCTTGTCATTGCGTAGTGTCATCTTTGGCCCATCAACCAGCCCTCATCGCCGTCGTATGGTTGCAGCATCATTCTCCGGCATCATTTCAGCGAGCGTCTCCCAGCTCTCCAGTAGGCCGAGACAAGCCAGGCCAAGCTACCCAAATTCCGCTCCTCACGTGCGCTCGGCAGCTCCTCCAGCAAAGCCAAAATGGTGTTCCAACCCCCCATCAACGAGCCGCCGCTGCACAAGATGGGGTACTTCCCCAACATGACTATGGCGCTGCCGTCCGAGTCGGGCGAGTTCCGGCGCGTGCTCTGGACCGGGCGGTATTCGCAGGTGGTCATCATGACGGTGCCCGTGGGTGGAGACATTGGCAACGAGGTTGGTAATCGCTCTAATTATTCTAATTAATTAGTTTGCTCTCCGAGAAGACGCAATTGGGCTTTTTGCTGACTCCAGTCTTGCTTCTCTCTGTCTGCTCCAGGTCCACACGGTGGACCAGATCTTCACTTTCACCTCGGGCACCAGCCTCGCACAGGTGGGTTCCGATGAGCAGGCCGTCAAGGCAGGCGACATGGTCATTGTCCCCGCCGGAACGCGGCACTAGTTCCTCAACAAGGGGCCGACGCCCCTGATCCACGGCCTACTCGCCTGCCGAGCACAAGGCCACCACGGTGCACAAGACCAAGTAGGAGGGCGACCGTGAGGAGGAGGATGGCATTGACGAGCCGCCCCTATGATAAGTCTGACGCTGTTGGGAATCTGTTCGACTTCACTCTCTTTGTGTTGTACACTGTGTCTGTGTCGTGAACGTTGTCAGCCCCAATGAGAAAAAGGTCGAGAGAAGTAATAGCCCCGTGTCTCACAGGAGCCAGCGGAACAAGAAAGAGAACGAAGATGAGAGCTTGGTCGGCTGAGTTGTCGCTTCCGTGAATGCATATGGCCGGGTCAGTGTCGTTCGGATGAGGAATCAGACTAGGTAGACCTGATTGGTTGTTGTTTCCCAGTGCGCTGGCTGGGCGCGGCCTGGACTTATCCTTTTGTCCCTGTAGCACCTACTATGCAGTAAATATAATGACTCGGGTCGTCTTCAGAGGCTTTTTCTGCTTCGGCCCAGATCTGGCAAGAGATACCTATTTCGGCGCACCGGGTTTTGAGGTCTTGCTGGAGCGCAAGGAATGGGACGATGACGATTGTGTGGCTTCCTGGTTCTGCGTACGACGGGAGCAAGAATGTCAAACTCTTCCCGCCTCCGGTGCTGGCGATCTAGAGGATAGGAGTGGACCCCTGTACGACGGCAGTAATGGCATCGTGCTGGTTTCCTTTGAAATCCGCGCTCATGTCCCCGTAGAGTGCCCTTAGGCGGCCGCGGAGATCTACGTGCTGGAGCTTGCTGAGAGATTGTAGTCGAGTATCCCGGTGGTGCGAGCTTACCCAATGGCCCAGGGCTTGACGTGCACACGTTTTTGAGCTTGGCCTCGATCTTTCTCGGCCGGAAGTAATGGGTATGACCAACGAAAGGAAACCGCTTGCCTCACCTTGTTTCTGTAAAACGACCTAGGTGAAAATTAGCTCGTGGATCTGGTGAGACTGGTGAGACCAAGACTGACTTGCCATAGCCCCCGGTCTGATCGAACGTCACACATGACAAGGGCACTTGGCCAGCTCAGATTCCCTGGTTGGTCCTTGTATTGCGCGTCGGGGAAGGGAGGAGCAGCATATGGTGGGAACATAGCAAAGCCACAGACAGAGAAGGCCCCCAGATTTAGACAAAGACTCCAACAGTCAATTCTATGTCTGTAGTCGGAAAGCCGTCGCCCGGTCCAGCTTGGCCGCTTTTCCCAGTGACTTCTCTGGCCATGACATCAAGTCACATTCACAATAGCAGTCGGGAACTGTTTTTAGAGTGGAGAGAGAAATGAGATTTAAGGAGTGGACGACAGCTGAGCGAGCTTTAAAACCTATCCATTCGGGACCGCCAAGGGACGGTGCCGCCAGGGAAACTGAGCAAAACCTGGCGGCCAGGGCAAACCAGCGGGGAAGAGGCTCAGATTGCGCTCCCGCTGGTGCCCAAGCATGTCAACAAAAAGGAAAACTAAAAATACCTAACAAAATGGTGTCTCAAGGAAGAGAAAAGCCGCTTGGCAACCCACTCCCCGTCATAAACCCCCTAAGAATACACAAAAAAAAAGGAAAAAGAACCAAGGAAAAAACTAATCAGACAACCGTGAACCAGAACCGTACAGACAAAACCAGAGATAGACGACCAGGACCGAAAACCCCAGACCAAAACCATTTCCAAACACCCCCAAGACCTCGAAAACAAACTGGACCCCACATACCCCCCTCAGACGAACGCCGGACTCCGAACAGAACTAGGATGATACGCCTGGCTTCATCTCATTCAGATAGAGACCGTCATCGGCGTGGATATCTTGGCGTTGCAGCTCGAGAAGCGCGAACTTGTCGTCGTAGTCGAGATTAGGGAAGGCGGAAATGACCCGAACGGTAAACTTGCGGACAAGTTCTTCGGCCTCGTCGTGCGTTAGCAGTTGCTCTTCAAAGTTCTCCTGGCTCATGATCAAGTCGTTCGAAATCTGCCTTTTTGCAAAGGCTCCCCAACCAAAAACGTCATGTTCATGAATATTGACATGGGAGAACTCTTTTTGAGTCTGCACCGCAACCGGGACCCGATTAATGACACCGTGGCAGAAGGACCGGACGTCGGCGCCAACAAAATCCTCATGGGTGATGATGTCGACTGGCTTCTGCTGGCTGGTAGAGGCCTTGGCGGGCGCAGTCGGCGTTGAGGATGATGGCGTTGCTGGTGCGGTGGGCGCTACCACGGCGGTGGCGATGGTCTGATTGGGGACTGGAAGCGATGATGACGCCGATGCCAATGTCTGCAACTCTGCAGGCGCCGCCCGGGCCGAGCCCTGCTGCGATGCCGCCTCTTCCTCTGGGCGTGGAACCACCTGGGCAGCCGAAGCCGCCAGCCGTCTCTTGAGCCCCTTGGGTACGAGCATTGGGCGAGCGGTTGACGGTCCCGCAACGGGCGCAGAAGGCTCCGAAGCGGGCACAGCAGGTGCCGCAGGCTCAACTACAATACTTTCCAGAGCTTCATCAAGAGGCTTTTCCGGTAAAACCACCAGGACAAGTCCGTTTGAAGTTGTCACCTCTTCCCGTTGATCCTGCAATGGTGCAGCAGTGCTAGCAGCCGAAGCAACAACAGCCGGCTCCCCTACAAGGCTCAGTTCCTCAGTGTGCAATCGATCCGACACGGTATCCACCAACCTAGACGCCTCCTCAGTGCGAAGGGTCGAAATAGTTGGGGATATCGGAGGGAGAGCAAGCGGCTGGCGTTTTGAGGGACCGGCCTCGGGAGAAGCAGGGGCGGGAGCGGATGAAGAGGGAAACGCAGCGATTGACTTGGCCTGAGATTTCTCGAGGCCGCTCTTGCGAGGGCCGTCAAAAATCCCTCGCCAAGGCCGAGAAGGAGATGCAGGCACGGGCTGAACTCCAGCCGAAGCCACAGAAGAAGGCGGAGCAGGAGTAACAGGCACAAGGCCTGTCCCCGAGGTGGGCCCCGAGATGTTCTCCTTTTCTGCCACTTCCACAACGACGACTCCCTGCGACGGCAACACGACCTCCGAAGAGGGTGTTCTCCGGGGCGAGGGCTGTTCAACTACGGTCGCGTGTGCCTCGGGGGCAGATGTGCTGGCAGGAACGCTAGACACAACCGGGCCGGAACGGACCGCACGGGGTGAGAGGACAGGGAGGACAGCCTTGATATCGTCCCACGTCGGCATGGGACGTGAGAACGACGGCTGTCGGTGGAAAAAAACCTCGTTAGTCAAATGAGAAAAAATGTAAAAGATGGAGAGAGAGGGGGGAAGTTTGCTTACCTTGACAGAAGAACCGAAATTTTTGAAGAATGGTCGAAGCTGCGGAACCGCACGTGCCGTGATGGGCGTATCGACAGTGTTGGACAGCACGGGATTGGCGGGGGCGGGAGCGGCAGCAGCGAGTTCAACCATCTGAAGGGTCGGGACGGCCTCCATGCCAATTTCAACCGAAGGTGAGCATTTCACGAGATTCTCTTCCTCGATCTGCATGCCTCTAGTCAGCGAAGCTGTCTCAGAAGGAGTTTGGATGAGAAAAGGGGCAAAGAAAACAGGGTGAAAACTTACCGACCAATCCGCGTCAACCATCTCAACCTCACGGTCGACCGCCTCAGGGGCCAAGGGCAATGCCAGGGGCAAAGCGGACACTGTCTGGGACAGGCATGGCGTGGGACGGCCGTCGTGAGGCGCCGCCAGCGAGGCGGACCACTGCTCGCCAAAGCATGTCGGGGCCACGAGGGACTGCTCCCCCCAACCAGATACCCGAGCGGCAGCGTGAAGGGGCAGCTCTGGAAGGGGCAGCTCCGGAAGGGGTTCACGGCGAGTCGGCGCAACCGGCGACAGGACGGGCAGGCGAGATAACAAGAAGACTGAAGAAGAAGACCAAGGCATCAGCAAATCATGGCGAACGGCTGTTGAAAAAGAATAAAGTTAGCTATTTTGTCTTCACTTTGACGAGGGATATGCATATATAGGTGAGAAACTTACGAGCGACGAGACCACGGACGAACGAGTTCGCCAGACGTCGCTCCGCTTCGACTCTCGAGTTTTTCAGGACCTCCTCGTTCAGCTTTCGACGGAAATCAATCACGTGAGCCAGCTTTTCAAGAAGGACCTCGTACTTCGACTTGTTCTCGCGAATAATTTGCTCGAGGATATCGACGTTGCGCTGGAGGTTTATGGCGAGGGGATCGACCATGGAGACTGTAATTGTCGCCACATGTTAGCAAAGCAGAACAGAAGGGAAGGGCAGTGGATGAAGAAGCAGAAACCGTCGCGACAACTGAAGCTGGCCATAACATGGAGACGATGAAGCCCACAGCGACAAAAAAACAACAAGGGAACGAGCCCAGTCGAAGCAGATTGAAGCCGACCATGAAATGAAAATATGACACGGACAAAAATGATAAAAATGGAAAGAAAAAAAAAAAACTTACAGCGGCTGCAAAACAAAGTCGGCCAACTGTTGACGAAGGCGATTTCAGCGGCGTTATATTCGGAGAGCTGAATGTAAACAGGCGAGCAAGGGCCGTGATCCAGTCCATGGGACCGGATGATTACATTACAGTTGTTTGTGCGCCGTAGGATCTCCTTGTTGACGAATTCGAAGTCGTTGCGTTGACGCTGTAGATTGCCGAGGCGGGCGTGGAACCCCTTGCGAAAGGATCTGCGCAGGTCGGCAGAAACAGGACCATGCATAATTCAATCGTGGGCAAGAGGGACGCGGGCGAAGTTGGCGAGCGAGACGACAAACCGAGCCGCGAGGCTCAGCAGGAGACAAGGAGAAACCGGAAAGACAGAAGGCCGGACGAGGGAGAAGAAGCAGAGCGCAAAGTAACCAAAAAGGGCACCTGCGAGGAGCTCGCCGTCGAAGGACATCTTAACAATGACTCGACGAAACCCGGGGGGAACGAGGAGAGGTGTACAGACACTGACAACAGTAGCGAAAGAAGGAGGTGGTCTGCAGCGAGGCGAGACGAGCGCAGTACAGCAGAAGGTAACAAGCTTTGTGAGAGCAGGTACGGATAGCGAAAGAGCAGACAAGATCGTGATCAGTGAAACCGAGCGATGATGTGTACACACGAGGAAAAAAAAAGAGAAAGGAAAAGAGGGAGGGGGGAGAGGGGGAGGTTTATTTTATAGACACCACGACGGACTGGGAGGGAAGGTGTGGATCCTGCGCTCTGCTGTTCACGAACAGTGTGAGAGGGATGCACGGCGGCCACTGTGTAAAAACTGCGAATCCCCTATCATCAAGTAAACAAACCCCTGGAGCCCACTGTGCGGGCACCGTCGTCCCAACTTCAGCGCCGCTGCGACCACAGTGCAAACCTTAATGACGTGCAAATTCTCCAGCTTCCACCAGCTTCCAACAAGGCCGACGTGACTGCACTTGCGGTGGGGAAAGACTTTCGACGTTGTGTCGACCTAGCAATAGACTAGGAGAAGAGACGAAAAATATAGTAGCGTAGTAGCGCAGTGTTGTAGTTGAGGGGCGTCAAAGAGCAGAGATGCTGTATATTTGGTATGCTATTCTTGCCTGGCGTGTTCCAGAGCGCCAGGAAGGGAGCAAATAGGTAGTTATCCATTCCGTAGGGACAATCCATTGGTATGCACTGGATACGAGTTCATTTGAAGTTTAATCGTGAGTGAATGTTTGTCTGTAGTAGCATGTCTATTTGTGTATATCAAGTGGCACTCAATTCAATGGCTCGCTGCCTCGTTGCCATTTGGCCTCGCTGGGCTGGGTTCAGCAGGGCATGCTACGACAAGCCCAAGATCTCAGCTACCGTAGATAGCTCGTGGACCAGAAATTCTTCAAGGTGTTCTCGTATTTGTCTATCCGTCCAGCCGAATGGGAAAGCTGTCGAGGTGACGAGCGAGTCGTCAATACCATAACATTTCTTTCCACAAGACGAAGGCAGCCCAGACAGCCCAGATAGATATTGAAAAGTCATTCTGCATTTTATCTACATGCTCAGCGGGTCCTGCCTTGCATCCTGTTCCCGACCGGCAGCCATGGGCGCAGAAAGCAGCCAAACATGAATTTTCCGCACCAGCCAGCCCGCGCCCACGCCTGTCTAATTCAATCAACCGCCTAATTTCACTCCCAGTATACTGCAAACATCTCAAAACGGTCCAATACGCTTTGCTGGCTCTGCTTTATCTCCGACCTGCTGCTCCTGTTCAGCCTCGCTGGCCGAGTGTCGTTGCCGGGCGCGTCACGTGATACCCCCGGGACCCATCACCACCAGCAACGCCCCACCCAAACTATCAGGTTGTTTTGATGAGGGGCAGCCGTACAGAGGCTAGGACTACCAGATAGCCCCGCTTCGGCTCGCCCTACCAGCACACCTTACCCACACCCACCCTGCGAGTCACAAGGCTAGGTGTGCGACTTAGGACGTGGCCCGTACACGACGCGGGCCTGCGCAGCTGCCAGTATAGATACCAGCCCCGGGGAGGGCTGGTTGTTGTTGACCTAGCAATCAGCAGCAACCCAGCTTCACATCCAGAAGACATGTGTCTTGGCCACCCCACGGCGTGGCTGGCGATGGCGGTGGCGATGGCGGTGGCGGCGGCGGTATCGACGAGGACGAGGACGAGGACGATGACGGAATAGATGCTGTTTTAGAAACACCCCGACTAGCTTCTTCAGTGGCGCGCCTTCTTGCTTGTCGTCGCTTTCACATGTCGTGATTCCTTTGCTCTGCGCCGACGATGCGCACGTGGGGCCCCTGCGGGGCTCACGCACGTCGCGAACCTTCACAATGCCCATGCTCTCTTTACTTTGTCACCTAACTCTATTCCAACGGCATTCTATCGTGCACATGGTAGGGATCAGGTTGCCTCTCCACTTCGGGGACTAATTAGGATGCCGTGGTGTGGCGCTTTCGCCTAGCACCCCAAGAATGCAGGCGCTTGGGTGAGACAGCTGGGCTGCCCTGGGCACTTGCGATCGGGCAAAAACCGACAGACCGTCGAGCCTTCCAAAGTTCGACCCAGCACCCCAAGAACCCCCCATAAAGCAGGTTCTTTGCTGGCTATGTGGCGTGCAATATCGCCTGCCCAATAAAGCGGACCATCCTGTTTGTTCACAGATCATCCTGCGACACTGCACAGTGCACACCAGAGGGTCAGGAACAAGCGCCCTATTCGAGCGAGCACCGAAGTTAACATGGCGACAGTAGCAGCCAAATACACAAATGAAGAATCTTTGCGTTTTCAGTCCACGCCGTCCTTATGGTGGCGTTGATCAGCAAAAACGAAGCAAGGATGATTCAACTTTTAAATTCATTCAGAGTTATCCATCATTTGGAACCCTCCCATCCCACCCAGTCCGACTTTTGATTGTCAAAAAATAGCTACAAACCTATCTGACACCTACCCACTTGGCCACTCTCAAGAGATGCTGATGGTAAAATCCCCTGTGAGGGGTTGGCTCACGTCGAGGATGCTGTCTTGGACGTCATCTGCATCTCGCTTTCCGCGACCCGCCTTGATCAGAGTGACCTTGGAAATCTTGGCATCAGTCCGGTACCCAAAGGTGCCCTTGGCCACCAAGATTCCCCTCGCATAGCTGAACTTGATAAGGGTTATCCCGTGCTGCGTCTCGCTAATACCATCGTCAAGGTACAGCTGGCCTGAGGCTGTGCCGTCGGCGCCAACGGGGATGAGCAGCTCAAAGTTCTGCTTGCGCACATCGGTTGTGGTAGCGGCCGACTTCACCCGGACAGGGACAATGACGCCTCCACGTAGGTAAAGCGGGAGGTCGGATAGGCTCTGGTTCGAGACGTGAATAGATTGCCCGTTGCCCTGCACTCGCTTGTGAGTGTACCAGTCGTAGAAAACGTCCTTGGGAAGGTAGACATCTACACCCGTGGCACCCTGCTGCAGGACGGGCGCTACCAAGAGTCCCGGACCAAAGAAATACTGCTGATCGAGGCCAAAGGTCTTGTCATCGCCGGGGTAGAGGTAAAACATGGGGTTGAGCAGCGGGCTGCCATCGACCGTCTGCTGATACAGGGCCGTGTATATGTAGTCCAGAAGTCGGTAACGAATATCGATGGCCTTGCGTGCAGCTTCGGCCACCGAGGCCCAGCGGTAAAACTCGTGCGAGATGGTCGGCGGGTACTCGTTGTGGTTTCGGTAAAAGGGATAAAAGGCCCCAGCCATGGCCCACCGTGCACAGAGCTCTTCGGTCGTGTCTCCCGCATACCCACAGACGTCGGCGCCCACCATGGGCACCTGATAAATGGATGCAAAGGCCAGAGAACCCCTGATCGAACCGCGAAGGGCATCCCAGCTGGCAAAGTTATCTCCTAGCCACTTCCCCACCTTGGCACCGGCGCCGGCAAAGGTCGACCGAGTGATGACGAAGGGGCGAAGTCTGGGCCGCCTGGTAGCCATTGCCTCGCGAACCTGGGTCGACATCACTGGATGGGGTCACTTCGTCAGTAAAATTGATTTGCCCGTGACTGCTCAAAAGAATTACGTACTGGTTCCGTAGATGTTGTGGACATCGTACTCAGCCAAGCCATTCTGGTGGATAACGTCGGTGTTGACGGTGTGGTTAGATATTCCGCCATGGTCTGAATTCCAAGAGTCTGTGAATGCCGCCTTGTTGTGAATAGCATACTTGGGGAAGAGGAGATCGCGGCCAGGGAGGCCTAGCTGCTGGCCCTTAGCGAAGCGAGCGGAAAGCGCGTCGGACTCGGGGGAAATGGGCCCACGGATTACGGCCACATCTCGGACGACCGAAACATCCTCGCTATCCCGCTTGCAGGCTGTACCGGCGGGCTGGAAAGCGCAAGACCATCCAGGAAGCGGGCGCGGCGGACTCCTAACCGGTGGCGGATCTGGCGGGAACCCAACGGCGGCCGCAGCTGGGTCGCTGCATGGAAAATTGCAGGGGAAGTTGGATGGCTCATTCATGTCGATCCAGAGGCCGTCAATATCCACCCCCTTGTCCTTGGAAAAAAAGACAGCAAACTCATTGGCGTACCAACTGGCGATATTCTTGGCGAACCAGTCAGGGAACACTGTTATGCCAGGCCATACGACGCCCTGCCAGACGGAGCCGTTGGCGCGGAGCAGGAAGATGTTGTCGGCGACGCCTCTCTGGAAAGGCGGGTAGTCGGCATACGGCACGGCAGGATCCAGCATGAGAATGTAATGCTGATTGTTGGCGTGCAGGTGGTCCACAATCTCGCGCACCTTGGAGATGGGATATCTATCGGGATCCAACGAGAAGACCTGATTATCCCAATGGAGCTTATTAGTATTGCAAATGGTTACCGCTGCGAGCCAACGAATATGACTGTGCTCCGACGAGATAACCGCACCCAAACAACATCAGACCCCCAACTCTTTCACGGTTGACCTGAAAGGAATTGGCCGGGTGCCTGACATGCGAATGGGACTTGGAAATCATCTCGAACGCAGGAGCACGGCCATTTTGGTGGAAAAGAAAGGCACAACTCACCCGTCTCCGGTCCATGTAATCGATATCGGTCCACATGGTCTCGAGGGGGATTTTGGCCTGGCTGTAGTTGTAAATAACCTCGGCCACTTCAAAGGCATCCTGGTAGCCGTATCGGCAGTTGTGGAATCCAAAACCCCAGTAGGGCATCATGGCAGGCAGCCCGGCGACTTCGGCATACTGCCGCGAAACCTCAATGGGGCTGGGGCCGGCGACAAAGTAGAAGTCCAAGACACCGCCGAGGGTGTTGTACTCGAGGAACTGGCCCGATTGCGCCGTCTTGTCGATGAGCACATCCATGCCGTTGGAGTTGAGGAGGAAGACGCCATGGGTGCCAAACTTGCGATGCTCAAAGTAGACAGGGTGGTTGCCGTAGAGATTGGCGCCGCCGGGGGTCCCATAGGCATCTTGCGACCAAAGAGTGCGGATGTAGTTGGTCGTGTTGAGCCGGAAGGGATCAAAGTGCTCGCCAAGCCCGTATAGATTCGGGTTGTCGGGCAGCTTGGTTCTCAGGCGCAGATACTGCGACTCAAACACTAGGGGCGCAGCCGAGCTGTCGAACAGAACCTCGCCAGTCTTGGCGCGCGTGACCGAGAAGGAAAAGGGGTTCGTCTTATAATTGAACTTCAAGGCTGATGTTTTAGAGTTCCCACCATGACTCCCGGGCCGTGGGAACACGGACTGAGGCACCTGGTAGACATCGTTTGCCGGATCCTGGATCTTTACGTGCAGTCGATCACCTTAACCCAAAAATAAGCCCAAGTTCTCATGATAAACACCTTTTCGCCCGCTCCAACCCGGCCAGGGACTACCCGAGACAAAGACAGGAGGCCAACTCACCAGTCTCATACGTGACTTCGAGAGTAAGCTTGTCGAGATCGGTGCCATATGTGTTGCAAGGAGTGCCAGCGAGGCTCAGGTCGGCCGTGAGACCTGTCTGGCTCGTCTTGACATTGGACGCCTTATAGCCTGGGCAAGCACTCAGGGGCAGGCTATTTGTGGAGGCGCGGCGGGCTGGCACCAGCGCGGCCGAACTGAGGCCGGCAGCCACCAGCAGCCCGAGATTGACGATGTGAGCGGAGACGATCATGTCTAGGGGTGGGGGCTCTCTCCAAGCGGCAGCAGCACAACCAGGTGAAAGCCAAAGGGGGGTGCGGGAGACTGGCTATTTATCCAGCGAACCAAAACTGGGGCGGCCTGGCATCCAATTTACCGGGCTACCAACTCCATCCCATCCATGCTCCTTCCCACTTATGACGCTCTAGGGAGAAGAGCATCATGGAATCCACGATCCAGGTCGGGCCGGTCAGCATGCTTGCTGCATGGCGAGCGCGTGGTATTCCACGCCACTACCACCCCGTACAGCACATATAACAGTCTCGTCACGGTTCAGCAATGTTTATTGTTGCAGTCCCCTCACTAGCCCCTCCTCTCTAGTAACCACCTGCCGGATCGGTGCTCGTCGCGGTGTGACGAGCCCTCGGGATCGGGTACCGTGTGACAAAACATATTCTTCGGGGTACCTCCATACATACAATACTCGGACAATGGACGGAGCCGAGGGCGATGGGGTCCCTGTGTTGTGGTTTACTACCTCTAATAACATCTCTTTTGCCCACTTGGTGCTTGACGACCAGTGAGAGTCCAAGCCGAACAAACGACTAATAGCGAGAAATAAAGAAGCGCCGCTCGGCCGATGGTTTTCGTCTGTTGGTCATCAAATGGAATCAGACGTAAAAGAAAGAAAGGCCGGCACCGAAGTCTTGGCAAGCGACATTGCCAGGCCTAGAATGGTCAGACCGGGGGGGTTTATATCCCCGCAAATCGCAGGAGCAACCGGCTCGTCGTCGGGAGTGGCGCCGTTAGACCACTAGTAGGCACAGTACATACAGTACAGTAGGTGCAGTACGTTATCCGTTCGGTACATTATGGAAGGATCTACCAAGTCGGTAGCTCTTACCTTGAGTACCCCGTACTGATTAAACGAGGTCATAAGTGGATAAAAGGACCACCGCGAGCTCGCCAGAAAGACAGATCAGCTGTTTCCTTCCCTCCATTCCTTGAGCTCTCTCCGCTCTCAGCTCTCAGCAGGTCACGGAGCGTCCCATTGCCCGTGGGCGCCCGTCCGATCAACGCGAGGGACCATCCATGGATGTCATGAAAGGGCCGAATGCGGGGTACAGAAGCGCCGGCCCTCTCAGAGCTCAGAACAACCCCCAGCCGAGCACCCCGCTCCCCAGATCCCCTGAGCGCTAGGGCGGGTGCTGTAGCAGGCCGGGGGTGGATGTGACGTAGCGACAGGGTCAACGCTCTTCTCCGCGGGGTCCAAAATAACCGCGACATCTATCGCGAGATGCGCAAAGAAGCTCTGGGAGCTTAAGGCTTGGTCGAACTTTTAACACGTACGCTGATGAGACGGACGAATAGGATACGAGAAAGAAGAGGCAACGGCGGCGGCTCGCGAGCGCTAGTGCGAGCTGCCGAAATGATGCCGTCTCATTAGGCAGTCCGAAGTGAGATGTAGATCGGCGGCCCGAAATGGGGGGGCAGTCGAAGGGGGAAAACGGGCAGCTAGCTGTCTGCGGTTAGCTCTCCTCGGACTGCGCCGATATGGATCTGCAGCGATCAGGGCAAGCACACGGGTGCGGAATATTTCGCGCTGATGATAATAAACACATCATTCACCCGTAAAACCAATGGGCCAGAATGTAAAGAAATTATACGAAACTGGCTAATAGGATAGGTAGGTCGCTCCTCGCCTATGCCGGTCTTCTTTGAGGATCGGACAACAAGTCAAGTGGCCAGCCAGGGTCTGCTTGTTTGGCCACTCGAAAATAGACGGGAGCAACCCGCCGCTAACTTTCGCTCCTTTTAACACAAACTTCTAAGGTTGTTCTCTCAAGCAGTACTCCATGTGGACTCGATATCAGCTGCTTAGCCACTTGCTTATGACGAGCATGACGGTCACATCGAGAGAAGACATGGAAGTTGTTACCCATCAAGCACTACGCCAAATTACAACACCATCCAAAGCTGGCGAGAAGTCAAAGATTTTCAAGGTAAAAATTCAATTCAGATTCCTCCACTCCAACCTATCCGAAAGCTATGCACATGACGAGAACGACAGTTTGTGCAATAATAAACCAATGCCTTCCTCCCAAGAAATACCTCTTCAACTAATGCACCGATAGAAAGCGTTGCCAGAGACCCAAGACTTCAACCACCCCGACGAAACAAAGTAGCGCCGCCTCGCGACTTTGTTTCTTTTTTCTTTTTCCAAAAATGCTGTCATAATCCGTGTCGTTATGCTCATCAACTAGGAACCCTGCCTGCAATACCATAGTGGCTACCTTGTTCCGCCATATATAGACAGTTTGAACAGAAAAAAGCACGCGAAGGGGGGTTTTGCTCGTTGCGGCTCTGTGATCGTCGTGCAACCCCCCTCCCCCCCCCCCCCCCCCCCCCTTCCCGTCTCATTAGTCCGTGTCCATCGAGTCGGGAACTGTTATGGCGACCGTGATCGAAGGGTCTTCGTCTTCTCGTTTGCCGCCATCCGAGACGAACGAACCGTTATTTGCATCTCGCTCTCCTCCTACCAGACCATTTCCGGCGGTGAGCTTGTATTCGCCGCCATCTTGGTGCTCAATGATCCCTTCCTCAAGCGCCCACTTCGCCAGCAGGCGATCTACCACCATCCTCCCCGCCTCGCCTTTCTCCATATGCCGTCCCACATGCTCGGTCCATTCGTCCCACGACCCGGGACCTTCAAAAACGCTCTGGCAGTCCGGCTTCGGGCAGGCCGAGCGTTGCGGCGGTTGTCTTCGTGTTACGAGACAGGATGATTGCATCTCTTTCACCCGAGTCTCCCACTCGGCCTGCATTTTGCTGTCACCTTTGTTCAACGCCTTTTTGATGGCAAACGGCGCATGCATCCGGCGCAAGTGCTGCGTAAACAGGTCTTTTCTGTTAAATTCATTCCCCTTGCCGTCCGCGCTGCTCTGGGGACATGACGAACAACGGTAATACTGCAAGCACAGGTGTTGGGAGGCGATGTGCCGTTTCCATTCGTTTTTGGACCCGAACGTGCTTGTACACCCGGCAAACGAAAAGGCGCAGGGAAAGGGCCTTGTATGGGCAGCCGCGATATGCTTCCGCAACGACGACGAATCCTTGAACGGGGCGTGGCTACAGTGGCCGCAGCGAGTCTCTTGTTTTGGCGTTTGTTTCTGAAGCGGTCTCCTAGCCTTTGGCTTGGTCGAGGGAGTGTTGTACTCGCTGCCAAAGTGGGCATCCTCGACACTTGACTCGTTTGCCTCGGGCGAAGAACCAGGATCGTCAACGTGCCTGACGGCAATGCTATCTCCTACGCGCGTGGTCTGACGGTCCAATGTGGGCGGCGTGTCGTCGCTCAGATGCCGTACATGACTTAGCGCCTTTAGTTGCTCCGCGGCCTCTTGCATCTCGGCTGTTTCTTCCACCTCATCCTTCGGATTCACAACTGGAGTTTGATCTGGACTCGCTTGGACTACGGGGGCTGGTGCTGGTGCATCTGATGTCACTACAGAGACAGCGAGAGGTTCCGGCCGCCTTGGCGTCTCGTGCGCAAGAGGAGGGGCGTACTGGGCGGCACTGGAATTTTCACGCCGATTGACAGACGAGCCACCCGCAGCCGCCGCCTCCCGCGCCTCCAGGAGGATGCGGCCATCCTGAACTTCTTTTGACGCCGGGGAACTATGCGACGCCGAGTTAACGAGCCTTTGGTAGAGATGTGTCAAGTTATGAGACCCAATGTATCCCAAAAAGCAGCAGACTTTGTCGTGCTGGACAATGTTCCAAATTGACTGCGGCATTGAAATCAGCAGCATGGTAGGGGGGCCCAAGAACATTCCCTCCACGGTGATGTCAGATGCGGTGCTCGGCTTGTTGTGAAGCCACTGGTTGAAGAAGGTCATGTCAGGGCTTGCATCTCCGACGAATGTTGTGCACACAATGACTCTTTGCTGATCGAAAGTCAAGCCCACCACGTCCTCGGGGTTGAGGGGTCTGTCTTCACGGCTTGATTTCCACGAATTTTGGGCATCCGCTTCTGCAGACTGGGGAGGCGACTGGAGCTGAGTGGCTTTGGACTCTAATGGGGCTAGGATTATTCCATGACCTTTGGCAGGAGTCAGGGTGAAGAAGGCCGGGGATCTTTCAGGGGCAGCGCCCGACTTGCCACCTCCATTGGGTAACCTTGAGAGAGCCTGCACTTTTTCGCGGAGCCTCTGCTCCTTGAGTTCGCTGTGTAGTTTGTGCACGCTGAATGGCTGACTAGAAGTACCGAGCTTGTTGAGCGTTTCGACCAGGCTTGCGGTGAAGGAACTGGGGCCGGGGTCTGCCGAGGTCTGTTCGGGCGTGTACGCGGCGATGGCCTGCTTTGCGCCGTGACTCCCAGCCATGGGGGTGTCTGGCACGGCGCAGGAGTCAAGCAAGAGCAAGATCTCGGACTGCGCATCCTCAAAAAGACAGCGAACACCGTCCCATTTCAGTTTAGCCGCATCTTCCCGAGGATTGCTGTTTGTGAACTGGTCAGCGGTGGGAGGCGCATGGCCACACAGGGAGCTTGGGTTTCACCTACCACGCCCAGTAGAGCTGGTTATCGGGGCCGACATAGCCGTGGCCGGCATAGTATATGATCAAGAGATGGTCCGGACAGGCATTTTCGAGAAAAGACGCCATCTGAACGCCGAGCTTGATGCTGGGGTTGGGGACGGTAGGGATTGTCCACCGGTCCGTGTGGTAATTGTAACGCTCGCGAAACACCTTCTCGAGGGCCAGCAGGTCCTTCTCGACCGACCTATCTTCCTCCCACCGCAACATGAGCACCGAGACCCCGGTGTGCTGGGGCTTCAGCGTCTGCTGGTAGATGTGCATGGCGACATCCTGCAGATGCCTGGCGAAGGCCTCGAAGTCATGGCGCTGCGCGATCGGTTCGGGCGCCGCGTAGTGGAGCGGAGCATGCTGCAACTTGAATCTGTCAGTACAAAGCGGCGGTGAGGCGGCGGCCGGAGCAATGGCGACGGCGGCAACAGCGACGACGACAATTAACCTACCTGGTCCTGAGCAAAGGCCGGCGCAGAAGGCTGGGCCTGGTGCTGCTGCGCCGGTGGGTGCGGAAGGGGGTGAGGGTGAAGCGTTGAGGCCGGAGGAGGGTCAGGGACTTTCGGCGCCAGTCTCCTCCGCTTTGACGAGGGTTCCATGGCCGAGATAGGTCGGATGGGAGATCGCGCCTCTTGTACGTTGCACTGTCAGGGCGCAAGCAGAGGCACTCGAGGCCGCAAGAACGAGGCTCGACGGCTCGACACCGGGTACGGGCGGGCTGCGAGGCCGGGCAGATCGCTCGGATGGGCGCAGGCGGTGTCGAATTGAGGTCAACAATGCGCAAGAACCGAAGGAGACGGCCGAGTGGGCAAGCGAGAGGTGAGGCCGCAGTGGATGGGGGGGGGAGGGCAGTACCACCCACTCACGGGAGGCAGCTAAGTAAGGCTGTGCTGGGCTGGCTGGCAGAAATCCGCTCGGCTCTGGAATTAGCCTTGTGGCCACACCAATGAAGCGACGGGATTGGCTGGCCACAGCGTACCTTGGAAACTCGGGCTGCTGGACTTCTGCGAGACAGTGTAGCCGGCAGGGAGGGGGAGCGGGGCAGACACAGTGCTCAACCACTCAGAAGCTCGGAATTGACGGCGCACGAGCCATGTGTGGGGCGCACCTGGCCTGGAAAGCCAGATTCCCCTCCAAAGACCGAGGGCGGCTTCTATTTGCGCTCTCAACTCTTGTGCTGGCCCCATCTGTTCCATTCCATTTTCCACGTCGAATCGATTCAACCAGCCAGGTTGCAGCTGGACGGCCATGGTTGCACCTCCACGTCGCCTCCTGGTGACCATATTGCGCAAGCCTGTTTCGCACTGCTATTCCCGACCCTGCCAGCGGCTGCGAAGTCGCCGTTCTTCTTCAGGCCGGTCTACGAATACCTAGTGCAGTCATGCCTTCTTCAAGTCTAAGGACTTTAGAAGAGGAAGAAGTTGAACTTAGTCTAAGCTACTAAAATCTAAGGGCGTCGAGTACAATACAGTACTCCGCACGTACCAAGAAAATAAAAACTGGACAAGACTCTTCCTTGCCCGCCCTTGCTTTACCTCGGTGTCAATTGATGGTGACGAGGATAATCGTTGGTGCTGTACAGGTGGGAGGGTCTCTTTTCCTTTCACTGCATGCGTCTCTGCCCAACCCTTTGCGTTCGCTCGGCGCAATGTTTCTCGTCCTGCACCGTCTTTTCCTTGACTGGCACAACCTCGACTGCTCGCCTCTGATTCGCCTTGTGCTCGGGCTGGCGAATCAGAGCCGGGCAATGGACATGCACGACAAGGCCAGATTCTGCCAGCACTGCGGACGGCGCTTGCTCCCATTGGAGCCATCAGCCTTCTGCAGAACGAGCGGCCTGCACGATGTGATTCGCAAGTCAGCCGTTCCGCAACCCGGCTTATCGAGCACCAGATGTCCGTTCACCAGGCAAGTCGACTTCTTTTTTTTCGCGCATATCTGCTCCCCCATTCTTGCTAGCTTTGGCCCTTTGGAGGAGCGAGTGCATCCATCCAGCCAAGTTCCTTTTTTCGGCCAAGTTGCGCTCCGTATTTTGCACCACTCGCAGCACACACAGCCTCTTTGGTCTCAACATAATCCCCCTTTCAGCATGGAAGGATTCGGGGCCAGTTCTTGCTTCGTTCTTTGGTGCTGGCAGTCAATGTCACTGAACATTGGCAACATGCTGCTCCCATTCTTGTCCACTTCGGACATTTGTCAAGGAAACACCAAAACAATTGGTGTCATCTATGAAGCTACCTAGACGGATATTTAAGCGCAGTTCGCTTTTAGCATAAGGAATAATTTGAGTTCGTCATACAGAAATAAAAGAATACGGGCACTAGCCACATTTACATTGCCGTCTTGACAAGAGTTGGCCTCTGCCTCAACAGCAGTTGTCGTGTTTGGATTGTGAGCGTATCGGGTCCCCGGATTGACGCCGTGATACTCGATCGCGGCAGACATCCGTCCGTCTACACCGGCTCATTGACAAGCCCTTGGCTGCCAAGGCCATCGGCATCGCCATGCTCGCCCATCCCTCCAGCCTCTAGCCGTTCTATTGCGCGATTGACCTCGTTTTCCCAGTTGCTCATGCCGACAATGACCCACTCAAAGACGCCCACCAGGTACAGCGCAACACACTGTCCCACCCACAGACCCGAAAGACCCCAGCCGTTGAAGGCCAGGTAGATTCCCCCGGGCAGCGCGCCGCAATAATAGCTGACCAAGTTCACCAGGGCGCCAACCCATTGGCGTCCCATGCCACGCAAGGCGCCACCGCAGGATCCGTTCAGGCCGTCGGCGATCTGGAACAGGGCCACAAAAGGCATGACATCGGCCACGAGCCGCACTACGCGCTCGTCATCATTGAAGATCTTCCCAAAGACGTCCTTGACGCTCATGAGCACAGCTAGGATCAGTGCGCCGGCGATAGTGCTGAGTATGGCAGCTGAGTGCGCGGCGCGGGCAGCCTCTCTAGGCTTGCGGCCCCCCAGCAGATTCCCAAGCCGCGAGGAAGCAGCAACGCCGAGGCCGAAGGGGATCGTGTTGATGATCTGGTCAGCCGTCATAATGACGGACTGCGCAGCAAGGGCGATGGTGCCTAGGCGGCCCGCGGCAAGGGCAACGATTTCGAAAGCCCACCACTCAGTGCCGACATGGACAATGCCTAGCAGGGCAAGGCGGGCAAACGACCAGACGTGAGCGACGGCGCGGCGCGGCGCGAAACCGCCCCAGCACTCGCTGCCGCGAACAAAGACGACGTAGGCCACGAGGAGCAGGAAGGAGCACCAGTACGCTATACCAGTTGCGATGGGAGCCCCGTAGAGACCCAACCCAAGCTTGTGGATGAAGAGCCAGTTAAGAAACGCGTTGAGTGGCGAGGTGATAAGCAAGACGTAGGTCCCCGGGCGGTAAATCTCTGACAGCGCAATGTCAGTATCCAAAAGAGAAAGACGAGGGTTGCTCGCTGACGCGGCGATTGCTGAAGATTGACCAACCCTGTGCCTGCAGATATTTCTTCATGCACTCAAACCACACATAGCCCAGGCCACCAGGGATGAGGTAGCGGAGAAACTGAGCGCTCTGGACGCATATGTACTCCTCTTGGCCAAGGGCCCGGAATACGTGCTCAGAGAATGCCCATATCACAGCGACGACGGCATAAAATGCGGACAGGACTATCAGCCCCCGCTGCAAAAGGATGCCGAGATCATGCTTGTTGGTGGAGCCAGTGAAGCTGCTCGATGCCAGCGTGTCAAGGGCCGTAGTGCCGCCCAGGGCAATGAGCCAAGCCGTGGACATGGCAAACATGTACGAGAAAGCCGCCGTCGCCAACGCCTCCGGGCTGAGGCGTCCGACTATGAGCACCGAGATGGTCTGGAGGGAGTTCTGCAGCGTGTACGCGAGGATTACAGGAATCGACGTTTTCGTGAGGAGCCAGATCTCAGAGAGCCATAGTTGATACTCGGGCAACGTGAAGGCCTCAGAGTCCTCGACAGCGGCCGTATCTGCGGATGAGGGATGTGTCGATGGAGGCTTTGCCAGCAGAGCCGTTCTCTCATGCGGCGGCATGCCGGGAGGCTCTTGGGCCTCTGCATGTTCGTTACCTGTCATTGTTGGACAGACGTGATAACCGCTAAGTATGTTCTGGACGTCATGGACAGCCGCCTGGTTGTACGAGGCCCGAGAAAGGCCAAATATGCCTTTGAGCAGACGCGGTATCGGGGCTCGACCTGAGCCAGGGTTGAGTCAAGTCGACATATTCGCGGACCGGAAACAAGCAGGCTGCGGACAGAGGGCCTAGTACTTATTTGCCGTGTGGACAAGTTGCCACCGCGACTTCGCTGCCCACTTGATGGGGCGGTTGATGGGGACGGCAGGTCCCACGCCCAGCAGTTATAACGCGCTGGCTTTGCAGCAAGCAACGGCGTGAGATAAGGGAAGGAAAGAATGGGGACCACGGCATGCGGGCCCGCAAATTGGAAGCGCCGCTCACGGGTACCATACGGCTCAGCGTATCACTTTCGCAGCTGCCGTAAGATCATCAAAGGGTTCTTCGCCTGCCAATCGTAAGCCCAACGGGAGTTTCTTTCATTCCAAAGTATCGATTAAGACGGATTGCACCGGGGGTCGGTGGCCGAACTCGTCCCAAAGCCGCTAGACATCCCGGGCCGTTAGGCGGGCAAAGATAAGCTTGGGTGTGAAACAGTCTAAAAGCCGCCTCGGCCCCGTTTGGGTTTCTCGGGGCTCTTCCACCGGGAATTTGAGCGGCTCTCTATTCCCGAAGATACGAAGATGATATAAAGAGGCAGCTACCACTAATAGTAGTGAATTCCCGCCGTTGAAGCCCAGACATATGTCTCAGACATGCCGGCCCCCAGCTGGCATTCCATGACTGCTGTGCTCTTAGATGCTAAGGTGCCGCCGCCGACGCTAACACAGACATACATCGATTTCGAGCGGGGCGATCGTAGCACCTGTGGTTCAATGGCACAAGCACATCGCGCGATTTGTGCGAATGAGGGAGAATGCCAACCCCAGAACGAGAGAAGCCCGTTGGTCAGGAGACAGACTTTCGGGGCCCAAAAAAAAATATATGCGGGTACTTTGCGCACGAATGACGATGGATTTTGAATGGCCCGTCTTATCTGAAGCCAATTGAATAACGTAACAAGCACAGAAATCCATCTCTCTTTTCGTCTTGAAAGCAAAAAGAGTTAGTTCATCATCGGGTGCGTGCAGGTGAGACAGACGATGGGCGGCTGCGCGCGCGCGGGCGATGGAGCATAACACCGGAGGGTTCTGCTGCTTCTGTTTTGTTCTGCAAGGGGAAGCTCGCTCGGGGTTTTACGTAAAAAGCCGCGGCGAGGGGAAAGATCTCACTCGTCACGCAGTATCCCGATTCTTGTCGGATTAGGAAACTATTTGAAATGCCTCATGGCTTGGAACAAGACCCGAGGAGTGAAGTTGCACAGATTGAGAAAGGTATTCGGCTAACTGGTGCGGCAATTGACAATACACCGCAGGCCGGCAGATTCGACTCTCTGCGTACTAACGTGCTGCATGAATGGCCATCTATGATATTGTCAAAGCTCACAAGGCTCTGCGCTCCGGCTTTCAGCCTTCAAGGTCGAAATCGAAGCGAGTCTTTGCGGGGAGGGGTTCGGAGAGAGGGCGGGAGGGGTTGATTATGGCATGGATGGCTGAGTGACGTCACCTAGGCATTGCTTCTTTTGGATCAATTGACTTTGGTGGGGAAGCCCCCCTTTCCCCCTTTTTCTGCCCCCTATTTTTTACGCCGTCTCCGACAACAAGGACAGCAAGCAAAGAAGAGGCAGGAAAGAGGCAAAACTCTAAATTTTGATAAACAAACTCGAACTAGATGGTATCGGAACAGCCAGATGGAGAAAGGAGAAACACAAAAACAGCCAAATAAGCCAGAGATAAAGAAAAAAGAGAGAAGAAACAAGAAAAGAATATCCCAGAAGTAACGAAAAGAACCCGTCTTGATGCGCCGTTACATCCCACCCCAACCATCATCATCCAACAGGCAACTCGCTATGCACCCAATTCTATAGAGAAGGAAACCTGAGATCCGCCACAGCCGCGATCACAATCACCACTTTGGCAGCGAAGAGATCCCTGCCCCCCCAAAGTCGTGCCAGCCACCACCACCGCCGCCGCTGCCGCCGATTGACCCGGCCCTCGCCTTGCCCTTGTCTTTCCTAGCCTTTCTCCTGTCCCGCTTCCCGTCGTGCCCACTCCCGCGGCTACTGTTACTCCCGCGACGGCTCCGCTCGCCGCTGCTGCCGTCGCTGCCGCCAGTAGAATTGTCATCGCCGCGCATATCGTCGTCATCATCATCGTCATCACCATCACCACCCTCATCATCAGCGGCAGCGAGCCAGTGCTGCAGGCGCAGGGCGGTATTCATGACGCCGCAGGCAATCTCCCAGTTGTCCATGCCCATCTGCAGCAGGCTGCTGTTGAGCATGGCCCTGACGAAGCGATCGTGCGAGGTTCCCTTGCCGCTTGGGGCGAGCGGCAGTAATAGCCAGTTGAAGACGCCTAGCAGGGAGCGCCACGTGGCTAGCGGGACGCGCCAGGCTGTCGTCCACAGCTGCGCGAAGTCGGCGCCGCTGACCACGGCGCTAAACGGCTGCCGCAACATGATGGCCCGGCTGTATATGAGCGCCGCCAACCGCACAGCCTGGTAGATGAAGTCGGGCTCCTGCTCCTGCTCCGTTGCCGTTGCGGGTGATGACGGCGACGGCGACACGCGGTTGAGGTAGTGTTGTAGGGTTACTACTGCTGCCGCTGTGGGTGGGAGCGAGTGACGCCGGTCCACGTTCGCTGCAGGCGACGGCGCGTGCAGTGACCGCCGGCGGCCGGCCTGCTGCTGCGGCGTGAGCAGGCCTCGGCTGCGGCTGCGGCTGGCCTGGCGCTGGATCGATGGCTGTGAAGGGCTGGTGCCGGCTGGGTTTTGCTGCTCGTCGCCCAGGCCCGGGGCTTCGGGGGTGAAGGCGCGAGAGTCTTGGCCGCCAAACACCGAGCTCGTGGCTGACGATGGGGCAGGCGACGACGGGGCGGGAGCCGCAGCAGAGAGGCGGCGGGCGCGCGGGCCGTCGGGAGGCAGGCTCAGAGTGCGCTCGTAGATCCAGGCCGAGGTGGTGTGCACCTTCTGCAGGTCCTTGGGAGAGGCGTCGTCGGGCAGTGCTAGCACCGTGCCCACGAGGAACCTCATGTCGTCAAGCATCGACGCTACGGCCGGATGGATGTGCAGCGCCTCGTCGCATGACGAAAAGGGCACGAGCGGCGCTACTAGGGGGGTATTCAGGGCAAGACGCAGCGGGATCTGCGAGCTCTCCTGGAACTCGAACTCGCTCCCCCCGCGCAGGAACGGCGGGATCTCAAAGGACAGGGCAATGGAAACGTCAGATCTGAGCAGCTGTGGTCAGATAAATGCCATCCTTGTGGTGGTGGTACGGTTGGTAGAGAGAGATGCACAAGGGGATGTTGGACTAACTTACGTGACTGCAAGCTTGCTAATCAGGCCATGCAGACCCAGAGTGCGGAAGCCGCCGCGGAGCTTGATCATCTCGCGCAGGCCGCGCAGATGGGCACGGAGGTCATTGGTATTACCCCAGTACCACTCGTTAAGGGTGAGCTGGATGACACCCGTGATGCCCTCGTCGCTGGCCGCCGAGCGCGAGGAGCGGAGGTGCTCATTGAGCAGGCCGATTGCGTGGCCCTTATGGCCCATGGCCACAGTACGGTCGATGTGACCAGTCTCGGTCAGGAAGCACGCCGCCGTGTAGATGGCCACATGCACCAGGAGCGGCGACTGCACGCAGTACGGGACGTAGTGCTTCATGTATGCGTTGGCCGCGTCGGGTTTTCCGTCGAGCGACGCCTTGAACTGCGAGATGAGCTTGACGTCTGGCCATTTGTTAGCCTTGTTGGCACCAGAAACCCAAGTGAGCAAAGACCGAAGACACCAATCACGAATGCACATACATACGCTCAAAAGCTCGGTATTCTGCATTGTATGCGGCAGGGGTATGTGGGAGAGTTCCTGGGCAGGACTGGCCATGGGCCACAGAGGGCTGACACCGCTGGGGGGCATCTCAGACGGCATGGCCCACGCATTTGTCTCTGGGTTCCAGCTGTTGCGGTTGCTGCCGCCGGTGTTGGCAAAGTGGTCGGGGACCGGTCGATATGCGCGGAGCATCTGGACGGTTTCGTGGACGGCGTCAGAGTGCAGGTTGCAGTCATCTTCACAGGCAATGATGTATGTCAAGAGGCTGCTCTGCGAGGTGCTCCATGCGTAGTTCTGGGGCGAGACTGAGGCTAGGGGTGACTGGCTCATGAGGTCGAATCCGGACCAGCGTGACATGATCTCGCCCATGTCTCCACCAGGACTGTTGCTGGGCCATGGCGAGAGAGGCGAGGGCTGTCTTGGGGGCTGCAGAGAGAACTGGCTGTTGTCTGCCAGGGACGGGGGGAGAAGTGAGAGTGCAAAGGTGGGCTGGGGCGACCCTCCAACCGCACTGGAGCGTCTAGGGGGGTGGGTGTCGCCGTCGTCAGCAACCTTAGACTCTCAGGAGTGCTTGGGGGAATGGAGGGGCGTCCACATCCATATCCATGCTGCCTACCTGCTGTTCGACTTGTATTCACAAGGCGGCTGCGGAAACCGCCTCGCACAGTTGCTGCATGGCTGGCCTTGGTTACACTATACATTAGGTACGTATTATTAGCATCCAAAACTTCTCGTCTCTTCTTTCTTGCCATACAGATATATCCGTCCTCTGCCAGCCATACCTTTTGTTTCCTCCTCCTGCACTCACCACACGACGTGGTTATTCTCTCAGTACGCGAGGCCCGTGGAACAGGAATATGCAGAGCTTCGGACATTCTTCCGGTCTGCACAACGACGAGAGGTTGACGGAGTATCGATAGGCTTAGTAGTCAGTTGTAGGGCTGACTTATACGTCGTTGAATGCCGCCTGTTTCGCATCCAGATTCAGACTGCTGGCGACAAGGGGAATCAGGCTTGAACATGCAAGTCTTCGGATTTAGCACCCGTTGGGACTAGCGTGGAATGATGTTGCTCAGTAGCGAGCCAGTACTCGGGAGTTGGACGGTCGATCAGGCGGGACGGGATTGCAACTTGAGCCGGTGGGAGTGGAGGGGGGTGGGGTTGTGGAGAGGTGACGAGTATCGAATATCAACAGAAAGAGAGCCGAAATCCTATTTGTATGTCGAAGCCGTTCAGCGCCAGTAACCAACAGTCAACAGTTGGCAAAGTAATGGGAATACCGGGCCTAGACAAGGCATGGGAATCGGGAGGCTTTATCTTCGGCACCTAGTGCTATCCTTTGTGTTTTTTTTGGAACGTGTCCGAAAGGTTGCGAGCTGATGAGGGCGGGAATTGACATCGGGGTAAAGATGGAGAATTCACTGCCGCCGGTTCCTGGCGATTCTATGTCACGACCCCGGTGGTGAGGGCAGTGCTATTAGCCCTTCTTGCTTAAACGCGCTTCTGCGTCTGTGAGTGGTCCATATGAACAAAGGTATTTGATGGCGAATAGGGGGGGGGGGTGTTCGGAGGTGGATAACGTCGAGGTTGGTGTTGGCAACAGCACCGAAGAGTCATCACCACCACTACCGACAACTCTGCAGCACAGTTGTTCCCTGGCACCGAGATGCTAGTTGGATGAATAAAATATCTATTTAGTGCTGGAATCGAGGCGGCGGTCCTGAGAGTCGTCTCAAGGTATCGGGCAGAATTTCTTTGACCTAGAACTTGGCATGTTCTAGAGTCGGGAACCAACAGTTGCCGAGCCTAGAAACGAAGCAAGGACTTTGCGAATGTCCTAGACCTAGACTGGATCGAGCTCGAGCTGGTGCTCAAGTCCTGTGTTTGAGTGTTGAAGATGCTGTCGAGTTCGAACATTACATCCCGATTTGGACACGCAGTGGAGGCTTCGCAGTGCATGCGTACAGAACAGGCCAGTACGGACAGATGGGCCATGGGCCATCTCGTTGCTCTTTCCTCCTCTCCCGCGCAACGTGGCTTGGCCATCCGGAACGGGGTGGGGTGAGGGACGGGATCGACTGAGTGTTTGTCCAAACAGAAGTGGTGGCGTTTTACCTGAAACACACCTTGGTAGCCCTAAACGTGACAGTCGCGGCCGCAGCGGTCAAGAGCCATTAGACCTCAGGGTGTGGCGGCAAGCTTTGGTCCAGCCCTACATCATGATGCAGCACACAACCAGAGCAAAATACGGTATGGTGTGGTTGATGGAGCACACGTGGAGAAGGAGAGCCTGGAACACACCAACGCGATTTGCTGAGTATTGTCCATACGTACTGTCCTGTACATACATACAGCACATGCCGTGTCCACCACTCAGCTACCTCTCCGTGTGCTGAAGTGTGCTGCTATCCAACAGTCCTCCCGAGCCGCGGGTTGGCATTGCATGGCAGGACGGGTGGTAGGGCATTTTGTCGCAATTCTCCGAGGCTGGCGTCTTACGGCCCGAGTCCAAGGCAAACTGCTGACCTTTCATCGCCGGTTTGGAGGCGGATGTCGGGGTAAGGTATGACCTTGAACCAAGAACCTTAAGGTATGTACAGTACCGTATGGACCGTAGGTGTGGCAGTCCAGCAGCACAGGGCTTCACAGGGCTTCCACAGTCGCGGGTGCCAGCCCGCCCAAAGCCCCAGCCCAGGGCTGGCGCCGAGCGGCTGAACGGGGCGGCGCGGGGTGTGGTCACCAAGCGAGCGAACGAACCACGAGCTCAAGGGCCATATATCCGAAAGGCGGCATGCTCAATTGAAACCCAACGGCTAGGTGCTGGCACGACCCGTAGCTCCGTTGTGCAGACAAATCTGTTCATACACATCACCACTTACAAATACATGCACGGGAGCTATGACTTCATGTGCCTTGTCGTACTGCAGGAACCGGGGTGCAGCTTGACAGCATATTGCACCACCGGCCAATGTAAGGTTCCTCACATATCAGTATCCGTACGGAAATGAAGACCTCCAGCTCCCAAGCCTGCGGTGTCTCTTGATTGGCGGGCGGCGCAAAGAAACGCGGAAGATGACGAGAGGCAGTGCTTGTCTGCCACCCCACGAATGCATCTAAGGTAGGCAAGGAGGGAAAAAAGAAAGAAACACGCGTGAAAAGCCGCTTGACAGCGCGCGCTGAGCTTATGGCTATTTACCATGATCTATACTAGCAGAAGACCGAATAAATGCTCACGCTTTTCGGCGTATTCGCACTCAAGGCTCGGGGCCCGGGCTCCGTTGCCGTTCCAAACGGGACCCGTATCCGTGTTTACTGTACGGAATGTGTACCCCCTTTTCTGTTTGTCAAAATAGAGTTGGGTTTACCCGGTTGAGCAGGCAAAGCGTTGCGGTTTGATGGACCGCGTTCTAGACGACTGCAATGTGACGTATTGATCTGGGTTATGCACGGAGAAAATCGTTCCTGGCTGTCCGTACGGTAAGATATCCCACTCGGTGCTACGTGCTCCCTACTAGCTCAAAAGAAGCGGAAACCATTCCAACTGGGAAAAGCATGGACGGCAGTCAGCTACCCTCTCTAACTCCACACTTTGACCCAACCGCTTGGGTTCCAGCTTCTCGGCGGGTTCGTAGGGCTCTCTTGTCACATGATAGCAAGACTGCCAGCCTATCAACAGCCATTTGACAAGCGAGCCCAATAAGCAGCACGCGGCAAGGTGAGCTGACCAGACCCCTGCCACATCAGGGCTGACTGTCGTCCTGACTCCAGTTCGCCTGACTCAGGGCTCAAGAATGCCTCAGCTGGAAACCAGCACTGGGGCCGAGGCGAGATGAATTGTGAGAAGCATTACGGAGTATCAACGCAAAAAAAGGAATTCCCATTCAGACTCAATCGCTATTCGTCGCCCCAAGCCAGCCTTGTGCTAAATTTGGCCCCAAGAATAATAGTATCCACAACCATCGTACATAGTATAGCCCCCCTCCCCCTTGCCATTGCGATATTTCACAAGTTACATGTCTCATAGTCTCATAAACCGGGTTGTGTCTCATCATATGCATAGCAACCATGTTTCATGACTGGTTGTATGTTCTCCGTCCCATCACCTCACTGCCACCGCGTACATGCAAGCTAACCGGGTGCTTGCGCTTTGTTTTAAAGCTACCTGCCACTGTAGTTCGGCTTTCTCGCCAGGTTAACAGCCGGAGGCGCATCTTCGTCGAGGGGATAGGGCAGAGGAGCCCCAGAGCCCCGGCCCGCACCCGACTGGTTATCGGACGAGAGAGGGGTTTTGGGTGGCAGCGGCGGAGGTCCGACACGTGGTGGGTATGATCCCTGGTTCTGCCAGTTTGCCGACAGGTCTGGAAATCGCCTGGGATAGCTGTCTGGGCTCGTTACTGGGCTTGTAGTATTCTCTGCCCCCGATGCACGATACTGTGCTGGCGTTGGCGCATTCACTACAAGACGGTCCGCATCGTCAGGCTGTTCCATTTCAGTCCGGGCGCTCGCCATCCCAGCCAAAGGCTTGGCACCACGGCCCGGCGGAGGTTGTGGAGGCGTCCCCGTAGGCGCAGCAATACCACCACGGTGCGGGGACGGTTGGTTACTGCTCCTTTGAGATGGGCGGAGGCGCTCACCCGAGCTCCTCGGCGAGGGTGTGTCAATGCCAGGCACTGGCAACGTGTCGTATCCAGACTCATACGATTGTCGACTTGGTGGCGTATTGTTCTGTGGGGGAAAGGAGGGTATGTCGCCTGGCAGCTCAACCGCCAGGGGCAGTGCTATGTCGGGCGCCGCCTTGCTCATGTCTGGCTGCCACCTCAGCTTGGCGAAGTGGATCTTGGCCAGCTTCGTGGAAGCGCTCTGGACCATTCCTTGTTCCGCGTGTCTCGCTAGGTACCGCCTGGTGTTGGTGCTGATGTCGGCCAGCCGGTGCCACTCATTCATGCCAAACTCGCCCACCCCCACCTCGACATTCAGACGGTAGTAGCTATCGATATTGACGCCGCGCTTCGCCAAATGCTCCTTCTTCATGTATTCGTGGATTGTCTCGCAGCCCTCGATTTTCGCGATCAACTTCCTCCTAGCCTCGGCGAAATCACCCAGGAAGCCTTCATACCACAGCGAAGAATTCGGCTCGCTGTCCTTTGGTCTTTTTCCCGTCCCAATGCTGATAAACACTCCAACGTCACGTCCTGGCCATTCATTGACGACAGCTTCGTCCAGGACGGTGATGGATGGGTTGAAGGTCCCTGCCCCGTCGTCGTGGAAGACAGACTGCCCGATTTGAATGGGCTTGAAGGCGAGACCAATGGCGCAAGTTGCCCGACCAGCTTCCCAAATTCTACACTCAAACTCGGGTGCTGGTTCTCGCCTCGAGTCATAGGAACGCAGCAGAGCCGGCTCTCCGCCTTTCTGAGTGCCCTTATACATGGCGGTTACCGCGCTAGAATTTGTCAGTTGTCATCGAAGGCGCGCAAGAGGTGCAACGTAGAATAAAGCTAACGTTTTAGTTCTGTTTTCTCTCTCGTCGTAGAGACGAGCGTTCGGGTTGCCGGCCCGGGAAGAGAACATTGGCTTCGCGGCCTGCGCCGCAGGGCTTCTGGCACTAAAGCTCACCACACTCGCATTGCTGGAATGTCTCCTTGGGTTTCCCGAGCTTGCGGCGCTTGAGCGAGACACGGCGCTTAATGGGTTCGTGCTCGGGCCGCCTATGCCATCGTTCCCTTCTCGCTCGTCAATCGTGTGCTCTCTGACGCACTCTTTGATGGCATCTTCCAGTTTGGTCGCCTTGAACAGCGTTGACCGATAGGGTATTCCGGCGATAGTCTTGTCCGTCTCAAAGACCATGCGCGTCATGCGCACATAGAGTTCCTTGCATGTCTCAAGATCGAGGCGCAAGCGGCCTAGCATTATGGCAATGAGCCCGCCAGTGCCAGTGCCGACGATTAGGTCGAAGTGATCGCAGGGCTTGGGGATCTCGGATCGACGCGGAGCGCGGCCTTCGATTTCGACAAACGTCCGGTGCATCAGCTCCTGAATAATCAGAAACATGGAATAGCCGCGAACACCTCCTCCATCTGTGTATGAAATGGGGTCAGCAAGAGAGCACTTGTCAGCTGGCCTTCCGGCTGGTGGGAATACGGCGGGTCCTGAAGAGAGTCAGTCGCAATAGTCGCAAATGGCACGCACCGAGCGACAAGATCCGTAAGGGCGGCCCCTTCGTAGTGTCCTTCCGCTTGAGCCCGCTCGACTCCATGATGGCAAGTCAAAATCGTTCCCAGTCGGTTTGTTTGGAGTGTAGCTGTTGCGGGATGCTGTGGAAGTTGAAGCCTGCTCGAGCCTGAGGGATGCCAGCGGTTGGGTGCCTGCGTGCGTGCGACGCGGGGCTCGGCGCAGCTTGGCGGGGTGACTTGGAAGACTAAACTCGAGCTTGCACAGTGACGCAGGAGCTTGGGCCAGATGAGAAGCGATCAACCTTTCATCAGATTGCGAGTCCGCCGCCTTGGCTGGGCTGCCTGACCGTTGACGACAATTAAACTCTAACAATAGCACAGTGTTATCTGATGAAGCAGCAAGGTCTGGTCTCATCACAAATTTTATCCCAAATTCGACCAGTCTTCGGGTTCCCGGGAGAGTGCTGACTGAATGACTCTCAGCGTTGATTACCTACCCTGCCTTCCTGGGTATTCCTCGTGGCTTCCAGGTATTAAACTGTGGCAGTGCCCGGCTCCATACACAGGGGGGCCCTCTGACAGGGATAGGTTTAGTTTTTGGGTGACAGCGCCCTGGGAGAGGCGGGGAACTAGCAATCAAGCAAGTTAGGAACCAGCCGTGGCACCAGCTCCCATCCCGCCAGGGGAGCCAGTGAGCCAGTGCATGGCAGAAATTCCATCGCAAGGTTGATGGATAGTGCTGCCCGTGATGGCGGAATACAACAGGAAAGGTTTGATCTTCCCGCCGTGCCCATCGCCAATCTCACCCTCACCCACCGCGGTGGCTGAATAGCTTCCACATTTGCCTTCACCTATCTGTACCTTCACTCCGTACTGGCTGTTCCCTGCCGCACGTACAGGTATGCACGCCTGTGGCAAGAGGTTCAGCCCAGGCTCGAAGACTTGTTGATGTGCAATACTGTATAGTATAACCCGTATCTGTACTGGTCGGTGGAATTCGGGGTGCTGCTATCGCCAACCTCAGGGAGGCCTCGCAAACGCCGTCCACCTGCCGAGAGATTGAGTGTGGCTGAGGCACGCCAAGTGTCCGATGACGCAGTGAGCATCAGTCGGGCAGTCAGCGGCGGCGAGAAGATAATTCGGGGATATTCCAATTCCGTGCTGTGACTTCATTCTTAGCCTTTGGAAGAAAGAACTGAAGATTTCCATCATCACCAAACATCGGGGTTGTCAAAAGGAGAAAACAGTCTTCTTACAGTGTAACGCCATGTTCAAAGGTGGAAACTCCGCATCACGCATAAGTAGCCCGGCGGTGGTGAAGGACAATTCCATCACTTCAGTGCGTGCCTCTTTGTGCAACGCGACTGGCTTGCTCACTGTTGGCGCAAAAATGGACTACGTCATAGCTGCACACACGGACAGCAATTGTTAGTCCAGGACACACCTGCCTTCATTATCTACACAATAAATAAACAAAAATTATTAGCACCTCAGGTATCCCCCACCAGGGCGTGGCAGGAACCGGATACTCATCATCATACTGACCGTCGCCCGAGACGGTGTAATCGACAATGTTCTTGTCGTGCTTTGGGTCTGGCCGCCGTCAGAGGTCTGACGAGGAGCAGCCGCTCCTTCCTCAATATGACGACGACACGTCGCTGCAGAGGCGTCTGCATGAGAAATTACACACGTACCAAATGCTACGGGCCTTGTCTAAGGGTTTCATGCCATCCAACGAGCAGGCCATTGTCAATCTCCGCACTCTGCTTTCGGCAGACATCCTCAACCCAGATAACGACGAGCTGAGCGACTCGGGCCAGGCCCTCGCGCATTACACCAAACAGTTGATAACTCAGCTCGTTGGGCTTCTGCAGCACAAGAACAACAATGATCAGATCCAGGACTTTTTCTGGTTCCTCGCCAAAGCGAGGCTCTCCGTTGACATGGAGCACATTGCCGAGCGCGCAGGCAAGGCAAAGGCAAAGGCCGATACAGCTGCTGGTATGTCTTATAAAAGGCGCTGTCTACTATTGGCCCAGTGACAAAACACTAACATAGACCTAGCCTACAAGAGCCTCCAGACTGTTGGCTCGCTGCTTCTTACCAATTCTGACTTCCGCCTGTTTCTCTCGGATCTTAATGTTGTCTCTCGTGAGGTGTTCAAGGACACTGCGTTCGCCTTGTCTGAGGCAGCCAAAGACACTGGCAAGCGTTTGGAGCCATCGCAGTCCGAGCAGGATGCGGTGAAGGAGCCCGGAAACGAATCGCAGATCAAGCCGACTCAGCAAGACCTTTCAGAGCAGGTCTCGGAGGTTCAAAATGCTTTGACCGACGGCGCATTGACTGTGGTGAAAGGGGCAGAAGACAGTATCGCAAGCAAACTCGAGGGCCAAGAGAAGGACACAATGCTTCAACGTTTGAAGCAGGCTGTGCTGAAACTCCGACAGCGTAGAGACTATTCGGATTCGGTTTCCACCTTGTCGCTACTTCTAAAACGCTACGCCATGGTGTACTCGCGCATCGCTCGTGACACACTGCAGGCCGCCGACGAGGATGTCGATCGCAACCCCGAGACAGACCGGGCTTTGTGGAACTTTTGGATCTTCGTCAAATCGTTTGGCGAGCCCAAGGAATGGGAGGATCTTGAGGCGAGGTTCAACGAGGTCATGGATCACGGCCGGAATGATCCAGAGTTTGAGAGCCTAATTGGCGCGTTGGGGGATGCGACGCAAGAGATGTTTACTGACCCGTCTTTCTTCGACCACGCAGAGCAGCGTTTCCAGGACCTTAGGGAAAAGTCCCGCCAGCTCGTGTCTCGTTCTTCCTTGCGCGACAGCATAGACGGCCTGTTTGCCAAAGTGCAGTCTACGTTCTACTCGGTTCTCAATGACAAGGATGTGGCCCGCATCCTCAAGACCACGGCTACCATTAGCAAGATCCTTTCCCCATCGCACCAGTACACCAACACGGACCTGATCACGGATTCCATGAACGTTTTTGTACCGTTGCTCATCCAGTCCATCAACTACATTCCGATCCCACGACTTGAAATTTCTACCCCTGAGATCGACCTTCTGCTGGAGAATCTGATCCTGGAACCTGGCGTAACAGTCAACCACACGTCTTTCTTCCCGTATAAGCTACGGATCGAGACGTACAATGATCTAGAAATCCGCAAGGCCAGGTTTCGGACGGCCTCGGCTGTCAAGAGTTTGGTCAGCATTAAGATAAGCGGACTTTCCATCCGTGCAGAAGAAGTCGGCATTTGGTTCCGTGCGCACTCGGGGCTACTCCGACTAGCCGACGAGGGAATTGCCTCGTTTGAACTCGACGAGAAGGGACTCGACGTTCAGATTGACGTTGAGGTCGGTAAGGACAGGCTCGATAGTATCCTCTCTCTCAGGAGTGTTCGGGTTCATATACACAAGCTCAACTATACCTTGCGCAAGAGCAAGTTCAGCTTTATCGCGTGGATATTGAAGCCGTTCCTGCGGCCCATCATCCGCAAAACACTCGAGGTGCAGATTGCAGCAGCCATTAGTCAGTCCCTGCAATTCGCCAACCGCGAACTTCTCTACGCACGGGAGAGGCTTCGGGCCACTAGAATCGCGGACCCCGACGACCTGCGCACATTTTTCAAGGCCGTCATTGCCAGGCTCGCGCCCCCCAATGACCCTGATCTTTACACCCGGGTCGGCGTCGCCCAGCCTGGCCGAGGCGTATTTGAGGGGGTCTATGCCCCAGGAAGTGTTGTTAAGCTGTGGAACGAAGAAGCCATACAAGCAACGCGGAGAATTCGCGAGAACCAGAGGGACGGTTGGCGGAATGATGTTTTTGATGTACATGCTACATTGCTGGGCTAAGGGGTAGGTTACGGCGGCGGATATAAAACAGTCAGAGACAACAGCCGCACAGAGATTGACATGGTTATGTACCTTGGAAAGGTGTCGATGAGTTTACGAGATATACATATACCCAGTTACTGGAGCTCTCTCCGGGTCTAGAACGCTCACGCCTCCGCTAATTAATATTCTCACATCCTTCAATCGCTGTTCGCTCTTCTTTCCTTTATATCACCCACTCGTTTCACGACTTCTTTCAGGAGTGTTGTTTATGTTATAGTCGTTGCTCGACGTTCAAGTCCCTAATTTCTCCATTTGTAAGAAACAACCGACCTGAAAGTCATTAGACTAGGGCTCATTCCGGATTACGTATAGAACGGAAGTCAAGTGTTTCTAACGGATGGACTACATCAGCTCTTCAATAATTGCCTTCCAAAGGCATTTTCCTCCACACCAGAAAATTGTTCGTATTACTAAAGATATTCCATTCCACACGTCTCAGCAAGAACTATCTTCAACGGCATTAAGATGGTGTAGTTCATGCATTGCGCCACAATGACCTCATCGGTGTGTTTGCTTGGGGTTTTGCGACCAATAGTCGAGAGGCGTCGCCAATTTTGCCGGCCTCTCACAGCTCACCTCCATCAAAACAGGGCTCGCTCCCCAATCCGGCCCTTAGAGTGCGTGCGACAATCCACACTACGCCGTGTGGAAGCAGCCCCTGGTTTGCAACAGCGTTTCTCGAGCCGGCGGTGACGTTGCTGCCACACCTCTTTCTTGCTGGGCGCCGCGAAAATGCCGGGTTGGGCCCTAGTCTAGTCACACTACCACCACCACCACTTGATGAACGAGAGGGAAAGAAGTAGCAAATAGGACACGACGCCGAGCCAAGTTGTGACCAAATCTTGGCCTCGATGTTCTTGATGCCAACGTCGTGTATATAATGTGCCATATTCCCTTGCCACATTTCCCCACACGTAGAATCTCTCTATCCCAATTCTAGCACAAGATTTTCTAGAACCCAGCTTTCACCTCTAACTACCTCTAGCCACCTGGGAGTGTGTGAGAGAGAGAAAGGCTAATCGCCGCCGACACCATGATTTTCACTGACATCTTCTCGATCATCCTCCGCCTTGCGGAGCTGGCCTTTGCGGCCATCGTTGCCGGCGTCGACGGCAGCTACCTGCACGCCCACGAGCACGAGTCGTCGTGGGGGCTCGGCCGCTTCATCTACACCGAGGTGGTTGCCGGGCTTTCGATCCTCCTCGCCATCATCTGGCTCTTCCCCTTCTCCGGCTCCTTCATCCACTGGCCAACAGATCTCGTCATCAGCATCGCCTGGTTTGTCGCCTTTGGTCTCCTGGTCGACTGGCTTAACGGCGCCTGTGGCTATGTCTTGAACTGGGGCAATATTACCATTGACGGCAACCCGAATTCGTGCTCTCAGTGGAAGGCCAGCATTGCCTTTTCCTTTCTCAGCGCCATCTGCTGGCTGGTCAGCGCTATTGTTGGGTAAGTTGCCATGCCTGACCCTCTTGTCAGGTCCAGTGTGTTGTGAGAGGTGAAGTACTGTACAAAAACAGTTTGCTGACCCAAAGAAACAACAGCATCTACTGGGTCCGTCGGCACACAGCCCCCGTTGCCGGCACCACTTATCACCGCCGCCGCTGGTATAGGTCGCGTGTCTAAAACTACGTCGACGTTTCACTAGCTGTCTCTTCCACTGTTGCGACTAGTAGCTTCGCCCATGTTTGGAATTGGGCGTATAAGCAACGCCCTGAAGTGTCATTGATGCCACGGGCCCTTTTTATTTTTTCTCTTCTTTTCCTTTTAATACCCAATGTAGAGTGAGACTGGAGAAATGCGTCATATAATTCACACTTATCCAGCAATAACTTTCGGCGGTGTAAGTAGGAGGAGGAGTTGGTTATTTTTTGTCTCTTCGATACTCTCAACCTTCCCCCAAATTTGCCCTGGAACCTCTTAGATATACCCCTATATTAGCTAGTACTACTACCTATGTAGAAACCGTAGACGGGTCTACTGCAAATATTATATGTCTTATGAAGAAAGGATTCTAAAACACAACTACAGGTGCTGGTGGTTCGAGGCAATTACAATGCTTAGCTAGGCCTTGGACTAGTGACAGATGAGGTCCGGCGTTACTCGCAGACACCACAAAGGGGACAAACGGAATGTATGACTCTCGGCGGATCTGTGCCCGACTTCCATCGGTCTAGAGTTACAAGCTTATCGTGCAATCCGCTCGTGGGCGGTGCGATAAAAGTCATGTCGCTTGCGCGGATTGTTATTGAGGTAGCACACGCACTGCCTTCCTGCTTTGGCCCGGAGGTAGCGTGCATGTGTACAAGGCGGCTACGAGGAGTTGATCCAACTTGAAACTGTCTCTTGCCCGTAAACCAAGCAAGATTCTCGAACCTTCTTCCTACTACCAAGGTGCATTAGCTTTGCGCAAACTTGGTCAATCGACCGACCCCGTCGGAGCTTTTCTCCGGGAGCGAAGGAAGCGAACCCGTGGGTGCCCCGCCGCAAGAAGCAAGGCACGAACGCGGTCGCTGCGAAAAAATACCTACCGGTTTACGTCCAGCACCACTTCTCTCCAAGCGGGTATGGGCAGAGAGCTGTACATGAACATACTTAAAAAAATATTTTTTTGCCATTATTCTATGCCGTGAGTATGATCAGTTGGCTTACGATTTGGCCTCGCTAATTACGAAAAAAGGCTTTGCCCAACGAGGGAGGCCTAAACTTTGGACGACGATGACGTTGATTTGTGGGGTAGTCAGGGGTAGCTTCCGCCACATTCCAGCAGCCTGCGCCTCACAACCCCGCAAGAACGCAACTGATCAGCTCGAGATCAACCGCAAGGTCACTTTCTGTTTAAGCTGCTTTGCAACGCCACCAGCCACAGGGTCCTCATCGGCTCACCTAGAGTGCTATGACGTTCGGTGTAGAGTGCAGTGTAAGTGTCATGAGTTTTAGTGGAGAAGCAACGTCGTTGGATTAGCGCCCTGCTTTTCTGTTTTCGTGCCAACGTGCCCAAGTTGGTTCTGCGGCAGGCCCCAGCATCTACACGTGCACTTTTTTTTCTTGAGCAGTCAGTATTTTCTTGGGTAAAAGGGGCCGTCTGTGGGGTCAGATGATGCAGGAGATCTCTGGGGAGCCCACTCTAGCAAGGAGCCCATTTCGTCGATACTCGATCCGATTGACGTCTCCCAAACCAAATGCCTGTAACTCTATGCAGCCATGACGACAACGAGGTAATGAGCCTTCTACTACCGTCGCGATAGGCTCTACACGGTTTTGCTAAGTCCCAGGCCCGCTACCCATGTACCACGGTACCGTCTGCACCGTCTGCACCCGGTCTTGGCCTGACAAACCATGGCCCTGCAAACGAACCGCAGACGTCACCAAGGCGGTATGTACCCGTAAAGGGCATGGATCCAAGACTGCTATGATGGCACGACAACAATAGAACCGTCTCTCGTCCAGACTCCAGTCCTACGCAAGACGCCTATAAGGGTAGCTTCCACCCGTCATTGTTCACCCAGTATCATCAACCCATACTTCCTCACCAACGACACGTCTACTTGAACACTCACAGCCACACTCATATACATACAAGCATTAACCCAACCACACCATCAACCAACCACCCAACATGTCTGGCATCGTCAACAAGATCAAGGAGGCCGTCCACTCCGACAAGAGCCATAGCGCCCCCGAGGGAACTCAGGGCCCCCACAACAGCCGCGTTGCCAACGCTGCCGACCCCCGCGTCGACTCTGACCGCGACGGCTCTCGCAACATGGGCGCCGCTCGGACAGCTGGCCACGGCGAGTTCGGCAGCAGTGCTGCCTATAGTGGAAGCTCCGGCATGACTTCGGGCACCACTGGCTACAACACCGGCGCTACAGAGGGCTCTCACGGCCCCCATAGCTCCCGTCTGGCCAACGCCGCCGATCCTCGTGTCGACTCTGACCGTGATGGCTCGCGCACTGTCAGCGGAACCGGCAACGCTTTCAGCCCCAACACTGGACGCGGCGAGTTTAACACTGGAAGCACATTTGGCGCCACAGAGGGTTCTGCTCGTCACGCCGGACACGGCAAGTTTGGCAGCGGAAACACGTTTGACACATCTGGCACGGTAGAGGGTGCCCGCGGTCCTCACAACTCCCGCATCGCGAACGCTATGGATCCCCGCGTCGACTCGGATCGTGACGGCTCGCGCACTGTCGGCGGGACTGGTAGTAACTACAATAGCCCCAATACCGGCAGCACCTTCAGCCCCAACACTGGCGGCAACACCTTCAGCCCTAACACCGGCAGCAGCACTTTCAACCCCAGCCATAACGCTGGCTCCGGCGTCACCGGCATGGCTGGCACACACGGCCAGCCGACCGGTACGCACAGCAGCCGTTTCGCCAGTGCCGCCGACCCCCGTATCGACTTTGACCACGACGGCCGCGCCGGCGTGGGCTCCAGCGCTCCAGGCCCAGCACCCAACACTGCTGGCCCCCACAAGAGCGACATGATGAACAAGATGGATCCTCGCGTCGACTCCGACCTCGATGGTAGCAAGACTGTCGGCGGTAACAACACCTACCAGTAAGTAAGTAATTTAACGTGAAGCCTTCGTGGACGACCAGTAGCTAACTACTGGCACCTATAGATCAGGAACTAGATACTTGAACAAGGACCCCACGGATGCCGCCCAAGTCCCTCCGTCGGTGCTTCAGCGCCACATTGGGGGGCCCTTGATCGCGCATAACGACACCCGCCATCATCGCGAGAGGCGGAATAGCGTCAAGACCCATCAGGAGACATTCAGCGGAATCTAAACGTCTTGTTCCCGGGGGTAAACGTATGAATGTATTATGACCTATTTGTACTACTAGTTCAGCAGTCTCTTTTCTCTATTAAAGATTGGAGGATGTTGATACCAGTGCTATGCACGCCTGATCCTAGGAGATAGTCCTAACACAAGAGGACAAAGAAATGACACAGCATTATATCATAACTTATGACATCCGCGTGAAAATATTCTTTGTTTCCGGTGCGGAATTGGGCCCTGTACGAGACTGGCATTCGCATTCGATCTTCTGCTTTTAGAGTGGTCGTCGTCGTCACGAACATAGATCATCCACCCAGGTAATAGTGCTTCCTCTCCCTACCTTCTTCAACCTCTCCCAGATTAGATCAAATCGGTTTAATTATCAGATGTAATTACATCCCCTCGGACTCCGAGCTTAACAATTGGCCTTTCCCTCTTCCGTGTATTTATTTCTGCAGGGTGCATACTTATTAGTTAGAGGACCGGAATCTGTGACTCTAGTTTAGGTTCGTCTTCGTTCTGCACCCCTTTTTCGGGCTTGGTTTCTAGAAGCTGGGTGGGCTAATTGCCGGCTTAGATGGTCGAGACGGGGCTAATTAAATGTAGCCAAATCTCAACCCTCCGGAGGACGAACTACCCGCACGGAGTATTCCGTATCTTTACTCTGTTCAAGGGAAAGTAGTTTCGCGCCTTCGCGTCGATCACATCTGCATATGGAATAGATACGTCTGGAACTCGGGAATCTGGATAGTCACGCCATATCCACTTTTCGCCATCCTGTCCTCGATTTTCCAACAAGACATGACTACCCCGGTGAAAGCCATTTCGTTGGTGCAATTCCAGCGGCAATTGGCTTATGCTGGTTTTCCTCGGCTGTGGAATTGGCACAGCCTGGCAGGGCTGTGGGAAAAAAGAGAAGACCGGCTTCTTCTTCGGGGCGTCAGGGGAGGGTTTTGTGCGTCTGGCCCCCGCTTGTGAACCCCGGACGCCGGTTCACACGGATTCCCTTTTTTTATCTATTCTCAATATGGTTTGGAACTGCCTATCTGGTTGGTTGGAGCTGCAAGTGCTGCTTGCCAGCCTGGTCTGCCATCTGCAGAGCAGTACGAAATATCGCTGCGGCATGCAAGGAAGCAAGGCCGCATTGATATGCAAGCATCATGTACGGGGTAGTAACGGGAGCGACCAACATCGCCAACACTCAACATGGGACGCGCGCATACATTGCCGACGCGTCCAAGTGGCGTTTGTCTGTGAGTCACGGAACAAATAGTACAAAGTATCGATATAGATAGTACTCCCAATTCGTTTTAATAGTGGCTGTTGGCGGCCCGGGAGCTGGATGGCCAACATGCGGCGACTGCCAACGTACTCCGGGGGTTTGCTCCTGGGTGAAAAGCAGCTAAGAGGATCTCGATACAGGATGACACAGGATGATTGCTGCCCCAAAGGTCGCAATCTTCGGACGCCGATTCGCGGCGATGTTTATTCCCGGGGGCGTTTGGTCGATCCTGTGCCGTGAAACGCGGGAACGCGGATTGCTCGTCACCGGTCAGTGCCCGAATTGGATCAAGATAGAGATGCATGGGAAACCCCGATGGAACTACAGATTAGTGCGAGCTATGTAGTGACGAACGAGATTTGTTTACCGGTGAGCAGGCTTGGGGAGCTCGCATTCCAGAAGCCCGATATCTCACCAATTCTCGTCCTTTAGTATTCCATAGACAGGTACTATTGCCCTCTTACGGATAGGGCCGACAAAGGGTTACGAGCTCACGCGACAGTGCCGTCCTGCGGGCCCCGACCTTCGGAAAGGACATCTTTTCGGTCAAGAGTTGGCTGTGAGTATCGTACCATCGTTCAATGTCATACTGACGAAGACCCGCCAAAAGACAAACTGAATCAGTTTGTCTTTGGATGTAGTCGGTGACGCTGAGTTATAAGTTCATTAGGAAAACGTGATTTGTTTTCCCATCAGGCTTTTAAACGTATTGTCAAGGGCCTTGCGCTTTTTTTGCCGAGCCTCAGCAGCCTCATGACTGCTAGAGTCCTCGTCCTCGGCGTCCAAGCCTGCAAGCTGCGGCAACCAGGTACGGATTTGGCCATCCGAGTGCCCACTATAGATACCACCAGGAGCGTTCGTGCCTCCCATAACTACTCCACTAGAGCTTCCACATCCGCCGGCCCCTCTCCAGACGACTATAGATATTAATGTCAGTGCAAGTACTACGGCGACAGGACTGAAGAAAGGAAAATAAACAATAAAATATGGTAGCCTAGAAATTAAGAGAAACCATCTGCGGAACCGCTCGAATAGTCGAGCAAGTGCGTTAATAATACGTACTACCTGTTAAGCGATTCTTGACCGTTCGAGCTCCGACAGTAGCCACGCTGGGGCCCATGCCACGGAGCCTCGTAACGATAGAGCCTTCGTGTAGATCCATGACTAGAATCTCGGCCTCGTTCGAAAAAAAGAGCAACTCCTGCCTGGGAGGCGTGAGGCCGACTGGAGAGACAAACATGGTCAAGCTCCCCATCTGACTGTTGCGAATAGTAGGCCCAAAACTTGCTAGGGTATTCGCTCCAGTCGCTGCATCCCAAACGCGGATTCGGCGATCGTGGCCAGCAGATACGATATAGGCACCGTCGTCAGTCCATGTAAGACCATTCACGGGGCCTGTATGTGCCCTTGCAGAATAGCGTAGCATTCGCCCCTGGGACGCCTCAGATTCGGAAAACATTGAGGGGGAAGCGTCCAGCCCATTATCCTCTTGATCAAGCAGCCCTACAAGCCCGCTTGACTTCCTCACGTCCCATATGCGCACAGCGCCATCAACTGATCCACTGACGAGAACGTGCTCATGCACTGGCGACCAGGCGACAGACAGGGTCGCGCCGGCGGAACCGCCAATCTGACCCGGGGACACAAGAGACTGAACAGCGGCCGAAGACCGCAAATCGACAAGTCGGACGGCTGGATGCTGTGTTCCACATGCAACGAGGATATGTGAGGCAATGGGCGAGATAGCATGTGTGTAAACTTTTGTTCCTAGATCAAAGGTACCAGAAACACGTGCCGCCGCCGTGGACCATAGCTTCAGCGTGTGGTCGAAAGAACTCGACAAGAAGGCCGCGCTGTCAAACGGATAGAAGGACAAATGGGTAATGCCGAAACGGTGGCCGCTTGCGGACCCCGAGGCAGAATCAAGCTGACGGCCATCGGCGCGAGGAATAGAAGCGACGGGGACATAGGGGGAGGGCAACGCGGGATCGCCAGACCACTGCTCAAGATCCCATAGCTTGATGGTGGCGTCGGAGCCGCCAGAAACAAGTCTAACATTGTACGGAGCAGGAAGTATACAATTAGTTAAACCACCACAGTCAACTGAGATAATGAGGAAAGCAAGTCTCACATCCTGCCGTCGAACCGCTCCAGAGCCAAAGCGCTCACGCCAGCCTGGTGCGCCCAAAGCGACCTTGGAACCAAGTCGGGAGCAGCGGCTGCTGCTGCGCCGGCGGTACTGCTGCCGCTACCGCTGCCACTCCGTTCACCCGGGCGTGGAGGAGCACGTTCACCGCCGTCGAAGCGGAAGCGGGGGGCTTGGGCGAACGATGTCAAGAGCGACGTGGCTTGGATCGACGCGAAGACATTTGGCCCGATGTTGCCCGAGGCCCGCTCAAAAAGGAGCGGATTCATCAACGAGCATCAAAATGTCTTCAGCTGCAGTTTGACAGTCGGCGGTAAGCCGCCAGGAGCTGGGGAAGCCTGCGGAGAGGGAGTTATTAGTGGTTTCGCCACGGGTGTTTAACGATGAAAGAAGACCCGGATGATGGCCATGGAGGGGCTTGTCTGTCATCCATTTCATGTAGGTACAGTACATACATGGTATTGGAGAAGTACTGTGCGAGTACTGCCCCGCCCAAAGCTGAATGCTCCACCGCTGCACCACCACCGCCCTCGTGGTGTGCCCCACTAAAAGGAAAGTTCTGTACAGTACCCATCCCCGCCATTGAGAAGGTACTGTACTTACTGTACATTCAGGGCCCATGGAGAGAACCCCGTCCGTACCTTCAAACCACCACTTTCCCCCCCTCCCATTGCAAGGCCGCATCGCTTAAGCGGACAAGAAACGGTGCGCTCCAAGCAGGATTCTGAATCACACTGCGATAGCCAATTTGCAATTAACTTTTGCACCCAGACCTCGCATATTACACAGCTTTCTTGGCTATCGCTAGAGACGTCACAGGCTCAGGGCGATTAGCACATCTATCAATACCTTCGAGTTACCTAGGTACTCCGTACATACATACCGAGGTAAGTGTGGTATACCGTCGGATCATCTATCGTCTCCTCCACGCAGCCGTTGTCTCACCCGTCGCAGGAGAATCCGCTCCAACGACCAGGTTACGCGCTGTTGTGGGGGGTGCGTGCAGATGGCGTCCCGGTCAGATATGCGGCGATCCCGCTCAGACGAAGACCGATCCAGAAGCCACCCAAGCAAGAAGCTCCGCGGCCGCAGCCGTGAAGCAAATGTATACGATGCTGTAGCAGGTCTGCTTTCCCCAAACCCTCTTGTCGGTTCTAGGTTCGAATACTTACCATCTTCCAGGCCGCATGACTCTGCAGAACGCAGGACAGGAGAACGTCATTCCAACGTTGCCTTCTGGCCTACACTCTTCCCGCCATGCGAGACTGCCTCCAGAAGATGTCCTCTTCAAACGCAAGAACGCCCCTGTCAGATATGTCGAAAAGGACTTCTACTGGGCAAACGACGACTTGCCAGACGCTGGGATGCACCACCTTCCTGCTAGCGACTTGCTAAAGTCGATCCACGGCTATGCCAGCAAGTTTTATGAGGCAATGGCCGACCGCCTCGGGCCTCGCTCCGCTACGGGGTCTGGGATGATAGACGAGCGAAGCTTGGATGAGACTGCCTTGCTATCTTTTGGCATCCTACTTGAAGAAGCCAGCCGGGAGGCTCTGGGCAAGAGAGGAGACTTGGTTCTCGTAGAGCCGTCCGAATCGGTGGATCCGCAAGCGGGGGCTGTGACCTTCCAGAGGGAGGAGCCGTCTGAATCATTACGCGAGAATATGCTGCCGGAGATTGACAGAAATTCGTCGCAGAACAAGCGACCAGCAAAGCGTAGGAAGGTGACAAGGGACGATTCTCTCGTGGAGTCTGCAACTTGAGCTTTCAAGAAACCCCGAACCCAACAACACACGGACTTGTCGTCGAGCCAACGATGACGATCTTTGCTCCCTGTGAAGGGGTGGCCAAATCAGACGTCGTACCGATCACAATCAACAATGCTCCGCTATTTTTGTACTAAGGCTTTGTCAAGAGCCTTAAACGGCCCGAGGAGGACAAAATGCGGAGACGGTTACAGTGAGCTGCGGCTGCTCCGTGTTTAGGATAATAAGGCACGCCCATGAATCTGGAAAGGAGCGACAGACAGGGTGCCTTGTCCACCCGTAAGCAGTCAGCCATCGCCACTTTGAGTTATTGTTCCAATTGCAGACGAGGTGGCAGAGGACAGTTTGTTCTCTGGAGTCCTGTTGGCACGAGAGACAAGATGGCAGAGGGACCAAAGGCGCGGACTTGAACACAACCGCGTACTGTGAAAATCACCATCTTGAATCGTTTTGGCAGACCCTATCACTCTTTACGGACCCTGAAGCGAGTTTCCGAGTTCTTGGTTCCCTGGCATGCGTCAGGGTAGGTAAAATTGCGCTATCAATTGACCACATAATCACTGGCCCCAATTTGCTCATCATCTGATTCCCACCAAAATGGATGAAGCACGACGAGTTTCCCCGAACGGGACACAAAAGTGATACATCATAAACAGAAAGTGCCGAACAGCGAAAGGTCGGCCTGAATTGCCTATCACGTGTTAGGCTAAGGTTGCGAGACCGAAGTGGCGTCCAATCACTGCTTCACGACCAAGCAAGAAAACCACTGGTTCGCAACGCTGATTCGGCCTTCTGTTTCCAGTAGATGTTCTGTGCACCTACGACGTTCACGTGTGATGCATGTTTGACAACGTGTGCGTGAAATGGCGGGGGATTTCACTGCAAAGAAAGCATTGCCTGCCCGGAGTTATCTCCGGCCGACGACTCAGCTACTACCTATTCCGTACCTGTTAACGTGTCAAGTGTGAGCTTGGCGCGCTACCCACAGCCAAACGCGTCGTTCGGGGGTTGACAGCAGGTACAAAGTAGCAGCAGCATCAGGTCTCAGGAGTCATGACTCCGGAAGGACCATCACGGAGCCCCAAGCAGGCAGTTGAACCATGGTTATCAGTGCGCCCTTGACCGAGAGGCACGGATTTCAATGCATTGGATGATGTCGAGCACACGTCGTCATTGTGGGCAGATTCTCGACAGGCCGTTACCCAGAAATAGGGCGCAAGGCTGTTTCGCGGCGACTTGGTTCAAGGTTGTGAGAACCGAAGCCAACGGCCCATGAATAGGTAGCGTTGCTTTGCCCCGCCCCTATCTCTCAGGAATTAAGGAATTAAGCCTGCAGGCATTTGATTGACACCCCAGGCCAAACCCCGCCTGCAAGACACCCTGAGCGTTCCGAGACCAGCGATCCGCCCACGCCCAGATTACTTTCCTAGCGAAGCTGTCGATCTTTGCGTGCTTACCGCTACAGGCATCTGACCCTTCCCCCCCTCACTCGTGGCATCTTCTTGTGTCAGCGGCAACCGCACAAGACAGAGATCCTGCCTGGGGTAGGGATTGCACAAGCTTCGTAGTCCGTCATCCACGGCACGGCTCTGCTAAGATAGCCGGGGGTTTGTCACTGTTGGGAGGCTTGGGGTTTGGAAGTGGAAGGGGAAGGGGCCGCAGGCACCGGTGCCAAAGCCGTGGGAAAACACGTACAGTAGTGTATACTGTGGAGCCAATAATCAGGGTCGATGATCACGAAAACAAAATTGGGCAAACTCAGAGTACTAACGCTAGTCCGCATTGACGCCTGTGTACGCTTTTTGATTCGCTGAGGGCCTGAGCCTGGCTTAGCGTCGACGGAATTCAAGAAGCGGGGCTCTCCTTGATCCTCGGACCCGGTCCTCGCCCGGACTCCTGGGACCACAGACGTCCGCATGATTGGACGACAGGCGGCCGGTCTCTCTTGGCGCTACAGCGTGCTAGGGCGTCCCAGAAGCCGGCCTCCCTTGCCATCGCTGTGGGTCTGCCCCGAGCATGCGGCGCAGCACGCAGTGGGCAACGGGGGACGCAGCAACCTCCTTCGAAGAACGGGAACCAGGCAGCCTGGCTGTGGCCGGGCGCTATCTTTCTCGCACGATGGCTAAGCTGGCACGGACCCTTCGTCTTGGGCGAAAGGCGCTTACTTGAAGGGGAATACAGTCTCTCAACGCCAATCGAATCGTCGGTGGCATGCGTTGAAACAAGACTCCATTCAGAAAGCCACAGTGGGGGGTTTCTAGGTGGCCACGGAATACACGGCCGGTTGCTTCATCGGTCAACGCCTCCCCAAAGGCCCATGTTTGAGGTCGAAGGGAAACTCGGAGAGTGTCTCCTTGAGTCAAGACAAGTCTGAGTTATACACTACTCGCCCTGACGAGTACTACATATTACACCAAAAGGAGAGGGCACTGCATATTCCGCATTTATAGTTCTACGTATACGGAATACGCACGCACGCCTCTCGACACCCTGGCGTTGGATTTCGTCTCCGGGACTGGAGGATCGTGGTTCCAATGGTGTCAGATTTGGGGGACGAGGGGGGGGGGGGGGGGCTGGAGCTTCTAGAAAGTTGTCGAAGCCATCAAGAGTGAGCTGTCCCGACGCCGTTCTCGCGACGGTCCGTCTATGGTTCCTACGCTATGGAAGATGCCGAACTAGTGTACGTATCGGTGCTTTCTATGTACTGTTACAATATTTGCACTTCAACATTTGCATGCAAGGATTGCAGTGTTGTTGGACGACTCAATTGTTTTCCACTCTTTGCCCGATGGGTGTGTGAAACGAGGGATCTATGCCCCGGATTTCGCCAGGCCCGCAAATCCCGTCCGGTAGAAGTTATTAGACGTTTGAGAAACGGAATTATATTGGCTGTAGTTTAAACTCTAGCTCGCTGCAGAGGCTCTTTGTTTGTCGGAGCGGAAGTAAAACAAGACTGACTTACCTAGCTTACCTACCTTAGTAACCACCCCACATACTATGTACACGTAGTAGGCAAAAAAGCGGTGACTGCACGAAAGACAGACAGATCAAATATGTAGAGATCAAGAGCGTCCCGCGTGGCGGTTACACAGTGAGACAGTGTCAAAGCGGCACGGATCCTTCTTGTTTTGCTGCCAACCCAGCTGCGAGACGTCTTTATACAGGAGATTAGATCAGACCTAGAGTTTGAGACATGAGCATCACTATTCCGTAGATAGATACGGAGTAGGTAGGTATGGTGTTTTGGAGAGGAGACGACTTACAAGTGCTTATGTTGATCGCTTGCCAACCAGTTTAGAGGAGAAGGGTCAGAGGTTCGAGAATGTGTACGAAGTAGGTTTGCTCTCTCTTGTCAGGCCACTGCGGAATTAATGCCACTCTGGACGGAGCATCGGGATAATACTAGCTCAGCAAGCAGGGAATTGGAATCTTGGCTGATAGCAATCTCTCTGCTCTAGTGCCATATCTAGAAAGACCAGTTGTTGCTTTATTCCCTGCATGATTGGCTATTGATACGGTGATTTGGGTTCATGGTGAGGGAACATCGTCATGATCTAGAAGCCCTCAGTCCTAGCAAAACAAACGATGCCACGGTGAGCGGTGAGGGGTAAGAACGTACCTAGCCCGGAAGCCTGGACTATGGAGAATTATGGCGTGCGAGTGCTAGCGAATCGTTTGGTTTGGGGAGATACAACGCCGTGCGTGGGTGGTTCTTGGGCGGCAAAGCGCCGATCCGAGCATCTGGATAATGGATGGCCGGGTCGCGCCTGACCCTGAACCCTGGCCGAGCTAACGTTAGCTATTAATGTCGCGAGACACCGAGAAATTGGAATGGCCAATCCAGCGCGGTATCAGCCCACCGTCCTCCCCCCCCTTCAGCCCGTCCACAAACACCATCGGCAGCACGCGGCGGGCAGCGGCGGCGGGCAGCGGCGGCGGGCAGCTTCACACAGCGTGTCGGAGTAACAACCCCATTGAGGTAGCTTTCTAGAACGAAGGTCCCATCAGGTATTGGACATGGAAACTCTGCCAGTTCCAGTGCCACCACTATCATCCTGATCCACAATCTGGGCGGCGCCTCTTGTTCCATTTCGATGCTGAATGGAACTTAAGTGGAGGCCTTGGGAGAAGCCCGGGCAGATCCCAGCGCCCAGCCAGCCGAGAGAGCCATGCCCTCCCCAAGATCCCGGAACCTTGTTCTTGATCCTGCCAACCTGGGCTTGCCAGCACCTAGCGCGGCTTTGCCGCAGCCCACACTGCAGCCGTCGCGCACTCGCCTCTCTCGTTCGGATTCCTCGTCACCCCAGTGTCCTACCACGAAGGTTGTCACCTCCCCCACCACCCCAGAAGGAGGCGGGCTTTCTTTTGTTTTTCAGAACCCAGCGCCCTGGTAGTTGCCTCTCATCCCATTGTGCCGCCCCCTCCCAAGGCCAAGGGTAACTTACCCTCACTGTTCAGACGAACAAAGATGGAGTGCCCCTGCCTGCGGGAGGCACCGGATACCAACAAAACTTAGGATGTCCCTTATCGGAAGCTGTAAGCTTTTCTTCGGCTTACTACGTTTGTATGTAATTTTACATGTGTAAGTAGTTGGTAGGAAGCGGCTTACTAGTCTTCGACCTGGCCATGGAAGGCATGGAAGGCATGGAAGTTAGTGAAACGGTACCGAACAACACTTCACACGCATTATTGCCAACCTCCCTCGCTGGTAGCCGTGCCTCTTGCCTAACTCCAAGCAAATAGGCGCTCCCGAAAACGGCAATGGCCTGTCTAAAAAGCCCGGCCATAGGTCCCGCAGTCGGGTCGTCGGGACTGGGTGGTGCACACCAAACAACGCCCCCAAGGAGCGTGCGCTGGGTTCTGGGCGGAACAAGACCCCTGCAAGCTGTTCTGGTGGGTGGGTGGGTGTGTGTGGAGGGTGGGAAGGTGCGGAGGTGGGTTGCAGCTGGCTCGGTGCAGCACCTGCAACAAGCCGTCCTTCCTCGTCCCACCAGCCCCAGAGCTCGCCTTCTCTCTCAAGCTCCCTTCCATGCGAGTTTCGATCTTTTCATCCTAGGTTGCTATCTACACTAGGGAGCCGCCATCGTCCAGTGGCCCTCTATGACATGTACAGACCATACACACCCAGGACTGCGGCCACTGACGCCAATCTGATGTAGATGGCGAACACGCGTATCCTCAATGGTAATACAACCGTGCCCACTCGTAATTCCGACGAACCTGGAAAGTTTAGTGGGGCAGTCGTTCAAAGTTGTCAACGGGGGTCGGAGCGGAAAGTCCGTTCATACTCTGTGCATCGTCGGTACGTATTTACAATACAACATCTCCGACGGGGTCTGGCATACTACCTAGGCCTTTTGTTGGAGCGGCTGGTGAGGGACTGCCACCTAGGCAGTACTGTAAGTTTTCTGTCATAATATTCCGTATAGTGGTGTTGTTGCACGAAGCTCGACCCGGCTTCTCTCAACGGTACAAATCGCTGCCCGCCTCTACCCGCTTCTGCCCTTGTTGCGGCGCGCACTAGCCTCGAATCTCCGCACGCGTCTCTGCTCGCCGCGGGCCCACAAGATGGCCCTGGCCGGCTGTACTGTACGTACGGATACTAAAGTATATTTACAGTAAATAGTATATGGACTGCAACCTTTGGTGGACCAGTCAGTGAGCGGCCGAAGTGCCATGCCGAGTAGATCACATCCATGGCAGAGCACGTAATACCTAGAAGTGATTCTGCTGCGCGTGGCTCCAGCTGCGATATAAGGAGGAGTCCGTATGTATGTACAGTAGTACATTACGTAGACCGAAGTACTGTATAATGGAACTTACACAATACCTAGTTCGCCTAGGTACAGTACGTGATCTTACATAGTAGGTATACCAAACTACTGTGGGAACAAGACCGAGAAAAAATCCAAGCGTGGAGGGGGTGGCAGGTGAGGTTTCCCGCTTGTCTGATGCCGTACTTCTTCCATGCATATCTCTCTAGGGCGGGCCTGCGGCTTACCTTGCTTGCAACTTGGTCTGGTGCTTATACCTAATTCGTCGCTGTGGGTTTGTCACCGCCACTCCCTCACTGTGCTTTCCCCGCAAAAGAGGCCCAGCCCAGCTAGCTGCCGAGAAAACGGACGAAAAACCACAGCGGCACCAAAAAGTGAGGACGATAACCGTCTCGCGTCAGCGACGCCGCCTCAACAACCTTGCCCGTTCACGTCACCACCAACCTCCACGTCTACGGTGAGCAAGCAGCGGTCCAGACTCTAGAGAAAAGAGGCGCGAAGAGGAGACGCGATCGATTCCACGCGATCAAGGCAAGGCAACCTAACCTAGGCCCGCTTAACTGGATCGGGACCGCAGAGCAGGGTCAAGGGCTTAATAAGAGGCTTGGAGGCTGCAGGCCAGGAGAGAAGCTTGGGTCCACCCGTTGCTCATCTTTTGGATCGCCCTTTGGGATTTGATTGTCTGCCGAACCCCGGCCCCCTCCACCACTCCATAACCAATGCTCCGTACCCTTGGTGTACCCTGTCCCTAGGTACTAGCTGTGGCCTGGGGTCTCGATGAGACGTGCTCGACAGGGTTGACGGCCATAGCTCAATGGGTTTTCGCCCTGGGAGCCAAAACACCCTGGTCTACCTCGCTTCCTTGCAATTTGACCGTCTTTTGTTTGGATCGCTCGGTTGCGCCTCTACCACACGCATCAGCAGCTCGCGGCTCTCTGGCGCTGCAGTCACTCACACTCACTCTTTCCTCTCTGTTGTCATCTTGTCTTGTGTGGCCAGCTAGGAAATAGAAGAGAGAGACTAAGCGAGAGAGAGCAAGCGGGAGTCTTGCTTACCTTCCAACCAACACGCCGCCGCCCACACGACCGTGTGCTGTGCAGTAACGCGGACGTGTACCGAGTACCTCTACCTACCTTACCTGCCTGGCCTGCCTGCCTCTACCTAAACACCCCGGCCTTCGAACGCTGCCGGGCTACCGAACCCGTCCATCTCGACTCCTCAGCCGGGCTTCTTCCTGCCTGCGTGCCTACTACTACTACACACGCAGGACAGGACTGGACTGGACGTGCCTCTTCAACCTCCCCACTCGTATACCCACCCCCAAAACCAGCGAAACGCTCGACTCGACTGGACCGTTGCTGCCCAACTGCCACTCCTGTTTGGTCACCTTGGGACTAGCTAAGCTCCGTCGACACGAGCTAGGTGAGGTCGAGGGTTAATAATCGACGCCGGGGGTGGGCTCTTTTTTTTTTCCTCAGCGCGCCGGCACCAGCGTTGTTTCCTGCTGCCAACTACTCCCCTCCTGAAGTCTCACCTCCGTCCCAAGCCAATAAGCTCGCCCGCCGAAGCCCGCTTATGATCCCGAGCGGGCCCTGAGCCTCCTTCTCCTGTCGTGCGCACGCACACCGTACAGGACTAAACGCACAGGTCTTTGCGCGCAAACTTGCTCCCCTGGGCCTGGTGGCTGGCCTTCTCAGAGGACGAGTCCTTCTCTCCACTGTTCCATGGTGTTGCCACACCGCTGTCCATGGGCCCAACTGCTGGCTGGTGCTTGAACTCGCCTCCTGGCCGCTGTCTATCTGTCTGGTCTGTGTCTGTCTAGGTTGTTGATGGTATTTATGTACTACTGTATGTACACGCGTATATAATACCCAGCATGGACCAAGGGCCGCCTGACACCAAGCGTCCTCGCCTCTCGACTGGGTCGTGGTCAGCAGGCGGCGCGCACCACGGTGTGTCGCTCCTCCATCCCACTCCGTCTCCCACAACCGGCCCGCTACCTCATCACCCCCCGCCGTCAACCCAGTACCAGCAACCTTCACCACACCCCTTCTCTCGCCCTGGGGATCCTCACCCGCCGCCTCCTCCTCCACCACCACCACCACCTCCTTCCCAGATACCCATAATCGATGATCGACGCCATCATGAACCCGAACGATACCCGCCAATGCAAGAACACCACAGACAGCCTCCTCAGTCTCCAATACACCCGTCCTTCTCGGGCTATCCTCCGAGGGACCCCATGATCAAACCCGACCCGGGAGACGACACACTACAGCTGCGCCGGCCCCATTCGACCGGCGCCGCGCCAGATGCCATGACGCCGGGTACGCCGCACTCTGCCATACCCCCTCAATATCCAGACGAGAAGCGGCACGTCAGCTTCGACAATGGTCCGCAGCAGCCCATGTACCGCCAGCCGAGCTACCCGCCGCAGACTCCCATTGCGCATACGCCGACATACGACTACCCGCAATCATATGGGCCGTCCCACAATGACATGCCGTACCCAATCCATATCGCCACGGCCTCGGGAAAGCGAAAGGCGCAGAGGGCGTCGCAGGTAAGTGACCAGGCTTGGCTCCTCGGTGTCCGGGGCGCTGATGGCGAGGGTGGCTGACTGACTGTTCGTCCGGTAGGCTTGCGACATGTGCCGGCAGCTAAAGGCTAGGTGCGACGAATTGAAGCCGTGCAAGAGCTGCAAGGAGAAGAAGGTTGAGTGCAAGTATCGGGAGGCGGTGCCAAAGCAGTGGGTTCACTTTGACTCTTTCCAGCGCCAGGCCATCTGCTCACCCCCGAATTTAGGCAAGACAAGATTGCGGCCGATATCTTGGATAATCTGATGTTTTTGAGAAACGAGTTCAGCGCATTCAACCACCGCATAACGAAGCTCGAGCATGCGTTGAAGCGGGTAGCACCTTCGATTGACATCCAGACAGACGCGATACAGGACGACCATGATCGCCCAGGCTCCGCGGACTCGGCAACTCACATGGAAGACAATTACTCTTCGTCGCCCGACGAAACACTGACGGGAACACAAGCACCGACAGGCACCTTGGAGGCGCCCCTTATCAACACGTTTGAGGCGCGTAATATCACGCGTGATATGGAAGATGAGGCGGAAGCGGAACCTGGCCCGCATGTACGACCGGGGGTCCCTTCCATCCCACTCAACCATACCACCTTGGCTGCTCTCTTGTTGAAGTGGCGGTCGATCGAAAGCCTGGTGAAGCATTTTCTTGACGCCGAGAAGGTCACGTTTGTAGACGAATTTCCCGTCCGCCAGGAGGAGAGGCGGGGCCTTCTTCGACTCTGGGGCCGTGGCGAGGGTCTCGACAGCGGTCGAGTAGACAGCAGTCGAGTAGACAGGGAGTCGATCCACGATGTCGGCCCAATGGAGGTACACGACGACTATTCTTCGGATGCTGGCGCTCCCTCGCCGGCCGACTGTTGGGGCGGTATTAGCGGCTCACCTAGCCCGGGCGATGGCAAAGCCGCAAATATCGCGCTGCAAACTCTCGACTTTACCGAGTCAAGTGTGTGGAAATACGTGAGAAGCTACCAGGACAACATCCAGAACATGCACCCGCTCATAATCCCGGTTGAGCTGCATGCTATTGTAAAGCTTTTTCTAGACGGCATCCAGCAGAGTATCAGGAACCAGAACAAAAGGGCCGATATCGCAAAGTTTGTCATGTCAACGCCGATGGTTGCGCCTCAGGTCGAGAGCGGAGGCAAGAGGAAGCGATCTCCAGTCCCAGACGCCGACCCACCATCCTATACTGGGCAAAGGTCAGGCAAGCCAACATTCCAGAGGTCGATCAATAACGCCATTGTCCTTCTGGTACTGGCTCTGGGGAAAATATGCCTGGTGAAAGAAAGGAAAATTCCCGATATTGTACCAGTCAGCGAGCCTTTGCACGGGTCGCCAGTGGTACGGAACGGGCATCCGGCATCTCCAATCCAAGGGTCTCCGCCATCTTATGGATCCCACTCGCACTCTTCTGGTCTGCCATCTCCGAAAGACGGCAATGAGCGAATTGTTCCCAGCAGGCGGTCATCCTTCCAAGGGGGTGCCCCGCCTCCTGCTAAGCTTGGACTGAAGAGGAATATGGATGTGATCCCTGGGCTGGACTACTTCGCGTACGCTACCGACATCCTCGGAGGTCAGCTGGCTGGGACGAGTATACGCCATATTCACGCGTATATACTGGCCGGCCTCTATCATGGCCAATTGGGGAGAGTGATGGAGAGTTATGCTTACATAAAAGAAGCCGGCTGGGCTTTGCAGATCAAGATGAGACCGTACGTTATCTTGTTGCTGCGTTTTTTCCGCATGCTGACCTCGGCCTAGGAGCTTGGACCGGCTCAAAAAGCTGCAAGAAATTAGCCCCTTCTCCCTAAAGGCTGTCACGGAAAAGTCGGACAATCAGCTGGTTTTTGCTTTCTGGACATGCCTACAGCTCGAAAGGTTGGTTGCAGTTCCCGAGAACAAGTAGCCCGTGAGGCATACAAATGCTGACTGGACATAGCGATATCATTGCCGAGCTCCCACTCCCGCAATCGCATATCTTGGCGTTTGAAGAAATTATGCCGTATCCAAACATTGATCTCTGGGAGGAGCATGGCTTTGACACCGTCGTTCTCCAGAGTTATCTTGCGCAGTTGTATCTGCGCAAATCCTTGAACCAAATCCATTCAATGCTTTACAATCCCGAGCCAACGAAGGATGTAAATAACGGGACGCCGGCAGGTAACGTTATCGAGTACATCGCAAACGTCCTTGACCTCCGGTTTACGCCACCGGAATTCAAGTTCGAGACCAACGATCCTCCAGCCCAAGACATCCTGTCTGCTAGGTTACGAGCTAAGTATTGGGGTGCTCAGGTTATTACGTACCGGCCATTTGTTCGGCAGATTCTCGAGGACAACTACAGGACCAAGGCGATAGAGTCGGGTGAAATGGTCACTTCGCCTGATTCCAAGTCCACACTTGAGATCACGCCCGAGGTGATCGAGTACGCGGTCAAAGGTATCCGAGCACTCGTCGAGAGCACGCGGGCTTTCCACAGAGTAAAGGACAAGCGTTTTATAATCACTAATGTCTTCGGAACTGCGCACGCGTGAGTCTTAACACCGATGCATCTTTTCTCTTCTCATCGGTGTTTGGCTAACACAAGGATGTCTAGGCAATGGGGCAACCTTTTGACGCTCGCGGCAACATTCAGAGATCCTACGCTTAATCAGTATATCGAAGAGCAAACCCTAAAGGACCTCTTTCAAAGAACCATCGCCTTCTTCAAGCTCATTTCACAACCTTCAAGCGCCCTCGCCATCGACATGCGCATCCTGGAAGGTGTGTATTCGGCACTTTGGCCAAAGGGCAGCCACGACATGATGGATATTCAGACAGGCTCCAGCTTTTCAAGCACCACGAGCGGGGGGCATTCCATGCCACCCGTGGCCGCCATCCCTCTTGGTCCACCAAGCGCTTCCATTGACAGCATGATAACATCGCCTTCACCAATGCCACAAGCACAACAGCAACCACAACCACAGTTGCAGTCACTGCTTCAGCGACAACAACATCACCAGCATTCTCCACAGCAGCACTCACCCCCACAGCACTCGCCCCCGCAGCAACAGCAACAACAATAGGAGCAGCAGCAACAACAACACCACCACCCAATGTGATGGCTACCGACTACTGACGACCGCCGATTGCTTGGTACTGTTGTGCGACTTGTGGAAGTCATCAAGGAGCCTGCTCGAGAGAAGGAAGGCAATCATAGCCTCCATCGTTTTGAGTCATGCAATCATGGGCCCAGAGTTGCTTTGTTATTTGCCGGTTTTGCCTCTACCATTTCTATGCCAGGGTTTCGGCGGGAGAGTCGCACGCATTACGAAGCAGGTAGATACACATTGCCTTACGGCCCAGTTTACATCATAATTGTTCATTTGCATCAGATTTACATCTATTCTTTTGCCTGCCCCCATTTCCGCCAATTTTCATTGTATAGGTACGGGGGTACCGGTAACAACGAGCCGGCGTTTGTTGATCACACACCGGCATTATATATCCCTCTGCGTTTTCACTTGCTATTTCATGGCGGTTTTTTGCTCTGGTCTGTTTAATGTGGTGGCCGGGCCAGACGGACGAGCAGTAGACGGGAAGGAGACTACCTACCTAGCCTGCCGTTCCTGTAGCTACGGATCCAATGGCGTTTTCTTTTTCTCGGGGGGGCGAGATAATCGATGAGTTGAAGGCTGGTCGGGGCTATAGGTCAGCGAGGCAGGAGATAATCCGCCTTCCGTTTGATGGATTACGATTGGAGAATTTCTTGCCCCCCCCCCCCCCCCCCCCCCTTTTTTTTCTTTTGAGAGATGGTAATGCGTATCCATCCCATTCTCTAGTTCATATCTGCGTGGCGATGGCACAGACACATATTTGACCGATACTGTTTCATGTTTTCTATTTGTTGCGTATGGCATTTTCATGGCTGTTTTTTTCACCTCGGCGGTGAAACGAGATACTACAACTGTGTGCATGTGTGCGTTTCTTTTTGGTCTTTTCAGCTTGGCTCCCTTTTTTCTCTCTCTCTTTCTCTATCGTGGGATGGCAGGTTGCTTGTAGTTTTACGTCGAATTTCTGTTCACCTGGTATCCATTTACCTACGCAGCATGTACTGTTGCTATCGCCGTTGAGACGGAGGCGATGATATTAGGTAGTTAGTAGTAAGTAGTTAGCACCTGGCACAAACCTTCCATACTTGTGGGTTTTTAATTTGGAAAGGCTTTGTTGCTGGCGCCTACCGTTTATTACACAGGTGAGACAGACAGACTCTGGAGGTTCTAGGCGAAAGGGAATCGTCGAGATAGCTGCCCTGAAGGGAGAGCAGTACGTCATGGATAGAGACCAAGCATATCGACACGAACGCAGCAAACAGGCGAGATTTTATCTTGCTTGGCTAGATCGGCTAAAACGTCCTTACTATATGTATGTTGGTAGAAACAGAGCCAGGGTCGTTCCTTGCTCTCACAATGTCTCTCCAGAGCCTGTAACCTCAAGATAGGCAGGCCTATCGCCTCAACTCCCGCCCTCAACTCATCCGAGTCTTGAGAGACGAAAGAGGGATCTAGGTTGGACTCGCGCCAAATCATCGTCTTACAGAAGACGTCAACACGAAAAAACTGGGCTCTCTGCATCATAACAAGACCACAATCAGGCAGAGCCAGCCATCCGGGTACGCGGCTTCGCGCATCAGATCCTCGAGGGGCGCCTGGAACGGCACCGATGCACCGTGGAGAATGACATTTGCGAGAACGGGATCTCGGCTGCTGGGGAAAAGGGGAGGGAGGATAGTCCTCAGGGCGGCGCCAAGCGTCTGGGGAGTTCCTTTTCCCCTCAGGTTGTCAGCTGTGCAAAGCCTCCTGGAGGCGTAACGTGAGAGTGAGTCTCTTCCGGGGGAGGTTACTTACGGTTGGGCATCCGTGGCGGCACCAGCGTCTGCATCACCTTGAAGGAACCCTGCGAGATCTCGTCTGGGTTCAGCGGCGACGAGGGTATGTAGATCCGTATCGGCACGTTTTTGAGCGCTGTCGGGGCGTTGAGGAGGCGGCTGTGGACCCTGACAAAGGAGGCGTAGTCATCTATGCGCGTAAATAAGCAAGAAGCCCTGAAGCCCTATGTGTAAGCCGCTGGTAGGGACTCTGTTGGGGAGTATTTGCATGCCATGGACATGCACCCCATCTTGGCTTCATCTGGGGTGGAAGAGAATGAGAGAAAACTCACTGTCCTGAACGGCATTCCACAGCGAAGTGGTGTGCTCCTTGGACAGGCTCATGATCTGCTTGGCGTTGCCATTGCGGACAAAGTCGGCCTCTTTGGCCGAGTTCATGAAGGTGTCGGCAATGTCCCACTCGGGCCCGTCTCCGACAACCAGGCGCCAGGGCAGGGCGGGCTGGTACAGGTCGACTAGCAGCCCGGCGGCCAGGTTGCGGAGCTGGACCTCCTCGTGGTGGAAGCTCGAGCAGGGCGTGCCGTAGTAGGCGCTCAAGCGCGGGAGGAGCAGCGCCAGGTAGCCGAAGCGCGGCACCGTGGTGATGAAGGGCGCCGCCCCGGCGCCGGGTTGCTGCGAGACGTGCGTGATGAAGAGGGGAATTTGTAGGTTCCACAGTGTCTGGGGGATGTCGCGGGCCGTAGCTGGAGCGCCAGTGGCAGGGCCGCTGTCGTCGCCGCCGCCGCCGCCGCTGTCGCGGTGCATGCGGGAGCCACGCAATGGTGGGAAAAATGGCGAGCCGCCGGCCGACGGCGATGGGGAGCCCGCCGGCGATGGGGAGGCCATGCCGATATTATGTTGATGGCGATAGCAGTGCTAATTTGCTGTTCCAAGAGGACGACGAGTCACCGCGCCGTCGAGAGTTCAGCCCCGATTGTATTTGGCAGTGCCGATGCTGCCTCACAGTGTAATCCATGTGTTGCCGTCGAGGCTTCCGGCATCCACCAATCACAGTTCAGCGCACGGACCCAAATTTTGTCCCTCATTCCTGGTGCCCCGCGTACCAGCTGCTGGATCGCGAAGTCAACTCTTGACGATAGATACTTTCATGCCCTCGGTCCCTCCCCACGATTCGTCTGCATTTCCTCCTCCTCCTTTCCTTTCCTCTGGCTCTGGCTTCGCGTATTCTAGCCGATGGCAAAAATGCCGCACTCAAGCTCAGACGTGCAAGGTGGCGCAACGCAACACGACCCGCCGCACCCCTCGACGCCGGCATTTGAGGGACGGATCAACTCGCAAGTCTTTCGATTGATCCGCGGCTCTCCCCGATCCGCTGCGTTAGGAACTACGCCTGAATGAGTTCGAGATCCGCAGGCTGGGTAGAAGTTGGCGTCTTAAAGCAGTAAGAACCTCAATTCCATGACGCTCGCTTTTGAGGGACAAGTCAGGCAAACCGCCGCCCAACAGATTTACGCAGCGGATTGAACGCCTGAGCGCCAATCTAGCAGGAGTGCTGATGCCTGCTTCGAGGTGATGCCGGCCAATCGCAGAGCCGCCAATGAACATTTTGGGACTCCAGGTAAAATAAGTTACCTGGCAAGTCAGGAAGGGGCTGCTGAACGGTGCCTCTGGCGGCCCTCCTGCGGCGGGCTGCTCGCTGCGCTCGGTATTCCACGGCTTGAGGAATCCGAGGATTATCCGATCGACCAGTCCCTGGAGCCCATTTCGACACGGACGAAAACTGGCCAATCCCTGTGCGAGAAACTTTCAGCACCTTCACGGTAAAGTAGAAGATACAGCCTCTCTACGCCACCTCCGGCTCGCAAGCTCGCCTACGGTGGCTCCGTTTAGCTGAATAAGCTATGGAGTCCAAGGACAACGAGGTGAAGACCCCTTTTTCAGAATCTCCAGCGTCTACCCACAATGTAGATACTATTTCTCGAAGCCGGAGCACCCACCGTAATGCCCTCAAACTGCCATCTATTAGCCGATAACTCAGACGTTTGCCTATCGAATAGACGGGCTGGATTTGTAGACGAGAGAGCAATCTGTATAAATGGGGTACCAAGTTTGGCTCTGTTTCTCGGAGTTGGTGATGGATATCCCTATAAAGAACTAGCGGCCGGCCTTTAATTGGAAATAGACAAGGGATCAAACAAGTAATATTATGGCGACGGCGACCGGTTGGTTCTTACCCGACGATACAAATCTGAATACAAAGGCGCGACCCAATAGAATACCATCTCTGGGATGGAACGGCGTGCCTGGCCGTGTCAGGTTGGAGCAGCAAGGAGTTACCGAGAGGGGGAGAGTCTTGGCAGGGCTGGCCTTGAGCGACGATATGTCTGTTGGCGCCTTTGGTCACATGCTTCGGTTCGGCAGATCTGGGTGCTAGGCAACGGAACTATTAAGGCCATTGGGAGACGATCTGGAGCCTGAATCCCCTTCCAACTCTCGCAGGTCTAAGGTCTCACAAGATGGCGGCAGTAACTGAACCGGCCATACCAACCGAGGCATCTCCTATAGTAATGATTCAGAGCCCCCATTTCTCCCATCTTCGAAGAAATGCGTATGATGTCGACCACATTTAGGAACGGCGAGGCTGGCTTCCGGATATGGTTCAAGGAATTTATTGAATCCCTTCGTGGCAGCTGGCCCCTCCTGATTGTGACTAATCGAGGACTAGAAGAATTTCGGGCGCAACAGAACGGGCCGCAACCGAATGAGGCTATGGATGGAGCTTCGGGGCAGCCAGTGGACGGAGCCACCCTTTCACAACACCGGTCCCGGAGAAGTCCTGAAAGGCCCAAGGAGGTCAAAACTGATTCTGCGCCTGAGCAGCCGACCACGCGGCTGTGTCCGGCCCGGAGAGTTTTGGCGAATCTGTTGTCACGCCCCTCGGGGACATAGGGTCGGGAGTCAATTGGACAGCCCAGGTAGTCAATGCCACGTTGTTCCTGTCAGAAACGCTGCATCCAGGCTGTTAGGAGGCCACCGTGCTGGAGAGGGGGTGCGGGTCTAGGGCTGGAGCATTCACCTGTCCACCCACAACTTGCTTTGGGGTATTACGGGGGAGATTGGAGGGGGATCGATCGGAAAAAATGGCCATCCGAGCCCAGCTGGTGTGGTCAAGGTCTGGGATGTCTAGAGTTTCCCAGAGTATATAATACCCTCTTACTCTTAGTCTTCTTCCTTCCCCTCTTGTCCTTTTCTTTGCCCTTGCCTTACCAACTTACAAGTCTCCATCCCAGCCTTAACCGGACAACGCTTCGGTATAAAATGACGATCACCTATGTGTAACTGAACGACAATCTCCACTTCCAAAGTATCGCGATGATGTTTGACGCTACCTCTAGGGTCGTAACTATTACAGGAGCTGGTATCAGCACGAATGCAGGCATTCCCGCGAGTGTCACTTCCCCTTCCCTACCCGCATATGTCTCACCAGGCTTCAGAGCTTTCAGTCTAAAAATGGTATTTATTCTGTCAGCTACCGTTCAAAAAAGGCGTATCCTAGCCCGCGTTAAATTTTCTATTCGTCGGCTCTCTTTGATCCAGGAACGAGGCCTTTGTTTTACAGGAATATCGTTAACATGCGTTAGGTCTCCAAGCACGCCCCTCTAGCAATAACGCACTGCTTTATACTCAAGCTGCGCGATACTGAGATGCTGGTACGAGCTTACACCTAGAATATTGACTGCCTCGAAGAGAGGGTTGGCCTCTACCGATATAGGAAAAGGCCCCGGGAGTCGATCTCGTTTTCGGAGGAAGCGCCGGCCGAGACTTGACCACCAAGTGAGCTAAGAGCCAGAGGCCCAAAACAATAGCGGAGGTATTGAGTGCGTCCTCCTGCATGGATCTCTACCGTTTGCGATGCATCAACTGCCCCGGTACTTATTGCTGGAACGAGGACAGCCGGGAAACGGAGACCCCAGGACCCCCTTGTCCTGGCTGTACGAAGATATTAAATGCTAGAACAGCAGCAGGGGATCGCGCAACTGCAATAGGGATACTCCGACCTGACGTACAGCTTTACGACGAGCAGGACCCAAGAGCTGATTCAGTCTCAGCCATCGCACGACATGACCGGTCACTCCGCCCAAACGTCCTTCTTATCATGGGCACGAGCCTGAAAACACACGGGGTTAGAGACCTGGTAAAGGATATCGCCAGGGTGATTCATAACCGCCAGGCTGGGAAAGTGGTGTTAGTGAACCTCACGAAACCAGCCAAGAGCTGGGACGGCGTAATCTATTATTGGGTTGAATGGGATTGCGATGCCTGGGTAAGAGACCTGATGGGCCGTCAGCCGGCTTTAGTGACAGACGAATCATCCGAGGAGCAGAGATGAAGTGGGCTTACCGACGTATTTATGAGACGGGCGGTTAAGGACTAGCAAGCCCTTTTTAGGTGTGATGAACTCGGTAGTTTTTCTAGGGGGTGCCACTTGGGGGGTACGGGTGCTTCTTTTTATTTACGTTGCTTCAGTCTAATATTATTAACGTGTGCCTGGGCTTCTCTGTCACGCATCTCACCCACTAGAATCACGTTCTACACCGCGGCACCATCACCAGTATTAGAACAACAGCGAGTAGATCTCATAGCGGTCAATGTAGGCGAGGACCTGGTATTTGACATCGTTTTTGTGTGCGGCCTCTTCCCCTGCCCCTAGCTGCGCCAATCCACCCTACCCCGCTCATTGCCCAGGAGCCCAGAGACAAAGCCCGTCCCTCTCCTTCTACCGATGTTTAGACCAATCCAGCCAGCGCTAACGATCATTGGTGCTTGTGAGTCCACCGCTCAAGAGTGTGGTTCAAGCACAGCACGCGATCGTCGTGGCCGAATTTTGGAGCCCGGCTACATGGTGACTTTTTGGTGCGGGGCGTTGCCTGAGTTGCCGCCTTGGCACCCCCCCCCCTTCCACGGTTCTGATGTTTACTTTGCCCCTGCTTCGACGGCTAATGGCATGTATAATCACAATTACAATATAATATAATATTTTAGCTAATTTAATTCAGGTTTCTTGGGCTCGGGATCCTTTGCCGTTTAATATCTCACAGCCCGAAAAACTTGATATCCTCCGCCGGATGCACCGGCACCCTATGGCCCACCCCCTTCGTAGAAACTCCAGTCAATAACGGCCCAAACACCTACTCGTATACCCCTTATCCGGCGTATCGGCCTTCTCACTCAACGGCTTCGCCCTATACCCAAACACCGTCGTCCACTGCGCGATCGAGTAGTTGTAATTCGCCGGCGCAATCGTCGCGTCAACTCCCCGTGGGAGATCTGCATGCGCGAGCGCGCCCCGGTATATCCCGGGTATGCATCGAGCGCCCACTTGGCCTACCACTCTGGAGTAACCCTGATATTGCCGCCCGAGCAGGTGCTGTTTTACCCAGCGACCGAGTCGGTGAAGAAACAATTTTCTTGGAGATGTCTCGTCGCTTTGCGCATGAACGAACTGATGGATTATGCTACTAGAAACGATTCATTGCCGGACTGTGCGGCGCATGCGCTGATTGACCTGCCCCTACCGACCTGGGTATTTTCTTCCCCAGGCCAAGAAGGCACACGCCCTGTGTCAGGGGACGGTGGAGCATCAAGACTTGCTCAGGTTCTGTGGGCTGGCGGGTATGTCGGCCTTTTCGAGAAAGAAGCAAATGTTGGCGTCGCCGGCGGGGTATACTCGCGCCCGGACAATCGTCTTGCATCCAAACATCTCGGTAAAACATGAGCTTTTCCTGTGTTGCATGCTTTACTTACCTAGCCTTGCGCTTTGGCTTGTTCAGGTCATGCAAGGCCGTCAGAGACTGAGCCTGGCTGCTGAGGGTTGATGATGGATCGGCAAGGCTGACAGACGTGTATCGTGGTCTGCGGGGTAGTTCGCTTTAGCGTAGGGACCAGAAATGGCGGGGTCTAAAAAGCTACCCTTGCCGCCTCACAAAGTCTGTTTGACGTGTTCACAAGTAAAGCAAAGCTGTAGGTACCTATACTCTGAGGATTATGAAATGCCTCTAGAACTGAGCAACACGGAGGATAACAGGCTGATATCGACTTTGTCACAACCCCCACACAATCGTCAAGTAGCACTACCGCGTGTGGGGCGCTCTATCCATGGATGATGGATGGAACCGGAAAGAGGCTCGCGAAAAAAAATGTCCGAAGTTCCGAACCACGTGGCTACCAGGAGATTTGAATCGAGTTGGTACGGAAATCTCGAAATTGCGATATTATTGAATGGGACAAGAAACGGAAAAGGGGGACAACGGAATTCCGCCTGCGTGTCAGCTCAACTCACCATCCCAGTCCCCTTCCGTCTAGGCTATCTCTCGGCCTCAGCTCATCTCTCCCGTTTGATCAGTCGAAAAACAATTGTGCCAAGCAATAGCTTACCAAGAACTATTGTATTGAAATATCAGCTCCGGTTTCAGCTACCTCCGCCCGTGACACTGTGTTGTACACCCACTGACCTCCACCGGGGAAATGCATGTTAGCTTTGTACTTTACCAACTATTAGTATCTTCCAGGGAAATCTCGCTAATCACTAACTTTGCCACCTTCCCACGCTAACATGTATTACCCCAGAGGAGGTGTACATGCAGAAGAAAGTGGGGAACTGTACGGAGTACTCGAGTAATGTGCATCGAGATTAAATTGGACAAGGACCACCTGGGAATTCGTTAGTTTTCTGCGAAGCCGAAATTGCCGATACAGATTATCTTCGCACCCGGGAGACGGGAACAGCGGGTCGCGTCCGTATCCGTCCCGACCATCACCAATTAGTCCAGGAGTGGCGGTGTGGGCCCCGGCAAACGGAACACTCCGGACCCCTTTTCGCTCCCCTGATTCCAAGGCTACCAACGGACAGAAGCACCTGCAAACACAAAATAGCCACACCAACGGAGAAAAGGATTAATGTCAAATCCCGACACTGGTGATGATAAAATACCCGTATCCCGTTTCCCATCCTAGGCAAAAGTACACCCAAGGTTTCAAGCCACTGCTAATGTCCAAACATGCATACACAACCTTCTCCAATCCGGGTCTGCGTAGCCAAGCCATCATCCACCCTGCACTATGTGCATAATCATGCGTCAGAACCGCTGGCTCTGCTGCCGATGTGTTATCAAGGAAAGCCTGCGCTAGCGAGCCAACAAATAAATGGACCCGCTAGCAAACTGTAAATGAAGATCAAAAGTAAAACAGTGGCTGAAAAGGCGACAAGATGCATATACGTGTATAAGAAACAAAATAACCATCCGGGCCTTCCATATTGGAAGGACATATTGAAGAAGAAATTAAACCATCAAGCTTCATCTCCTGTTCCTATGATTTTTCAGTATCCGGTCCTGTTGAAGATAGCTCAAATGGCGAGATATGAGTGGTGCATATGCAAGAACAAAATTTGCGTCATGTTGTGTACAATTGGGTTTTCCTCGACAACGAGCCGTCTCTCGACGGGAAGCCCAAGGATCAGATTAAGCGGCGCTCGTCTTTTTGCGCCTGGAAAATAGGTTGGAAATGCCGTTCGGTTCGTCTCGACCGACGGCTACCGGATATTGGGGTGCCACATTCGGTGGCGGTTCCGAATTCTTGAAGAACTCTGCCAGGTCTGACGTTCCACGGGACGGTACCGACACGGCATCGCGAGGCTCAAACCTCTTCATAGGAACCCGTCCCCTACTAGCTGGCGGTCCGCCTCCCATCATGGCTGCTGCTTTCGACCCACCCAAGCTCGGCGCGTACTTGTCAACCCCAGGAGGCATATTCACCTGAATGGGAATGTATCCTCTTCCGGCGCTTGCGCGGCTGCTCAGACTCCTCGACTCGGCAGCAGCTGCTTTGGGGCTCTTGGGGCTCTTAGGGCTTCCGGATCCCGACGAGAAAGGCTTACTCGACTGGCCGTTGTCGCGTCTCGTGAACCTGGCCATCAGGCTCGGTGCACTGGCCTTCTTCTTCGGCTGATTCTGCGCCCGTGCGTTGATAAAAGGCTGAACAACTGGCTCCGGCGGTGGCGGAACACTCCGCAAGAAGTCCATAAGACTCTCCTCCTGCGTTTGCACACGAGTATTCGACTTGGGCATCTGTTCTCCCTCGTCGAACTCATCTTCGTCACTGAGGTCGATAGCGTAAGGGTCGCGAACGCGGCGGGTTTTCCGCTTCGGAATCGGCATATCGTCGTCTTCCCCAGGCCCAAATTGCATGTTTGGCAGAGCCTTATTCCTCCCAAGAAGTGCACTTGTAGAATTAATGGACGACTGATGCGAAATGGAATAGTCGGTAGCGTTAGTTGAAGCCTGGCTGCTTCTGACATCAACTTCGCGCAGTTGAGCGTCTACGGCTCTACCACCAACAGCGGCAGACATCTGGTCCGAGTCCATTGTTGTCCGGAAAGGTGCTACCGTCCTCGGGATGCGCGGATTGCCAGTGGAGCTCGGCGGGCCGCGGCGGATAAAATCAATCAAGTCCGAGTTGTCGTCTTTGTAGTCAACAGCCGCTTCCCGAGCCTGAAGTCGCAGCCGGCTGATATTGCTGACAGAAGATGTCCGGCCAGACTCGATGCTGGCCTTCGATCCAAATCCAGGCCCTCCGGGGTTGCGGAGAGCGTTTGAGGCTGGAGGCTGGTTCAGGGAAACCGGCGGGCCGTTGGGACCAGTTGAGCGGATGAAGTCGGCGAATTCCGCAAGAGATTCACGCGGCATTCTTGCGTCTCTAGCTTGGGCGCCGTTGGGGCGTGGCCTTGAAATAAGGTTTCCAGATCGCGGTACCGGGCCCGATGGTTTGCCAGCGACGGCGCTAGAGACTGTGCTGTTGCTAATATGGCGCTGTACGTCGGGGCCGGAGTAAGACCCAGTCCCGGTAGAGCGCGAGCCCGAAGGTGACCCTCTAGGGTCGATTGGACGAACGACGGACGAGGAGCGAGACCGGTCGCCATTTTGGCGAGCGTCTTCACTCTTCCGGGCCTTACCCGACACGAGGGGGCTGCCGGATGTAATTGACCGTGTTGACTGCGACTGTGACGGGAGTAACCCCGGTTAGGCATTGGCAAAGAAGAAATAGGTACTAGGGGTGGGTGGGCTTACGTCAATATCCCGCATGCTCTCAGGCGTCAGTGTATACTGTATCGTCTGGTCGCTCTGGATAAGCTCTTCAAAGTTACGCACGACGTCCATACGAGACGGCCCGCTATCCTCAGAAGTTCGTACGGCCTTGAGCTTGGTGGTGGAGGACGACGAAGACGAGGCAGACGTGTGCTGCGGACGCGTCGCCGAAGTCGAGGCTTCGTTGGAGCGAGACGAGACAGTTTCCGAAGGGCTACGGGTCCGTGGACGCTCCACCGACACGACGCCAATCGTCGCTGGCTGGAGATGAGCCGACGTGTTGGCAATCGCTTGCCTCCCGGTGCTTCGCTCGGGAACTGCGGGAGCCGGTGGCGGCTGAGGCGGCGAGGAAGAGATGGGTGCCTGGGCGGGTGCCTGAGACCAGTTCTGGTTTGACGGCCTGTACGGTGCCTCTGACTTGTCTTCGATAAAAAAGGTCCCGGATGACAACGACGAAGACAAAATGGTAACCTTTGTTGTCGGTTTAGCAGGGGAGAGGGGTGCCGAGACGCGGCCAACCTCTGAGCCAACGGTTCGCTGGCCAAGCGTAGGTCCGATTTTCTCAAACCTTTCCGTGGTTGTCGGCTCCGGGATGGCTTCAAGGCCGGCCCCGGCAGGGACAACCGGACTGATCGGGCTGACGGTGCTAACAGGACTAACCGGAAAGGGCGGGTTGCTATTTAGCGGACCTATCCTCTCCATGGGAATCGAGGTATTTGCAGTCAACGCGGACTTGTTGCTATATTGTGCAGATGCCTTAGGGGTAGTCAGGCTTTCGGGCGAGCGAGGAGATCCCTCTTCGACAATAGGAGGGGTCATTCCACCGCTGGTCCAGGCAAAGCTATTTTGGCGGATATAGTCGCCCACGTCGGCAGAGCCACGTCGCGATCCAACCGCCGGGCTCCGGGGACTGGATACGTCAATCAAGCGTGCAGAGTGAACGCTTGGCGACCTGACAGGCAGGTTTGTGATGATGGCTGTGGGTTTTCCATAATCTGATGCTGAGGGGGACGAGCTTCTGCCAGATATTGAAATCCGTGACGATGTGAGAATCTGCGGCTCCTCGATAAAGGTTTCGTCCTCGTCTTCTTCCTCGTCCTCGCCTCCATGCACATCATCGACCGAGTCGTGCGGAACCTCTAGGTCGGCCTCTAGCTCGGCATATTGCGCAGGAACAGGAGATTGGGCTTCGTCGCTTTCGGTTTCAGCGGTTGCAGAATCCTGGGGACCCCGCTCGGCCAAGATGCCGTCTGAAACCACGGCATTCTCAGTCTGGGACATTTGGGCCTCCGCCTCCACTTCCTGAGCCCATGCCTTGGAATTGTAAGGCGTTGCCGCGGGTGTAGGGAGCGAATTGGAGCGCTTTCTAGCCGGGAAGACAGAGGTTTGAGGTTGTGATTGGGTGGGCGTCGATGGATCATGAGCGCCAGTCAATGGCAGTACCATCATACTCTTGGGGCGGATTGGCAAGGCTTCTTGCTCATCAACATCGTCGTCTTCGGCCTCGTCATCGCTGTAGGAGGCAAGTCCGGGAACTTCGATCTCATCAACGTCGTTGGATTTCGTCGGAAGAGGAATGGCAGCAGCAACCAGATATTCTTCAGCCGGCTCTTGAATCCGTTCGTCTTGCGGTATATCGGCCTCGTCCTCTTCCTGGGTAGAAGGCTCGGGGACAGTTGCGGGAACCCCGTGTTCTGCCGTGATGCTAGGCGACCGCAAGTGCCCGGAAGCGGTGCGTATCGAATCTTTCGAGTATGAATGGGTCAAGCGGCCGTCCATGGGGCCAATGCCGGGTGAACGGATCTTCTTCTTCCAGGCTCTCCAGAGTCTGCCCAGAGTCCGGTCAAGGGCAACACGCTCCATGTCCAGCTCTTCGACGACGATCTTTTCGGCAACATTTGTGGGGCTTCGCACACCCTCTTTGAGCTCTTTCTCGTACTTGACGCGAATGCGGTGGTACGCGGCTTGACCAGCCACAATCAGCGCCTGTTCGCCCATGAACTCCAGGATGGAGGTGAGGAAGATTGCAACGGCGGGAGAGACAACCTCGGAGAGGTGGTCGCCAAGACCCGCCTCGAGATGCCCCTCTTCCATGTAATAGTCTTCGTCTTCCTCCTCCATGTCGCCGAGCGACGAGTACACCATGCAGCGAAGTCGTGTGCGCTTCCACACCAGCTCCAGGTCCCAGTCAGACGGCGAGGCTGGCTCCAGAGATTTGGTCTGTGTCACGTCGTCGTCATCGCCTCCAAGGTATTCCCGCAGTTCCTCGTCTGCTTGGTTCACAGCGTCCTTGGCGAGCTTTGGTTTGAGGACTTCGGAAACGGCCGGGCGCAGCGACGTGAGCGATGTCGAGCGCGAAATAGAGAGGATGTTGAAGAGAAGCTGGTCGAGAAAATTATTGACTAGCAGCAGGGCAGCGGGCGAGACCGCGGCCGTCTCGCCCGACGGCTCGATGCCATGCTGGTCGTACCAGGCGTCAGCGTGGCTGTCATGATCGTTGGTGACGATCTGCGATGCGGCCGAAGATGCGATGAAGGCAGCCTCGGGCGAAACAGACAAGGGCGGCGACATCATGCTGTATGCGACGGTCGATGGCCGGTCGCTGGATATGCTCTGGGTCCTCGACCGCGAGACGAACTTTTGGGGAGGAGAAACCACGCCCGACGAAGGCTGAGCCATCGCTGTCTCCGCGGCAGAAACCATGGCCGGGGTGTTTAGTGGCCTGGTCAGCCCCGATGCAGACCTGCTGCTATCTTGTAAGACGGCAGATAATTAGCGCAGCAAGGCGGGTTGGACAGCAGAACGAAGCACGGTGCCGGGCATCCAAGTTTGCTCTCTTCTGTCGGCGGGCGTACGAGCTGTCGAGGCAGGGAGCCGAGCGAGAAGGGCAAGTTGCAATATTATTATTTTTTTGGGGGGGGGCAGCGAATTGGCCGCGATAATTGGGCGAGGAATGGTAGGGCAGGCTAGTCGATGCGCAGGGACTGGACGGCAGGCTGCTTTTGTCAGTTACTGTAGGTCCAGGTAGTTGCGCCAACGAATTGCGGGCCGGAAATCTTTTGAAACAAAGGACGCTAGGGCGGGCAGAGGCAGAATAAGACAGCAGGAATCAGGAATCGCTCCAGTTGCCAAAAGGACGCTGCGGGCAGGCGGCACCTCATGCGCAACGAGAGAACCCAGGTAGTGCCGAAGCTGCCACACCCCAATGCGGCAACGATGGTGAGTGAGCGTCTCTCTCGGGCTGCTATTCTTGCAGAGGCGCCCGATGCCGTTCCGTTCTCCACAGGCTTCTGGGAGCTTGCCTAATTCAGCACGGCGGCGGGCAGTTTGGACGAGTGCAGAGACCCGCCGAGCACCTCAAGGGCTTACAGAGATGGGTCTCATGATGTAAGATATTCCCTGTGCTTGTGTGTGTGTGTGTGTGTGTGTGTGTGTCCCCGTGTATCACTGACAAGCAGTTTGTAAGGTAGTTTGGAAGAAGATACTCGGTATAGCGGTGCTACTCTATACCCGGCGGACGATGAAGGGGCAATTTTGGAAAATACCAACACACTCGGCGGCCCACGGCAATGGAACGGCAGGCGCGGCCAGACACAGGGCCACAACACAACACCCAAGAGCCGGGAGAGAGTGATACGGGAAGTCCACGTCAAGTGAATAAGTTGCGACGACGCACCTTTGGTAACTCGCCAATGCCTATTTCGGCCGGTATAGCCAGCCAGCCAGAAGAGAGACAGGAGCCAAGCCTGTCTTGATGAATCGATGCTGTGTTGTCTCTTGTCGCCGGTCGTAGCCAACAAGACGGAGTACTGTATGTACGTAGTGTATTGTACAGCAGTGCGGGCCTCTGTCAAGGGGAGTCGCGCCGATCGGTATGACGTCCCGAGGAATAAGGCACAGATCCGAGATGCCTGTGTCGCCGGCACTGGGTCTTCCCCAGTTGCTATTACGGGACGCGGAGCCCGTTGGCGACAACCAACTGAGAGGTAAGAATATAGCAACAAGGACGGGATGAAGGAGAATTTTCAGGCCGGCGAGCAATGGAAGTGGAGGCGGGTATCGGTGGTTTTCTTTCTTCCCCCCTGCTTCCCGCAAACCACACACTCACACCACAGCAGCTTCCTCGTGGCTTCGACGGGCTTGCGAGGATGGGAAAAGCTGGGGCCAGCCAGGGGCGTGCGATGCAACACCCAGAACAGCCTAGTGGAAGAAAGGGGGGGGGCAGCAATGGCCCATGGGGGTCCATGATTTCCAGGGTTCCAGTTCTTTTCAACCGACGACCACTCTTCAGCGTCTGTCTGTACAGGCCCCCTCCCACCAGTCCCGTTCAGGACTCCAGACGCTCCAGGGCCCGCCGTCTCATGAACGCCCCCCCTTTCCATTGCCAGCTAAAAACGAAACGCAGCTACGAACAGTAAAGTCGAGGGAAAGAGACCAAGAATTATCGACCGGCGGTCGGCCTCTCTCTGACAGAGTCGGGCTATTCGTGTTACATGGATGGGGCGCAACACAAGTGGATGTGCAATTGGATCTGACCAACAGGGTTGCGGCGGACTGATGATATTTTTGCTCTCCGTCTGCTCGTCTGCGGCATCGCGAGGCACGCAACGGGCACGGCATCCCATCCACATACATCTCTCTCAGGAAGGGGAGGTGTGTCAGACGGGGGAAGGTGGGGCCCTCTCGGCAAAAGTGGGTCGAAGGTTGCAAACGCAAAAGAGAGAGAGAGGGTCCCTTCCCGGCAATCCCAAGCTTAGGGCCAGGCACGCCCCGCTTGCTAACATGGGCTCTCTTGGCTGCCCCCTTCTCGGCCCTCTTTGAGCCTTGGCACTGCGAGCTCCTCCGTTACGTGAAGAGGGCCGGGCCACCTTGAGCCTGTGGCGGCGGCGACGGCGAGGCTGGAGGGTGGATGGGAAGCTACGTGCCTCGAGCTGGCATGTTCGATGGAAGCATCAGTCCTGAAAAGGAAGCCGCGCGCTACCGACATTACGGAGACCTTTCTTGCTTTCGTGCCCGAGGTGAGCAACATTACGAAACAGCAGATCCGGCTCCTTTGGTAGGATGTTTTTTTTCTCTCTCCTTGTCGCCTTACGCAAGATGTCTAAAGGAAGGTAGATCTTCCTGCCAATCCGTCGAGACACAACCTTAGTGCTGAGTGTCTCCGGGCTGCTGCTGGTTACACGGCATCGCTAAAGTTTAAAAACACACCGACATGTCGAGATGGGATGGATGGGCTCTTGGGACCAGATGATTCTCTGCTTGCTTGAGACGAGAGAGGGGCGGCAAAATGGCGACGTGGACAAAACATATAACCGTGCGGTCAAGAAAAGCCAAAGCGGAGTGCACTTGCTCGCCCTCTGAGGTCTATCCAGAACTATTCTGTCTCTGGAACATGGACATGTGTGTGGGGGATGACTGCCCACCCACAGGCCGGGTTCTGATTCTTTTATTTCCTTGCATCGATCGACTCAATCGGTCTTGGTTGGGTTGAACACATGGGAATTCTTCCCTCCTGCACGGACCCGCCAGCAAACTTACGCATTTCTTTTTGACGAGAGAATATAGTATCGACCACAACTACGGATATTCTGCGAATATATCAAGTATACTACAAGTTCGTCAAAATGGAGAGTTCGTCGAAATGGCAGCCCTGTCCTCTCGTCGCCTTACTCACCATTTCCCTGGCTTATTTCGACTTGACCGATAACATTGGATGCTCCCCGCTTTTTTGCTGTCTGTGTGTAATCGCCTACAGACAGATATGCCGTCCGCTCTGGGGGATCGTCGCCGCAATGAACTTTTGGGTCCTCAGCACAGACGCCACCTACCTTGGTGACGGGGTCGCGACCCCATTCAATTGTGATTGATGGGTGATGTGATGAGATGGGCGATCGACTATACACTACGATAGATACCAGTCTAATGGAATGCAAGGACGCACGCACGCACGCACGCTAACGTAGGGCTTCCTGTGCAGACGAGGGCCCGACCCTTCAATACTGGACAGACGGACGGCCAAAGCCATTTGCTACAGAGAGCTTGCGTGCAGCCGGCGATGGTGTTAAGCGGGCCGCCGTGGTGTGCGCACGCAGTGTGTAATTGGCTGCACGTCGGATGTGGAGGCGCAAAGCCATCTAGGCAGGCAGTCAGTCAACTAAAAGCCAGAGAGAGGTTGCTTCTCTCTGCGCTCGGCCTGTTTGCTTCCGCTCTTGGACGCCGGCATGCTGTCCGTTTGCCTGCAAATCAAACCGGGGAAGGCTCTCTCTCGGTCACCAAGCGGCTGAACAGTCAGCATGCCAGCCAGCCACATTTCCTGGTGTGAGGGTGGGGAGAGACGGTCTTGTCCTGTCTTGTCTTGTCTTGTCTGGTCTGGGCGGTCGGGTTCTTGCAAGTTTGGAAAGCCCTCGTCAGTGGTTGGACGCGGGTAATATCAGAGTGTTGGTGAGAGAGAGAGAGGAGAGAGAGAGAGAGGAGAGAGAGAGAGAGGAGAGAGAGAGAGAGGAGAGAGAGAGAGAGGAGAGAGAGAGAGAGAGTGTGTGTGTGTGTGTTGATTGGATTGGTGCACACAACACATGACACTCTTCCAACATCACATCAAGTACGAGGAGACGCGTCGTTCCACAGGAAAAAGAATGACAAAAACCATTCTCTTGGTACATTACATCACTTCATTAGATGGGCACAAAATGCCGTCATCGGACTTTGTCAGGGGACTTTTGAGACGATAACTGAACCGCCCCAAAATAAAATAGCATTCGTCCGCAAATGCGATTTCGTTGTTTGCGGCCCGAGGCGGACACACAAGGTACGGCAAGGTAGGTACTATGCTTGGCAAAAAGAAGGGGAGGTATGCTCTGTCTGTTTCATCGCCGGCGAGTGCACACCCGGCCAGTTCCTTTTAACCGCAAGTGTCATCGGGCCCTGATCGACGCCGCGCTTTCCTGGAGAGATCGGCCGTTGACCATTACTCCGTTTTTTTCTTGTTCTAGAGTGTTCCTTCGTTCCTCGCATGGTTTCTAGTCTGATCTGATCTGTGGAAGTGAGTGAGTGTATGGATACAGCATGGACGGGATAGAGGCCTGTTGTATTGGGTCACAAAGCCTTTCTTTGCTCTCTTCACCATGCAGTTGATGGTTTGAGAGACTTCCGCGCGGACAAGATACATATTTGCTCCCTCCCTATATAGCAAGTAAGCAGATCTACCACACCGCCGGTAACAACAACAACAACAACAGATATATTTCCCCTGGTAAATATTAGACATGTATAACCTATATAACATGTTTTTTTTTTTTTTGGTTGGTTGGTTGGGGAGCATCCCCCCAGCCAACCTAGCCCAGTTCATCTCATCCCAGGTCGTCCCACGGGTTGTATTAGAAAAAAAACAGGGCGAAAGGAATTAGTAAAAGGAGATCCTCCAGCAGCCAAGCTCCTCCTACCCCCCACTCCCAAAACCAATATTGGCCTTGTTCAAGTGAAGTGCGTCTCATCCGTGTGTGTGCTATAAGACCAAACGAAAAACGACCGACTGTCAAGGGAATGGGGAGGCGGCGGGCGTGTGCGTGGCCAGTGGGGAAGAAGAAGAAAGAAAAGTCAACAAACAAGGGGTGGTTTTAGAGAATCGCCGATAGGACCGTCACCAGACCAGCGACGGCAGCAGCCAGGCCAATGCTGCTGGCATGCATTGCGCTGCGGGCGCTGGCCGTGACGACGGGGGGCCGCGGCGCGGGCGGCGGCGGGGCCGTGCCGTTCGCCGGCCCGTGCGGGTGGTGCTGGGGCGGCGGCGGCGCATACTCGCCGCCTCCTCCGCCTCCACCACCACCACCACTGCCACTACCACCGCCGTGGCCATTGTGCGCGGGCGGTGGCGGGGCGAGTTCTCCGCCGCCGTAGCCACCTTTGTGTTCCTCGCCTGGGCCGCCTTCGTGGCTGCTTTCGCTGCCGTGTGGTTGCTCGCTGTGTGGTTGCTCGCTGTGTGGTTGCTCGCCGTGTGACTGCTCGCCGTGTGGCTGCTCGCCGTGTGACTGCTCGCTGTGTGGCTGCTCGCCGCCGGTGCCGCCCTCAGGAGCGTGACCACCTTCGGGAGCATGGCCGCCCTCGGGAGCGTGGCCGCCCTCGGGAGCATGGCCGCCCTCGGGAGCGTGGCCGCCCTCGGGAGCATGGCCGCCCGTAGGAGCATGCCATACCGGGCCCTCATAGCCGCCGCCGCCGTGCTGTGGGTTCTCGGGGAAGTGGTCAGGGGGGCGCTCGTTGGGTTGCTGTGCAGGATGGCCCGGAGCCGGGGCATCACCGGGAGGAGGAGGAGGAGGCGGGGACGGGGCACCATGGCTAGGAGCCGGCGGGGGGTGTCCGCCGGCGGGACCTTCGCCATGGGGGTGAGGGTCCTCTGGGAAATACGGGCACGGCTGCTCGTGGCCAGCCGGGCCATGACCGGGTGCTGGGTGGAAGGGTTCGACTGGGATGGGGGCCGGGCGGCTCTGGTGCTGCTCAGGTTGACCATGGCCGCCTTGTTGCTCAGGCTTGCCGTGACCACATCCTTCGTGTCCTTGACCATGCTGCTCAGGTTGCCATTGGCCGTGCTGCTCGGGCTGATCATGTCCTTGGCTGGCGCACTCGGGGCACTTCTGCTCACCTTGACCCGTGTGGTTGCCCGTGCAGTTCTTGAAGGGCGGCGGCGGCGGCGGAGGAGGCGGGGAGGGACGCTCACCCTCGGGCCTCTCGCCAAAGTGTCCGGCCGGTCTGCCGTGCTCCTTGGGCTTGTCATGCTTGGGCTTCTGACCGTCATGTCCCGCAGGCTGGGTCGAGTTGCCGTACGAGCCGTGGCCGCAGGGCTTGGGCTCGTGGTGCTGCTCATGCTCGTCCTCGAGGCACTCGTAGTCGTCGGCGTCGCAGTCGTCGTTGCTGCCCTCCTTGCACTCCCAGTCGTCGTCGTCGCAGTTCTTGCACTCCCAGTCGTCGTCGTCGCAGTCCTTGCACTCCCAGTCGTCGTCGTCGCAGTCATCGTCGTCATTGTCCCAGCCATGCGGCTTGTGCTCCTCGTGCTTGGGTTTCCCATGGGGATGGCCGTACTTTGGCTTCTGGTGCTCAACCTTCTTTCCGCCCTCGGTGTAGGTGCCGTTCTTGTGGCCGTGCTGCTTCTTGGGCTTGGAGTGATGGCGGTGCTCCTCCTTGCAGTCTTCTTCGCAGTACTGGGGAGGGGGTGGTTGAGGCAACGAGTGGTGGTGCTCCTCCTTGCAGTCTTCTTCGCAGTACTGGGGAGGGGGTGGTTGAGGCAACGAGTGGTGGTGATCTTCCTTGCAGTCTTCTTCGCAATACTGGGGAGGGGGCGGTTGAAGCCCCGAGTGGTGCTCCTTGCCGTGCTTGCCCTCCTTGCCTCCGTAATGGGTGCTGGATGACGAGTGGTTGTGCGAGTGCGAGTACGAGTGTGAGTCGCAGTCGTCGTCGTCGTCTTCGCAGTAGACGGGAGGCGGCGGGCGGGTGTAGTTTCCGTGCTTCCTGTAGGGGTGCGAGCGAGGGGGAGGCGGGATGTAGGGCTCCTCGACGGGCTGGCACGAGTGGTCGTAGGTGCAGCGGACGAGATCCGGCTCGCAGTACGGCCCGTAGCAGTCGTAGACGGGGCGGCAGATGTACCCAACAGGGCATCTCCTGTGCTTGTCGTATCCTTGGCCGTAGCCGTAGCCTTGACCGTGGTGGGAGTGGTTCCGATGGTGGCCATGCCCATAGCCGCCCTCACGGTGGTGCTCCCGAGGGTAGCCATGTCCGTAGCCCTCGCCGCCGTGACCGTGTCCGTAGCCCTCACCGCCGTGGTGGGAATAGTTCTGATGGGGATAGCCCTGAGAATGGCTATACCCATCGCCGTCCAGGCCGCCGTAGCCGTCATGGTGTTCGTGGCCGTATCCTGGTTCGCGGTCTCCGTACTCATGGCCGCCGAATCCATTGTAGCCGCGATGCTCCTCGAAGCTGTCATAGCCATAGCCGTCGGTGTCATATCCGTCGTGGCCAAATTCGTCATGGCCATATCCGGCGTGACCGTAGCCGTCGTTGCCGTAGCCGCCATAGCCCTCGGGATATCCTAGGTCGAAAGGCTCGTCGTAAGACTGGTCGTACGGCTGCTCATGGTGACCGCCATAACCACCATGACCACCGAATCCTTCCTCCTCGTAGCCGTGGGGATATCCAGACTCGTAACCGTGGTCGTTATAACCGCGGTCGCCGTAGCCTTGGCCACTATAGCCTTGGCCACCATAGCCTTGGCCACCATAGCCTTGGCCACCATAGCCTTGGCCACCCTGGTTAGGGAAACCCTGGGGCTGACCATTCCCGAACTGTCCTCGGCCACCCTGGTTGGGGAAACCCTGGGACTGACCCTGACCGCGCTCCCAGCTAGCGGGCCGCCCATACTCGTCTGCGTTGTTGGGCTCCCAGAACGGGCGGGGGGGTGGGAACGGGATGATTGGGGGAGGCTCCTTGAGTGGCACCTTGCGGATGGGTTCGTCGAGCAGGGTGTTCTTGCTGTTCTTGTCCTTCTTGGAGCCCTTCTTGGAGCCCTTCTTGCCGTCGTTGTGGTTGATCTCCTCGGGGATCTCGGGGATCAGCTCAGAGCCCGCTGTCGCTCCATTCTTAATCTTTGGCGATTGAGCCTTGGGTTCGCCAAAGTTCTCGGCCAACTCCTCGGTGGAGCTGGACTCGGGGCTGATGCCGTTCAGCTTATTATCCCTTTCAGGGGCTCCAAGCTGCTGCTTCTCTGGGGTGGCGGACTCATTCTCGATCACAGTCTTCTTCTTGGCCGGTGACTCTTGCGAACCGAGAGTGCCAGTGTTGCCTCCCTCGCTGACCGGCTCCTTCTCGGCCTTGGGCTCAACAGCAGCACCAGTAGACTCAGGTCGGGCCGGGCGGGCTTCCGCACCGTGGGAAGAGCCATCGTGTAGGTTGGGGCAGGTCTCGAGGCTGTTAGGATGGCTGCAGGGCAGGGCCTTGGAATCAATGGATGGGCGGACTACGGCGACTGTCCTGGTCTGCGAGTCAACCAGCGGGATGACGATGGGCTTGGTTGCTGTGAAGATCTGAGGTCTGGCGTCGACTGACGGCTCCGGGGATGGCTGCACCACAGCCACCGTCCTGGTCTGCGTGTCCATGAAGGGGATGACGATGGGCTTGGTGACGGTGTGAGGTTCGGCACTCGCTGATGGCTGGAGCATGGCAACCGTCTCAGTCCTAGTATGGGCGATGGGGATGACTATGGGCTTCGTGGTGAAGACTGTTGGTCCGGGCTTGTGGACAGTCCGGGTGTGGCAAAACACCCTGCTGTCGCCCGCCTGGCAGAGCGCATCGAGATCATCGTTAGGCCCTAGGGGGAGGGGGGACGCAGTCCCGGCCGGGAAGAGGACGCCAGCATCGCTGGGCTCGACCGGCCCGGAGGGCGAGGCCGCCGAAGGACTGACGGGAACAGCCCTAGCCACAGCCAGGGCCGCTCCGAGGGCCAGTACAGAGGCCTTCATGCTCAAAGGGGTGTGATCAGACACAAATGATTGACAGGCACTCTCTTGACTGACTTCCAGGTATTGACAACACAAAGAAGAAATCGAGAACAAGAATGAGAGAGACCTTCCGGGAACAGGAAGAGAAGGACGAGGGAGAGATCCGGCCCCCTCGAGGGGACCTTATAGAGCCTGCCATACACATGACTCTCCTGGCTAGACAGAAGCAGCGTCATCTGAGTTTGCTGAGAGATACATCTGGACATCATCACGTTGCCCCATCCTCGGCCTACGTGGAGCAACCTCCTGGACAATGACCGGGTTCAACCAAAGCATGCACCAACGAGGGGCGGGAATTTGCTCAGAGAAAGACAACAGTTGCAAAATATGCTTTTGTGGCGTCTGCTTGTGCGGGTATATCCAGCTTCTATTCCGACTGAGGGGAAAGCTTACATGCCCTCCAGCGAGTCCGTAAGACGCCCATACAACCGCGAGTGGGGGATCAGTCGCGCCCTTGATGGCACCGCCTCCTCCACCTCGCATGAGGCTTAACCCCCACCAAACCTTCCTACACAATTGTCTTGGGCAACCCGAGCATCCTATACCGACGGCTTCCCGGGATGGCGTTCGATGACGGCGCCAAGTTCTCCTGCTCCGGCTGGCAACATGTCCCTTTCAGGTAATGTTGTGCTTTCCGGAGCCCCTTCCCCCCTTTTCCACAGTGCTCTCAGGTTCCACCCTCCACTCGGTGCTCGTTGTTTTGCCTTGTGACGGCCCCAGTCTTTCGCAAAACCACAGACTCCAACGCCTTTTTGAAACAGCCCAGAGATACATCCTAATCCTCAGGAACCCCCGAAAAAAGACCTACGCGCATACGGTGGCTCTGCGTCGACGTGAGAAGAGGGCCGGAAATAACTAGAGGGGACAGGGGAGACTCACGTATGGAAGCTTTGGGATAATCACTCCCAGAACGGCCAAGAAGTTTATCGTAAAATACGCCAGATCATAGTGCGTGTAATGCGTACTGAGGAGAAAGAGGACGATGGGTACGCTGAGTAGGAACTTCTTGGCAGGAGTGTACTGGGCACCGTCGTCGATCTGCTCCCACATGTTCAGATTGTCGTAGGCCCCGCCGTTGAATTCGAACGGTACGCCCCGGACGTAGTGGAACATGATATACGAGCCAAACATGTACGATATGTTGGTTAGTGTCCAAGATGTCTCCTGTGACACACCCGGGATGATATCGTAGACGATCTTGAGGGTCACGATCAAGACCAAGTGAATAGTCCAGGCACCTAGTACGGAGAAAAGTAAGGATCAGCGCTGCGTTTTTTCCTTTGGGTTTTTAGTCCAGACAAACAAGCCCCGAGGCGCCTGAGGCACCTAAGACTTGCTACCGCCAGACGACGACGACGACACGCCTGGATGGAAAGGGGCAATGGCCATCCGCCAAGGTTCCATGTACGCGTACCTTTGGCATTCACCCAATTTGCGTTGAGATTGGGCAGGGCAGACTGGTCACTGAGCTGCTCAATGGGCTCGGGCGGCTCATGGTAGACCTGGAGGATGCTACTAGATCTCCTCCTCCGGCCAGTCTTGTCCGCCATGGCGGCGCTATGGGTTGCCGACCCACGACGTGGAGGGTTAGTGCCCGTCTCGTAGGAGACGGTGCGCGGGATGAGGATTGGGGAAGACAGTTTGGCGGTATTGACGGTCGCCGCGAGGTGCGGCGGTCGAGCGGGATAAAGGTTGGATGGGAATATCGCGAGGCACAATGCGCGGCACAGCAACACACGTTGCGGTATCGGTGGATATAGCACCCTAGCCGGGGTCGTATCCGAGGTGCAATGACGAGAGACCGAGTGCGTGCGATTTTCCGAGGGGTGATGTCACAGAAGCCGCGTCCGAGAAAAAAGGGGGCCGCGGGTTGGGGGACGAGAGCGACTGCACTGCGGATCGAGACGTTGACAGTGTGTCAGTCAGATGGCGACGAGGGTGGCGACGAGGGTGGCGACGGCCGGGTCGTCGACGGGACCGATCAGGGGCTTTGTCGAGGAACGAATGTCGAGTGGCCTTGGATGTCTAGAGTGCCTCCCTCGGTCGAGCTCGGCCCGGGAGATCGGAGATGATGGGAAGGGGCGGCGGCGGGCACTGCCCTTTGGCCTTGAGGTCGGGTAGGTAGGTGGCAGGTGGACACCTAGGTAGGTAGTACCAAAGGTAGGTATGTAGACGGTCTTTTGAGCGGGTTAGTGGGCGTTGACTGTTTCGTCTAGACTCTGATGTGGTCGGGTGTCTGGCCCTGCATTCGAGAGCGCAACCGAATGGATGTTGCTGCTCTGGGGCTGCTTGTGAGGCTTCGGGGGAGGATCCGGTTTGCTGCTATGTGCCCGCAATCGTAATCGATGCTCGCAATGTGCAGCGCAACGGAGCGCAGTGCGAGTTGCAGTGAAAGCGCGCTAGGGAGAAAGAAAGAAGCATTGACTAACCGAAAGTTTAGATGGAATTGCCACGCAGCGGTAAAACGAGAGACGGAGAAGAAAGAAAGTACCGCAGCTGCAAAGCCCAGAGCACAGGATTAACTATCACAGACCGACGACGACGTGTTTGGTGTCTGTCGGGACGAATATGGGATATGAACAATGGGGAAGTTGGCCGGAAACACGGGCACTGGACCAGGAAAAGGGACCGGGAGTGGATGGACGCAGCCAAGGTGTGGCCACGAACACCAGAACATTAGGTAACCCCGATGAGGCCCACGTACCCTGTCCGCGGGTCCCTGACCCCGACTGCGGACGCGGCCCATTGGCGGCTCCAGAGTACCCCAGCACTAACATTTGAATTCCACAAAAATGCCAGATGATACGCTCCGGGATCTCAGTGGGACCAGGGGGGTCGTGAAAAATGTTGGCACAGCCCTTTTCTTGGCAGCTCTGGGCGTGGCAGCGTGCAGGACTGCAGATGAGACCTTATCAGCCGTCATGTACCCAAGTGGGGACCCCCTGGACTGCCATGCCCTGCAGCCTGAGGTTGTCATTGAGAAGAAAAGTCCAGACTCAGGACAGCGTCCAGCAAGTCACCGCTCACCTCGGTCCAAGAGAACTTAGACTGACTGCACTGCATTCCAGATCAGCCAGGAACTCAGGGAGCTTATGAAGTACCTCATATTATACGCGTATGTATGAGATACTAGATGTCGGCAATCGACCCACCAAGCCTTGGGCAGGTATAAAACCTGACGGGAAGTACTGGACGGAATATTCCGTACGCAGTAAGAATTGAACTGCGTGTTGACTTTCACTCTAGACTCTCCTGGTTTAGGTACGTAATGTTAGTGCGACATTACTACCTCAGGCTGTAACGTTTTTAACTTCGGTTCCTCTTGCGAAATAAACCACCTACCAGTATGAGCCCCGGGTATCCGTTAATAAATAAAGAATGAATTGGCAGAATTCCTCAAGGCTCTTCGATAATAATTACATCTAGGTATAGTAGTTTCCACGTTTAAAGCTTCCTAGGTAAGGAAGGTACTTGCTTTAGGTCGTCCTAAGTCAATAATCGGGCAACACAGGTTGAGGCTATGCGTGCCTCAGGCATGCAAAGAGACTCACTTGTGGCCCTGATTGGAGTTCAGCGGGCTGCACCCCTGCAAGTCGCAGAACCTTCCTAAAATTAGTGACCTAATGCCCCCACATGCTTTCTGCCCTGAAAGCTTCTACCAATTTTTCGACAGTGCGCTCATCTACAGTGTGCTGTTGAATGAGATTCGATCATAACCCCGGACATTTAAGCCAAAACCTGACGCTACTCGCGTCGAAAACGTGCGATCGCTCAGCTGATTTCATAGTCAAGACGCTGAGCTATTCCCTAGGGTGTGGGGACTAAGGTTAGGGTTGGCCTCTATTTCGGAGCGCGACGAGAAGTCCATCCAGATTGCCACTACATACTATTTGGTTTATCACGACGCGACATTCGCGACCTGCCAAGAGCATCCGTATATATTCATTTCGTTTCGGTGCGGAATACGGATATACCCTCTCTAAACTCCACATTAAGAAACCAGAACCATCTCTTCATCGCGCATCTGGCTCAACGCCCACACAGCAACGTCTGCACTTCCTAACAGGGATGTGGGGAACCCACAGAGTTTGCTTCGAAAAACCGCTTCACGCCAAAAACTGTGTCATCCGCCCTCAGGCCGGTGTGCATCGAGCAGGCTATGGACAGCCCCCAAGCCGCGTCAGAGCAGCAGCTCACAAACGATGCCACTCCCGGCGAGCCGGGACTCCAGCCTACCGAGTCTCTAGCCGGCAAGAAGCGCTCAGCCTCCGAGACAAATGACTACAGTGGACCGGAAGGCGGCCGTGCCTCTCCATCTCTCGGTGACGACCATGCGCTGAGCCCTAAGAGAGCAAAGTTTGAAAGCTCAAAGGCATCCAGCGCGTCTGATGAGCTCGACGAAGGCGAGATTAGGGATCCAAGCCCTTCGTCTGAGCTGGCAGCGACCCAGACCGTGCCCCCGGAGGAGCCTCGGAAGGCAAGCAAGAACTGGAACCGCGGCATAAGCAACGGGCTACGTATCTCGTTTGGGGCGGCGATCCAAGACACAGCGGGAACACCGAGTCAAGAGACAGTCGGGACGCCGAGCCAAGAATCAGCCAGCCCAAGCCAAGACAAGGCCGTGCCGAGCAGTTCTTCAGTATCCCTCGAGCCCGTAACCCATTACCCCACCTGGACCACAGAATATCGAACGATCCTCAACGGCCTGGTCTTACCAAAGAGCTTCTCTGGTTGGGATAAGCGACCCAAGACAGGCGACCCATGGGAGGCTCGGCTTGAAGAGTGGTGTCAGTCTTTGATGAATCTAAACACAGATCAAGACGCCTTGCGAGACTGGGGCATTGTCAAGGGGGCTTGGTGTGCCTGGGTGGAGCAACAAACTTTCAGCAAAAGCCTCAAAGTCATTGCTCAAAAGGCATCAGTGCATGGAAGCATAGATCCCCAAAAGCTCCTGGAGATGTATCTCAAGGCGCAGGCCTCAAAGCCTGAGAAACAGGCCGAGTCTGGCGAGCTAGCTACCAAGGCTATCAACGGAGAAGGGCAGTCGAAAGACACCTCTGTCGCCAAGTCAAGCGAGCCTAAGACCAAAAAGTCCAAGAAGGGGAAGGTAGCAAAAGAGTCGGCGCCGTCGAATGAGGCAGCCAGCAAAGCATTACCAGACAAGAAGGTGCTGACAGCGACAGAAGTAGTACAAGATCCGCCAAGGAATAGCGAGGCTTTGGGAAAGGCTTCTGGCTTCCCCGACCTTGCGTACATGGAGAGGTACTTTCCCAGTCTCGAGCCTGGAGCCATCTTCTGTGTCATGTGCGCTTCTCACGGCCACTTGGCGGACCAATGCCCCGAGATGGCGTGCAGCTTCTGCCGCAAGCCAGACCACCGCGCGCGCAAATGTCCTACAAGGCAGCGATGCGATAAATGCAAACAACTCGGCCACGCACGCAAGCAATGCGGCGAAAGCTTGTCTCTGGCCCCTGGCGAGATTGAGTGTGCGATCTGTGGCTCTCTGGACCACACAGAGGGACTGTGTGGCGAGGTCTGGCAGAGCTTCAAACCAAACACGGGCGGCGTCCTCAAGGTCAATGCTTTGCCCATCTACTGCTATCGCTGTGGCTACGAAGGGCACTACGGCACAGAGTGCCGTTCAAACCCGCAAAAGTCGAAGGGCACAACGCTGCAGGGAACCTGGAGCCGGGCCAACTACGAACGCTATGTTGACTCGGAGTCGTCTAAGGCGGCGATTGGCTTCAACCTCTCTTCCCTTTCTCTAAACGATGACGGAGGCCGACCCGACTTTGGTGGCAAGAGCATCGTTCCTCGTAGACACGTTGTCTTTGAGTCGGACGATGACGACGACAACGAGGCTTTTATCCGGCCTCCGGTCAAGGCACCTCGAGTCCCGAACATCACAATTAATTTCTCTGGGAACAACAACGCTGGCTTAGATCGTGGGGGAAGAAGACCCCCTAGACAGTACAATGGCAACACCGGAAGAGGAATGAACGGGCTGCCGAACCCTCCCCTCCCTCCAGGTCCTCCCCCGTCTTCCGGTCGGGGTGGTCGACGCGGTGGGAACCGGGGCGGTGGCCCTGGGCGGCGTGGACGAGGCGGTTATGGGGGGAACAACTGATGAGGAGATATCGAACCCACCGTCGAGATCAGATAGGCCGGCACCAGTGCCAAGCCTATTCATGCGCAGAGCAGAACTGGCTACCAGGCACTGGTGAAGACGGCCTCTCTCCAGCGGAAGACGAGTCACAAATATTCCTACCAAATCAGAAAAAATGAAAAGCAGTACATTGGTCAACCGGGCCTGCAGAAGGTCAGAAACAAGGGTGGTTTTTTCATTGGCACCGAGGTATCAGGTGGAGTTGCGATTCTTGTTTCATCCAACGTCTCTTGGGTCGTGGATTCTGTAAGTGACTTGTGTGATGGACAGTTGGACACCAGACTACGTCTAGAAAACATATCCTGCCTTGGCTGCTGATTCGCTCGTAGTGGGGTAAACTGGTCTTCTGGCGCACGCACACCCGTCACAAGCCGAACCAAAGAGACCGGCAGTTGATTGAGCCGTTTCGAAACATTTTGAGGGGTGGAGGGGACTGTGTGTGGTGAGTTGGATGGGAGGTCTAGAAAGCCCAGTGGAAACAAACGTAACCTACCCTAAGCATCCAATAGGCGAAGAGGGGTCGCAATGGGGGTGGGTGGGTGGTGTGCAGGGCAAGTGTATGACTGTAGGACTGTAGGTGTCCACTCAGCCACCGCTCGCCTCGACGCGTAAATGTCGCGGTTTTCTGCGGTGAGTGAAGTCGAGATGGTGCAACGAGGTGTCAGTCAACAAGGGGTTTGTACTGTACTGTACATGTACATCTTTTTGTATTGTCTAGGTACCTAGGTAGGTATCCGTACTCTATACTAACATAATGTGTAATGGATGAGGTACTTGGAGTCTCTTGTAAGCTGTACCCTCCCCTCTCCCCGCAACTCCTTGCTCTCCATGTTCCTCACGGCTCCATCCATCCCCAACTGCCATGTTCGAGTCTGAATGGCCAAGCGTTGTTGAGTTGGGTATAATGGGTGCTGGCAGAGGCCCTGGTGTCTTGTGGCTACAGAGAGATGGAGATGAGCGACAGCAATGCTGACAACGAACGCCTTCACTCGAGAGAAGCAAAAGAAAGAGATCTCAATGGCCTGTCCTTCCCAGCGAGAATGCGGCGCGCTTAATCCTTTTATATGATCGGCTGCGGGGGGGCGGGAGCACCCAGCGGCGCCAGCGCGCCAGTTTCGTGTCCTGGTCGCGTGTCTTTCGCGGGGAACCGCGAGGGTGCCCTGGCCTGTCGCGGGCCGCCAAGAGCCAGCCACGCAGATTTCGGAGCACCGCGCGCAGACTGATTGGCTGAGAGCTGCGTTTCCCTGTGCTTGCCGGGGCTGGCCCCTGTTGCTATCGATAGCGCTTCTCGCTTGACCCCTGCGCATCGCTGCACTTCCCCGCCTGTCCCCGAGCTCCCCTCCTGCAGCGTGTTTTTTCAGTTTCAGGCCTCGTCAATGGGCCAGACGAGCTGGGCCCGAGACGGCTGCAGACGGGCCTGCAGGAGGGCCCGCCGCCGCGGCCAGTCAAGAGACCGGGACGCGGTCGGCCACGTCGGTCGCGGGTCTGTCCTTGCCTTCCCTGGACGTACTGGGCCGGCTCCTGCATGCTCGAGCTGCACAAGACCATCCACCGTGAGAGGGGGGAATGGTGAGTGAGTCACTCATCGCCATTCGTTTTCGACCCTCGACACTCAGGAGCGACAGAATGGAAGCCCCCCTCGTCGCCGAATCGCGCATTCCAAAATGCGGAGGCCGTTGATGCGGGAAGGTGGACGAGGTACGGATAGGGCTACAGTGTATATGTTAACAGCCTCTCATGGTCGTTCGTTTCGGTTTCTTTCTCCTTTTAGTCAATCAACTTCAGGACTCAAGCAAAGGTTTTTTTTTTTTTGTTGCTTTCTCTCTCTCTCTCCACGTCCTCAAAACAAACCCTAGCTGGCTGGACTGTGATCGAGTTTCATCAAACAAACATTTACTCTTTGTCTCTCTGCCTCTGCCTCTGCCTCTGCCTCTGCCTTAGTCTCTGCCTGAGTCTCGATCTCGTCTCAGGCTTCGTCCCCATCTGCCAAGGTATTTGTATGAGTGGGCGAGAGTGAGTCTTATACGTGGCCCTGCCAAGGACATGGCAAACGGTCCGCAAGCATTCTACGCTCTGTGGCAGGAGTCGGGTGTCCGTGAGAAGCTCTTCGACCTGCTCTCCAACGACGACATTTGCGCCGTCAGACTCGCCAACTCGGCCTGCTGCAATCTTGTCACCAAGAGACTCTTCCTTCGAACTCACCTGACCTTCACGCCCAACACCTTCACCAGGCCGAGCAGGATCCAGGCCTTGTCGAGGATCGGCCACCATGTCGAGCACCTCACCTTCCACTTTGCCCACTCAGAGGCCACCTTCCTGCCGCCTCTTATCCACCCCCGGACCGGGCACGAGCTCAACTTCCTCTACACCCCCCACACGTCCATGGCCTCGGTCCTGTCGAGACCCAAGTATGGCAACTCGGAGTTTGGCGAAATCCTGACCCAGCAGTATCCGCCCCTATTCCATGCCGCCAGCAACGTGCCCTCCTTCATCAATGCCATGCAACACTTGCCAAACATACGCCATCTCACCATCAAAACCCCAGGTCAAGACCCCAGGGAGCGCTACCGCCGAGACATTGTCGACTACGCTCTCATAAGCCTGCGAATCTCACTCGAGCGCGCCCCCCTAACCAGACTGAACAAGCTCTCGCTGTCCGCCGTTCATCCCTCAGCTTTCCTCTACCTCCGCCACCTGCCCGGTCTCGGTGCCTCGCCTGCTGCCGCCCGCCGATGGCGCCAGATCCGGAAGCTCAACATCTCTGTCGAGTCCTGGGACTTTTACGGCCCTTCGCCGGGTCTTGATCAGCTCAAGATCATTGATGATTTCATCCGGAACCTGGCCCCGACTCTTGAGAAGCTTTCCTTCACCTGGCTCGGCCGTAAAGGCCCCTGCCCCCTTGCGCTCTGCGAGGACCCCCTATTCGCGCCGCCACGCAACACCAAGAAGCTATTCAACGAGGTTACCAGCCCCATGTCGCCGCTGCCGCCGCGGCCGTCGCGGAGGCCGCTGGTCATGCCCCGGCTAAGAGCCATGTCGGTGCGCAATGCAACCATGAACGCCCCTCAGATCCAAAGGCTCGTCAACAGCCACAAAGCCACCGTGCGCGAGTTCGACTTTGAGAACGTCGCTCTCATCGGCAGTGGCAGCTGGGACGACGCCCTGGCGCCCCTGGCAGACGGCGGCAGCAGCGATTCATGGTCGCGCCGCTCCTTGGGAGGGAGCGAAAACAGCTTCCGGCCACCAACAGCGCGGTCGGCGTCTGGGTCTGGCGTGGCAAGCTCCCAGGAGGACGAACAGCTGCCCGCCTCGTCTGCAGCGGCCGCCGCTGCGAGTCGCGAGCTGTTCGACGTGGATCTCGAGGGCATGGTCTTCGGGGGGATAAACGACGTCGAAGCACTCGAGGCCGGTGTTGAAGAGTGGGCGCGCGGCGTCACGGCGGCGGCAGCGTCGCAAGACGGTGGCGCAATCGGGACTATTCTCGAGGCGGATGAAGAGAAGGCCGAAGACGACGACGGCCTAGCATCGGACATAGAAGCTGCCAGGCAAGCAAGCCATGGCTTCAGCACAAAGCTCAAGAAGCGCCGCATCCGCAAGAAGTCTCGCAGCCACTACTCCTCCAAAGACGAGCTCGCCGAAGAGGATAAAGATAGCCGACGGAGCGAGCGCCACTCGAGCCGCTCAGACCGCCACGACCAACCTAGCGAGCGTCACCGCTACCACAGCCGGAGCCGCCACAAGCACTCGCGCAGCGACGACACAAGCGACCGCCACCACAGCCGAGATGGCTCGACGCACTCCCGGCGCAGCCACCGCCACCACCGCCGGCACCGCTCGGAGGAGATCCCCGACATGCCCGACATGCCCGAAGTCATCGGGACAGACGACGAGGGCCACTACCGTCCACGAACACCCCAGCCGAAACCCAGCATCACGGCACCCATCCTCAACCCCGATCCTCTCCCAATACTGCTGCAGCCAGCGGTATACGATCCGTCTGCCAAGACTAAAGCCGTCCTGAGAACGTCGACAGACAGCACCTCGCCGCCGCTGCCCGCTGCCGCCACCGCTACCGACAACGACGGGCTCTCGTCGGTACAGCGGTCCATCGAAGCCGACCTGCTGGCCGAGGCCGAGGACGCGGCGGCGCGCTCGACGGCGCTGCGACGCGCCAAGGAAGCCGTGCTGACCAAGCTGTCGCGCGAGTTCTGCAGGCGCAAGGCCGCCGGCGCGCACAGCAAGGACTCGGCCGCCGTCACGGCCGGCCTGTCAGCGTTGAACCTCGGCATGAACATGAACCTGAACCTGAACGGCGGCGCATCCATGGGCTGCGGCGCCACGTCCAGCATGGGCCTGCGCATCCGCGAGGGCCTCTTCGGCCGCAGCCTCGCCAACGTCGCCGCCATGGCGCCGGACCACCGCAGCATGGACAGCCAGACCGCGCTGGTGCCGTTGATGTTCAGCCGGTCCTGAGAGAGAAAAGTGAGAGTAGAAAGGGTTAGACAGGGGAAGGGGGTTCAACCGTGGGAAATGTTTGTGGGGTGTAACGGCGGCGGGCAACGGAAAAGAGAAAATAACATAACCATGTGGCGTCTTTTGAATTCGGATGATGCCATAATACCATTCCTTGTTGGGGGGATTTGTTTTACCTTGTTCGTGGTACATACAGTACGGATAGGGGGTTGGAGTTGGATTTTGATGACTTTGATGAATGAAGGTGCACACGGGCCGACATGATGAACACACATACATATATGGATAACGGTGTTGAACGAACCTTTTTGGCTGGTTGGTTACTTGGTTGGTTGACGGGCTCACTCTTTATGACTTATTGTAATGACTTTATATATTTATTATTATTATTATCTATTCTCTTGTTCATGAGCTGTCTTTGTCTGCCAATGCTGGCTCACGTCGACAGGCCAGGATTTCGATCTAGGGACAAGAAGCATGAGGTCTGTCTCGACTCTATTGAACGAACTCGTCATGTTGAGACATCGAGGAGTCAGGATATGCCTTCCTATCAAGCCACCCTGAATTTGTTCGGGGAAACGATTATGGGGCCGGTTCGAGATATCGCTCAGTCGAGAATGCTTCTGAACGCTACAAATTCAGTCAGAACACTTGTCTCTAGCCATATGTCTTCACGTAGCGTAGTGTTATGTACGGTACCTATTTTATTGTTTTTCGCCTTTTTTTAGTGATTTTCGGTTTTTTTGATTAGTTGGAAAATACGCTGTTGGTCCAGATCGTCATTATACCGTATTGAAACTTAGTAATGGCTTTCACTATCAGGGCACCTATGCGATCTGCTTATCTTTATCTTTAATAGGAATCTAAAGTAGGGCAGACGTTAGCTTAAACTCAATTCTTGTAGTTTTGTTCCTGGAGCTGGCACGTTATTCTTCATGCTTAGACCTTGTCCGCACACCATACCAATTAGATAAACTTCGCCGAAACCGTTTGACCCAAGTCGGGGAACATGTTCACACAGGGCGCTGGTGTCACAGTGCATCAAATGAGAACCTTGTTTTCGAGCTGCTGTCCGCCCTGCTCGGGCCCCGAGAATCTGGTTGACGCTTCTGTCGGAACGAGAAAGAAGAGACCCCGCACGTCCGCCAATTTATTAATGTTTGTCTGTGTACGACCGACGCTCCGATTGGAGACGTTCTCGACGAGTGTCCCGAGCAAGGCAGGCATGTACCTCTGGGCGTGAAGGGAAGGAAGCTGTTAATGGCCGATATGGAGCGTGCGGGGAAAGCGGGCAATGCCGGATTTTGGACAGGTGCTGTAGACAAGTAAGAATCTACGTATGCCTGAGAAATAAAAAAAAATGACGCCTCTCCAAAGTGCGTAATTCGTACTCTTCTCCCTTGTGTGTTAAATCGAGCAGCTGCGATCCGATATTTCACAAATCTTCGGTTTGGGAGGAGCAACTTCACTGGCCCGAAGTAATTTCGATGGGGCAGAAATCGGCCCTTGGCGGCATCTGCGAGGTCTAGGCCCGCCGAAATTGGCGTCTGTCCTTTTTCGCCCTTCTTTCTTTGGGCGGCCGGGGCAAAAACACTCGTTGTGATCTCCACAAATCCCACACAGGCCAATTCCAATTCCCTTAGCTGCCGCTGTGGACGTTGGATGAGCTTCAAACGAGGCCAATCCCAGCCCGCCGGTTCCACCATAGGGGAGCAAAGGAAGCTGCTCGATCATGTCAAAGCACACCGGAAGCACAGTGAATACGCAAACGCTATCCCTCCGCAAAGCCCGATGGTGATCATCCGGCTTTGACACACCACTGGCCCTTCTAGCACTAGGCCTGCTACCTTGCAGCCAGCAGCCAACAGCCCGCCTCCAAGCCTGCTAGCTTCGAGCGCCGCCCTGCTTTTGGCGATCTACAACGTCCCGCCGATCTCCAAAAAATTGCTTGTCGAGACCATCCCTTGTCGAATCCTCGCCTGCACATCACGTCGCCAGATTACCAGCCTGCGGGGCTGATCAATTGCTTTGGCTGTTCTGCTCTGTGTTGAGTCCCGACACGGCGGTGTCGACGACAAAGGCGCTAGGGGCGACAGTGTGAGTGCAATTCACAGCTAAGGCAGCGGCACCACCGACCTCAAGGCCAGCCTGCTCGAGCCACCACGGCTGCCGATCTCAAAGCCGTGTGCCCGGCTTTCTTTCGCCTGGAATCCTTGGATTCACTTTCGCGCGCGCTGACTTGTTCGGCTACCAAAGTAGTCGACGACTCGTCACTCCGAACTTCGGTGTTTGCCCCCCCTTTCCCCCGACCCGACGGGAAAACTACCACGAATCGGCACGAGAGACGACAAGCGAGCCACCTCAGTGAGCAACCGAGTCTGCCAACCTACCTGCTCGCAACCATCGCCGTTCGCCCGCCTGTCAGTTCGCGGCCGACAGCTTGCGCTAGCTGCGACAAACACCTCGAGAGCCGCGCCCCCTACCCCTTCGAAGGGCTGTCTCATTCTTGCACCATAGAGTCTCGCCTGGGAAACCCAAAGAACATGCAGGTCGTGCAACAGTCTAGTCCAGACTGCGTCTTATAGTCCGCGATGAAGATTAGAATCGCCATCCGGGAGCAGCTTGCGGCCTTTGTCATCTTCACTGTCCTGGTCTCGTTGGCCATCGTTTCGATTCCGACATGGATCTACGTCAACAACTTCGTCGTCGGCGTTGAGACGGATGGGCTTGCTCTAGCTGCTTCTCTTAAGGCTGCGCGAATCTCGTCCGAGATCGACCTAATCCAGACCACTGTTCAGACCATATCTACGCGTCTATTGCTACAGAACGGGTTGATCAACTTCTACAACCGCAACGCTAGCTCCGACGATCCCTGGGATGGGGCCCGCGACGATTTGTCTAGCGCTCTCAGCACCGGCGGCTTCTCCGGCTTGCTACAGGCACGGTTATATTCGCGCAACAGCACCGGCGATCGCTTCGGCCTCCTCAACATCACCGGAAATGCTGCCACCGACTCTGGTCCCATCTTGCTTCCTGACCTCTCCCCCACTGGGTCCAAGGTATATCTCGGCGATCCCGAGTACGGCTTTCCGCCATCATTGTACCCCAACCTCACCTATGTAGATCTCAAGCGGCCCAATCAGTACCAGAACAACACCAACGCGTTCAGTGCCTTGGCCTTCCCTTCGGTGTCGCTGGGAAACGGCAGCGATGGGATGGGTATTCTCCTAGGCCCGATGGCCATCAACTCGACCTTTGCCTTGATCTCTATTTCGATCCCGATTCGCAGGATCCATAACTATGGCTACATTCTCGGATACTTGACCATCGTTGCAACGGCTAAGACCCTTGTCGAGGTCCAGCTCTCCAGAGAAGGTCTTGGCAACACAGGCATCATGCTCTTCATAGGGTCTGTTAACCCCTGGAATCATTTCGACAACTCGGTGACGGCAAGTAACGCGTCTTGGTCTCCCAACTTTGACGATTTTCAGCGACAGCCCGTTCAGTTCCTCCTCCCGCCACAGGTGGTACCGGGCCAGGCGGACCGCCATGACATGCACAGCTTCAACAGCGGCCGCCTCGACGACCCTTTCAGCGTATCCCAATTTCCCGCTGTTCTCGACGCGTTTTACAATAAAAATACAAGCCCCAATAATGCTACAAGTGACTTGACCACCACCAACGAGCAAGGACGCATAGTTGCGGTGGGTGTTGCGCGGCCGCAGACGTCGCTGGTTACCTGGGCTGTAGTCGTGGAGCAAGATGAGAGCGAAGCTTTCCATCCGATGAACACGTTGAGGAACATCCTTTTGGGATGTGTATTTGGCACTGCCGGTCTGGTTCTGGTGCTTGTTATCCCCTGTGCGCACCTGAGCGTCATGCCCATCAGGAGGTTGAAGTCGGCAACCGAAAAGTCCATTGCTCCTCCTGGATACGAGGACGAGTTTGAAGACGAGTTCGACGAGGAGAACCCAAGCTCGGGGACCACGTCCGGGCAGTCAGAAAAAGGCTTCATAGCTTCGGTGCGAAGACGGATTCGCCGAAGACGCAGGGCCAGGATGAGAGCAGGCACTGCAGACTCGCACCGTCGGGCTTTCAAGATACCCGCAAGGGTCGACGACCGGAAACACTATATCACGGACGAGCTGACCGAGCTCACCGAGACCTTCAACGAGATGACGGACGAGCTGTTGAAGCAGTACACTTCATTAGATGAAAAAGTTGCGGAGCGTACGAGAGAGCTTGAGATTAGCAAGAAGGCGGCCGAGGCTGCGAATGAGAGCAAGACCCTGTTCATCGCCAACATTTCACACGAGCTCAAGACTCCTCTCAACGGTATCATGGGCATGTGTGCAGTCTGCATGGAGGAAGACGATATCGATCGGATCAAACAGTCGCTCAAGACACTTTACAAATCGGGTATTTTTTTTATCGTCTCTCCTGCTCCTGGCTTCGGTTCAGATGCATGAATGCTAACAGGAAGAATTAGGTGACCTTTTGCTTCATCTTCTCGAAGATTTGCTGAGCTTCTCGAAGAACCAAATCGGGCAGCAGATTAGCCTCGAAGAGCGCGAGTTTCGGCTTGGTGAAATCAGGTCACAGATGCTGGCCATATTCGACAAGCAGGTTCGAGAGAATGGTATCTCGTTTTCGGTCAACTTTGTCGGCTCAGACAGCCTGGACATTAGCCCGGGCCCTGACCGGACTAGTATTGACAGGAGGCTTCCAGCGCTTGGTCCGCCGGGTATTGGCAGGCTCAAGGACATGTGCCTCTGGGGTGACCAGCATCGAATTTTGCAAGTCATTATTAACCTGGTTAGCAACAGCTTGAAGTTCACTCCTGCCGGAGGAAAGGTGAACCTGAGAATACGCTGTCTGGGCGAGTTCGAGCAACCAAGCGACGAAAGTAGGACATCGTCACTGTCCAGGGGTGGATCGGGACGTCTGGGACGCAGTCGCCATAGAGTAGGATCTGGGTCCACGACCTCTGCGAGCACAAAAGGGGGCGCACATTCGCCAGCAACGCCGCTCAATCGTGGACTGCTCTGACGATCAACCCCTTGGATCCCAAGGCAACACCGCACGTCCGGATACGAGAGCGATCGCCAACACCTCCACCTCCTAATGCCAAGTCGTTCTTGTTCGAGTTTGAGGTTGAAGACACTGGCCCGGGTATTGCGGAGCATATGCAGGAAAAGATCTTTGAGCCCTTCGTTCAAGGTGATCTTGGCCTGAGCAAGAAGTTTGGGGGCACAGGTCTCGGGCTCAGCATTTGCTCCCAGCTTGCTACTATTATGGGAGGCAGCATATCGCTCAAGAGCACCGTCGGCGTGGGCACGACCTTTACGATGCAGATTCCGCTAAAATACGTCAAGGATCGGTAAGTTGCCTCCTACCAGCCGAGGTTGATGATGGCCACTCTTACTAACTTGCATGTTACAGTGCTTCAAGTACGGCGTCTAGCAGTATAAAGTCGCGCCCCGCCAGTGTAGGCTCGATAGATGGCGAGACCGTCAGACACTCGCTCTCAAAGACTAGCACTGAGCTGCAGCAAACGCCCACGGCGGCGGTGCTCGATAAACAGCCGCGATTGGTGGGCCTCAGTCAGCCGTTCTTTGCAGCGAACCCGAATCCGCAACTTCCAAGCCGAGAGGACCAACTAGCCGCCATTAATAGGGCCATGAAGAATAAGCCGTCCGGCCAGGGGAAGCTTCGTGTGTTGGTGGCAGATGACAATTCAACCAATATCGAAGTTGTCAGCCGGCTGTTGAAGCTAGAGGAGATTTATGATGTCACAATAGCCAAAGACGGCCAGGAAGCGTACGATCTTGTCAAGGCCAACATGGAGAACAACCAGCGGTTTGATGTCATCTTCATGGACATTCAGATGCCGAACCTGGACGGGTTGCAGTCCACGCGGCTCATCCGGAAGATGGGGTACTCGGCTCCGATTGTGGCTCTCACGGCTTTTTCTGAGGAGAGCAACGTCAAGGAATGCATGGAGTCGGGCATGGACGAGTTTCTTAGCAAGCCGATTCGCCGGCCGGCGTTGAAGCAAGTGCTGAAGAAGTTTGCAACGATCGAGGAAGAGCCCGAGATCGCGAGCCTGACGAGAAAGACGACGCCAGAAAATGCCCCGGAGAAGCCAGATGGAAACGGGGTTCAAGCACCCCAATCCATTGACGCGCCAGCGTCGAAGAGCAACGGAGTCGCCCCGCCCGCGCCCTCCACAGCAACTGCATGATGTTAGCCTGTTTGGGTATCAGGTTGGTCTAACAAAACGATATCAAGCCGTAGGTTTGTTTATTTGTTCGAGGGCAACCTAGATGTTGCAACATCATCCTAACAAACACCCGATCTCAACACACATCTGGGACATCTACTTTGTTTATTTTGTATATATATTTTCTTTCGAACGACTTGTGTGTTTTTTGTTTGGCTATATTTTTGAAGCCCCATTAGGCATTGCGACGGAGTGTATCGGTTCCCTTTGCTTGGCAGAGCGTGTCTGGCATTTCCGGGAACACCTGTACTTGTTTTCTTTTGTCACTTGCAGGTATCAGTCCGTTCACAAAAGTACGGGCGTTGGGGATGCTTCTTCGAAAAAGGCCCTCGTTGTCCACGTTCGGTTGGACGGTGGTAGCGGGAAAGAAGGAAACAATGGACTGGCAGCGGGAAATAACGGCCGAGGATGTGGGTGATCTCTCTATATATATAATTTGGCTGCGTCATCTTCTTGAGTGTGCGCGTTTGGCGTGGCGTGGGCGTTCACGGGATGGAATGCCTTGTTTGTATATCATATTCTTAGTGGTAGTACTTGGCAAACAAAATAAGAGTTGGCTGCGAAGCTAGGACTGTTTCTTCAAGTTCTATATTTGATTGTTTGATTGCCGGAGCATGTGTCTCTTGGAGGTGGGGATGGATATCGGATGAGGGATGGGAGATGGGGATGGGGATTGCCGAGCATCCGTCCCGGCAGAGCCATGCTCCCCACACACACATCACTCACCCCGCGTCCGATGGAGGCCCGAGTTTCGGCATCAGGAGCCAGAAGAGATAAGCGTCGACGACCTTGTGTCCGGACGATATTTCTCTGTGTGATTTGAGTTGCGGTGTTTGAAGTATAGAGCATTTCCTGCTTTTGATTTGTCGGTTCTCAGCTGGCTTGTTACTTGCCCCGCCACCAAAACAACCCTGCCCCTTTTCAACCGTACCTTCCTGGATAGGTGTTGCGTCATCATCCCCCTGAGTCACATCCTAAGGTCTCTCTCTCTTGCTGCTCCCACCACCGCCTTCATCAATCAGCCATCTGAACAGGGCAAACAGACAAACAGACAAAAAATAAATAAAAAGGAGAAACATAAAAGTCCTCAAGATGCGCCTTCCCTACGTCGCCAACCCCCCGCCGACAGCGTCCGTCTCCGAAGCCGCCATCGTATCACGCATCACGGCGCGACGAGCACCACGCCCCCTGCAACCACTAGACCTCGCCCTACTGCACGCGCCAGCCGTCGCCGACGGGTGGAACTCGTTCCTGGGCGCGGTGCGGACGCAGACGAGCCTGGCGGCGGACGTGCGGGAGCTGGCGATTTCGCGCGTGGCCGTGGCGAACCGCGCGTGGTACGAGTGGGCGCACCATGCGCCGCTGGCGGTCGCGGGCGGCGTGGCGGCTGCCGGCATGGACGTGGCCAAGCGGCCCGAGGCGCTGGATTTGTTGTTAGAGACGAGAACGCCGGAGGGGCTCACGGAGGCCCAGTGGGTCGTGCTGTGCTTTGCCGATGAGATGACGCGCAATGTTGAGGTTAGGGGCGGGACGTTTGCCCGGCTCAAGGCGCTGTTTAGCGATAAGGAGGTGGTGGAGATCACGGCGACGGTGAGCGGGATTTCTGTTGTCTTCCTCGCTCTCATCTTGACTTGTACTGATACTCACTCCACGACTCCCTAGGTGGCCTGCTACAACTGCGTGAGCCGCTTCCTTGTGGCCTTGGACGGTACGTGCATACGCTGGATAGCGCTGTTCTTTGCAAATCCTGTCTCTACTATTCTCGTGCTGACGCTGCCAACAGTGGGTGAGAAGAACGGGCTGGGACCCGATACGGCGCATTGACGAGGGCGCGTTTGAGGCAAACTACAGTGTAGCACTCATTCATCATGGTACTATCCGTACGGGATATCAGACTAGAGACGCTGTATGAAGCAAAATTAACCAAAGCCCCCTGGGAACCCGCCTACTTTACTTACAGTCGCTCCCGCTCGTTACATTACACTTATGAACATCATACTCCTGCCCTCTTCCCAAATATTAGCTGCAAATAGCTTTCATCTCATGGCGCCGTGCCATCCAAGATTCGCTGAAGGACTAAAACAGACGCAACTATCTCCCATGCACCAAAAATTGAAAGTAACGCGTACAAGAGTGAGGTGGTGTGAACAACTGATAGGGAAATTTGTGGAACGGGGGTATCTCATGTGAAGTGACCTCTAAACTCCAATCAGGGGACAAGATGCTGAATAAATGCAAAAAGAAAACTTAAGAAAGAAAATCGCTCGCCCACACTCCGGAATGTCTTACCCGCCCAGGCGCATATCGTTAAGTCTATGAGGTGATCTGCTCGTTAAATCGTGGCGTGAATATATTTTCGTGGTAGCGTCAAGATACTGGCTGTTTCGCATACGGGATCTGGCATTGCGTTCGTAGATTATTCATGGCGGTCGACCATTATCGCTTCGAAACCCGAGGGACTGGCACGTCAAGCGTACGAGAAGAGTTCGGGAATATTATGCGCGGCTTCTCACGGCCTTTGTGACATGGCCATTTCGATACTCGCGTGTCTCTCGCGCAGAAGAGGACTCTTTTGCAACTCCTGTACAACACCAGCCCAGCCCCGTCGATGGCCTCCTTCGACTCTGTCCTGGTGTCCGATGGCTTGTGTCGTCAACCGCCGTAGCGGGGGCCTGGCCTTTACGCTGTCCGAGAGTGTCCGGGGGAATGCGCCGTGGCGTGGCGTAGAGAAGACGTGGGCGGGTTTCTCGGGGTCTCTCGTCGTGGCCTCCTGCTTTGTCGCGGCCTCGGTGGCCACGCCGGCGATAATGCTCATGTGCACTACGAGGAAGCGCATCCTCAAGAGGTCGAGACGGCGAATTTTATCCTCGAGGTCGGTGCGCTTTGCGGCCCAAAAGATGCGGGCGCTGGTGCGCAAGCGCGTATCATTCTCGCCGGCCAACAAGCAATTCAGAACTTCCCGCAGGGCATCTCCGCCGCTCTGGATGTCGCGGAGGAGCCGGCCGAGGCGGAGCTTGTCCTCGAGACGCTGGACTTTGGCAATATCACGGTCGTACGACTCGTTCTCGGCGATGGAGCTGTCAACGGCGTCGACAAAGACCGTCACCTCGCCGGGCGCGGCCAGATATGCATTCGTGTACCGGCTCGCGATCTGGGCGAGCACGGCAATCGAGAGTAAAAGGGCGGTGAGGGAGAGGAGCAGGATCCACTGACGGGAAGAATCCGCCATTGCAGGTGAGCACTTGAGCTGTACGTGGATGTGACGGTTTTAGGGCATAATTAGGAGACGGGTTATGGAGGAATGGCAACTGCTAAGAGCAGGTGAGACAGCGATCCAGAACCGATTGAATCGCCAGCGGAGATTTGGCAAGCGCGGTTTTTTTACCTGGTTCTCCAGAAGAACACGACGGAATGGGACGGACGTATCGTTGCGCAAGCATCTTTCCAAATGGCACTCATCCCCGCCACCTGAGTGGTGAATTCACCGCTCTGCAGCGCCAGGGGTGACGTTTATTGGCCACTTGGCCCTCGGGAGTCCCCATTCTCGAGCCATGCTTCATTAGTGTGCGGAATCGAGAGGCCAGGCCCATGCGATTCTGAAGAGAGACAGGATGGAGGATGTCTGTACGGGAATGGACGCGTCGACTGTCTAAATGGATGACAGTCTAGTACACAACTGGTCAGTGACACGCGGCTCGTGTGCACATAACGGAAGCCCCGGAAGATGAAAGTCAGCTTTCGAGCGACTCGGTGTCTGTGGTGCCCTGTTGTCGCCTTGCGATCGTTGGGATTTCAGAGGGTCCTCCTCGTCTGAGGTGCAATGTCAAACAGGCCCTTGGCGCTGCATACGAGAGATGGAGTGGACAAAAAAACAGTCCAGCGGAAGTGGCCCTGCGTGCCACTTATAGATTAAGGTTTGCAACGTGCCGTATGGGTGCTGCCGCTGGTATTGGCAGGTTGTTAATAAGACGAGAAAGGTAATAATAATAATCATCTGGATGGAATGATACCTGACCAGGCGTCAACCCAACCCAGTCAGTGGTGGTGGTCGCTGCTTTCCTTGCGTCAGAAATGGATGCCGCTTCCTTGCACCACTCCCGCAAAAGCTTTTTCTCTTGACAGGACGAAAACGCTACGACACGACCAAGACGGCAGCATCACGGGCTACGCCGCACGAATCGATCAGCATTGCTAAGACTTTGCTAGTTGCAGCGCAAAACATTACTTGCCTAAGATCCCACCAAGCAACTTCTGCTTGCCCTCTCGAAATGGCTGCCAGCGAGACGACGCAGTTTGCCCCGCCTCAAGTCCTCACATACGACCCCGCGGCAGCCCCGCCATTGCTCATCTCTCAGGGTGCCGAGGGCCGCCTCTACAAGACGACACACGTCCAGCGCGACCGGCCGTGCGTCCTCAAGTATCGCCCGCCGAAGCCCTACCGACACCCCATCCTCGATGCCCGGCTGACTAAGGCTCGCATCACCTCCGAGGCCAAGGTGCTGGAGCGATGCTATCGCGCGGGCGTGCGCGTCCCGGCCGTCTACGCTCTGGACTTGGTCTCGGGCTGGATGATGATTGAGTGGATCGAGGGCATGACGGTGCGACAAGGCATTAACGACTGGCTTGGAGAGCGACCCGAGATCCCGCCGAGCCCTGAGGATTTGCCTGACGACGCACCCCTCATCGACGCCATGAAGAGGATCGGGGCTGCCGTGGGGGATCTCCACCGCACTGGCGTGGTACACGGAGACTTGACGACGAGTAACATGATGCTTCGACCGCAGAAGAACAGCCAGAGTAGCGGGCAGCCCGAGGTCGGTGATGGGCCAAAGGCACTGGAGGGCGATGTTGTTCTCATCGACTTCGGCCTTGCTACGCAGAGTGTCTCGGACGAAGACCGAGCCGTGGACCTCTACGTGCTAGAAAGGGCTTTTGCAAGCACGCACCCGAGGGCAGAGCGCCTGTTTGTCAATGTTCTTGAAGCATATAGGGGCGCCTTCAAGAAAGCGTCTTCTGTCTTGACAAAGCTAGAAGACGTGAGGATGCGTGGCCGGAAGCGGAGTATGCTTGGGTGAATTCCCTCTTGTCTAAGAAAGCCTGAGGAGAACGAGACCAAACCAAAATAAATAAAGCCCCCAATCGAAATAACTGCATTGAGTCAACCACCCAGCGAACCCGACACTTGATCATGACGCGAAACTACATTACAAAAACTCGCTAGGAAAATGCTCATATCCGCTGTCCCGAAATGGCAAAATCACACCTTGGTATATATCAATGGGGGAATAGGTAACTCGACTGACCGCAACTGCAATTCCTGACCAGCTCTCTATGATTCAACTGAGCGCGACGCGAATCCTAACATTCAACCAGGTCGGCGCTCGCAAAATACCCCTTGTTCTCAATGACGCCCCGATCTCTTACTACGGCCGTGTATTTCACGACCCATTGCGGCGCAAGATCGCCCTGTAAGCCTTCAACACTCGTCTCAGGGTCGGCGAGGACTCCGGCCCCCTGGAGACCTTGGCCGAGCAGCTCCCTCAGCGTGCCCTTGGAGAGAATGTCGGTGCAGTCGCTATGGACCAGCAGCTCTATGTTCTGCTCTCGCGCCAGCTTGACCAGCGGAGGCGGCACATTGCAGCAGTTCTTGATGTTGATCTGGTCGACCGTGGGTCGGACTTGTACCCGCTTGAGAAACCTGGCGAGCTTCTCGCTTCCAAACTCGGCGATGCCAATGTCTTTGGCCAGACCGCGGCGCTGCAGCTCCTCGATTGCGGGCCAGGTGGCCGCCTCCTCGTCGTCGTTACCCTGCGACGAATTGAGCTTATCGGCCTCCCACTCGCAGTCCCCGTCAAAGGACATGCCGGGAAAGGATACGACAAGGAGATCGATGCTGGGGGCGCGCAGCTCTTGGAGGACAAGATCCAGCGCCTCGCTGGCATACTTGCCCCTGTCTGATATGGACGCGGTTGGCAGGAAGAACAGCTTGACTGTGATTTGGTATCGGGAGGGCTCCTCGTGCAGCCCGGCTAGGGACCAGTCGATGCGGGGCACGAACAAGACACCATCCTCCTGCGCCGTCCACAGAGACAGGGGTGTGCGGCCCGCGCCCTCGGTTTCCTGGTGGAAGCCGTTTGCGCTGCTGTTGCCATTTCCATTGCTCTGCAATTCCGAATCAGGGGCGTAATCCTGTTGCGCAGCCAAGAAGTTGCTTCGCAGCGAGTTGGTGAATTCGAGGTTGGATCGGTATGCGCCGGGCTTGCGGATGATAGAAGGGCCGCCCGAAACAATGTTCCTAGATGGCGCAAATCAGCCGCTGAGCGCACAGGCAACACCGCAGACAGGGAGGGAGGGGAAGGAGGGGCAGGAGCCACGCCTCGAAATGTCGCACGTACCCGGTTGAGAGTATTAGCTTCGTCATGTCTGCAGAACCACACAGCCGTTATTATGGAGAATTCCCGTTTCTTGTTCAAGCCAAGATGGGTCGAGACAGAGAAAATTCCAAGTTGAGCCCTCAACTCAAGGTTGGTGGGGTTCAATGGGTTATCGGATGTCTATTATTAATGATTCAGGCCGAGCCCCGCTAATAACGAGGTTTGTCGTGGCCTGGACTGCCCGTGACACGCGCGCTGGATAAGAATGCCCTCGATCGGATCTGGGGGTTCCCTGGTTGTCTAAATACCTAGTGTCAAGATGACTGGAGCAATTGACAAGCAAGAACAAGAAGGGGAGTGCCGCAACTCCTGGGGCCCTTGTGACGGCGTTTCATAAATCGACAAAGTGGTGAGCGCGGGATGGTCACAGTTGAAGACAGATCTAGGCCAACCAGACCATCCCATCGGCGCACTGTTGGCCGAAACGTGGGGAGGTGGCTTCCCCTCCAGAGGCTGGAATCTGTGTCCATGAGTAAGGTACAGACACCAGATAGGCTGGAAGGGCACGCACCGGAGCTGATCTATAATCACAGCATCCGACTATCCATGGATGTCGGCCTGGGCCATTCGGCTACTTTCCAATCTAGAGGGGAACAACCCTGCGTAGAAGCATTTATTCGTTTCCCTAAGCACTTGAAGGAACCCCGCAATAGAAACTCGACATCATGTTGAACTACCTCCATGTTAGACCTTTACAAATTAGAACTTCTGAGAGTCGGCAAATATAATCCTGTTATTAGCAGCGGCCTGTAGAGTCGTGATCGGAATATCTACCTCGGTATCGCAGAACATTCATAGATCCATTCCATTCGGGCATTCTGTATCTGTACGGGTATGTACCCCGTTTTTCCCGCTGAAGTGGAGGTGGGGAAACGCTATTCGTGGGGGGTTCGATCCCCTGAATGTTCATCCCACACAGCAGGTCCTTGGTTGCGGGCCACCCCCAAAAATGCCGTGTACGGAGTAGCTGCTAAACAAATCTCGTGGCCAACCCTCATTTTTGTTGGCGGCAACCTTCACTTTGGCATACCTATGCTCCGATAGCCTCTGATCCACCCACAGCAACTCTGCGCTGCCCAACGTCCCTCGCGTTGGCGAAGGAAGGCCTTCACCATGGCCATCAAGTACGTTCCGGGATCCCATTTTCCCATCGTTCTGGCCTTTAACTAATTGATTCTCTGCAGCTATCTGATTCTCCTCTCGCGCCAGGGCAAAGTGGTTGGTCTCGACTGGGCCCCCCATTCAGGTCACCGAAGCTGACCAAGATCTCCCAGCGTTTGGCAAAATGGTTTACCACCTTGTCCCCAAAGGATAAGGCGAAGATCGTCAAGGATGTTTCACAGTTGGTACTGGCCAGACGAACCCGGATGTGCAACTTCCTGGAGTATAAAGGTGAGCGCCCTCCCTTGACGACATCCCGCCCCTATACCGCGGGTTCCATGGCTGATTATTATCACCAGATACAAAGATTGTGTATCGCCGATACGCATCCTTGTTCTTCATCGCCGGCTGCTCGTCCGAAGACAACGAACTGATCACGCTTGAGATCATCCACCGATACGTCGAGCAGATGGACAAATACTATGGCAACGTCTGCGAGCTCGACATCATATTCTCATTTACCAAGGCATACTACATACTCGACGAGCTTCTACTTGCAGGAGAATTGCAAGAGAGCAGTAAAAAGAACGTGCTGCGATGTATATCCCAACAGGACTCGCTTGAGGATATGGAGGTGTGTATAATTTCCCTGCTCGAAGATGCTTTGTGGCTGGCCTTCTACTTTGTCTCCTGTACACGCGTTTCCCCCCATTCCATTTCTAGCTCTCACGCAAGGCTTCTGATCTCGCTGACCCGTGTCTCTCTCCTCAGGTCGAGGATGAAGTCACGAAGATCATGTAGCGGTTCAAGGCCCTGAAGCGCCGCCCATGTCTCTTTCTCTCCCGAGCAGCGTGTGTCTCGGTTCAAATAACATCGATGGAGCACAGCACAGCTCTTCACTGGCTAATGTATGTTTACGCGGACGACCTAGGATTTTGAAATGGTCGAGCAGGCGCTTAAGGATAGCGGGATCCTCTGAGCCCACCGTGATTTCGTGACGGCACAATAACGACAACGAGCAGATGGAACGGGAATGCGCCGACTTGGGAGAGACACGAGACACGAGACACGAGACACGAGACAATACGAACGCGGAGCAAATGCAACGCGAAAAGGAATTGCAGCTGCCTCTAGCAGAGACGGCTGGGAGGAGGGCGTCCGACTACATCTACCCATCAGGAAAGAGCAAACTCCTTCCGAATACTTTTTAGATATGGGCATTGTAGATAAACAGCTTTGCCGATTATGAACCGAGCCAAGGTCGAATACACGGCCAACCGCTCGTCTAAGAAACACTTGATAACGAAGCGCGGTGTACTAATAAAAAGCTCTCAAGGCACACTTGCTCGATGGTCCATTAGCCATGGCAGACACAGCCATGTGCTCGGGCCTAATGGCTAGTGCATGTCGGGCCATCTGGTGGAGATGGCGCTCGTGGGGCGTTGACGTTATCTCATTCGTTTACGGTTCGGATGCTGCCGCGAGTCCCGCGTGGGAGTGACTCGAGAGCTGGATCGACCCATTGGAGCTCTCTTAAGAGGGGTGGTTTTTAAGACTGACTACCGGGCTAGATTGTCCTACTAAGCCGACGGGAGTCTGCCAAGCGAGTGGGCAAAGCCGGCCGCTGGGCGGGCCATGACCACATCTGGAACATCAAGCCAGCCCCAGACTCTTGGGAACCCATTGCCAGGCCTCTGCCGCCGCCGCCAACTCCTTACGAAACCATTATTCCCCGTTTCTTCTCTCCATTTCTTGATTGCCAAATGCCACGGCAACCTTGCTGCTACTGAGATTCTGCAACTCTTGCCAAGTGTTCCGTTTGCGTGCTTGACGGTTCCCCCACGTTTGGGCTTTGTTCACTTCCCAACTTCTCGGGTTAGCTGATAAGCAGGGCTAAAGCGCGCCTTCCCTTCCCCTGTTCCGGTTCTTCCTTCCTTCACCCAGACATCCTAAAAGGTAAACTCCGCGACTTATTACTTCGATCGCGCCCGCGTTACGAAACCCGAGCATCCTTATCGCTGCGTCGCAGAGCCGAAACGTCTCCAGGAAACGATCGACTCGACCGACCGAAACATACCTAGCAGTCTTCGACCTGGTTGTCATTGTCCGCTTATTAAATGACGACTGACTCCATAGTAATTGCAGCAGCAGCATTCATTCGCCCTTTGATACCGCCAACGGGGAGAAACGGCCCTGCAGCACATCCGGACATCGACGGAGCGCATTCCCCGACACGACACTTGCCCGTCTTAGTGCCAGCTACCAGAGTGCTGGCGCATTCCGTGACAAAATGAAGGTATCGTAACATGTTATCATGGTGGTCACCTACGACGAGATCGCTGCGAGTTTGCTAACGAAACAACCCCAGTTCCTATCTCTCCCGTCATTCGACGTCGTCACCAGCGCGCTCAACTTCGACACGCCAGACTGCCATGTGACTGGTAGCTGTGACCTGTACACCACAAAGGCGGCAGGTTCGGACAAGAAGCTCTACAAGAATATTCAGCAGTCGCTCGAGACGCAACACGCCGCTCTACTCAAGCTTGGCAAGTCGCTGTCCCCGCCCCAGCGCGAGTCAATGGCTGCGAGTCTCAACCTCAACCGCTCGTCGCCATTCGGCTCCCTGGAAGAAGTTGCGAACCGTCGCACGTTCGCGTATCTGATTGCGACACTCAATGCATCACATCCGGACTACGACTTCTCGCATGTTCTGCGCCCTGCAGACTTCAGGCGCGAGCGCATACTCCGTCGGGTCATGAGTCACATTGATAGTACACTACGAAGCGTGCGCCCGACGTCAACCTTTCTCGATTCCGCCATACCACGAAGCTCTCCTGCCAATGGCACAAGCTTTAGCATCTCAGCCGCGCCGTCTTGGGGTCCTCAGATGTGGTCGTTCATCGACAAGGAAATGACGCTGAAGGACTGCACCGCCTTCTCATACCAACCAGCCGATGACCCCTTTGACGAAGAAGAGGGCGCTATCTGGGCATTGCACTATTTCTTCTTCAACAAGACGCTCAAGCGCGTGTGCTACCTCTACGTGCGGGGTGTGCCGGTCATGAGCCATAGTCCCCGCCTTCAACCCCACTCGGTCCTGTCGCGGAGAGCCGGACTGTCGCGGCGCGGTACAGAGGGGTCGGATGATATGGGCACGACTAAGAATGCGCAGTACTGGCTCGGCGACAGGTTCACGGGCCGTGTCACTACTAGCGACGATGACATGGACGGCGACGACGGATTAATATGGAACCGCGACGCCGACGGCGATCTGAACGTACCGTACGACGACGATGACGACTACAGCTTTGAGGAAGAGGAGAGCCTTGATGATCAGACGGAGCCGGATACCGAGAGCGAGGGCAAAGGCAAGCGGGTTCAGAGCCCCGTTCACGGTGTGAGCGAGGATGTGGCGTCGAGAATGGAGATCGATGTCTAAATGCCTCCAGGCTGCTACCTCAGCGCAGTACCGATATCCGGGCTTCCTCATTGCTGGTTCCTCCTGCAATGTGGTGCCCGGAATCGGTTGTGCTATTATACCGGTTCGCGTCGTTCACGGCGGCGCCGACAATGGGTGCGTAGCTTCCAACGCACCCACCAAAACCTCGTGGGATCGCCCAGTCCCAATCTCATGCATACAAATGCGCATTTGAGACGTCGCGTTGCGTTCATCACTACTATACCTTTGGCACATTGCTTTTCTCTTTTCTTTTTTATTGTTTCTGCTCAGTTTCAATTTCTGTCAGGGTTTATGATGTATACCTTTCCATGCAACTGGATGGGACGACTGTTCTAGTTATGTTTGATATGCATTCATGGGCTGTATGGTTATTGGGGTTTCATGTTGTATTTCATGCTTTTATGGCACGCACGACTTTGCTGGCTGAAGGCCTGGGGCCCTCCCTTCTCCTTCGTAGCAAGAAAGCACTCTGTGTCCTTTGGGTAGGCCCAGGCCAGGTTTCATCACAGGCAGGGGCGTAAGGACAGGTTATACGGTGTATTCGGGATGGCTGCCTTGCTTTTTTTGTACTTATTTCGTCTTTGGATCGAAGGGTCTGGTATTCCAGGGCGGGTGGTGCTTTGAAGTCTGGATCGGAGTTCTTCGAGCACTTTAGTCTGCTCCGAGATGCTGCGGGCGTTCCTGAGTCTTGATTAAGCGGGGATAGGAGCATATGACGAGAAATGACATGACTTCCAAACAACTCGGAGACTCTTCTTGAACTTTTATTGAATATGTGTCGCTGTGGAAATCTCAAGCTTTTGACTCTTCGTCGGCTCTGGTAGAAGGGTGATGAAAGCCCAAGCGTAGCTCCTGGCAGCTCTCCATCTCAGGACATCCCCACAAACTCGACTTGCTTCTGGCCATTGATCATGGCCTATACTTTGTGATGATTATACCCACCCTTGAACGCACACCAGGTAGGGGGGCTGTTTGTAAATGCACAAATAATGGGCGCTCTACCACTAATAAGCGGTTGCATTGCTGATAGTTACGAATAATTCCATCCACTATGAATTTATCCCCTCAAATTTGGGTTATCCGTACCAACAGCGAGGGGTGACCCCGCCTATCGAGAACCGCTGCTGTGGGAGTTTGGGGCCGCTGGGAAGGCGCCGGTAAGCCGCTATGACGACATCCGACAAAGTCACGAGCGCGTCCAGCGGCCCCTGCTTTCGCTTACTCCCGTTCAGTAGCTTCTCTCTCAGGCACCTGCCTCATTGTAAGGTGCCTTAGACGTGAAAAAAGGTCCGTCCACGCAGAACCTAGGAGGAAAAGCGGGTGTGTTTTATTATGGCTTTGTCGAATCGCGATTGTTCACAAGCCTGACATTTTGCATCGAGCTCGCCACTCGCACGGTGCCAAGGCCTGGTGAGGGGAGAGATTTGGGGTGATTCCTCCTCGCGGCATCGCCATCACGACGTGTGAGCTTGCCTGTCATCTAAAGGCCGAGAGACGGACAGAGAGAAACCGGCCCACCTCGACTTTTGTACGCTAGAGTCGAGTCGAGCATGGCTGCCGTGACAGCATCGCCATCGGCCTCGTCAATAGTTCCCGCCCAGCTTGGGTTTCTGTCGATTTACAATCCCAGCCTCGGCGCTACAGACGAGACGATTGATGATCAAATTGTCTACTACGCCTCGGTCAGCACCCAGACGGGACAGAAGCGCCGTCGCCACCGCTACAATGCCGCCCGTCCGACGGAGAATCTCTCCAAGGAGGAGCGCAACGAGCGGCTGCGGCACATCGGCCTGGCCCAGGGCATGGTCGAGTTCGGCAAGAGCTTCTCTGGCGGCATGTCGGTCGACACCATCGACACCGAGAGGTCGCGTGTCGTGCTTCACGAGCTGGAGCCGGGATGGTGGATTCTAGCTGTGAGTTAACACCATGCCCCCCTAGCTCTGCGCTGTCGACAAGATAAGACCGCAGCAACTAAACCGAACCCCCCAATTCCCCCAGTCCATCGACCTCACTCGTCTGCCCCTTCCGCCAAGTAGGATAGCTAGCACATCACCGCCTGTTCTCCCGGGCCGGGGGCAAGCTCCCGAGCCGTCAAAAGAACTCGACGAGAAGTTTGAGTACTCTTCTCGCGAGGTCAAGCCAGCTGCGCTATTACTACAGGACTTGCTGCGGGCGCATTCCGTGTTTCTGCTCCACCATGACAGTTCGCTTTCGGCCTTGTTCGTGCGTAGTCAGCGCGCCAAGTTCGCTAGCGTTCTAGATCGGTACTGGGACCAGTTCCTGACGAGCTGGAACGTGCTCCTCCACGGAAATCCGGCATGCAACGTGCTGGGCGGTATTAAGATTGCGGCTTGCGGCGAGCTGGGAATCGGCGTCGGCGAAGAAGAGCGAGGCAGCGGCGAGCGCGAGGTCCTGGAGAGTCTTGTCAACCGCGTCGAGGGCCTTGTGGACCTTGTCGTCAGCAAATTTGGGGAGGACAACCTTGCGATTGGGGAGAAAGAGCCTGCTGCCGGAAAGGGCTTGAAGGGTGATTTACCTTCTGATGACGATGAGTCGTGGCTCGGCACCGGGAACGAGACCGGCGCTGAAGACGGTGCCGTGTTTCTGGGCATCGGTGCCTTATCAAAACATTCTCTCAGGGGCATCACGAACTGGATGGAAGACATGTACACCTGGGGCGATAATGCCTATGGCGTGACCGACAGTCCGACGGCGACAAGGTCACAGATGAGGAATAAAAGGACTCCCAAGCGTGGTGCTGTCCCACCACAGCCACTATCCGCGGGTGACTTGCAACAGAGCGCGAAAGCGCAGCCTGGGTCAGCCGATTCCCAGGCCCCCAAAGATTCCCAAAATAAGGACAAACGTAAAGTGGGATCATCTGAGGCTGTAGCCCACTCTAGTCATCCGGAAGAGAGTACGGAGGCTTCTGGAGGAGGCATGGATAAGCTTTTCAGCTATCTTAAGCTGGGATATGGAACCTCCTGGACTCTGAGCAGTTCCGCCCTTACTGAGGTAGATGGCGGCAAACACCATGGAGTTGGAGAGGGAGGCGATACGGCAAACGCTACGAGCTCACACAAGCGCCCAACCAACGCCACTTCTGGCCACTTCTTGATAGGGCTAAAGGGTGATATCGATGGAGCCGAGATGCCAGTTGAGCAAGAAGATTCTAGCTCTCCAGGTCCGACAGAAGTTGGGGACACCAACCCTCGAATTCTTCTCCGCACCTTGACCGTTGAGCTCGACGCGGAGGCGGAGGATCGCCCAGAATCTCGGACTGTCAAGGATCTCGGCAGACAAGATGCGGCGCCGGCTGTGCGGAACGTCGGCTCTGAGGGTAGCGTCACCGCGGCTGCTGGGGGGAATTTTGACAGCCAGGACGTCAACAAGATCAAAAAACTTCGCGTCGTCGTCTACGTCAACCAGCCATTTATGTTTGTGTTCTTGTTTCAGCTCCGCACCGAGTCGCTGTCTTGGGAGAGCTTCTACCGGTCCCTACACTCCCAGCTGGTACCTGTTCGCAAACCGCTGCTGACCTCGACGGCCTACCGGCCAGGCAAGCCCGACGTGGGCTCTTCGGTGTCCGCGCAGATCCACGACCTGGTCTGGGATCCCCAGTCCCTCACCATCCACTCTACGATACCCAACATCCCCGAGCCGGCAGCCCTCCCCGGTGTCCCATACATATGGTCCCGGATCGAGGCCCTCAACACGCACAATCAGATACTTAATATGTTCATGAGCACGCGCGAGGATCTCTCCGAGTTTGAACGCACCTGTAAGACGAGCCGAGGTTGGTGGGTTGTCTGGAACCGCATCCTCGAACAGGCGCCGCCTCGCGACGTTAAGGGTCGAGGTGTAGACCGGCAGGAGACGCTGGAGAGAAGAAGATCAGATGAGTCAGAAGTGGAAGACTCGGATGGGCTCGACGAGGACGATCAACACGAACAGCGACTCACGCCTAGGCAGGAGCTCGTTGTTAGTAAAGAAATATTCTTAATCCGAAAGGCAAGCGACCACGCTAGCGCTGGCGGGGTGAGAGGCGTCAGCGCCTCGTACATCGTTCCCGGCGCAGCTGCGGGCGGGTGGGCTGATGGCGCCAGCCGCCTGGCTCAGGGCATCGGCGTGGACACGCGGAGGTATATTGAAGGGCTTCTTAGCATGAACAGGTGAATATCTCTAGCCGCACGCGCGCTGCAATTTAGTACCCACAAGTACATACATTGCTTCAGTCTAAAACAGGCCCGTGGCTGGTCACAATCCAGCGGCGGAGAAGAGAGAGGGATGAAATCTCGGTCCTAGAATACATCTTAACAACAAGGGAGGAAATAGACAGCTGGCATAGATAGCATCTAAGTAGGTACTGTAGGGTAGGTTTGTAACGAATGAGACCCCAACCGGTTGGAGATATTCTCTGCATTCCTCGCTATTCGCCATGGGTACTTTATGTAAAGGGTTCTGGAGGTGACACTCATGATCTCAGTCCTATGTTGGTTTCAGAATCACAGGTTAATTTTACTATCCGAGGTGATACTCAAAATGTCCATCCTAAGAGACGTTCACGGTAATGCCAAAACAGCAGCTCTCGTCAGGCACAGTTGAGTCATGTAAATTTTATTCATTTGAATATAAACCTGGATTCGAACCCAATCTGCCTCATCGGCAGACTAGTCAGTCAATCCATGGAGTTGAGCTAACAGGGCTGCTTCCCCTCCCATACTATGTAGGGTAAGTAGGTAGGTAGGTGAAAATATGTACAGCGAAAGAAGAGAAACCTGTGTTTGTTGCGGGTAAGGGGCGTAAAGCAAAGAGTTTCGCTCCCTCTTCTTTTCGTTCCCCCCTCCCCGCAATCCTAGGTCGGTCATAAAGCGCGTCTTTGTAAAAAAAAATTGGGGGTCGAGGAAAAAATGGGTTGGGGTTGTGATGTTTGAAATGCCGGTTTTGCTTTGCCCCCCTCATGAGATGGTCCATCCCCTCCTCCAAGCCTGGAGTGTGCCATGAGTTTATGCAAGAAAGGGAAAGACCCGTCCGTGTCCAAAAGAACAGAAAACGAGAGGGAAAAAAAGTCGTGGGGGTATAGAGGTTTCTCAGGATATGTTCTGTTTCCCTCTCTTTTCTTTCTTCCGTTGGATCGAAATTTCGCCAACTAGCTTGCTTATGTGCGGAAATTTGTACGAGGGGAAAAAAGAAAACGGCCGAAACATGTCGTTAGGTCCACAAACATCACTTCCGGTATATGTTCAGTCATTTCATATTCTTCCTCCCCGGTGGTGGTGCGGCCGACGACGACCAAAAGAGAAAATAGGCGGGATTGCTCCAAGGGTGTCCAAAAAGAGAAGAAAGATGCCGGTGGAATGCAGAAGGCAACTAAAGGGGGGGCTCCTACTTGGGAGCCGGACCGTGACGCGACGACACGCTCAGCGAAAGGTCGAGAAAAGATTCAAGATGCGGGCCTTGGCCGTCATTTCTTGTCGATATGCCAATGAGATCCTAGTGTGCCGCCTAGTCGAGGAACTTCCACTGAACTTTGCCGCGGCCAACACCGAGGGAACCGAAAAGATCGACAAAGAGTTTCTCTGAGCCGTCGATGGCGTCAGCTTCGCAGCCCATGCACTTGTCGCGGCAAGTTGCCGTGAGAGTCTTGCCGCCGTAGCTGACGGCGACCTTCTTGTTGCACATGGGGTTCCCATTCGACTGGAGGCCCATAACGATGTGCGACAGTGCCACGATGTAGTCGCTCGTGTCCTTCCCGGCGTCGTCGAAACCGCATGCGCCCATGCCCAGGGTGTAGTAAGTGAGGTCGCCGGTATAGCCGCCGGACGTGGAAGTGCCAGCAACCGCGGCGGGGGGCGAGGATGGGGCAGCAGGGGCAGCAGGGGCAACTGGAGCCGCCTTGGCTGGCGGTAGCGAAGGGGTGGGCGAAGGAGCGACGGGTGTCGGAGAGGGAGGCTGGACAACTGGCGCTGATGTTGAGGTAGTGGCCACAACAGGACTTTGAACAGGAGGCACGTAAGTAGCTGTCTCGGAGAAAATAGGGACCGGGGGAGCACTCGAGGTCTTAGGGACATACGGAGCAACGGGGGCGGGACTTGATGAGGCACCCTCGAAGAAGTTTCCAGGACGGCGCTGGGTGGTCGTGGTCGTGCTTGGGACCTGGGCCGCATGCACCTGCACAGAGGGCAGGATGGTTTCGGTAGTGCTCTCGTCAACAATCTCGGTCACAGTCTCGTAGACAGTCTCGGTCACCCATTCCGTCACCAAGTCGCGCTTGTGCGGGTGGGCGTGAACGTGACCCCTCTTCTGATGGCCATGACCGTGGCCGAAGTGACCAAAGGGTTGCGCGGTAGCAACTGAGGCCAACAGACTTATGACAATGGTGGATGATTTCATGGCGGAGGATACGCCGTTCGTTTAATGGCGGAACCAAAAGAAAGAAATGCGTTTTCCTGGTAGTTTAGGCCAGGGGCAGCACGTTTGGCTGGGCGAAGCAAGGGAGGGAGGGATATATCTCTGTCCCTTTCACCAGAAGCCAGGGTATCCAAAAGAACGAAAATCGTGAGGCTGAAGACTGATTTTGGTCCGTCGTGTAGGCAAGATATACCTAGGCAGTGAAAAGGAAAAGACTGAAGTGTCTTGGCAGTTCCGTCTTGTTGTTGTGAGACGATATCGACCTGACGGTGGTGCTAGCAAAGACTGCCTTGTGTTCGTGTATATGCCGAGTAATGTACCGCGTCGGTAAGCTATGTGTTGTAATGTTTGGGGTGCAAAATGAACGTCTTGTCCTGAGCACTGCTCGACGAAGGAATGGAATCACGTCAAGTGGGTGAAGCAAAACAAGGGACTGTGGGTGGGAAAAAGGGACAGAGAGGGCAGTTCTGCGATTTAAGAAGTGCATTCACCCCCCAGAGCCCCCAGTGTTATGGTGGTCGGGTTCCCGGGGGAGCGGCGGGCAAAATCAGGGCAAGGGTCGGTCGGGGCACCGTGGCACGGTGGGGATCCCATGGGAGCCCGCACCAGTGGAGGCGCAAACGTTTTTTTCTTCTGTTTTCTCCTGGCTCATTGGTCCATCGGTCAAGCCCCTTGGCTTGTGCCGGACCGGTACGCTACTAGATACTTCCTCCGGACCCATCTATTGTTAGTACAGTTCCTCCTTCTAACTCCCGTGTATGGATACCTGTGCTGTTACCTTACCGTAGTATGCCTCTGTAGTGTATGTAGACTGTCCTCGCAACGTCCTGACAACCAGCATAGGTTGTTTTACATCCCATGTTCGCGTGTCTTGACCCCAATTTCAGTCATTAATAATAGGACGAAAGAGTAAATACTCTCTAGTTTATACTCAACCCAAGAGAAAATGGAGAAATTTCCCAGTCTTGCCAGCTGCCATGATGGATCAATCATGGGAAGCGGTCAATGAACGAGGTATTTCTGGCCGCGCAAGTTTGTGGGTGCCGTCTGTAGCTTGCTAACACGGCTGCCCGACGCGCGGCGTAGCTGTACACTATCCGAGGGGAGGAAAGGTGAGGGGGAAGAGGAGGGGAGGGGGTTGATGTGAGTTGGTGACAGCGGGCAATTCTTGACAAGAGCGGCTGTTCCTTGCAGCATCATGCAAGGTACGCGGGAAATCACTCGGCCCCTTGTTCTTTTCCAGGGAACTGAGCCACGCGAGAGCCAAGCTCAGCCAACGACGGCCCAAAAGGGCTGCCTTTCCAGCTAATCACAGCCGCAACTTGTTTCCTTTGGCCCCGTTTCGGCCCACGTCGATCGGGTACCCACCAAAAGCTTGTGGTCTCGAGCCCTCCACGAATTTGGACGCCGGCCCCTCCAGCGATTCCGTCTGCCGTGCTTCCCATTTGCGCCAATTCCAGTGCGCACGCCCCTCCAGTCATGCCCGAATGTGGAGAGGAAAAACAGAAAACAGAAACTTTTTACCAAATCGAAACATTCGTGGCAGCCCCCTCCTCCTCCATCCCGCCGCTATCCGGCGCTCGGAGGCCTGAGCTGGCAAGTAGGAAAAAGCGTTCATCCGAAGTTGGCTGGGGGGACGGGACGATCACGGCACGGTTGATTTAGGAATTTTTGTGATCAAATGCGTTCTTAGCTCTGATCCCGCCAGGCCGAACGGCGAGTCCAGCCAGGCCAAAAATCCGGGTCTTGTCTCCGTAAGACGATGATTTTATCCAATCATCCGTCATTGAGCAATCCTGTCTCGAAACGCACCAGTGCTGGGAAACTCAATTGCTCCCTCTGCCACGGCGGTGTCATCCGTGCTAATATACAGTTGAGACATTGGTAATACGGCGCCGTCGCCTTTAGTTAGTCAAAGGAAAAATTCTCTTCGTGCCGGACTCGAGTTTCTGAGCAGTCTATGTACTCCCAAATGCCTGGACGAAATGTTCTCTATGTGCAACCAAGCGGGAGAGGCCGAGGGCAAAGGAAGTTAAAAAGTTGTTATTGTGTTATTATAGTCTCTACCTACTCCAAACAGCGCTTCCTCCTCGATTGTCTTTATCCTGGGCGAGATTGTTGGCCTTGATCACTTGCTGATTTCGGGCGTCAATGGCGTGATTGCTATCATGAACATGGCCTCTTGCCGTTGGAGCTTTGCGGGCGGCTCCTTATGTGGGTGCCTTGAGCACTCATGAACACATCCTGTCTCACTTGCTACATGTTTGCTTGGATACTGTGACTTGTTGACACACTGCAGTTATGGGCGGGCTTGCAGCTACCTACCTCTAAAAGTCTATTCCGCCTCCTACATAAGCGCTGCAGCTAAAACACACGCTCTACCAAGCAAGCACCGGGCTTCTTTACTGGGCCAAAGAGGCAACACGAGAGGGGGTGGGCTCGGGAGATTTTCGAGTGAAGGCAACCAAGAATATGCCATGTCGGCTGAAAATCGGCCGGTCAGCGTCCTCGATCTCCGTTACATGAAATGATTTCCTAGCAGTTTTGAACATGTGTATGTCGGCCCGTCGTCTCTTGTTGAAACAAAAGTAGATGGTGGCCAAGGGGTTCAGCTCGAGCAAGTCGTGCAGCGTTCGTAGCAGCAGCGGAAAAGCAGGCTCAAAGTACACGCAGTCGGCCGCGAGAATAATTTCGGGCTTGAAGTCGACAACTTCTGGCGAAAGCGGCACGCCCCTAATGCCAAACCGCCCGACAAATATCATCGTTAGAACACCCTTCTTTCTCCGTGTGTAGTTCACACGCTCGGGAAGGCCGAAGCAGGTAACAGGCCCCGATGATCCCGCGAAACCCCGCGTCCGGTTGGGCGCTTTTGAAGGCGGGTCCAGGGGGAAGGGGGGAAGGGGTGCCGGCTCGCGCAAAACACCCGCAACTGAAAACTCACCAATTGAGCACTCTGGTTTCGACCTGGCCCTGGAGTCTGTTCAAGACAATGTTGTGCTGCATGAGCGCCTCCATCTCCACTTGGTCGGTGATGTACAGAGGGAGATCGATGCTAGAACCTTTGGCGATTGCCAGGCCTACGAGCCCGCTCCCGGCGCCGAGCTCTAGGCTTTGAACGGGAACAGGTTGTCTGTCAGCATTTTCCGGCCAAAGACAAATCGCTCTTATCACTTTCATTGCACCATAGCCACCGCCCACAACACCACGAGGTAAGTGAAGACAGCCAGCAAAGGCACAGACATTCTGGAGTGTTGCAGCTTATCTCGATGGTATCGCAGCATGTGCTTGGCGAGCACTATCCCGGCGGGCCACAGCTGCCCTCCGCATCCCGTCTTCAGATCCTCGTGGAGCTTCAGGGGCTCGGCCAAAAGACCCGAAAAGTCGAGGAATGCTGTGTCTCCCGCGCGCTTGTAGTCGGGCACCGGCGCCAGCTGCTCGTCAACATCAAACGTCGAGAACCCGTCAGGCAATGCCGCTTCTTCCTCGTTCCTCATGTCGGGCTTTTTTAGTGTGTCTTGCGCTTCGTCTGCTCCTTGGTATTCTTTGGACGTTGAGCTGCTGATACTAGTACATACAACGTGGGTGGCGCCATCGTCAGTCTCCCGAAACCGCACAAGATTTTATTTAAGTTTTCCAGGGATGCTGTTTGTGGGCCGTCTCCTTGCTGACTAGCTCGCGTTTGCTGTCCGCGGCTTCCTGCCATGCCACATCATCCCATCCCGCAAGTGTCAGGAAGCATACATGGCAGGAACGTTCAGGTTCTCTTACCGCCTGCCCACAATTTGCTCACTTCGGGCAGTTCCTGGGCGGCAGCTTAAAGCAGACTGTCAGCCATTTTGTCTGTCTTCTTAGGGGGAATATCTGTTCCGAGTTTGAAAAGATTCCAAACGAGTCATTCCACATTTTGATGCCCACTGCAGTGCAGACCGGTAACTTCTATGACGATGTTCTGCGTCTTTCGTTTGTTATCGTCTCTCCCTTTTCTTCAATGGTGGAGCACAAGGAACCGTCTTTGCGGACGCTAGCTTGGCCATTCTTCAATACTAAGCACAAGCACAAACACGTGCGAAAATAACTTGCGATTCTGCGGACGGCAACTCCAGGCGTTTCGCAGACCGCAATAGTTTATTACATGGTCAGCAAATCCATCCGGCCACGTTGGGAGTTTTCAAATGGACCGTTGAGGAGCGTCTTTCTTGCTGGAGTTCTGTTCGGAAATATTCCCCCATTCCCTTCGATGACAATCGAGACAATCAAGTCGATTATCTCCTATTCACTCTAACCCCATCCACTGCTGGAATGCCAACACGTATATTACCCAACCTGCCATGTCTTCTAGACAAAAAGAGCCAAGGGATAGATGGACACTGCGCCCTTAGCAATGCTATTGTACATACATACATACATGCGTATGGTAATGAGATGCAAGGGAGTCAGGGCTCACAGCCCCTCGGAGATCATGTCTGTCTCGAGCATCTGTAAAACTCTGAGCCAAGTCCATCTCTTTCCTCCTGTAACCTAGATTAGATGGTCTCGATATCTTGCCGTCATTCTCTTGGAGCGAGTTTCTCACAGTTGTCGAGATGGCGCCGTCGACAATATCATGGACAACTCTCCTGCTTGCAAGCCTCTCCGCCGCCTCTCCCATTATCTCCTTTCCTCTGAACTCGCAAGTTCCTCTAGTTGCCAGGATTGGGAAACCTTTCTCCTTCGTCTTCTCTCCGGCCACCTTCTCCTCCCAATCAACAATTGTCTATACGCTGGCGAGCTCTCCTAGATGGCTCGCCATAGACAGCGGCGCACGACGCCTGTTCGGCACGCCAGACGATGCCGACGTTGCGCCAGGACAGGTGCTGGGAGTTCCCATAGTCTTGGTCGCGACGGACGACTCTGGATCAATAAGCCTCAATACCACGCTGGTTGTGTCGCGAAGTCCTGGTCCACGGGTCAACGTCCCCCTTGAACAACAGCCTCCTGGGTTCGGTGTCTTCTCTGAGCCATCTTCTATCTTGACGCCTCCAGAGTTGCGGTTTTCGTTCGACCTCGCTCAAGACACGTTTGTGGACCCATCCGGAAGGTCATTGAACTATTATGCCGTAATGGCTGATAATACACCACTGCCCGCTTGGGTCTCGTTCGACCCCAACCGTCTTTCATTTTTGGGCCAGACTCCACCGTTCAGCTCGTTGATACAGCCACCGCAACTCTTCGCATTCCGGCTTATCGCAAGCGACGTTGTCGGCTTTGCGGGCGTTTCCCTGAGCTTTGGCATCGTTGTCGGAGCCCACGAGATCACCTCGGCTCAGACTGCCATAGTTTTGGATACCAAGATTGGGGAGCCGGTGTTGTATACCGCACTACGGGACAACATCAAGATCGATGGCCAGCAGTCCACCACCGAGAATGTAGTTATTGCTTCTACGCCGAGTATCCCCCAGTGGCTGTCCGTCGACAAAGCCACTTGGCACATATCCGGTGTCCCGCCGGAAGGTGCTGCCTCGACAAATTTCACCATTGCACTTCAAGACAGGTTCTCAGACACACTGAATCTGACTGTTCACGTCAATATCCCCGATGAAGCAACCCAGGGATCTAGCCTCTTCAAAGGAAGCATTCCTGTTCAAATAACTACGGCTGGTAAGCCGTTTTCACTTGACCTCGGTCCGTATCTCTTACAACCCGAGGATATAGACATTACGATTATAGCGGTCCCGTCATCAGCTTGGGTGCGGGTTGGTGCTGGCACAACTACAATTTCTGGCAACATTCCCGACGGATCAAACGACTCTCTTCTCAGAATCACGATCAAAGCGACATCGAAACAGTCCGGGAAGTCTGAATCAGTATCTATAACAGTTCATGTCCAGCCTGGCCCAGGAGAGTCGCCTACTGCGGTGCCAACCAAGCCGACGACGGGAACATCGGATGGCCAAGTATTTCCAGCCAACGAAAGTGGCACGAGGTCTCCTATTCTAGTAACAACTCTACTGCCAGTCCTTCTGTTGCTCCTCGCCGCCACAATCTTACTTTTCTACTGGTTTCGCAGTCGAAAAAACTCAACAAAGTCCAAGCCGAGTGACGAAGACCTAGTTGGCCCTTTCCCTGGAGCTTTCGTAACGGATATCGGGGAACAGAAACACCATAGTAGATTTCCACCGGGTCGTTTTGACAAGCCACGGTCCATGGCGCATGAATTTCATCCGAATTTGAGTGATTCCACAGGCTCAAGATTGGGAGACTGGGAAACCGATAGCGAGACAGCCCAGCCGCTGACTGCGGTTCGGCTGCTACTATCCACAGAAAGGGGCCGCTCAGCTACTGGAAACCTGTCCAAAGCTGGGAGAACATCACTGCTCGCGAGCCTGCAGTCTCAGAAACAGCACAAGGAGAGCTCATCCATCGACTACGTCTCCGAGACTAGCTTATACGGCGATACTCGTGAAATTGTCGACGGGAACTCCCTTGCACTGTTTGGCAACAGGAGCAGAGGTTCGTTCAGAGATGCCCTTGAGATCACCATACCATCCTTTGGAGAGGTCTCGAGCATACAGCGGACCCCCGATTCAGCATATACCGACAGTGGCGGGAAGTCTCACTGGTGGGGCACGGGCTCTAAATCATTCCCGTCGGGTCGCGTTTCCTTGACAGAAGCCTACCAAGAGGTCCAGCCGCTGAGAACAGAATCAAGGCTGGGATATTATCCGTCTTTGCCGGGTGGCAAATTTTCGTGGCCGTGGCTTAAAGGCGCTCTAGCGAAGGGAAACACGACGGCTCGCCGGCTCAGCACGTCGAGTGTCGACACCTTTGCTTATAAAAAAGAAAGCAGGACACCGGAGCGTCCGCGACAACGTGATGAAGGGCCATTGGCTCTCGATTCGCCGCATCCGCCCCTTGCCAAGCTGCCCAAGCGGGATTTCTATGCTCGACCTGTCACCAGAAGAGGGCCAGACGAATGTCTTGGGGTAGGCCTCAGCTTTGGCACCCCAAGCAGCACCCAGGCAAGAGAAGGGAATCGAGGAAAAGAGGTTGCCGAGACGGGTTCGGTGGCGAGTCACGAATCTTCGCGTGATTTTCTAGGCATATCTTGGGAGAACCTGCAAAGGATGCCGGCTTCTATACCATTGGATACGTGGTCCACGGTTCTCTCGACAGACAGGTGGGGGGACGAGGCGACACGAAGCTCAGACGATACAGGCAGGACAAGAGCGGCAGCCTCGGGGGGCACCGCGGAGGGGTCGGCACGAAACTGGACAGTGCTGGAGGACTCCCCAATCATCCGGGACTGGAACTTTGACCAGATCTCGAGGCTGGAGTCTGAGACTGAATCCCCGAGCCGAGGGTCGGCAGCCCAGGGTCGGGCCGAAGCGTCGACCGGAACAAGCATCTTCACAGATGTGGTCAGCATTGGCGATGTAGAAACGGACAAATGCCGGAAATCTGAGAATGCTAGCCGGGCAGGGTCGAAGCTGGACAGACACAGTCGGTCGCAAGTAAGCAGGGATGATTCGGATTATGCTGTCTACATCTGAGGCCTTTGATCGAGAGAGACAGCCTCCTCGTACCGAGTCGGCGAAACTAAATATGCCCCTAATAAAACCCACCGTGTTATAAGCACGTAATCCCAAGAGCGATATAACCCCCATGTCTATCCACGGAGTACCGTCAGACGAATGTTCCAAAGCGCTTATATGTTTTTTTTCCTTTTTTCTTTTTTCATATGAATAGATCGTTATGCCTTCCGCAAGGACCAAAGTCACCTTCTTTGACTCGACAACTGATTTGAACTCCTTATTTGATAAGGCTTCAAAAGGCATATATTTACCTTGGGGTAATCAATTACGGTTCATACGGGCTTCTAGGTTGTTTATTGCGAATTGATAATGGCAGAAAGCTCTTGGTATCATTACTAGTACCGCCGGTTCCATATCGGAGAGACAGCCACTTCAGCTCAGCCGGTGACTCCGGATCTCAGTGTTGTTCGTCATGGCTATTATCCGATTAGTGTTTGTTCCGTACGGAGTAGGAAGTATGACGCGGTCGGTTCGTGCAGGCACGGCGGCCAGTGGCAGGCTGAGGGGCAGGCAGGCAGGCAGGCAGGCAGGCAGGCAAGGCGGCAGACGCACAGCAAGGGAGAAGGGCGCGGGTGCCTGTAGCGTGTCAGCCTTGCTCGCATCGCAGAGAAGCGATAACGACGGGACAAGAGAGTCGCGTGCCCACTTTCGTCATTCAATCTACCTTAGATCTGTCGGCGCACAGTGCGAGCGCCAAATGTGGTTGGGCCCAGGTTGCCAGACGAGGAGGATTCCAAGGCTCCAGCGATAGGTCCCGCCAACCGAGTCACACACAGTACACACTGTGACGTCTTTCCTCTCTGGGGCAGGCGCATCCCCTCAAACCCCTCATCAACCTCTTCCACCAACTGGGTGGCACAGTGGCACTTGCACGCATTCCTCAAGCATGGATGACGGAGTACTCTGCACCTGCTGCACTGTGTAGCTGCTATTCCACTAGCACGAACTTGCCCTGCCTTCCGGCGCCGTCAGAGGCTGAGGTCCTTCGTTTTCTGGCTCCTAGCCATACTGTCGTTGACTTACGCAACGGGAAGTCCCCAAGTTGAATTCGCACCGTAGTCAATTCTAGACGCGAGAGAGGTACTGCACGTTTGAGCGTGCTGTTGGTATGACATACGTATAACAGGTAGTACCCCACACGCGACCAGCAATACAGACAACAAGTCGTCCGCTGTGCCCGAATAGCCTCCTATTTCGAAGACGTGCTTTGTTCTGTTGTCGCCGGGCTCTCGAGGGCCATCCTTGGGCCAGCGCTGCCCGACAATCCGACCTGGAAGGGCTGCTAAAGCTAAGGTGCGATTTGCTGCGACCAGCATACCTTAGGTCCTCCTCGCAAGATTGACCTCCGCTTCTGGCCCCTGGCGCGCCTTGCCCGGCTTGTCAGCTGCGCTGCGCTGCACACAGTCGCCACGCCAAAACGAGCCCTCTGTTGCAGTGACCCCGCTTCACCACCCAATTTTCTTCATTGCACAGCAACGTATCCGCCCGGGCCTGCGACCATAGTGAACCTGTGACTAGAAACGTAGAAGTTGAGAAGAAAAGGCTTTCTGGCGACATTGCAACTCTCTCGCGGCATCCCTTTCTATTTTTGCCAGCGAGCGACCCGACCAGCTCCACTCAACGTCATTGGCGGACAAAGGTCACTAACTCTCACTCAGAAAAATCCAACTCGGGCCACCTCCTGCTCTCCCACCCCCCTCTTTGACCCAAAGCCCCAAAACCTCCGACAAAACCCCCCTCTCTCCCTGCAACCGGTAGCCGCCTTGCTGCCGATTTACTCTACGAGATCGCATCATCATGGGCCAGACACTCTCTGAGCCTGTCGTTGAGAAGGTGCGTGGGAATGCCCTCTATTCCGCTGGAAATTCCGTCTCTCCACGCGCCAATCCATCACTGCCCAACTTTCCCCCTCCATGTCACCCCGCGCGGGCATGCCTCACGGCGCTGGGCATGAACTCGCGGCCATGAGGTTTTTCGAAGCCTCGCCAACCGGCTGGGCCTGCACGTGCCTCTCGCGCTCCCTTCGTCGATGCGTCTCCTTATTTCCTGCTGTCCTCTTGGCTACAGCCTCGTGTACCAGTGGCCTTCTCCGCTGAGCCTTTGACAACCAGACGCTGATGTTGGGGTGATATGTGGCTTGTAGGCGTCCGCAAAAGGCGAAGATGATCGGCTACTCTATGGCGTCTCGGCCATGCAGGGCTGGCGCATCAGCATGGAGGACGCGCACACCACGGTGCTCGACCTACTAGCCAAGGACCCCAAGGCAGCCAAGAACCACGCGTCGAGGCTTTCCTTCTTCGGCGTCTACGACGGCCATGGCGGAGACAAGGTTGCGCTTTTCGCTGGAGATCACATTCACAACATCATCTCGAACCAGGACACATTCAAGGCGGGCAACTACGAACAGGCCCTCAAGGACGGGTTTCTCGCGACCGATCGAGCAATCCTGAACGGTATGGTTGAACCCGCTTTTCCCGAGGCCGCCGAAACCCGATGATGATGACGGTGCGAGAGGGGCTTTTGCAGCTTGGAACCCGCCCCGCTGACTTGGATTTACTGAGCAGATCCCAAGTACGAAGAGGAAGTTTCGGGCTGCACCGCCTGTGTTGGTTTGATTTCCGAAGACAAAATCTACGTTGTCAGTCTTCTCGCGTGTCCCGCCTTGCCCCCTCTTCCCCGCTTATTAACTCGGGCGCTCTAGGCAAATGCTGGTGACTCGAGAAGCGTTTTGGGCGTGAAGGGCAGGGCGAAGCCGCTGTCGTTTGACCACAAACCGCAGAACGAGGGTGCGCAACAAAACCTCTCCCCTCAGTCGAAACTCCGGTCTTGTCGCTAACTGGCGGTGCTTTTTTTCGTGTTTGTAGGCGAGAAAGCTCGGATTACAGCTGCAGGAGGTTTCGTCGACTTCGGCCGGGTGAACGGGAATCTTGCTCTTTCGAGAGCTATTGGCGATTTCGAGTTTAAAAAGAGCGCCGAGCTCGCGCCTGAGCAGCAGATAGTGACGGCCTACCCGGACGTCGTGGTGCACGACCTGGGCGACGATGACGAGTTCCTCGTTATTGCCTGCGACGGTGAGTTGCCCTACCTGCCCCCCCTCATTTTTCCTAGTTTCTGGACAAGCCCAGCTGACCGAGGATCTTTTTCCGCCCCTCTCAGGTATCTGGGATTGCCAGTCTTCCCAGGCCGTTGTCGAGTTTGTCAGGCGAGGAATTGCTGCCAAGCAGGAACTGGAGAAGATATGCGAGAACATGATGGACAATTGTCTGGCCTCCAACTCGGAGACCGGCGGCGTGGGCTGTGATAACATGACCATGATCATCATTGGCTTCCTCAGAGGACGGAGCAAAGAAGAGTGGTATGAGGAAATAGCCAGACGGGTCGCGAATGGTGATGGCCCTTGCGCCCCCCCGGAATATGGTAGGAGCCCGCCGTCCCCTTGACCGCGTCCCACCATCCGCTCTACTCCCTATTGCCCTCCCTCTTCTCTTTGTGTTCTGTTTTATTTTATACTATGCGCCGTAACCACCGTTTTAGAGAAGACCTTGGTCACTAATACATGGTGCTGTTCCACTATAGCTGAGTTCCGCGGTCCGGGCGTGCATCATAACTTTGATGATAGTGACAGCGGCTATGATGTTGAGGAGCAGAACAAGCAGGGCAAGAGCTTTGGCTTGGGCGGCTATAGGGGACGTATCATCTTCCTAGGCGACGGGACCGAGGTTCTGACCGATTCGGACGACACGGAGATGTTTGACAACTCGGAGGAGGATAAGGACCTCGCCAGTCAAGTCTCTAAAAGCACTTCGCAAGAGGGCTCCTCGGACGGCACAGACGAGAAGACGTCGGCTAAGGACGCTGCTCTAGAAAAGGCTGGGACAACATCGGAGCCGGAAAAGGGCGCCGAGGCGGTCAAGGTCAAGGAAGAGGCCGACGAGGGCCTCGAGATGAAGAAGGACGCATGAAAGACACGAAATGAATGCCCCCATGAGGAACCCGATTATATCACCATGAATGAATGACGGTTGCGGGCCGGGTTGGAAGGGTGGAGAGGGGAAGGGGAAGGGGGAAGGGGGGCGTTGCTTTCAGGGGCCCAGGGATGGATGGATTGATGGATGGATGGGATCAGGAACCGGCGGGAAAGAAGGACGTGGGGCCTGCAGCCTTTTTTTCCCCGCTTTTTTTGTCCCTTCTCCACTGTTTGTTATTTTTTGTCGACTTACCCCAGCTGTTTATTCTTTTTTGTGTTTGTTGTTGTTCTTGATTTGCGCCTTCGCCCTCTCCTCCCCCCTTTTGTCCCCTCAAGCCATATTCGGGGTGGTTGGTCTGTGTAATAGCCGGCCGGTCGTCATCAAACGTGCATCCATCTATCTGTCTTTCTGCATCTCTCTCCCGCCTGTCTTAACTTTTGTTCCCTCGATCTTCCTCAAATCTATCCCTGTGGCCATGCAGCAACAAAACACACACTTGAACCTAATGATATCTGTATTATTGGTTAGTTCTTCGTCTTCTCCCCAAAAACCTTGATATCAGTCCCCTTTGCATTTTCCCGTTGAGTAATAATAGGTATACCGAGGGTGCAGAAACCCTACTTTTCCCTCCTACCCATTCTTTGTGTTGTTATTGTTGTCGTGGCCGTCTGTCTGTGCGGGGTGCGTGGAAGCGTGACTTGATGTGCGGATGATCGAGTGGTTGGGAGGGTATGGCATGCGGCATGAAGACCCTCGAATACCCCTGGTCGAATACTACACGAGGAGGAATAGAGAAATAGGGGAAAGAGAGAGAGAGAGAAACAAGGAAAATATAGAAGAATAACAAAAGAGCTCGGCTTCCCTTATACATACGTGCCCACTTGGTCTCTACTTCTATGTCTCCTCGCCTTGCTCTGCTTTGATCTGCTTGAATCCACCGACAGCAACGGGTTGCAGGAATATCAGGCTACGCAGTTTGTTTTTATGGTCAATCTGCTATTCGCACAAGAGTACGTGAGGAACAAGGTGCCCATTCCATGGCTGGTTGGTTATGTGCACGGTCGTGAAAGTAGAAACTATGTATGTACAGTATTGTAATTAATTTAATCTTAATATAGAAAATGGATCTTGTACACTGCCACGCTGTCGATCTATTTCGACCGTGGCGGGGGAAGTGATCATGTCCGGTGTTGGGTGCCTCAGGATTCCTCCCATGGCCACTTCTGTGCCATAGCTGCGGATCTGGTGCTGCCAGCCACCATCGAGGGCGTCGTCGCTGCCGCTGTAATTATTGTAACCGTCGGTGTCAAGTTCATTTTTGGGTTCACTTGTGTCGGAGATGGTATCCTGATCGCTCTCGAGATCTTGGTTGCTGCTGCTGCTGCTGCCATTTCTCTCCCAATCTCTCGGTTTGTCGGCCGCTGCGAGGTCATCAGAGGCGGTGCGCTCCATCGGCTTATACCAATTAAGTGGCTTTTCCCGCTTTTGTATACGTATATGTATCGGCATCAGTGCGGGTTCCTCGCCGCCGGGAGACTCCCACGAGAAGCCCTTCGTGGCTGCCTTGATGGAAAGCTGGTCGTCCTTCTTCAACGACTCCCGTAGCAAGACGTGAAACGGCGTGACTGGCTCAAAATCGCGGTGCCGTTGTCTATACCACATGTACACGGTCTTCATTATGTCGCTTGAAATGGTCATATCTTTGACACCTCCTTGCTTCAAATCGTCGAGCAGAAAGTCTCTCAGGAGATGCTTGAGAAAATCGGTATTATCGACCTTGACGGGCCGCCTCAAAATCTGCCAGGCAAACCTTGACAAAGACTTGGAACACGTAAGGATTTCCCCGGCGGAGTCCTGCAAGCCCGACTGCTCGGGACTGTCCCAGAGGGCGTAGCGGAAGATCACACTGAGCGTGTGGGGCTTCCCGCGAGACCAGGCCAGGTGGAATAGAAGCTTGAATGCCGTCTTGCTTAGTGTGATGCCGTAGCGACTATAGAGCTCAACAAACCGATATGCAGTCTCGAGCCGGGACTGCAACTTGCAGTGCCCAATAATGGACATCAGCGTGCGGCTGTTGGTCCAAACTGACTGCGCGTCCATGATTTCAAGGAACCTCTCCATGTCGTGAAATCTCCCATAACGGCCGAGGATATCAAGTATCTTCTCGGCGGCAAGTTTGGTTAGCCAGCCCGGACCGTAGAGGGCGTCTTGGGCGGCAAGAAACGAGGTCATGCTGTGGCCCAGCTGTATTGAGCGGTAAATGTCGAGCTCCGCCATTTCCTGAGCTAGTTCCCGGATCTCGTCCTGCGTTCTAAGAAAACCTTTCCCGTACATGGCATGGATGATGTATCGTTTGACTTCCTCGGCCGCAAACATGCGAAGGAAGTGCATCCAGGTCTGGAAGTCGGGAGCATGACCGGCACGGACCAATTTCCAAAGACCGTCCTTGAACTTTTTCAGATTCCTGAGCGTGACGGCAGGCTCTAACAGGAGATTGTGGACTTGCGTGTCTATTGAGAGCCCCAGCTTTCTTGCACGGGCATGCAGCCTATCGTAGGGATACTTGATTCTGATCGCCCCCCTATACTTGTCGGTCTTTCGAACCATGTAAACCAAGGCCAGGTTGAATGCCGAATCCGACACAAACTGTGAGGCAGCTGGGAGCTCAAAGACGGAAATCAATTCGTGTACCACTTCGTCTGCATGAAATGCTGGAGCAGTGAATGCGGGTGGGAGGCTGTATATCAAAAACTTTACATATCGTTCGAAGGACTCCTTCGTCCACGTTTTGGGCCGCCAAAAATCATAGCGTCGGTTTTGCTGTTCCGGCAAGGGGTCATGAATATAGGAATTTTGCGCATAGTCAGAACCCTGCTCGACCGGGAGCTCAAGGGGAGGAATCATCATCTGCCCTCCGTCGTGCAGAATATCCTCAGTATCTCCCGAGACAGCGACAACCAAGACACTCTTGGTGACTGCCAAGATGTCCGACACGGCGCTTGAAATGCTGTCTGGAGGGCCCGACAGAAAGAGGAAAGGGCCGTCCTGTTCCCCCTGTCCAGAATGCAACGTAACCTGGCATCCAGTCCGGGACGCAAGGTTCCACAGGCCATTTTTACCCCCATCGCCAGACATGAGCAGCGGCGTCGAGTCCTTGGTGAAGTGGACCCTGACGGCGCTGGGGCCGTTCGGGCGGCCTGACCTGTCACGTGTAGAGTTTTTGAGAAACCAAAGCGTGACGCGCCAGTCGGGGTCTCTGGTAAAATCACGGCGCCTGCGGTCGAGTTGGAAACCAATCTGGGTCTTGACCTGAGCCAACCGCAATTGCTCGTGTCGCTCCGTCTCTTGCCTCGACGGATACTTCGTGTAGGGCTCGACGAAGACTGATTCTAGCTCGCCGTGGGGACGGATGGGCAGGGGAGCCAGGCGATCTAGCAGGGTCGGCGCGTCCTGGTCTGGCACCTGTCGTTGTCGCGGTGGCGTCAGCAGCACTAGGGCGGCTGTGAGGTTGCTGTGGTGTATAGCTGGCGCAGTGCGGTAGGTGTTGCGGTGTTGAGGGCCGCTGTGGACAGTTCGGCTCCCGACTCCGGCTCTAACATCAGCAATACCGACGGCGGCGACCGTCAGGGCCCGACCTGGAATTCCCCTGGGAATCAGGGAGAGGCCGGGCCTGCGAGCGGCATTCGCCAACGGCAAGTCTCTCCATAGCTGTTTGACTCCCAGGGACATTGGTTATAATCCGCGCATTTCGGTACTCTGTGAGATCTTCGCAACCCGTTGCAAGATCGCGGCTGCTTCATATACACCGGGCGGTAGCGCTGGCGTCGGTAGTGGTGGTGGTGCGAGACGAGAGACGGCTGCAAAGCTCTGGGGGTTGGGAGACTTCTTTGGCTTGACTTTGAATGCCGGAAGAGAAAAAAAAATCGAGATGACAGGGGCCGTGTTACAGTGTGAAATAAGAATTGCTGGTAATAGAGTCAGTAGAGTCATACTGTAGAGACTGACCCCTGTATCAAAGCGTGCAGCGACTGTCCCGCCCCCGCAGCCACCTGTAATATCGATGTTAGGGGCTCCCGTCAAACATTGCCGATGCTATGAACCCTAACCCTGGGTTTGAAGCTTGCCCCAAAATGAATCGCGGCTCGTCCTTCCCAATTGCCTCAGTCTGCGATTCTACACGTACACATCAAGTTCAAATTTATGCGCTGAAATAGAACCCAATCTTTTGCGGGGTATATAGTTTCTAGCCCTTTTTGGTAATACCGTAGTACAGGTCCCTTGTCCGCGGCATCTTACCAAAGCCATGCCTCGCCGCTCACGGCTAACCAGAATTATAATAATTAGCTATAATAACCAAGGATAATAAGGGATATAGTCATCAAGTCGTCTTCCGTTGCGGTTGTGCCCCCGAGTTGCTTCATCCGTGCTCGGGCACTGGCGCTGACGGGCCAGAGTTGTCGACGCCTTGCCAGCTCGGGTCCCAACCTTGCTGGTGGTCAGCCGCGCCTTTCGAGTCTCCCTCCTCAGCCATGCTCTTCACGTCACTCCAATACTCGAGCCTTCTCACTTCTTCATCCGCGTGGTGGATCGCCGCCTCAAGATTCTTCTCTTTCTGAGTGGCATCTGCCTTGTCTTGGTCCTTGCCCGCCTTGTTCTGCTCTGCAGCCATTTTGTCGTATACTTCCGTCAGCTTCACTAAGAGCACGCGGCGCGACGCTTGGAAGACAAAGACGGACATGACTTCGTGCATGGCCTCCTTCAGCCCCGCGAGGTCGTCCACTGCGTGTTCTAGATAGTTATCGACGGCTTCAATCTTCTCCCTGTCGATCCTAGACTCGCGCAGCACCGCCAGGAGCGTGTCGGTGTGCTCAATATCAGGCTTCTCGACGGGTTCGAGATTCCCCGTGCTCAAGCTCACCCTACTGCCCCGGTTGCTGGCACCCCTACTAGGGCTGCGTTCCAAGCTCAGGTCCATCGACGACCGAATCGTAAAGTACTCGGTGTTGAGCATGTGCGGATCCAACGACTCGAGATAACCCTGATCCTTTTTGACTCGCTTCCGGATCCACGCCCTGCGACGGACAAACGAGTTCCACCAGCGCGCCTTGTGCCACGAGAACTTCTTGGAGAACATGAACGAGTACTCCCAGCCATCTTCGTCCACTTCATCGTCGTGGTTAATCCGCCAGGCCGACCACCCCCATTCCCAGCTTGGATCCGGCACTTGCGCCGTGTATATGTCTGTAGGGCTCGCGTGGTTGGCCGAGTTGGTCCAAGGCGGCGGGTCGAGATTGCCGAGCGCCTTGGACGAGAACAGCGGAATGCCGCAGAGGAAGCCGCCTCTCTGGTTCTCGTATAGAATGTCAACCACGGACTCGGGCGACTTCGGCTTGGTGTTTGACTTGGCCATCTTGCTATCCGCCGCTGTCGATGTCGTCAACGCTCCTGTATCTGCTGGCCCTTGGGGTTCGTGCAGGGGAGTGGGTTCTGGAGGCCATGTCAGTATGAAACCCGTCCCATTTGTGCCCGGCTTTGCCCGACTACTCACGTTCGACCTGCACAGAGGGGCCATTGCCATTGGGTATAGATGAGGCTCGTTCGTCATCTGGGCCGGTCCTGGTCCCATTCCCCACAGCCCCGACTTCACCATTGTCCAGGCTGTAGGGTGCGATTCCGGAGCCTGGCCGAGCCGAGGATGGGCCCGCATCGGCAGTCTCGCGCGACGAGGTCGGGCGAGATGACTCGTCCTGGCCCGAAGATCGTGGGGCGGGAGCTGAGTGGTCTACTAGCTTGATCTCGTGGTCAAAGTCACTGTCTTTGGGCGGCGGCGCGCGGCGCGACGAGCGATGCTTTATCTTGGGCATTGCTTCTCTAGCAATGGGGAAGCATGACGCGGCCGTGTCTGACAAGCGTTGCAAGGTAATGTCATAAGCGTCAATGGGCAGCCCGTCGAATTCTCAAAGCGACGAAACGGCTTCGGGTGGTCGGGGGCTGAGGATGGAGTGCAGTCTGTAGTGTACGAAGACCCAGGGCAAAGTGGAAGTGGCTGTGGCCGCCGCCTCTTTACACGCCGCTCCACCAATACCAGGCGCGTCTTCGTCCTTGAAGAGCCCAAGCGCCCTTTTTCAAGTTGTGCGGAACCCAGAACTCGCCTGCTGCAGCAAGATGAGACGTTGGTAAAGAGCCCTTTGAAATGAGCAGAAAGGCGTGCATAGACTAGTGTAAGTTCGCAAGAGGGAAGGTTCAACTTGCAAGTCCCCAGCACGGCGCGCCATGATGTAATGTCGCTTTACTGTGTACGGGGTTGGAATGGCCCCTGCAATTAACGCCAAGTTCCCAGACTTGGGCTAGTGATTGCTTCCGAAGGAGGACCGGACTAACGGTAATGGAACATTCAACACAAGTCTATATGAATACCATCTAAAGAAGTACCTTAGGTATGGACTATGCATATGGACTTTTGTTGTTCCAATATTGGGGCCGGTTGTCAGATGTTTTTTTCTCTTTATTTTTTCGATAAGCCTTCCTATTGCGTCTAAATTCCCTACAAGCGAGTGGTCCCTTTGATGCGTTTCGAGATCGGGAATGCACAAAGCAGCCATGTAACAGTAACCCGTATGGTCACACTGGTAAATGACCATACGCAAAAGAATACGCAGTAAACCTGCCTCGACGTTGGCTGCACAGCGAGGGCCTCGGGTGTGGGGTCCGCTGCACCAGGCATTGTGACCCCGAGCCCCCCCGCCCTACGTCATGAATTACCCGTAGGTGAGGGGGAGGGAAGAGAGCTCCAAGCAAAGCAACCTCAGACTAAGAGGGCAAGCACGGGTTGGACGTTGGACGAATGGGAAGGCAATATGTCACGGCAGGGGGGGAGCGAGAGGAGACGGCGAACGAACAAGTAAAATCATGCCATCTCGCCATTTCTTTGGCTGCAACCCCTCCCTTTCTCGAACGGTTATATCTTTTTCCCTTTCACACAACACAACTCGCGCAAACGAACAACCCCAACATTAACAAAGGACCGTGAACTTCACTCTGCCCATCTCGCTCTGTAGCAATCCATAACCACCCAACAACAGACCTCACAGCCCAACCAGCCCAACCCAAAAACAAAACATGTCCCGATCACGCGCACCGCTCGCCCTTGGCCTCGCGGCCGCCGGCGGTGTTGGGTACTATCTCTACTCGGCGGGCGGGTCGCCCAAGGCGGCCGAGAAGAAGTTTGAGAGTACGTTGCCGCCATCCGCACAACAGCCTCAACTACCCCCCTTCCCCGTAAAGTCTTTCCCAGCGAGCCGCACAACATACTAACATCCGCCCTCTCGTTCCCTCAACCCACAGGCGACGCGCACAGAGTCGCAGCGACGATCAAGGGCGAGGTGCCTCGCAGCGGCGTGGGCGCCGAGGCCGAGGGCAAGAAATATGGCCAGGAGGTTGGAGTCAAGGTCGACTCGGCTGTAAGTCGCCTCCCCCCTTTTTCTGTTTCCTCTCCCCCATGTACACATCACGCACATCAGGCCTCGTCCACGACTTGGCGCGGCGGGCCTTGAGAATAAATACATACGTAGTATAAAAAGCGACTACAGAATCTAACCTTTGGGGACCCAGGTCGCGACCACGAACCGGGATCTCTCCAAGGCCAAGAGTGAGGCCGAGGCCTACGCAAAGAACGCCAAGGCCGAGACGCTCAAGAAGATCGACGAGATAGACCGCAAGGTTGAGGAGGGCGCAGCCAAGTCGAAAAGCTACCTCTCTTCGTGGTTCGGCGGCAAATAAGCAAGCAAAATCCAATCTAGTGTGTGTAGGGAGACAGGGGGGTGAATATGTCATGCAGGCCAGCTAGCTTTTTCTTTGACCAAACAACGGCTGGTGTGGGAAGGGAAGGGGGAAATGGGAAGGGGTTTTATCTGGCGTCACTATCTTTTTCTTGTCACGGGTGACTGTTGTTATTGATCCTTGAGTTTTCACACTTGAGAGTCTTATTCTCTTAGCAATGAAAAATTGCGGCTCTTGTTATATATCACATCCGTGCTTCACACGCAACTAGCGTCTATTCCGTGACGCCAGTGCCCTGCGTGTGAACTAACGTGCCTCCTTCCTTCCTCCCTACCTCCGGTTTTGGGATATCAAGCTATCAAGAAAAAAAATCATACAAACGTGAGATACCGCTCACGACAAAAAGGCCACCCTGAACTACTTCAACGACGCCGCCACCAGCTCCAGAACCTCCTCGGGCTTCTTGTTGGCGTTCCTTGGGTCCTTGGCGATAACCTGCCAGTGCTCGCCGTGGTGAGGGTCGTTGAGGATGCACTTGGCGACGAGCTCCTCGCGCTTCTCCTCGGTGCCGTGCTGCAGGAGGAACTTGTAGTACCAGGCCCACGAGTCGCCCACGTCGCGGTCGAGCAGGAGGGCCTTCTCGAACCAGCTCTGCGCGCGGTCCAGCTTGCGCTCGGCCCATAGGATGCGCGCGACCGTCACCAGCAGGATGGGGTCGTCCTCGACCTTCTTGAGGGCCTCTGCTAGGAGCGCCTTGCGCTGCGTGCGCGCCTCGAGGTTGAGGATGCGCTCGGCCCAGAGCAGCCCGCTCTTAGGCATCTGCTGCAGGGCTTTGGCCATGAGGCTCTTAGCCTGGGTGAGGTTGCCGGCACGGCGCTCGACGCGGATGAGCTCGACCCACAGCTCAGGAGCCTTGGGCACGGCCTGGCGGGCGCGGTCGAGCACGCTGCGGGCCTTGACGACGTTGCCGTTGCGCTCCTCGAGGCGCGAGTAGAGAAGCCACATGGGTACGGAGGACGGAACGGCCCGGACGCCTGTGCTGTACGCCTCTCTGGCCTCGGCCAGCTGGCAGAGGTCCTCGTAGATCTGGCCCTTCATCATATATAGTTTCGGCGCGCCGGGGAAGAGTTTGATTCCTTCGCGGACGAGTTCCAGCGTGGTGTCACTATTGCCGAGCTGTCTCTCGAACGCAACACTCCGCATCCAGACTCGGTCAGTCGGCGCATTATGCCGTGCCGTGGCCAAAATGCCTCGTGCTTCGTCGATGAAGCCGCTATCGGCCTCCAACTTGACGGCAGACAGCCAGATGTCTTCGCTGTTGGGGTTTTGCTTGAAAGCCCGCGCAAGAATAACCCGTGCCTCATTGATGTCGCTGGACTTCTCCTTCGCAAGCATAAGCCAGAAGATTTCGACCTTGGGGCAAGCCACCACAGCCCTCTCGAGGGCGCGCCACATATCCTCCTTGGCGCCGTGGTTTCTCTCGAGGTCCACGGCGGCCAGGTAAAGAGTCTTGCTGTTTGTAAAGATCCTGAGGGCGTAGGCATAGATGGCGCGTGCTGTCTCGAACTTGTTTCGGGCGATGCTCGACTTGGCATCCTCCATCCAGATTTCCTTCCGGTCGTCGTCCTCGTCCAGCCCCCAGCCGAGCGTCTCCTCGATGATGTTGCGGCACGTTATAGGGGCACCCTCGTCCTCGCACTTCTCGGCCTCGGCGATCCACTCTTCGCGCTTGGGCATCGCATTCTGCTTTGCAAGGAACTTGACGGCATTTTTCATGACGGGCCTCTGGGTGCTCTCTCCGAGCTGCTCTTCTAACCGGGCGGCGGCAATCCAGAGCTCGTGCGAGCTCGGGAGCTTCTTGACGGCTTTGTTGAGGACCTTGCGAGCATTCGCCGGCGTCTCGAGGCGCGCGAGCGCCAACCAGAGATCCAGAGACTCAGGGATGAGATCGGTGGCTTTCGCAAGCAGCATCCGGGCGTCCTCCACCTCTTCTTCCAAGTTTACCGCTTCCTTCCACAGCGCCTCGGACTCGGGGTTATGGTCCAGTGCCTTCCGTATGACCTTCTTTCTCGATCTCGGGTCATTCTCCAGCTTCATGGCCTCGACCCAAAGCTTGACTGACTGGGGATTAGCCTCGATCGCTCGAGCGGCAATGACCTTGGCGTTGCGATTTTCATTTAGATGGATATTCTCGAGCCATATGTCCTCGCTCTTGGGGCAGTGTTCGCATCCCTTGGCGATCAGGTTTCGAGCCGCCACGTGTTTGCCGGCGGTGAGTTCTAATCGGGCTGCGGCGATCCAGCTGGCAGCCTGCTTTGGGTTCGAGTCGACGGCTGACTTGAGCATTTTTCGGAACTGCTCGATGTCTCCTATGCTCTGCTCGGCGCCCTGCATGCTAGACAAGGAGGTAAGGTAGCCCTTCGGGTCGATGCTAGTTGCGCTGCCAGCAGTGGCGGTTCCGCTGCTCTGGGATTCCTGCTCCAGGCGAGCACGAAGCACCTTGTCACGGGCAGCGCCAATCTTTGCGAAGTCGGTGACGGTTCCGTCCTTGTTCGCGTCGTTTGCTGCGCCGTCGTCTGCAACAGTGGTACCAAACTGGCCGGTGTCTCTAGCAGCGGCGAGTACACTGTCGGGAACGGCGTAGAAGCGCTGCATGCGGGCCTGGCGCTCTCTCTTGGCTCTGCCAGTGAGGTCCTTGACGTCGGGCAAGCTTGCCCATTCTTCATCCGACACTGTCTCGAGCGCTCTCTTGAGGCCGGCGAACTGCTGCTGGATTTTGGGATTCTTGCGCTCGTATTCTAGGCGGTCGGCTTCCTCTCGTGCTTCCCTGTGCGAAGAAAAAAGGTCGGTACACTGCTCTACTATCTCAACCGATAAACGGGATTCTTCGGGAAACCGGGAGCTCCCGAGAAGACGAGCAAAAAAATAACGGGCAGCAGCTAACCTTTGCTTCTGGCGGCGCTTGGCCATTCTGTCATCGACGTCTTTCCATATCCTGTCTGCCTCCTCGTCGTCCTTTTCGTAGATTCCACCGGCAAAAAGGCCGACCTCATTGTCAGGGTCCTGGTAGCGGGTCGCGTCGTCGTTATCGTTGTCGTCGTCCTTGGACTCGGTCAGGCCGAGCTGTGCGGATCGCTTTGCAACGGCAGCCTTGATCTGGTCTTCGCTGGGCCCTTCACGCGCGGGACCAAGATCGGAGCGCGTCGTAAACCCCGTCGCACCACGCCCCAGGCCTGCCACATAGTTCTCGGGCGCCGGCTGGCTGAGAAAGTCACGCCTAGAAGTCATGGTCGAGTTTGGCGTCTTGTCGAGAGGTTAAGCCCTCGGCACTCTCGCGAAGTTAACAGCGACGATGTAGTACCTTAAGTGGTAAGGTGCAAGGATTAGCTAGAAGGAGCCCTCCCGAATATTTGTTAGGTACTGTAGTCACCCGCTGCGGCTCACTGAGGTACCCCACCTGAGTCACTAAGGTACAGCACCTAAGCTACGTTACCTGCACTGTAAGATGGGTACGGCCGTGATGGACAGTGCGTAGCCAAGGTAGCCCAACGCGGGAAAAGGTCGGTTAGCAATGGCTGGGTTAGGGTTGTGTTATGTCAGAGGCAGTCTAATCGAACTGAACAAAAGCAAGCCACTTGAAGATGCGATCCTCAAATCTTATCACTAGGTACCTTTCTATTTGGCTTTAAAAATGGCGCCAGGTAATCTCACTGATACATCCATACTTTTTATGAATAGGTTTCGATAAATTCTTGAGCGTACAACCAGCCCCCTGCCGGCCCGCCAAAACTCTCTTCTTAGTAGTATTGCAATCGAAAGCGTCAAGACTCGAGATTTGGTTTCTGTAGACTGACGTTGAGGACTTCTACTCTAATGTATAATATCAAATTTGCCACTAGACAGGAACTAAAAACTAGGGACTGGCGACTGGGAGCCATTTTGGACCCGAGCTCAGAGCTTCCTATAAGCGAGAGGTAGGTCCAAAAACAATTACGGATAGTGCCAATGTGAAATACCCATATCAAACAGTACTCATAGTCTACCAAATTCCAACGCTCGACTCCAAACCCAGCCACACAAAGGAGCAGTTTCATTGCGAGGTGCCCATGCCTAAGATCTCTCTCTCCTGCCCTCTTGAGAGAGCTGTCAGGACAATTCCGTACGGGAGGTAGGATATCGACCCCCTATCGTAATCTGGAGATGTTTGTTACCCAGGAGGTATAACCAAAGAGAGGAAATATATCTTTGACGCGGTGACAGCATTATGATCATAATGATAATACAAGGCAAGAATGTAATACTAACCCGAATCAGAAGCACATTGAGGATATACCAGAAAAGAATACGAATATAATTTTCAAGATAACGAGGTCATAACAGACGTGTAATAGAGACATAACACAGACGCGTTAAGCAAGGCCGTAACCGGGCCATAACAGATAGATAACCGGGACATAACACACCTAAACATGAAAGTCAAACAGTGACATAACTTGGCCAGAACCAGGTCATGGCCAGATCATCACAGAGCCATAACTGAGCCATTACAAAGCTATAACCAGGCCGGAACTAGGCCATAATAGACACATTAGACGACCACAGCAAGAACATATCGCAGACCTACCGACAACCTATCATGCAAAAAATCGAAATCTGAACAACAAATGACCAACACTCGACCGTAACCTCGAGCAAGGTACCGCACAGAAGCTCCTGTCGCCCCTCTAGGTTAAGCCCCACGAAGAACTACAAGACAACAGCCTCTTCTGATAAGCACACTGTTTCCGAACTGGTATCACCTCCGAGAAACAAGCAAGTTCCGAAAAGGAAAGAAAAGAGCTCATGAACCAGGGAAACCATGATATCACTGACAATCACACAGAAAAGAAAACTCATGCCGTCAAAGCTGTCTCAAAGTGAGCTCGAGGTTCTGGTCGTGATCATGTATCTATGGAACTTCCAAGAGGTATTTTCTATTTCTGCACCCCTTTTCCTTTCTCCCAATGCCTCTTCCTCTACGCAAACAAAATCCACACGGCCCGCCCGTCCGCCCGCCAATCTTCCCCCATGTGTATCTAGGTATTTTCAGTTCTGCAAACTCGTAAAACAGACTCAGAGGAGAGAGAGAGAGATAGAGGAAGATTTTATCCTCGCCCCTGCTATACTACTGATGGTATAAAGCGGATGCATGCCAATAGAGAGAACCCCGTTCCTTTTTTTCCAACACAGGGCCGGGCTCATTTATAGGCCTGAAAAGGCGAGAGTGGAAACCCAAAACTGCCGAAGACAAGACTCCCAAAGAAATATACCTCCATCCATGCTTTTTTTACCGTGCCTATTGCAGACCATGTATAATAACATGATAAGAAACCCCAAGCCAGGCTATTGTAAGAGGAGCGCCTCCATGTCCAACACGCCAAAGAGGTCTTCAATCTCCCTGGCAACCACCTTGAGCTCCTCGGCCACCTGTCCCGTGACGAGGGCATACGCATAGAGGAGAGCGTAGTCGCGCTCCTGGACATTGACCTGCATCAGCCCGCCCAGCTTGTCGTTGATGGTGGGTCCCGGGCCCGCAGTGTCCAACGGAGGGGCGTGCTCTTTCCGAAACTGGAAAATCTTGCCAAGAAGTCTATCCCGCATCCCGGTCACGCTCGGCAGGGCGTCTGTGAGCGGGTACTCGAGCATTAGAGACGAGGCGAGGACCTGATACACGTGGCAGATGCGGTCGCAGAGCTGCTGGCGCTCGTCGGCTGTAAAGAGCAGCAGGGCCCGCTCGCCCTCAGTCAAGTGGCCCTTACGCTGCGTGACGAGGGACATGGCGTAGAAGGAATCGAGGAGACGGTGGGTGCATCGCATGAGGCGGGCGCACTGCTCCGAGGGAAACGGGCCACGGAGCTGGAACTCGGACGCCGCGCTGCCGCGGAGGACGTCGAGCCGTGCCGCATACTTTTGGAGCGCGGCTTGCTCGCCGGAGCGCAGGTAAGAGCGAGTGCAATCGCTGCGCAATAGTATCGCTAGCGGCCCGCGTTTCCAGATCAGTCCCATCTGTAGATACAGCATGCTGAGGCCTTGCTTGAACTTCTTGCGTGCAGAGATGGGCCAAATCACGCGGCAGACAATCAATCCCCAGAGGATACCTGCTGTTACCGCCACGAAACGATGGAGGATAATCTCGCGGATGATAGGGTGCGTGCCGCCCTCGTCATCATCATCGTCCTCGACAGACTGGGATAGACTGTAGGCGTACAGGGTCGACACGTTGTAGGCGAGCAGCGTTATGCGACCCAATGGCGCCATTCCACGCGCTACTATCATCCAGAAGCTCCAGAAGGCCACAAACCAGCCCAAGAAGACGAGGCCGACCGCATTGCCCTGTGTGATGGTCCAGTTCAAGCCCGAGGCTCCAACACCGATCAAGGTGCCCACGAACCTAGCCAATCCCGTCGTGTTGGATGCGCCTACTGTCATGGAGCAGACAATCATAAAGGACAAGAGCCCCCACTCGCCCCTCCAGTGCCGGTAAGTTTCTCTGGTTTGGGGGATGAACGCGAAACTGGCCCAGAGAGTGGCTCCTATGCCAACCTTCAGACCGAAGCGTACTGCCATCAGGGTTAGCAGAGCGTCTTAGAACAATGATATACTGGAGTCTCGCGCTTACTATCATCCCTAGCCAACTTCCTCAGCAGGCGGAGGAGCCTCTGAGAGACAGTTGCGACAACCTTGCTGGTCTGCGGTGTGGCCTCCCAGCTATACGTGTCCCGTCGCGCAACCATGGAGTCCGAGATTCCCCTGGGAATTGCGCTCTTCTTGATGGGCTTTATCAAGCTCTCTTGCTCTTCGGGGTCGTATGGCAGAGCCGGAAGCTTTCGACCGTCGTTGGGCCCGCGCCTCCACCACAGAAGCCACTGCCAGGTCCGCGTTCTGTGTTCGTTGGCATGCTTCAGATCATCCAACACATCCAGATATTTCTGCATCTCTTCCCCAAAGGCTTGTAGACTGAAACTGAAGTGGCCGCAGGCGGCTGCAACTTCCTCAAAGTCGGCTTGAATCTGCTCCGACCTTGTTCGGCCTAGTTCAAGAGACTTGTAGAGCTCCCGCAGGGCGTTTGCTCTCGCCTCGTCGAAAAGCGACAAGGCGTCGGTGAGGCTCTGGCGGAAATGATCATTAATCGATATTTCGTAATCGGGAGCCGAGCCAAAGGGAGGGTCTCGAAGGACCTCAGAAAGAGTATAAGCCAACGACTTCATCGAAGGCCCTAGCAGAGCGATAAAGAGCTCAAAGATGTCAGACGGGTTGTGGAAAGTCGGGACGCTTGCGGCTGGTCCATCAACTGGCGCAGGCTTTTTATTGAGGCGAGACCGTTCATCGTCGTTGCTGTCTTCAGACAGCTCGTCAATCGACGACAAAACAAAGAATCGGTCCTTGCCACCGCTCTTGGGCATGTTTGGTGATCGCTGCATTGCTGAAGATGACATGGACGCGCCTGGGGAGAGCAAGACAGACTGGGGATCAGTGGATTCCTTAAGCAGCGCAAACTGGGTATTGGCGGCGCTTCTCAGCCCGCCGATCGACTGGGCCAGGGTCTCCATGGACCTGACGACAGCTCTGTCAAGCCGGTACAGCCTCTCACGGCCGAGAAAATAGCGTTCAAACTTTGCCTCGCGGAGGTTCTTAGCCAGTTGAGGGTACACAGCGGTATAAGCCGACGACGCGGCGGCAAATTCAGACGACAGGAGATCGTCTTCGGATCCGCTGAGAAAGCCGCGGGTAATCATGGCGAGCATGTCTCCCAGGGACGTAGAGGCCTTTGTCATAGACTGGCGCAGCAGGTCCACGGCAGAAACTCGCCAGACCAGTAGGTTGACGGTAGTGGTGGTTGTAATGCCCATGACGAGCATTTTGAAAATCTGGACAATCTTTTGGTTTGAAAAGACATTGGAAAAGACGGCCGTCTCCTTGGTGACAACGCCAATGACGGCCAGGGAGGCCAGAGTGCTGCCGACATCGACCAGCGGGTTGTTCATCTTCTGCTTGGCCCATCCCATAAAACCGAAGCCTCCTCCAATAAACACAGCCAGGACCAATGCGTGGGCAAGGGGCACCATCTCCAGGACACTGCCAAACAGGACCGAGGTGCACATGGACAGGATCGAGACGGCCTCGGCGTAGGCGACGGCGACACTAGCACAAAGTATGGCCTCGATCATGGAGCCCGCGGACCTAGCGGGGTGGAAGTACACCGTGAGCGTGGCAACCATGTGCTTGCCGTCGGGCTTGCCTAGGAAGTCGGAGAGCGGCGACCAAAAGGTGGCCAGACTGGCCAGCGTGTAAGCCAGCGTGCACTTGAGCACGCCATGGCCCGTGGGCGTGTCCAGCCAAGTCAAGAGCTTTGCGCCGGCAGCCCGAACGTTGTGCGCGGCGGCGCGCCCTCGGTCGGACACGGACTGGCCCGACGAGACGGGGAGGATGGTCGAGCCGTTGGTGCCGTCGGTCTGGTCGGAAGGGGCGGAACGCAGCGTGAAGACGCGCCGCGAGCGCTCGCCCGTCGCCGGGATGATGAATGTGCCGTTGCGTAGCTTCTATCGTAAGCCTAGTAAGCGCTCTGTAGAATCTCGCCGTGCCACCAACCCCCTAGGCTTTGGCTGATCGACCGCCTCCGCCGAGGAGGTGCAAAACAGGTGAGCTGCTTACATTTCTCTTGGATGGCCTCCGTGGCGGCCATTGGCCTGTTGAAGGCACCGTGGCAGCAGAGTTCATGTCATTCAAGCTAGCGGTTTCTTGCTCTGCAGCTCATAGCGAAGCTTGTTCTCGAAACCAACAGCAACTCGGCATCGACGCTGGGTGCCGGGTTATGGTCGTTAGATGGGTGGCACGCGACGTTGTAAGCTTGCTTTATTCCTCTATAGTAGAAGAAAGAAGCGGATAGGCAGCGCAGCAGGGCAGCTCTGGTTGCCGGGCTGTTGGGTGGTTGAGCAATTGGAGACGAGTTGGAGACTTTGGGTTGGGGTCTGTGCCCAGAATTCCCAGCTTTGGAAGGCATGACACTCCAGCATCATCCTTGCCATCCTGCCTCTTCCGAAAGCAACTTCCCAGCTGACGACGGGATTAATTCTCCACCGGTAACTTGCCCGTTTAGTCTGAACTTCAAGTTACATTGGACACCAAGCGGGGATTCGCTTGACTGAACTTAAATGACCCAAGTTGCTAAGCGGCTCTTGGGCTACGCTGTATCCGTAGTCTTAAGGTAACCTGGGTCGTTTCTGAGAGTGACGTAGCGGGCCAATCATCGTTTACTATCAACGCAAAGGACTTAAAAGCGAGGGCGGAAGGAGCTCTGGCTGCCCAGTGATATCTTGTTAGCACATTCAAGTTCCTATCCTACGAACAAGTGAGCCTACTCTAGACGGCAAGCTGTGACCTCTCTTATCTTTTGTGCTATGCAGTATAGTAGCCTTCTCTTCCTACGACTCGCAGCAACCCGCACTCCTGCTACTGGAGTGCGCAGGGCGGTCTGCCTATGTCTTGGCAATAGCCAGATGACGCTACCCCAACCCATTGATCACCAAAGACGCTCTCATCATTTTGCTACCTTGAACCCCTCCCAAAGCTGGATGCGGAAGTTCTCCCTCATGATGAAGCCCGAGATAAGCCCCGCGAAGTTCGCGCCCTTGAGCAAGCCGTTCCAGCCCGATGCAGACGCCCGAAAGCTGGAAGGTGTTGTATTTGACGTAGACGGTACGTTATGGTGAGTCTTTTTTCCCTCTTGAAATATGTCGTCTTTTTGTCCCTTTATATTTTTATTTTATTATATTTTGTATCAATTGTCTTTGAGATATTTATATTCTCAAAAAAATGCAAAGGCCAGCATAGCTGACACCGTGCCAGCGAGCCGCAAATGTACATGTTCGCCGAGATGCGGGCTGCTCTCGGTATCTCCAAGGGGACCGACATCCTGGACCACGTGTACAGCCTGCACACGGCAGAGGAGCAACACCACGCTATGGAGCTGATCCGCGGCATTGAGCGGACGGCCATGGCGTTGCAGGTCGCGCAGCCGGGGCTCGTGCGGCTGATGGAGTATCTGGACGAGCGCGGGATTCGCAAGGGCATCTGCACCCGCAACTTCGACGCGCCCGTCAACAGCCTGCTCAGCAAGTTCCTCGCCGGCAGTATCTTCGGCCCTATCGTGACGCGGGATTTCCGGCCGCCAAAGCCCGACCCGGCCGGCATTCTGCACATCGCCCGCAGCTGGGGTCTGTTGCGGGAGAGCACCGGCGAGGCAGGCGTGCCTCTGTCCGACGAGGAGCAACGTCGGGCTCAAAACGCAGGGCCCAGCGCCGCCGATGACCTCGTGCCAACGCAGCGCGGAGACGCCGTTGCCGACGCGAGCGGGCTCATCATGGTCGGCGACAGCATTGACGATATAACTGCCGGCCGACGGGCGGGTGCCAAGACTGTACTGCTAGTGAACGACGTCAACCGAGATCTGGCCAACCATGAGAATACAGACTTGGTCATATCTCGGTTGGATGACTTGATAGAAGTCTTAGAGAATGGCCAGCTTTAAAAGCGTGATTCGGAATACTAATTTATGTTCACCTGAATTAATGGAAAATATACGCCACACTAAACTACTTCCCCTGATAAGTCTTGACCCTAGGTACAAAATACTTCATGACAACTCCGCATGATCCTTCGTTTTTTACTACTAGACACCACGAGAGGGAAATCGATACAGTGTCGGTTTCGTCTCCTTAATTAGTAGGTAGATTCAAGTCGATACACATAATCCTCTTTTTTTCCCGCTTTTCTCTTTCGCACATCAAGACCAGGCAAGAAGAGATATCAGATGATTTGCGACACGGTTACACTACGCCAACAAATGCTGCAGATGCACATTCATCATGTCGTCTCAACCAAGAAGGTAGCCAGTCAGAATGTCCAAGAAAAGCGCCCCCGGGGAACATGAATAACCTCTGCCATGAGGCAAGAGAAACATGAAGGTAATTTAATAATGTAAAGAAAAGAAATTGTTGCAACGAGAAATTAGAATAGGGCTTTGATGTAAAGAAACACCGTCTCGAACGATTTCCCCCCAGCGCAACCACCTCACGATCAGAAGCTTCTCTCCAGAGGCGGCCCGACCGCAGCTTGCCGGCGGCTCTCTCTCCTGGGCTCCTCCGCGGTCGGCTGTCTTCGAAGGGGCGGCGGCGGTAGGGGGCCGGTTGGGATACCGGGCCGAAGTGGAAGAGAAAAGACGGCTCTATTTGCGCTCTGGGGGCCAGGAGGGCCGGGGTTTCGTTCTTCGCCTGCGACTTGCTGGCCGAGCCTCGGAATCGAGTTTGTCGTGACTACTCGTGGTCCCAGTCCCGGATGTACAGCCGGTCCACCTGGGCGGCCAAGGCTGATTGGTCCGGTGCGTGTCGGGGATCGATTCGATACGCTGCCATATTGGTCACGAGGTGACACCATAGTCCCCAAAATGGGTATCTCACCTGAAGTGGGGGTTTGCTGCATTGTGCTGTCTGTCTGCATCAAGAACGTAGGGGAGTCACTCGACCGCAAGAGCTCCTGTGTTGCTGGAGAGAGCTGGGGCGCCAGATGGGACTTGCGGTTATCCCGGTCCATCAAACCACAAGCCCACTCTCTCAGGTCAACTGGAGTTCTCTTGGCCGCTTGGACGAACGGATCTCGGTCCTGGTACTTTGGTTAGCTACGCTCCGTTTCACATTGGGGCAACAGGTTGGGTCCGCTTACAAAAAGCTCTTGGGGGGTCGGCCGCTGCTCGGGTGTTTTGTATAGACACTTCTGAATCATATCGTCCAGGATCTGCGGGAAGGCATCGCTCTTGGGGAGCCGAGGCGCGGGTTCGTGGACGATTTGCTGAAGCAGATCGAGAATTCCAGCAGGCGCGCTCTCGGCGTCCGAGAGCTGCTCGCTCGCGGCAAACGGAAATTTACCAATGGCTAGCTCCATGATGGACAGACCGAAACTCCAGACGTCGGACTTGACAGTGTACTTTTCGCCTTGGATTCTCTCGGGAGCCATGTAGGTAGACGTGCCGACGAACGTGTCGGCAATCGAGTTGATTAGTTCCCCTGAGACGCCAAAGTCGCAAAGCTTGATGGAACCCCGGGAGTTTACAAGGATGTTGGACGGCTTGATGTCTCGATGCATAATGTGATGCTTCGAGTAGAGATATGTGAGACCACCAAGAGTGGCCTCGGCGATCTTGCCTAAGACATCGACACGAATTGGACCGAAGACCCGCGAGACGCGGTCAAGTGAGCTAGAGAGCGTTAGTTAGTACTCACCGACACGACAGAGATAACATATGGCTTCGGGTTTCTTCATACCCGACGTCCATGTACTCCATGCACATAATAACATCGTTGTTATCGTTCAAAAACGCTCCATAGAAAGTGACAATATAGTCGGAATGGCAGCCGTGCATGATTTGGAGCTCGCGAACTATACGCTTGCGCATTTCTCGTTTCGCTTCAACATGGATAATCTACTAGAGTGTTAGGGACGATGCAATCAAACAAACAACGGATTCGGGTAGGAAGTTTCAACGAACCTTGCGTGCCATGACGGTATTAGTCGGGATATGCCTAACTTTACTGACGGTCCCGCCATTTCCCGCTCCCAAATCCTTGATGATCTCGAGGTCTTCTGGCCTCAAGTCCAGGTTGAACTCGATACCAATTTCCAGCTGCGCGGCATTATCGTCGCCTCTGGCTCCTGGCCCTGGGCCCAGATTGGCATTCTCAGCGGTCGGGGGAGGCTTGGGGGCTGCGGGAGTCAAGGCAAGACCTTTGACGTTCTTGCGCTTCATTGAGCGCGGGGCGAATCCGTCGGCCATGGTGGGCAAGTCTGGAGACACTAAGACAAAAGTCTTGTGAACTTTGGGGGCTCTGGCGTGGAATGAGATCTGCTGGATCTCCTGTATTGCCTGGTGTACGAGTTCAATAGGTCACATTCCCTCACCGAATGTCGTGACGGCTCGGCGCAAGGCGGGTAACTCGTAGAAATCGGCGTTTGAGATATGCGCGGGGTTCGCGATGCACTTCAGGGGGGCGTCGTAGCAAGCAGTGCGCCTCGTGCGAGTCGCGAGTCTCGTGGCGTCCGTTGGTAAAATCGGAACCAGCGTTTGCTTGCGCAAGAAACCCGACACTGGGAAGGCGGTGTCGAGTCTGGGCCCCTGAACAGCACCGATACAATCCGGGTAAGGGGCGACTTGGAGAGATAGCAGATGTCTCTCTCGAAATGGCTCGTTGCTGAGTATAGTCGGGCGGCCAGTGTGGCACGGGATATTAAACCGCAACAGCCTAGGGGGGCAGGCAACAGATGAATGAATAGGGGCCCTGAAGAGGTCAACGGAAGCAGCAATTACACTCCAAAATTTTGGAAATGTGTGAGGTCCCAGGTGCCAGGCAACTTGTCGCGGAGGTGGTCAGTCAATGTGGGGTCTGTGCTTCTGTGTAAGAAGGGGGACGAAGCACCTTACAAAGGAGGGGTCATGAGTTTCCGATCGACAGGGCCAATCGTTCGGCTAGTGTGTGCTTTTATTAACACTGGCTGGGCCCATCAGGTATTGGCACAAGTTTGGGCGCCAACCGCAGGTGCGTGGGGTTTGGCGAGACGCAAGAATACAGTGTGCACCCACGATCCATACAGTATACCCGCCGGGAAACGAACGGGATCTGAGGAGGCGGGGATGATTTGAGGGGGCTTGAGGGGCAAGCCCAAGTGCAAATCCAGAGCCGGGCCGTCTTCCCAGTTCATTCTGAGTGTAGAAAGAAGCCTGACGGCGAAGGCGTGCATGCAAGCCTACCAAAAAGTAACAAACGGAGCAAATTAATATGCCAATTTTCCAACGTCGTGCCACGTACAAGAAGATTTTGACCGACGCCATCGGAGAAAATGGGTTCCATGCTTCGTCTCCTTTGGTTCCATTAGGTGCCAATGAACTTGATCTATGAGTCGCAGAGCAGGCACGGCAAGGGAAAAGAAGGACTGACCCATAAAATTAAGGCAAAAAAGAGTGCAAAGGAGGAGAAGAGAAGAGATACTACTTTGTTGTAGCTTTTTTGACTGCAAGTCTAAGAGGCAAGCGGCCTTCTCATTCACCTCAAAATGCTTCCAGCGCCAGCCTTGGGAAGTGGAAGCACGGACCAACCCTTGAGGCTGCACACGCGTTTGGCTGGGGGTGGCGCGTGCTTCCCTTGCGCTAAAAATTACAATCTTTGACTCTCGGCCTTTAAGCTCGCCGACGTCTCTAGTCACCGTTCTTTGAGGACTTGTTCCCCTCAACACCGCGCTCGATCTCGCATTCCATTTCCTTTTTGATTCCGCATCGCACTTTTCGAGCAACTGCTCCGGGGATTGCCCTTTTTCACGGCTGCCCCAATCCCAGGCGCGGAAGATTCGCAGCGAATCCATCGAGCCTCCTGCAAAATGAGCGGCAACATTCGCGACTTGATTGACGGCGAAGCCGAGCTTGACGAGGAGGAGGACGATGAGTCATTTGATGAGGATGCTGACGAAGTCCGCAAGAGACCTGCTGCTGCGGGGATAGACGATTCGAGCGAGGAGGACGACGATGATGAAGACGAGGAGGAAGCTCGAAGGGTATGTCTAACCTAGTATCTGTTCTATGACTCACTTTTAACCCAATACCGTGCTGTAGATCCGAGAAGGATTCATCGTCGACGAGGATGAGGATGAGGAGGAAGGTGAGGATGCTAACGAGCGAGAGCGCCACAACAAGAAGAAGAAGCGTCGGCGTGCTGAGCGCGAGGAAGAGGAGCAGCTTGACGAAGAGGATCTCGACCTCATCGGCGAGGCAATTCCTGAATGGGAGCGCAAGTCGCAGACCCAAGTAAGTTTATCTCCGCCACGCGACAACAAACGCGTGCGCTGATTCAATCTTCCACTATTAGCAGACTAAGTTCAAGCGACTTAAACGGGGCCATCGAGACGAAGATCGCGGCACCGAGCGCCGGGGTCTCGCGGAGATTTTCTCAGACGATGATGACGAGATTAACGACGATCGACCTTACGGCCGCCCGAGCCACCGGGTCCAGGCGGATGAGTTCGACGACTTCATCGAGGATGATTACCCCGAGGACGACGAAGAGCGCATTCAGCGGCAGGAGGATATGGAAGTTGCCCGCCCAAAAGACAAGGGACTTACCGTTGATACGACTGGCCTCGATAAAGATGCTCTCGATGACATGGAGGCCATTTTCGGCAACGGCGAAGAGTACGATTGGGCTTTGCAGATGGAGGAAGAGGAGGAGGATCGCGAGCGCGAGGAGCAGACTATTGAGCTGAAGGATGTGTTCGAACCTTCTCAGCTCACCGAGAAGCTTCTTACGGACATGGACAACGAAATCCGCGTTAACGACGACCCCGAGCGATTCCAGCTTGATCGCAGGCAATTTCCCAACCTCGTCATCACAGCCGAGCAGTTTAAAGAAGAGGCGCGGTGGATCACGAATCTCATGTGGCCAAAGAAAGCGCTGCACAAAGAGCTCCACGGCGCATTTAACAAGGCTATCGGGAAAGTGCTCGAGTTTTTCGTCATCGACGGAGTTGAAGTCCCTTATGTCTTTCAACACCGGCGCGACTATCTCATCCATGCGAAGAAGATTCGGAACCAAAACCACCGCGATGATCCCGATGCCCCCGAGTACACGGTTGATGCCGAAAAGCTTCTTACACAGGATGATTTGTGGCGTATTCTAGACCTTGATATCAAGTTCCGGTCGTTGGTCGAGAAGAGAAATGTGCTCGAAGACACGCTCAGGAAGCTCAAGGAATATGCTGGAGTCCAGGACGAAATCATGCAGGACATGATTTACGATGCGGCAACAATTGAAGAGTTGCAAGATCTGCAAGACTATCTCAACTTCCAATACTCGGCTGAGCTGAAAGACGTTTCCGCGATGGGTAACAGTGTGTTGAGGGAGCTCAAGCGGCCGGGAGCAAAGACGGCCCTTTTTGAGCGCATTCGGAAGGCGAAGGTGTACGGGTTTGTGCGCGCGTTTGGCATATCCCCAGATCGTCTCGCCCTAAATGCCCTCCGAGAAAGCAAGAAGGTGTCTCCGGATGATGACGAGAAGTTGCCCTTGGGCCTGGCCGACAGCCTGATAGACAACGAATTCCCCTCTGGAGATCAGGTCATCAACGCTGCTCGCCAGCTGTACGCCGAAGAGCTATTTGTCAGTCCGAGAATGCGAAAGCATTTCCGGGAGGCCTACTACGAGCTCGGCTGGGTGAGCTGCCGCCGGACAGAGAAAGGACTGCGCAAGATTGATGAATCGCATCCTTATTACGAGATCAAGTACCTTGTCCAGCAAGAACTCCGCGACCTCGCAAAGCGGCCTGAGATCTTCCTTAAAATGATGAAAGCCGAAGAGGAGGGCCTTGTGGAGGTCCGCCTCAGCCTGCAGAATGAAAGCGAATTTAGGCAAAGGCTCTACAATGACTTTGCCTCGGACAACTTTAGCGACCTTGCAGATGCGTGGAATACTGAACGCCAAAAGGTTCTAGATATCGCCTTCTCAAGGCTCGAGAAGGTGATCACCAAGGGCGTCAAGGACTCGCTCCGGACAGCTTGCCAGGAGGAACTTCTAAAAACGTGCCGCGAGGAGTACTTCAAGAGACTGGATCAGGCGCCTTTGAAACCCAAGGGTATGATTCTTGGAACAATGCCGCGGGTACTGACTCTGTCAAACGGCATGGGCGATCCGAATCGCGACCCTGTATCCTGGACTTGGGTAGAAGAAGACGGCAGGGTTCTTGAGCACGGCAAGTTTATCAACTTGGGCCGGGACGAGAGCCAGCGTGAGGCCTTTACCGAGCTGGTCCGGCGGAGACGACCCGATGTCGTGGGTATTTCGGGTTTCTCGGCCGACACCAACCGACTTGTGAAGGACGTCGAGAACCTGATCAGCGAGAAGGGACTCATGGGCACTGAGTACGAGGATCCTGAAACGAGCGAGTATCGAAGCGACTTGCTCGAGGTCATAGTCGTCAACGACGAGGTAGCCCGGCTCTACAAGGACAGCCCCCGTGCCGTTGCGGACCACCCGACCTTGAACCCCCTGACACGTTACTGCATCGCCCTGGCAAGGTACATGCAGAACCCCATGAAGGAGTATGCCGCGCTTGGAAGAGATATCACTTCGCTATTAATTCACCCATACCAGCAATATCTTCCCCAAGATAAACTCTTCAGGCATCTCGAGACGGCCATGGTCGACATGGTCAATCTTTGTGGTGTCGATATCAACGAGGCGGTAGCTGACGCTTACACGGCGCATCTCCTTCCCTATGTTGCTGGCCTGGGTCTGCGAAAAGCAACCCTCCTTATCAAGGGCATAAACGCTAACGGTGGTGTCGTCAGCTCGCGCGATGAGCTCGTCGGCGACCCCGAGCGGCACAAGCTCCCCGTCCTTGGCCCGCGCGTCTGGAACAACTGCGCAAGTTTCCTTTTCATTGAGTATGACACGACAAATCCCGACTCGGACCCTCTTGACAATACCAGAGTCCACCCTGAGGACTACGACTTGGCGCGCAAGGTTGCGGCCGATGCTTTGGGGCTAGACGAGGAAGATGTCAAGGCCGAAACCGACGAGAATGGCGCAGGCGCAATTGTTCGCAAACTTTTCAAAGAGGACGAGCAAGAAAAGGTCAACGAGCTCATCCTCGAGGAGTATGCGGAGCAGCTCGAGAGGGAGTACCAGCAACGCAAAAGAGCTACTCTTGAGACGATTCGGGCGGAGCTTCAGGTGCCATACGAGGAGCTCCGAAAGAACTTTGCGACGCTAGGTGCGGACCAGATCTTTACCATGTACACGGGCGAGACCAAAGAGTCGCTCTGCGAGGGCATGATCGTGCCGGTCAACGTGCGCGTTGTAAAGGACGACTTCGCCATCGTCAAGCTAGACTGTGGGATCGAGGGCAGGATTGAATCTCACGAGGTTTCTTACCGCCACTCGATCAAGGAATTGCTTGCGGTCGGACAAACCATCCAGGCCAAGCTTGTAGACCTCAACCGGAAAGAGTTTATCTGTAAGCTCTCGATGAGGGAGGAAGAACTGCGGCGGCCGTACCGAAAACATGTAGACCACAACCATGGGCAGTGGGACTACAAGCTTGAGGATCGAGACAGGGAGGAGCTACGTGAAAAAGACAAAGTCACGGGCCGAACACAAAGGGTCATCAAGCACCCCCTTTTCAAGCCTTTCAACAGCACACAAGCCGAGGAGTACCTGGGCGGTCAGCCTGCCGGCGAGGTCGTCATTCGACCTTCATCAAAGGGAAATGACCACCTTGCTATCACCTGGAAGGTTGCCGACGGCGTCTATCAACATGTCGACGTTCTCGAGCTGCAGAAGGAGAACGAGTTTTCTGTTGGCCGCAGCCTTCGGGTCGGCAGCAAATACCAGTACTCGGATCTGGACGAGCTGATCGTCGACCATGTGAAGGCAATGGCCAGGAAGGTAGACGAGCTTGTCCAGCATGAAAAGTTCCAAAAGGGATCTCGTGCGGATCTCGGTAAGACTTTCATTCACTCCCCCCCTTTTTACTTGGTTCTGCAGACTAACACACGACTACAGAGAAATGGCTGACGACGTACATCGACGCCAACCCCAACCGATCTGCCTATGCCTTCTGCATAGACACGAAGCACCCTGGCTACTTTTTCCTGTGCTTCAAGGCAAGCCGGAGTTCCAGAGTGAACTCGTGGCCGGTCCGGGTAGTGCCGCAGGCATACGAATTGATGAAGAGCCAGTATCCCGACATGAGGGCCCTTTGCAATGGCTTCAAACTACGCTACCAGAGCGAGCAGTTGAAGATGCAAGGTGGGCGGTAAGGAGACGACGCTCTCTCGTTTTAGTAAACTATTTTTTGTTTCATAATGGTCCTAGTTTTAGAGATTCGGACGCTCGGATTTAGGACGAGACATGGGATGCGGAAATGGACAGTGTGTTTTTGAGCAGCAACCTTTGGTATAGTCCTGGGCTAGCTATTTCTAAGTGATGATCCGTAGCGACAGAATAGTGTAATGCTTACTGCGTCGTCGATAGCAGCTTGCGGCCTGACCAACAGCAGATTACCCATCCCGTTGTGCATGGATGGGATTGAGGACCTCGTTTATTTTGGGAGGACGCTTACGAGACGATGCGGCCAGATTACCTGGACTAACTACCTTTAGTGTCCACGTATTCCGGATGGGAGGATTTACGAGTGCGGCGCTGCTCCTCGAACAAACGAACCGTCTCCTTGTCGGTCGTCTTGCTGTGCCCCCGGCGCAACCAGATGGGAGCCCCTCTATCAGACGCACTTACCATCTAATGGCTCCTCGTCGGGGCATTGGGGTGATGTGAGACTGTCATCCCGGCCAAAAGTCCAGGGGCGCAGGTTTTGAATTTCAGGGTATGTTTTTACTGTACCTTGCTGAGTCGAGTGAATCCGTATGTACAGTTCCTGCCTCACTGGGAATATATTCCGTGCTGAGTATTGCTAAAGTAATAAGTACGTATGCTGGTGATTAGTTAGCAAGGATAAGTCAGGCAGAAACAATTGATCCCATTGCGATTGGGCTCAGTGTTGAACGCAAGGCCACCCCGATATCCCATTGTTGATGCCTACAGAATCATGCCTAAAACGCCAGTGGCTTGCGAATGGGCTTACGATGCACGCCCGATGAGGTGGTGCTGCATGTACCGTAGCAGGCTAGTGCGGGCATGTTACTGCGGAGCCCCCCTGCTGCCCTGGGTCGGCGGGCTGTCTTCAGGATGTGCCTGTAGGGCTGACCTGGGATGTTTTCGGTGCCTCCCTGCAGTCTGTTGGAATCTTGACTCAAAACCAGTGCCGGCCACCCCTTTCTTGTCCCACCCCTTTCTTGTCCCACCCCTCTCGCTTCACGCATTCCCGTCGCCTGGAAGACAGACAATCGCGCCTCGGTTTGTGGGGAAATGCTTGTGATGGAACATTCCTTCGTTGTTGTGTAAAATTTCCCCGTACCGTACCTCCCGCCCTTCCGCTACCCCTTCGGCACCCCGCGAAGAAGGCTGCGACAGCGCCGATTTCGAAGACTGCCCGGCGCAAGTCCTTGTCAGCCTTGCGAAGACTGCCCAGCGCGCGTTACCATGGCAGGCATCGAGCAGCTCGAGATCCATAGCAAGGTACGTCTCGTTCGCCTTCCCGCCTCGAGCCGTTCTCGCCCTTCTTTTGCACCACCTCCCCTCCCATCTGCCCCATTCCCGTCGCGCCTCTGCAGCCAAGCCGTGCCGGCGAGAAAAAGATCTGCGAATGCTAAACTGGAACCGTGTGACAAAAATAGTCCTACATTGTGCGATGGGTCAAGGTCGAGGCTGGACACACCATCTCGTGGAGCGTGCAGCCACACAAGAAGTCCGTGTAAGTAAATACTCGGTACCCAGACGACCAAAGCACCCGTGGCCCTGGCGCCTGCCCGTGTGTGTGTCTAGACGGCCGGTTCTGAACTGACCTCGCGACTCTCTAGAAACTTCGCCATCGTCAAGCACCCAGGTAATGGAGGCACGAGCCTGGTTTCGCAGTCGGACGAGACGGGCCCCTTGGACCAGCATACGGAAGGAGGTGTCAGCGATGGCAAGGCAGGCCTGTTCGCCAAAAAGGATGCCAGCACTGCGCAGGACCAGCTCGCCAAGAAAGGCTTCATCCCAATAAAGTGGTACGGGAAATGTGAGGCCGACAAGGTCTCGGTCGGGACCCTCGATGTCACCGAGGGCGGCATGTTTGGCTTGGTATTCGACAACACGTTTTCCAAGCAAACCTCCAAGACGGCAACCTTCGTTCTCCTGACATATCCGACCGGCGCGCCGCCAGTAACTGCCCGGAACCTGCCCAATCTCCAGGCCGGTCCGAATGCCAATTCCAGCAAGACAAGCTTGGGGAAATACAGCAGCCCGCGTCTCGGTGCTGTCGCGTCCGAATCGGTTGACAGTCTCCATAGCCACCCCGCTGGGGCCGGGCGCACGCTGTCCAACGCCGGTAGAAGCGATAGTGCGACGTCGAGTTCGTACCATGTAGGCACGCTGCTCAAGAGGAGGCGCAAGAAGGGACAGGGGTTTGCGCGGCGCTTCTTTTCTCTCGACTACACGACATGCACGTTGTCATATTATCACAACCGCAATTCCTCGGCCTTGAGGGGAGCCATACCCCTAAGCCTGGCCGCTGTAGCAGCCGATGAGAGAAGGCGGGAAATCACCATCGACTCGGGCGCCGAGGTGTGGCATCTCAAGGCCTCAAATGCGAAGGAGTTCAGCGACTGGGCCCGCGCCCTGGAGCGCGCAAGCCGCATCGCTCGAGGATTGGAGTCGCTTCCCAGCAATGCCGCGGCCTCAGAGACGCTCCGAGCTGTGCAGGCAGCCACTGGCGGCGCGCCGTACCCCGGGCGGGAGGAGGACAACAGGGAGTGGAAGCAGGTGGAGACCCTGGTAAGCCGGATTGTGGGTACGAGGGACGCCCTCCGACGCCTTGTCAAGGATATGAACGCGCAGAAGCAGACACACAGTCACGCTCTTCTCTCTCCAGGAACACCGACTTTGTCAGAAGACTCGGACAGCTATTTCCTTCCGCAGTCCGACAGACGTCACTTCTGGAAACGCAAGACGAGCGCCGCCTCCTCGCCGCTCATACCGCAGGCCTTCCAGACGGCGGTCGGTACTTCACTGGCTGTGCCGTCGCCGACGTCCGCCCCGGCCGCCGTGCCGAACGGCGCAAACAGGGCGTCTAGAACTCCCGCGCCTGAAGAGCGCAATATGCACGACCATTGCGCAGCCCTGCTGAACGATTTGGATACTGTGGTCGTCGAGTTCTCAAATCTCCTATCTAGCAGCAAGCGCCGAAGGTTACCTGCGTCATCTTCGGCCGGCCCGAGGAGTAGCTTTGAGTCGACCTCTACTACGGAAGAGTTCTTCGATGCTGAGGCGGGCGACGCAGAAAGATCCCAGAATCAGCTCATGATTATCGGCCATCATAGCGAGGAAGACACTCCGGCTTCGGATGCGGAGGAAGCTCTGACGCACGAGAATTCATCGGTGTCCTCAATGGAGGACGAAGAGGACTTTCACCATTCCCCAGAGGGCGCCGTGAGCCTCTTCCCGTCAAAACCGAAATCACTGGCGCCTCTACCAATTCTGGACGCAGTCCGGAGGCGCAAAACTATCCCGCGGGCGACCGTACCACCACCTAGTCTCATTGCCTTTGTTCGCAAGAACGTCGGTAAGGATCTTAGCACGATCAGCATGCCCGTATCTGCCAACGAGCCAACCTCACTTCTCCAGCGCTCGGCAGAGCAGCTAGAGTACGCAAACCTCCTGGATGCGGCTGCCCAAAATAGCCAACCGAAAGAGCGTCTTCTCTACGTGGCGGCATTTGCAGTTTCGCAGTTCAGTGGCGGGCGGGCAAAAGAGCGAGCCATACGCAAGCCGTTCAATCCTTTACTAGGCGAGACCTTTGAACTAGTGCGATCCGAGGCCGAAGTCCCAGGGGGTTTCCGCCTGCTCGTCGAAAAGGTGTCGCACCGGCCAGTGCGCCTCGCTATGCAAGCCGACAGTGCGCTCTGGTCATTCTCCCAGTCGCCCGCCCCCACGCAAAAGTTCTGGGGCAAGAGTGCCGAGATCACAACCGAAGGCCGCGTGCGGGTCAGTCTGCGGCTACCAGACGGCACCGACGAGCTGTATAGCTGGAACATCGCGACCGTGTTTCTGCGCAACGTTGTCATGGGCGAGAAGTATGTGGAGCCGGTCGGTACCATGAACGTTACCAACGAAAGCACGGGCGCCAAGGCCGCCGTCGAGTTCCGCTCCAAGGGCGTGTTCGGCGGCCGCGGCGAGGAGGTCCAGGTCGAGGCGTACGGGGCAGACGGCGGACACAGCGGCGCGTCGCTGACGGGCACCTGGACCGGGGGGCTGCGCCTCATGCCCGGGGGCACCGAGGTATGGAAGGTTGGCAGCCTCGTCGAGAACCCCGCCGCCACGTACGGCATGACGACCTTCGCCGCGAGCCTCAACGAGATCACGGGCCTCGAGAAGGGCAAGCTGCCACCCACCGACAGCCGGCTCCGTCCCGACCAGCGATTCGCCGAGCAGGGCGACCTCGACCAGGCCGAGGACTGGAAGGTCAGGCTGGAGGAGGCGCAGCGAGAGAGGCGCAGGGCGCTCGAAGAGCGCGGCGAGGGGCACAAGCCTAGGTGGTTTGCCAGGGTGGCCACCAGCCAGGACGGCGAAGAGGTCTGGCGCCTCAAGGGCGGCAAGGACGGGTACTGGGAAGAAAGAGCAAAGGGCGCGTGGTCCGGCGTGCCCGACATCTTTACCGGGTAGGGGGTCTGTTATCTGTCTATCTGACTAACTGTCTGTCTGGCGGAGTTGAGGGGACCGGATCCAGTACCGCCTAGTACCTACCGACCTATGTACCCCCCCCCGCTTGTCTCCTTCATTTTCGAATGCATTCTAAACCTTATTTTGGCTACGAGAATGGCATTCCTGTGTAATTTTTATTTGTTTTCCAGTTGATTACTCTCCTTGTACTCCTTACCCTACCCCTGTCTCTATCCCCGTTTAGCTTCTACTTTCTGCCTTTAGGGCTGGATATGGGAATGGGAGTGGGCTTTATTCCATTTCTTTGCTTGTTTTATTTATGTATTGACTTCTTTATTTACTTACTTCTTGCCCTGGAATAGTTAGTTGCTTAGTTGCTTGGCAAGGCGAGATGGAAGGAGCCTGGGAATTGAAAAATAGGGGGAGGTGGGGGCCTAAAACAGAAATGTAGGGTAGGGATGTAGCAGCAGCGGCAGCAGCAGGAGGAGGAGAGCGTAGGCGTTGTGCCAATCAATGGCTGGAAATTGAGCAAGTTATGTAGCGAGTGAGGCGGGTTTATTGTTGTTTTTAGAAGGGATAAGGGGGCAATGTGAGTGTAGCTTAAGAAGTGTCTTCCGCTACCATGTAGTGAGAATACAATATCATATTATGAGATATGCATGGTAGATATTTGAAGGGGTATATGAATATAGGTAGGTAAGTACGTCAGGCCGCGCTAAAAGAAGAATGACGTTTTGCTGCCATCCCTTTTTCTACCCATGACCGTCAAAAAGCCTAGGAATTTTGTAGAGAAAGCCTCGAAATATTTGTACAGAAGAAAAAAAGGAAAATAATGTTACAGTTTTAATAGGTGGTACTCGATACACAGAGCCACGGCACGACTTGACGCCTTTTGTATTATTACCGTACACTTACAGTGCCTTTTCCTCCTCTCGGAGGCGGGCAACCAGCTTCTCGCGGAGAAAGGGGCTCAAGCCCAGGCTGGTTGAGCGAAGCACGAATGAGAGAAAGTCAGCCGGTTGCATTCAACAAAAACGCTGTGGTGGTGGGGCGGGAGAGAAAATGGAGGCTCCTGCTGCTTACATCCCCTCGTTTGTGATGATGCGGTATGTGCCGCTGGCCTGGAAGTTCCCCAGCACGATGCCGCGGCCGTCAACTTCGAGACTGCCCAGAATGTCCTCGGGCCTGGGGGTCGAGATGTTAGAGACGGAAGGGGCTGAAGGCACAAGTTATAGACCACACGCACCAAGCTATGCGCCCAAAGTCGGGCGGGTTCCGCGTGTCGCTGAGGTGGACCCAGCCGCCGACGCCCGCACCGCCGGCGCCGCCCTCGGCGCTCGCACCGCCGGCGCCCGTGCCGGTGCTGCGCAGCTTCCTGCGCGCGCTGTGCATGAAGTTGGACCCGGCGGGCGACGCAAAGGCCTGAGCCTGGCTCTTGAGGTCTGGGTCATCGGTGGCGTGCTGCGCGAGCACGCGGTTGAGGATGGCCAGGAAGTGCGGGTTCTCGCGGAACGAGCTCGGCGTCGGCGGCACCGACGTCGTGGTGCCGATGGCCAGCGCCGCGCTCGGCGGGTCGCTGTCGAGGAGCGAGAGCAGGTACGCTTGCGGCTGCTGCGGGTGTGTGAAGACGTTCTGTGGTTCGCGCGAGAGCCCGAGGTCAGCGACGGGGTTGTTGGCAGCTTCTATCAGATACACTGCGCGCGCCGGACGCTAGCTAGCTAATGAGATAGCTAGGTAGATCTCCAAGCAGGCAGGCGAAGGCCTGGTAGGGTGAGGGTGGCTGACAATGTTTGGGTTGGACGCCAGCGTCGACAGGCTCCGTGTAAGAGCCCATGGCATGCGCGAAGCTGCGCGGAAGTGCGACGCCAGCATGATGGCGTTGGCGCTTCAAAGGTGTTTCCAGGTTGCTGTATTTGTGTATTCGGGAGACTCACGATGCCGTCATTACACAGTACGGCATGGCAGAATAATTCTTGGTGCTTGTTGTGGCCAATGGGAGCTTGCCTTCTGGTAGCTACCTCGGTGCCGGCGGCAACTCTAGCAGGTCAACGGCTTCCGACTTACAGGGGTGGTGAGTCCACTGCAGCTGGGCAGCCCCTCCAAGACGCGAAATAACGCGTCTTGCAGGCCCATTAACGCGCTCACATACGGAGTACATTTAGAGGTTTTCGACTCACTGCAACAAGACATTGACAACGATAGACGGTATATGGACCCTCGCAACGACACAAACTCTATCCTGCTTGGTCACGCGCCCGACTACCTACCCTAGGTGCACTAATTCACACAGTGAATATCACATTTGCAGCAGACACCATGATGATAGTGCCGAGCCCCCAGAAAAAAACGCCGGCAAAACCACCGCCAAACAGTCCCGAACGGGAAAGGGAAAAGGCGGCCAGGCGGACGAAGCCGGTGGCGCCCTTCTTCGCTCCCAAAAATCTCGCACCCTCGAGCGACATCCCCTCGTCGTCGCCTGCCTTTGCGACCCCGGCGCACACGCTACGGCCGTTCCAGGCGCCCGCACCCGCAAAGGCTGCTATTCTGCCTATCATCCTTCCGCCGGCCACCCTACGGCCGCTCGCCTTCCGCACCTTCACCAAGAAGCACAACCTGACCCTGACGTCGTCAGCCCTGCAAGAGCTCGCTACTTTTATCGGGAGACACTGCGGCTCGGGATGGCGCGAGCAGGGCCTCGCCGAGAAGGTCCTCGAGGAGGTCTCACGCGCCTGGAAGAACCGCAATGGCGGCGTTATTGTCGACGGCAGCAGTGCTGAGCTGAAGGACATCCTTAAGACGCTCGAGGGGAACATGAGCGGTGGCAAGATCATCACCGGGTCCCGCGGTATAAGCCGCCAAAACAGTCTCTTGCTGGAGCCCGCCGACGACGCCGACCACTCCAAGACGCGTTTGGGTCTGAGGCCGACCGCTTCGCTCTTGCGCAATGACAGCCAAGGCAGCATGGGCATGTCCAACCTAGGCTTCGCCGACGAGCCAGACGACGGCGCCGCCGTCAAGGATGCCCGAAGGTGGTTGAAGATCGTACACGCTTTTGAGCAGCCGCGCTTCGTCTACAACGTCGCCAAGAAACACTTTGAGCGGTTTGTCTGCTGCCCACCGCCGTAAACCCCTTTGCACCAGCTAATGACGGCACAGAGATCCTTCCAAGCCATCGATACTCCCCGTTGCCGCCCACAGGACCGACATGTTCCGCAACAGGTTCAATGTAATCCACCAGCGGCTTCTGCGTAACGAGGCTTTCCAAACATCGGCCGTCGCCGGGAGCAGGGGCTCGACCCTTCGGCGTACGGCCTCATCAGCGCTACAGTCTCACAAGATCACCCCCATTTCTAACCTCCTCGGCCGCCACGGCAGCCACCACATGCTCCTTGGGATGCTCGTCATCTTGCCCACCGGCAGCCTAGCCATCAGCGACCTAACAGGCACCATCATGCTCGACCTCTCCCACGCCGTCTCCATTCCCGAAAATTCAGCCTGGTTCACGCCCGGGATGATTTTACTGATAGACGGCGTCTACGAAGAGGAGGAAGAATCGATGGGCAAGGGCCTCAGCGGAAGCAGCGGCGTGGGAGGCACGATCGGCGGCCGCTTCCAGGGCTTCTTCATCGGCCAGCCACCGTGCGAGAAGCGGAATGCGACCTTGGGCGTCAGCGGACCCGACGGCGGTGCCGACCACACCATCGGAGGCGGCTTTGGCTGGATCGACTTTCTCGGCGTGGGCAGCGAGAGGGCCGTGGGCTCTCGCATGCGGAAGCTGGAGCAGAGACTCCTGCGCCAGCCCGGGCTGGCCGAACCCGACGATCCGTGGCGCGGGCGCGTGGTCATTATCGGCGAGCTCAACCTCGACCAGCCGCGCAGCCTGCAGGCCCTTAAGAAGATCCTGGGCCTCTACGCCAGCGACCCCGAGGGGTCCACGCCCATGACTTTTGTCCTGACGGGCAACTTCACGTCGCACGCTATCATGGCGCGTGGCGGCAGCGGCGGCAGCATCGAGTACAAGGAGTTCTTTGACGCCCTGGCCTCGACGCTAGCCGACTACCCCATGCTGCTGACCACGGCCACGTTTGTGTTTGTGCCCGGCGACAACGACGGCTGGGTGTCTGCCTTCTCCGGCGGCTCCGCGGTGCCGCTGCCGAGGAAGGCCGTGCCAGACCTGTTCACGTCGCGAATCCGGAGGGTGTTTGCCGCCGCCAACTCGGAGGCGGGGCTGTCCAACAACAGCAGTACAAACGGCGATGCCAAAAAGGGCGGCGAGGCAATATGGACTACGAACCCCAGCCGCTTGACCCTGTTTGGCCCGTCCCACGAGCTAGTCCTGTTCCGTGACGACATCTCGGCCCGTCTCCGCCGCGCCTCGGTGCGCCTCAAGACCAAGGTCAAGGAGCCGACCGCAGCAGGCGACGAGGACGTAGCCATGGTCGGGGCCGTAGCGGAAGCCGACGTCATGGACGTCGATACGGAGGATAATAATAATCCTCCCGGCGGGCGGCGGCAGCAGCAGTCGGACACAGCAGAAACAGCAGAGGTGCCGTACGACGTCGGCGCCGCGCGCAAGCTCGTCAAGACGCTTCTCGACCAGGGCTTCCTGGCGCCCTTCCGCCAGGCCGTCCGCCCCATACACTGGGACTACGCTGCCGCCCTCTACCTGTACCCGCTGCCCACGGCCGTCGTGCTCGCCGACACGACGGCCCCGCCCTTCTGCATCACATACGAGGGCTGCCACGTCATGAACCCCGGCAGCGTCCTCGTCACGGGCAAGAAGGGCGCCGCGCGCTGGGTCGAGTACGACGTCGGCCGCGTCGGGAAGGTGAGAGAGTGCACTTTTTAGAAAATTATTATATACCTATTTTCTTTTGTTCTGTTAAGCTTTTTGGGATAGCAAGAGACAGGCGAATGGTGTGAGGGGGGAGTGTGGGCTTGGAGGCATTTAAATAATGATCATGGTTAGCGAAACGCGTTGCATGCATTTCAAGGGGGAAATCTTGTTTCTTTTTCATGATTTGGGACAATACATATATGCATTTATCTTCCCTCTCTCCTCACCCACTGCCTTCCTTGCTCATTAAAAGGGAATGTAAGTGGTAGTGGGTGTTCACTGTGTTTGTTTACGTGTTGATGAACGTTGCTTGTATTGTAGAAATGTATGCATATACGGATGGATGTGTTTGAGTGCTTTAGGTATTTATATTCAAGGGCTGGCTGGCTAGCTGGCTGGCTGGCGTCAGGGTACCCCTTTTTCTTTTCTGCTTTTTATGTTTTACCACGTTACTTCTCTACACCCGAATTCCTCTCCTCACCTAATCCATCTCTCCACGCCTACTCCCCTGTATACGGCTGCACAAACCTAGGTAACTTGGTAGGCACGAGCTTTGACTACCAGGAGATAATCATGCTGTGTAATAATTAGGTAGCCAAGCCGCAGTATCAAGCCTCGAATGTTTGGTAAGTGGTCCAATTTCCAAGTATGCCCAAGGTAACGGGTCATTGCTAATTGTTACATATTTTATTTCGTCTGCTCAATAAGGCTCTGCCCAAGGAGTGGCTTGCGCAGTTAGATTTATCTCAAAAGTGAAATTGCACACTGTTTCTTACATACTTGTAAGTATGGTAGGTAGGTAGTGTGAAAAGTCTTTGGTTCCATGTTGGGACGCTGTTGAAGGAAAAAGGAAAAGAAAAGGCGAAAAAGGCATCTCATTTTAGAGACGACAAAGGAGAATGGAAGAGAAGATCGCGTTGCCTTGTGCAAGTTGCACATATTTTTAAAACCACAACAAAGAAATACCGGGGTTAGAAGGTAGGTCAGGCAGGTATTTACTCCCTCACTCCTCCAATCTCGCGGGCATCACCAGTCCGTCAACGTTCCGTCGTTCAGCCAGGACGTATCCGAGTCCTGCCACCACCTAGGCATACAAGCAAGTCTTCTATATCTTCCTCTCATTTCCCCCTCTCCACCTCTCTCAGAAGTACACTAGGTATAAACTCCTTGACTCTGCGGTAGGTTGTTGTCCCGATCCCGATCCCCTTCCACCATTACCACCAGTCCGCAACCAAGTTCGCTCGTTTGTCTATATGTGCCCCCTTGTATGCGTGGTAGAAACGCCTAGAGGTATATTGTTTACTTGCTTGCTGTGGTGGACGCAGGCAGAATTTTATTTCTCTTCCGTTAGTGTAATGACCCCCACCGCTACCCGCTAAAGAACAAAGCACGCGAACGCTCGGTTGATTGGGAATGGATAATGCAAAAAAAAAAAAAAAGGGGGGGGGGGGATAGGCTCAGCATTCTCCTTCTTGTTTTCATCTTCGGCGGTTCGTCCATAGCGCTAGATTGAGGGAAGGGGCCGTCTGCCTGTCAAAATGGAAAGGCCACAAAAAGGCACAAACAAAATAGCGTCTCCAAACCGAATCTTTCTTGTCTTGTCTTTTCCGATTCTCTTCGAGGATATCAATGATATATGTACCTTGTGTATGCGAAGCGCCTACACATAAAAGGGGAAAAGAAAGCAGAGCAACCTCGCATACAGGTATGTGGGAGAGGCGGGGAAAAAAGCCCAATTGTTTCTGTCCCCCTCCGTGTTAATCCATCCATCCATCCATCCCGCACCGCGTACCAGACCATGAACATGACGGCTAGACTGTGAAACCAGGATGAATCCTTACTCCATAACCCCCTATTCCGTTGCCTGCGACCCCGAAACTGAACAAGAGAACAGGACAAGGCAAATATCAAAAGGGAGAAGAGAGAAGAGAAAAAAAAAAGGGGGGGGGGGAGAATACGAGGCCCAAAACAAAACGGCCTCACAAGGAATCATGGTGAAGAACTTGGACATGGTATTTCTTTCCTCGGGGGAACCACAAGTTTTCGAGAAGATGGAATCGCTGTCATTCCACCACCAGACGAGGGGATATATACTATGTTCAGAGAAAAGATGCAAAGAAAGCAGCCGAGACTTTGAGCAACCATGATCGCCGCTCCCCGAGAGGGAAGATTGGGTTGGTAGGGCGGGGAAGGAAAAGAAAAAGGCAACATAAACGCCAACTAAATTCTTTTCAAGAAAAGGTCCATCCCTGAACAGTGGCACCGCCCCATGAGCAGGTAAAACAAACTGAAAACAAAAGGGAAAAGCAAGAAAACGTAGGCGCAGTGCGTACGCCATTGCTGTGTAGTAAAGCGAGGGATAGAAAACCCACGAGGCGACTCTCGCATGAAAAATGCACCCTGCCCAACTCAATGGGAGCGGGAGGGATAGGGAAACTAGTTGCCAAGCGTAGAGGAGGTATTGGACGAGTAACTGCTGAATCCGGCGCCATGGCCATTACCGGCGTGGGGGGTGCAGTGGTCGGCGGGACGGTGCGCCTGGTCGGACTTGGGGCTCTAATCCGCATCGGCTAATTGCATGATGAGGCGGGCAGCCATGTCTAGGAAGGGAAACGGGCTGGCCACCTCCTTGTCCTCGAGCAGCTTTCCCTCTGAGGTCTCGTACCCGTCGACCTTGAAGTCGACGAGGTAGACGCTGTGCTCCATCTCATATATCTGGATGTCCATGCGCATAGCAATCACCTGCGAGTCGCCCTTGCCGTCGCGCGTCAGGAGGATGTTGTCACCGGTCTCACTTAGACCCGAGGCAACCGAGTGCTTCTTAAATGCTAGAGGCGCTGTCAGATGAAGATGGCACGACAGTATTCAACAAGCCGAGGGGAGACTTACTCTCGGTGGCCCAGCGTATCTTGATATGCCAAGGGTCTGCTGGGAGTTTGTAGTGTTTTGTAGGGTCGATGCCTATGATGGCATCCTTCTTACGGTTAAGAGGAAGGCCGTCATAGCCGTCCTCACCTTCGCCTTCGTGATCCTTTTCGTAGTCCTCGTCTACAATCCATCGCGCGCCAAGCTTGGACAGAGCCTTGTAGATGCAGACAAGTGCTTCCCAGGGCGCGTTCCTCGAGCGGATTCCAAACTGCCAGCGGACAGGCTTTGTCTTCTTGGGCGGGTTGACGGGTGTAAGGCCCTGGGGCCTCTTGTTGGCCTCGTCGAGACGAAGCTGGCTACGCGAGTGGGGCTTGAGACGGCGGACGGTTTCCTCTTGCTCGGCCTGGCTGCGCGGCTGAGACCCAAGCTCGTCGACTCTGGGAGAACTGTCGGGAACCTCGATGCCGTCGGCCTTTGCTTTTTCGCGCTCCATGAAGACCTTGTGGTATGGAGGGAGACTGCTGGGGAGGATGCCAACTTTACTAACGTAGGGCCTCGTCGACGTTCCAGTGCTGACGGATGTGATTGACCTGGCCGAGGACATGTTTGCATCCATCATGGGGCTGACATTTAACTCATCGGCACCAAAATTGGCAATTTCTTCAGCGATCTTAGCACCTTCCTCATGTTCTGGCGGCGGGGGGGATTCTCCATAGGGGTTGTCTGAGCCCAGTGTTGCTTCACTTGCTGTCAGGTTGCTAGTTCTTCGACGCCACAGCCAGAGGCCGGGTACGAGACAACAAAGCAGAAATGGGAGGAAAGGGAGACGGCAGAGTAATTGGAACGGGGGGACGACGGACGGGGGTGGCAGATGCTCGACAAAGGAGAAACTCACGGTTGTTCTGCATAAGCTTGTTCTCGCGCACAATCATGTACGCGTCCTTGATGGCCGAGGGTTCGTCGGCCTCGAGAGCCTCCTGGACGTCTCGCTTCCCGTAGCCCATTGTCTTGCTAATCTTCTCGGTGACCTCGTTGTGGAGCTTCTCCTGCTCCTGGGGCGGGGCGTTGGGGGCGATGTCGCTGACCTTGATGGCCTTGTTAGGGTCGACGCCCGTGTTCAGGAACTCCTCGACCGGGGGGTGGAGGTAGGCGGGGAGGTCTTTGAGGAACCAGGGGTCCTGGCGGATCTCGTCGATGGTGGCGCGCTGGACGGGGTTGACAACGAGCATCTTCTTGATGAGGGCCGAGGCGCCAGGGCTCATCCAGGTCGGCACCATGTAGCTGCCGCGGGCAATCTTGGCAAACAGGCTGGGGATGTGCTCGTCGTCAAAGGGCAGGCGGCCGACGAGCAAGACGTAGAGGATGACGCCGCAACTCCAGACGTCGACCTCGGGGCCGGCATAGAGTTTGCCGCCAATGACTTCGGGGGCGGCGTAGTTGGGTGAGCCGCAGCTAGTCTTGAGGAAGTTGCCGTCCGTCATGATGTTGCTCAGGCCGAAGTCGGCAATCTTGACATTGTACTCGTCGTCTAGGAGGAGGTTCTCGGGCTTGAGGTCGCGGTGGACAATCTTGTGGCGGTGGCAATACTCGACGGCGCACAGCATCTGCTGGAAGAAGCGGCGGGCCTCGTCCTCCTTCATCTTGCCGTTCTGGACGATGTAGTCGAAGAGCTCGCCGTTGGCGTATTCGAGGACCATGATGATCTCGGCGGGCGTCTTGATGACGGTGAAGCTGGCGGGGGGTTAGCAGGGGACATCATGGCATGAAGCGGTGAATTAGAGAACAGAGGACGGACAGTTTGATGATGTGTGGGTGGCGGAGCAGCTGCAGATATTCAATCTCGCGCTCGACGCGGCCCTGCATGTCGCGGCTGATGAGCTTCTTGCGCGAGATGATCTTGAGGGCGACGAGCTGGCCGGTGCTGCGGTGCTTGGCTAGCTTGACCTTGCCGAAGCTGCCCTCGCCCAGTGTGCGGATGACTTCGTAGGCGCCGATGCGCTGCTCGGTGCGCATCTTGTCCTTGAGCGGGGGCTGCTGCTGGCCGGGGTGGTGGTGGATGTGAAGGTCATTCTGGGCCTGCGTCTGGGCCTGCGTCTGGTTCATGGCGGCGTTGAGCGACGTCGACATGGCTCCGGGGCCGGCGAGTCCATCGCCTGTCCGCTTGTTGCGCCGAATCTGCGACGGCGACAAGGAGATGGAGAGCTCCTCGTCGTCGTAAGCCTGCGCCATGCTGCGTCCGCCCGTCAATCAGTCGTTAAAAGGGATCCTGGTAGGTATGGGTACCTAGGTTCGTGTCGAAGCGGGCTTCGTGGCGATCAATGTCGTCTGAATGGCGTGTGGAGAATCGAGTCAATGCAGCTTGACAACTCAACTCTAGAGCTAGCCATGCGGCTACGTCGTCAAGCGTTTGGAGCGAGGGGTCAATCGCCCCGCTCAATTGTTGTGGCCGTTGCTAACTGTGGAGCTCTACCTAGGCCGGCTGACAAGGTGGGGGCGTTTAGCTGCCGGGTCACCTTGACTACACCTTACAGCGTCCTCGAATGCTTGGAGGCACAGATATTTCGGATAAGTTATTTAGGTAGTCATCTGTTTATTTTATGCATCTAGGTTTTCGGAGTATATTTTTTATGGATATGCTTTTTCGATTTAATTCCATATTTTCAACGAATTTTCACTCATCGCCCGCGTAGGCGAGTAGCCTTAGACTTGGCAACTCGCCCCGATTTATCTGGACAACGAGGACGTGGATGTAACTTAATTTGGGAAACATGGAAGTCTAGGTAAACTACCTACCAAGCAGGCATCTAGGTTGCGTACAACTATCAAACTTGACTTGAATCGAGTCTTGCAGAAATACGAAAAGCATGTTAACCATATTTCAGGTAATTCCTATCACCTCGCCGCAACTATACATCATTCTGATGTCAACTCTAAAAGTATTGGCTATAAATTCGCCTCGTGACAACCCGGAACTAGGTCGTCGCAACTACATTTACTATAGTCGAGGGCCATAGCTCAGTGGAAACAAACCTTGATCCGGGGGCCTTCCATAATCGTTGCTCAATTGGTTGAGATGGGAAATACCAATATCCGTACTCTTACACTAACTACATAACATCTAGTGAGCAATAGATAACAATTACCCAGTATTCCCGAGCCATCCCCACTTGAATTTTAATCTCAAGTGACCCATCTACGCTGACAACCATCGTGTAATGATTTAAGGCACTGACCCAAGCGTGGCTTTGTGCTCGCTGAAAATCCAACTACGACGCTATTCCCGCTGGCAAAACCGACGACAGCGGGACTCCCCAGTGCCACGACCCAACCGCCATGGCGCCAATGCTCATGATGAAGGCCATCAGAAAGTTGACCTGGTTGTTGTCCAGCAGGTCCCGGCCATTCTCAACCACTCTGGAAGGCTTCTCGTCGCCAAAGCTCGACCTGCGGTTCTTATTCCGCGCATCGTACTTGTCGACGCCTTCGCCCTCATCCACAGTTGAGTCGAGCTTCTCAACAGCATCATGACCCTCACCATGCAGCAGAGCCGCCTTAACATCGGCTCTGGTGCTAAAGTGCTCCGCGCTGTGGGGCTTCGAGCGCGCAGCCACGAGTACGCGCGTGCCTCCTTCGCCCTCGACAACCTTACCAGTGCGCACGTCCTTGACTGTGGCCTGGAAGAGCCCGCCGAGGATGCTGTCCAGGACACTGCCCAGGAAGCCCCATGCAGTCAGGCCCAGAATCAGCGTGCGGCGCTCATCGTTGGACCAAGGCAGGCCGCCGCCCAGCTTGCTAGCTGTCTGGCCGTTGCAAAAGGGCAACATCACAGCCGCCGCCGTGACAATAATTATGCTCCCGAGGAGCCCGGCGCCGAGGCCAAACAGCGTGACGCCACCGTTGGTGCCCCGCGGCACCTTCCGGAGCGTCGGACTCGTGATCAACCGCGGCTGGCCCTTGGACAGAATTCCCAACTCGGAACTGAACGTGTCCGCTGCGACGGCTGCGTAGTTGGCAATGATGCCAACGACGAGCAGATCGCCGCCCCACGAGAAGCACAAGCTGTTCGAAGCAGGGTTGCTGCCAAGCGGCGAGGCCAGCAATTCTCGCTGGCGGGCGTGCAGCTGGTACGCATGCATCAGGCTAAGCACCGAGGCAGTGAGCGAGTTGGCCAGGACCTGGACGTGGGTTCGCGGCCCTTCACCACCAGACGACCCCTTGGAGTGCAGGGTGAGGGTGGCCTTCACATTTTCCTTGACCTGTATGCCGAGTGCGACGTGTATGTGTCAGAGAGAGTACGCAAAGCAAGCCAAACACGAGGGCAAAGAACCGGCTGTTTCGGATCCTTGGATGCCACAGACACAAACACACAAACACACACACACACACACACACACAGAGAGAGAGAGAGACAACTCACGTGAGTGGCTCGCGTGCCGGCCAGGAAGAAGACGACGAGCAGAGCAAAGGGCAAGTTCCATGGGTGGACAGCATGTGCGATGGCTGTGAGCGCGGCTGCAAAGATGCCGGCGGGAGTTAATGAGTTTCGCGAGTAGGCGCGGTAGCAGAGCAGCAGTGTGGCTGGCACGGCGATTATCGGCTTCATCTTTATGGGGGTTGTGTCTCTGAGACGAATGGGTTAATTTCCCAACGTGTAGACAGACTCAGCCGGGTATCCGAACAGGAGAGTGACAGCGGAAGTCGGACTGTCAAGGAAGCTTCTAGAGAAACGGCGGAGCTTATCGCATCCGTTGCCAAGCGCTAGTGGTTTGGAAGCTGGTAGAATGGACTTAAACTGGCGGGAAGCAGCACGAGGTTGTTGCCGACTTACTCCGAGGATTTCTGCCGTGTGCTGCTTCGAGCCTTCTCGTTCCGATCAAAGCATCGACGTCGGCCAACTCTCAACAGCTGACATCAGCAAGACAGCCTAGAAGTGGCAGGGGTACTGGGGGCCCCCTCACCTCGAGATTGAATAGTGGGTCTTTAGCCTATTTTAGCCTAGGCTAGGACAGCAACAAACGACCAAGTACTGACCTAAAGCTTTGAGCTGTGTCAGAAGGCTGAAGAGACGTGAGAGAAAGCACGCCTTCGCGCCTTCCGCGGTTTCCTGTCCGCACTGCTCAACAGTTCCGACTTATCCGCCATGTTTCTCTCCTCGTCATTTTCCACTCCAGGTTGTACTACGGAGTATTTGCCTTCCTTTGCCTTCGGGCCGATCGACTTACTCGACAGATTTATGAGCAGGGGACCGGTCAAGTGGTTTGTTCTCGTTATTGTTTACGAAACACCCAACTGCCCCGGCATCGCTGGCTGTATCCGCCCACACGCGTTGCTTCCCGCCTAATGGCACTGGAAGATGGACTGGGCCGCCTTTTCCCGAGGCACTGTACGCCCCCGACACATCGATCGAGCACCTATGGCTTTCCAGAGAGCACAAGGCACGAGATCATCCTCCTGGTGCGGTGGACGGCAAATCACGAAGTCGTGCAACAAGAGCGGGGACAGATATTATTTCTTGATTATCTTGATTGAATCCTACAAAACCGCCTCGCAGGCTCCGACGTCATCAGGCATGCTTTGTTTGGACTTGTCTGGGTGTTTTATGCTGTACCCTCATAGGTTGTGCATACTTCAAACATCGCGGCATCCCCTCAATGTTCTCTCGGCAAGCGCTCGAGCCCCCGCCGTCTACGGCAGGCGGTTAACGGCGTCTTTCAGCCAGAAACCGCGTCCTGTGCCGTGTTCCCAAACCACTCGGGCAGGTGTCGGCAGTTCGTCTTATGTTGAGGTCGATTATGAGGAAGAAACCGCATGTTCGGGATGAAATCGTGCTCGATCAGGCCACTTTCAGGCCATCCCTGCGGCTAGCTCATGTTGTTGCTGGAGCGATCACGGCGCTTTGCTGTCATGTCTTGCCCTCCTGAATGCACACGCCCCCCCTTGTTTGTTTTCGAGTGAGACTTCCATTTCTGGTAAGTCACTCTTCTTCCCTCCCATCTCTGCCAACTCAGGCCGTGTTTCGCTTGAGCATACCTGGCATGTGTCGTGCTGTCATGCCCAAGAGGGGAAGTCGTCGTCGATGAGGACTTTGGGCCGTTACAGCTGGCTGGCTCCCTCATCTTGTTCCGGCGTGGAGATGTTTTGAGTCTCAATTGTGGTGGGATCGATCGCTGTTGTCATAATCAGGGAGAGACAAGCGTCTGCATGTCTGGTTGATCTGCGCCCCACCCAACCGCGTGGCCTATTGTCCCATTGTCCTATTGTTGTTGACTTGCAGCCACCGGTCAAGAACCCCTCCACTCGATCTGCAATCTTGCCAAAAAAGTCGGCCACCAAAAGGCGGGCATAGATCTTGGAAAGACACAAGGCTCTTTCGAACTTCGTCTCCCCAAGGCCCAGATCGGTGATGCTCCTCGACGAGGTGGGTCTTCATTCCGACTAGAGCCTCGGTATCCGTGGATCTGTCGTGTCTAGCATCTCGTCACCTCGTGAGTCGAAGCCATCCACCTGGCGGTCACGCTTTTGTTTGGTCTTGTCAAGTCGGATCTGAATTATCTCAAACAAGAGGTGGCTTCCAGAGTTGGTCAAATGGATCGGTTGGACGCTCGTATTAGTGCAACCCACAAGCCCGCTCTCCCCACTTGCTTCGCATCATCGTCGATCCCATTCTCTTGCCTGTCACCGTCCGACACCATCCTATCAACCCCTCCCCCAGCCCATTGGTTGTTGCTACTGTTGCTCTTGTTCCAACCAAGCCGCCCTGCCTAGCCCCACTGTCCACCAACCCCTCGCCGGTTTTGCTTCCTCCTCTTTCTTTCCAAACATGATATCCCCTTAGGGGTTCTGGGTTTGGGTTCCGGGCTCCGGGTTCCTCGCTGTACGTCGGCTTCCCTCAGTACTTGGGCTAGTCTTGGCTCTTTGTGGCGGCAGCTCCGAGGCGCTTTGAGTCTCGGGGCGATTCCTTTCACCCCTACCCCGCCCAACCATGATCCATCAACGCTGTCGTATCATGACCGGTCTGGCTTGAACATAGGCCAACATCCAATCCCCATCGAGTCTGCTGGTTGGCGTGATGCCCCAATGCTAGAACCTGAGCATGGTCGACATGGAGTAGCCGCCCTCGTCCAGTGCATACTAAGGTCACACCATCTCTTCTTGGTGCTAGCCTTGTCTCCCAGTGCCGACCAACTAGGAGGCTTGGACGTCGCCCGAGTCTCAGCCAAGTACGTCGTGATCGTACATAACCGCCGTCATCCCTGTCCAGCCCCTGCTCCCATGCTGTCGTCCAGGCACGTAGTAGCCAGGTGCCGTGGCGTGTTGTCGATAGTTGCTGAGCCGGACCCGTTCTAAGAAAGAAACAAGAAGGGGGGCTGGGGCTAGTCAAAACATTCCTCGGGGGGTTCTTATACTTTCGGGATAACCCAGGACAAGAAGAGTGCCAGAGAATTTGGTGGGACAGGAGACGGCGAGACCTCCGATATATAGGACCCTCCTCGTTTCCAATATCCCTCCCATTCCCATGCCCACAAATGGTGGTCTTTACCGTGCTGGTCGGTGTCAAAGCCGCAACGGCCAAGCAGAAGCAGCAAAGCGGCAGATCCTCACCTTGATTGCAGGGCCTGGAGGACGGACGCATGGGACTAAGGTAGGCAAGGGAAGTAACGAGAAGAGAAAAAAGTGTAATATACACACCCGGCAGACGATGCGTGGCGACGACGCGGCGGCAGCTTCGGACCCTGGACGGGCCTCTTTCTCTAGGGTGCTGCTTGCAGGTCTCGGGCATGGCAGACAGGGGGAGGGGCCATTGTGAAGCCATCCAGGGAGGACGCAGAGATAGGGGCAGCGTTAGAGAAAGACTAAGGTATGTCCCCAACGGTACCTCAAAAACAGACGCCGCACATGAGGCGACCCCAAGTCCTCCATTTCCTCTGCCCTAAAGCTTCCTTAACTGCAAAGGCATGCTCCCGTATGCGATGCACTGCTCGGGTACTTCGGTCTCGACGGTTTCCTCGGTTCCGACGCATGTCCCTTCGGTTATGCTCTCTCCGACCGGTCCCGGCTGTGGCGACTCGGGCAAGCTTTGGGGAAAAGAGAACGAGCACAGTGTGCAGTGATTTCAATTTCGGCCCCCATCGCAGCTGATCTGCCTTCGAAGCCACACGTAAACTCATACAAATACACACTGTGCTATTTTTTTTCTCTCTCGCCCTTCTCGGCGTTTCAGTTTATTCCTCCTTACCCCCTTTGCCCAGGCCTGGCCAGATCCATGTCCATGTCGATACTCTATCCCTTTTTTACCAAGCAAAGCATCAAATTCGACATGGAGAGTTCCGGTTATCATCATGTCTAGTGACTTGAAATACCCTGATACTAGTCCGTTTCCGTGTCCATCTCCATGTCCGTTCCATCCTGCTGCTCTCGGCGTTGGGTTTGCCCTGCTTGTGATGTTGCTTTTGCCTTTAGCTTCACGGACCAGGCGGGCTTGCTTGACGCCAGCTACGTAACATCGCAGGACGCTCCCCCTTTTTTTACTTTCTGTCTCTGGGAGCGTGCGTGAATTTTCTCCGAGCCGGACGGATGCTACCTCTCGCCTCTTGGATTTTCTCGGGCCTTTATTCACAGTCACATACTGACTTCCTTCATGACTACATCCCTCCTTGGAGACTCGAATGCATGAATGAATCTGTGGTCTGTTTGTTAGTCCATCTCGGTTCGTTTCTAGCTCCGCCGGACATCGAGTGGAGATTTTCCTTTCTGCTTCTCTCTCTATGTATACATGTCTGTATATCGACGTTCTTGGAGAGTTGCATACAAGAACGTAAGTTTGTGCGTGGGTGGGCATATATGCCTATCCACGGCGAGAGAAATATGTAGGAGCGGACCAAGAGATGTACGAACTAGGCACATAAGATCCACGATGCATTCTCTTGAAATAGTCAAATCCAACGCCCGACTATGCGTCCCCACGAACACCCGTTCTCATCCCCGTCCCCGTCCATGGATGGGTACACATAGCAAGGAACCATGTGGTAGAAAATTCGGTTGCAGGGGTACACGCGAGTGATCCGTGGTTAGGGCCATGACACACGCCACCATTTCTTACTGCAGTATAGTTCGAGCATGCAGTGGGTACCATCAAAAAGCTAATCTAGGGTTGCGGCTCACGAGGGGGAGGAACCGAAACAAGCCACAAACGCAGATGGGACGACCGAGTAGGTACGTACCTGTCCATCTAGAATCTATCTTACCTACCGGAAAACCTGCCGAGCTCGACCTGTGTTATGCGTTGTCCTCGGGAAGTGGGCGGATCTTCCTTGAGGTGGCCGGCAGGCGGGCGGAAGGCTTGCCTGGACGCAACCTATCTGCCTTAGGTAATTACTCGTGATACTATATTCTTCCCTACCCTACCACCTCACTTGGTAACACACTGCGCCGCATACCTTAATTGTGTATCTCTATCAGTCTACCCACGTGCAAGAGACAACAACAACAACAACAGGAAACTCCAAAACAGTGCCTTAAGTTGCCTCTGGTTGTTCTTACTGGGCTTCCACTACGGCCTCACTACGGTACGAGGAATAAGATGGACTCCGCGGTGTTATTATCTAAGATAAAGGATAGTCCAAGCACAGTATTTTGTGGACCCTTCGGTGGGACAGAATGAGATACTGCTACGTAGGTAGGTAAGGTAGGTAGGCATTAACAAAGACCACGCAGACATGCCGGGTGGGAAGCATGGACGAGACGAAAAGGAAATGCCAAGCCTCCATCAACAAGCAACCGTTTTGCTGAAATTGCCAAGACAATTAAGGTTTGCAACACAAAGGCGAATGTTGGGCACGGGGTAATTATTTTCTCATTAGTGGTGCGCAAAAATTCGAGACTTGGGAACAACTGAACAACAAAGTCCCAAGGGGCCCAGAAGCGTTTTCGGTGCCGAAGCAGCTTTTGGCACGACAGCCGCCGGCCTGGGAACCGACAACCGACCCCGCAGCCTTAAGGATTGTTTGCTGGTTGCAAGAGCAGGGGAACGAAACATCAGGCACTTCGGGATGTGGCGAGAGAGAGAGGGAAGAGGGAAGAGGGAGAGTAGGCATTCTTCCCCTGTGTTTAGCCGGGAGAGGCAGAGAGAGACGACAACAGCACGGCGAGTGGTCGTCGGCGCACGGAACGAGAGAAGCACCGACAACCAGAGAAGAAGCAACAGACAATAAACTGCTATTACTTGACCCTCAACGTGGTCCGCTCTCCTTGGTCCGCCGTTAGTAACAACACAGAGATAGTGGAGTTTAGACGAGGAACACAATGAATAGGACTATGATAGTCCACCGGCCGGATTCCTATAGCTTAGCGTCGTCGTGTCCCAGGTGATGGACAGCAAAGATACGAGCCCTCGATGCCGTGGCGGGTATTATGGCGCGATATCTAAAGCTTCTGCTATATCGCCATGCAAAATGGGAGATGCCCGAACTGCCCGAGCAGGACCCGTAGTTGAGTCTCTGAACAAGAACACATAGCTTTTTGATGTGCCATTGATATGATCCCTTGTTTCTCAACGCTTGCCGTCCCACGCCAGTGGAGCATCTGATTTCCGGATGGTCCTGGGCTACAACATGGTCGGCGGCCCCGGCCATGTTTCTTTCATAAGAAAGCGGCCTATTTGTGGAGATATATACTCGGTGCTGTGCGTCATTGTTGACTCGAGTCCGGCCAGACCGATTATGCCCTTGGGTATCTGACATCTCCCTGACGAAAGCGACAGAAAGAGCCCCGACATACTCCGACTGCAACTATCCAACGACACGAGATCGAGGACTGCTTCTTTACGGAAAAGACACAGATGCATCAGGTGGCAGGCGGCTATCGAAATATCCAGCACCTGGCCAGGGCACCGTCGGCGGCCGGGTAAACGACAGGCGCGTGACATCAACAGACGACGTGCGAGCGAAGCCTGGGCCAATGCTGCTGGAGGGGGGCGGTTACGGATCAAGCTCGGCGATACCAATGTGGACATGATTGGATGTTCGGTGGAGAATCGAAATTCGCAAGTGCAGGCCTGCACTTGCTTTGGGGGTCCGGCCGTCGTGAAGTCCGATGAGGTCCTCAGGCCAACCCAAACTCATCCCCCCCCGGAAGAGAGGTAACATAGAGGACCCCGCGTCCAATTTTCGTCTCTTGGTGTGCAAAGAAAGAAGAAAGAGGAGAAGGAGATGGTCACGCTTGAGAGGTAGGTCCCGGCCCAACAACACAGCGCCAACACCGACTTCGGTGATGGCGTATGCCCGAGATCACCCGCTGCCATTCGAGAGAAGCTTGTATCACCCCATGTCCAAGTCGGTGGCACAGGTCCAGCCCCGAAGACCGAAGCCAATCCCGAGGAGTAAAAGGTGCGGAGACCCTCTGTCCGCCGGAGCCTCAACGAGCAGCACCTTATCTCGACCCCAACCCATCCTGCCCGCTGGCCGACGTTTCCTTCGACTGATCCTGCTGTCTGTCTTTAATTCTCCCCGAGCCTTCTCACAACGGACCTCTTCAGAGCCACAAGTCGGCTTCGTCTCCCAGCAAACGCCTTGGTGGGGCTCTGTGAAGCTTCAGCGCCGAGGCCGGAAAGTCGTGCCCGTTCCGGCCTCGGCGCTAAAGACCGTGGCGTTGCCACGCCGGGAAGATGGCTCAAGTTCCCGTGACAGCTACCGTATAGAAGACCGCCAACGCACATCCCATGGCATCTACGAAACATCTGGACCTGTCTTCCTGAAAGCCATTAATAATCGAGTGACACACTCGGAACAGTCGGCAAGTTCAGACTCTCACGATATTGCTATGTACGTGATCGCTGTTTGCTTTATGACGTCGAAGAGAATGTCTGTTTTGGAGCAAATAAAACCTCACTATCCGAACTTGAACACGTATCTTCGAAGAATCCAGCCGATCAGAAAATTATAGACGATCCTCCGTATAGAAACGACAGACAACTGCCATTTTGCATATCCAAGTTTGAAGGTGCAAGCCGCCGCGAGTCACGCCGAACCCACGCATCTGAAGAAACTGTACAGGTCGTTCGTAAAGTCAGCAGCGTACCAGACAATATATAGCACACTCTTTTCACCAGCCTACATCTTTCCTGTCGACAACCACTCCCGTGCTAGTAGTTCCATCCTCGCCCCCGCGGGACTTGAGCTTGTTGCGACACAGCATACGTGAGACATGATCTACTTTTGGTGAGAGAAATACACGAGCGTGCCCATGCAAAAGTTCGTGTGAGACGGACGTTGGTACTGCGGATGTCCAACTATGGACTTGTATAACCATCAGCCTACTGAGCCAAATATGAACGGCCAAGCAGCTGCTTGAGTGGCTTCCTTGGTTGGCGATGGCCGGTAGCCTGGTGCTCGGTATAATCAAGACCATAATACCATAGCCACCGTCGTTCAAGCGTCGAAGTAAAGCCACTGTGAATTTGGCTGATCATCACTGAGTAGCGCCAGGAGACGAAACAAAAGGCAAAATTTAAATAAAAAAAATAAAAAATAAAAGAAAAATTTAAGGAGTAGGTAGCTAGCATCCACGAGTCGGCTGGGCTGAGCTGCGTAGTACCGTATACGTAAATAGAAGTAGGCTGAATGGGTCAAGATGTGGCACGGTTGCCTCCGAATTATATGGCGGCTTCCTTTCTTTATTTTGAAACAGTCTTCGATCGATTCTGGAAAGTTGCCCACCCAAGGATGGAGGCTGCGCGTCGTGGCTGGCTAGTAGCACAGACTTAGGGAATTGCGATGTGCAGTCAAGGGCAAGAGCAAGATCTACGGCTCCCTGATGTGGACGCAGTGGCAATGGCGTGTTCAGCTCTTACCTAATATCCCTACGTCAAATTGTACTTCATCGTTCCTTCCCAGGTTCCTGCACATCATTTGATACGACGAATTTCCTTTCTACCTAACCTGATCTGGTTAACTCAAACGACGAGAAACGCCCAGAGCAACGGTCCAGAGCCTCATGATCAGAGGGCAAGCACAAGGACAACATCCATAGAGGCGACTACCTTACATTCCTACCTAGGTAGTACTAGTATTGCCTTCCACAGCAGCAAAGGTGAAGTCAGCCACGGCATAATTGAACTCCAAGTTCAGTTGGAATGCATCGAGTAGGTATTGGGGCGTCATGCCCGCAAGCTTCACCTCCCAACCCAAGGTAAGGGGAAGGTAGTAGATCGGTGTACGAAGTACAGCGTCAGAAGCGGGACCCGTTGCACACAGCTTCCGAAGCCGAAAGCAACGAGCGCCGCCAATGCCGCACCCCGAGTAACCTACACCGTATGCATGTACGGATACAGAACAGTCAACCGCAGCTGGACTCAACAGAACGTTGCATTACGGTTCGCATGAGATCTAATAAAAACGACAGCCGCCCCGCTCTGAGACCTGAAATGACATTCAAATGCTCTGAGACATGAGCTGTGCCAAGGCGACAACCACTGGAACACAAATCGATCCCAAGACTCAGACCGCTCTCAACTGTCTCAGATGGTCTAAGATAGACATGATGGGGGCATTTACACAACATAACGCACTTGTATCTCTTGTACTGTGGCTGACCTCGTACGGGCAGCTTGGGCCGGTATGTCCCCCGTATCCGTAGGGCGGAGCCTTGTGTGGATGGATAGCTAGTGTAAACCCGGACCTAGACACACCGTTCGCTGAGGACCTTCTAGACGCCGAACGATCCGGATGGACTTCACCTGTTAGAAATGCCTGCGCGTGTTATAGGTCGCCGAGGAGCTTAGTTATCTTCCCGATATGGAAGACATGAAAAGAAAAGAAACCCTAACCCTTGAGCTCGGAACCGCTGGCGGTGAGAGGTCGGTGCCCGAATACGTGGGAAGCACAAGCTGGGTTCGGGCTGCCGGCCAGCGGAGCATGCCTTGCGCGTCCGTCCAAATCGCGTTCCGTGGGCCTCTCTTAACTCCGCAGCTCGGCGGTCCTCACACGGCCTATTACATGCGTGCGTCGAGGTTTTCTTTACCTGAAGATTGTCAACAGCTGATCTTTACGGTAAACATACGAGCCTGCCTCGGGTGTTTCGAATCGTCCTCTCTGTTCTATTGATCTGGCGACCTTGGATTGGCCAGGCCGGACGAGTCACGACAGGCTCGGCACTCGCGGCGGTTGACGTGGTCGCCGAAGAGCATACATAATAGCTACTAGCAGCTGTTGTACACCGCAGTGGGCTCGGGGCTGGGTCTGTTGAGTCCATTTCCGGAAGTATCCCAAGCCCGCTCCACCTCCCAATTGGCTCGGTGCTCAGTGTTCGTGGCTTGGGCTTGCTTCCAACCGGTCTTGATGGCCCCCAAGCCGAAGGAGGGCATCCATCTCGGCACCTCCACACGCACGCCTACCGCCAACTCTCGAGACTGGCTGGCGCCAGTGATGAGAAGATTCCCCTCGTGTCTCCTCCCCGCCCGCCACCTTTTCCACCTCGAAATATCATTCATGAACCGAGATACTCGCGGATGGTTCCGGGGAGGGGAGCGGAGGGGAGGGGATGCAACCGTTTCTGGGCATTTCACGCTAATCAGCCTATCAAGGCTTTGTTTGAAGACCAGCCGTGCCGGAAGTCGGAAGCTGGAGTCGAGTCGAGTCGAGTCGAGCAGCAGCGAGGCGGGATATTGGCGAGCGAGCTTATTTTTAGTCGCAATCGCAATATATACACTTATTGAAGCTGATGATTCATGGCTTGAACATATTTCCGCACCAGCGGGGACGAGGTCCCAAGCGGGCCTTGCACGGCCCCAGCTTGCGATGCCAATCCAATGCCGTGTTTTGCCCTCACGCCTTGCAACATCTAACCTTTTGAGGTAGGTTGGACCGTTGTCATTGGACACTGGCGATTGGACGTAGCATCACGATTGGGAAGTGTAAAGTGACGAATTAATGGTCAACACACCCTCCACACGGCGATATGCCGTTGCGACATGCCCACACCCCCCAATCCCCAATCCCCCATCCCCAATCCCCAATCCCCCATGCCCTCGACCACAAGGTAGGTAGCTGACAGAATAGGCGAACCTCGAATAAACGGTTGCCTAGCACGGGCAAGGCCGCGCTAATGGTCCCCTGTTCCCTGGCCTCTCTACGTACACTAAAGGTTGGTGGCGGTAGGGAATTCCTTGTAGTAGAAGTTGTGAGAAAAAAGCTCCCGTCTTGGGCTCCGCATCTCAGCCGCCTTTTCTTCCTTTACCTTACTTTCGGGTCTAAAATAGGGACGGGAGCTACGGCTGTTTTTTCGTTTGCCAATCAATCCAATGGAAAGCTCCCAAAGTTCCAAAGTTCCCAAAGCTTTTGCTTTTGCTTGCCCGCCGAGCCATTCATTCCATGACTCGCCAAGCGTCTCAAGCAGCTTGAGCTTCAATGAATCGTGTTCATTGTTTGGATTGCGGCTACGGTTACTACAGAGTGCTACTCCATCTCTTATCTGGTTCCATTTCCGTAAGCTTTGCCTGCCCATGGACCCATGGACCCATGGACCCTGCATTCGACGGTTTTTGGGACAGCCATTGCCATTGCTCTTAATAATCACCTCTCGCCTGTCACGGTGCTTGGGGATAAGAGCTTGTGTATTAGTAAAATGACTCATCAGAAGCTGATTCCCGCATGTTGCTGATGATTAGGTAGGTAGGTATGTTTTTGTTCGTCGTCTCAGCGAAGTGCGCATGTTTTTTTTCTGCCGTCACCGGCACCGCACCGGCACCTACGGATAGCCTTACCACCTACCTACTTAGTCTAAGCATATCCGTACCCGCAGAGCGTCCCAGCGCAGGAGCCGAGTGCTACATACAGACTCTCTCTCTCTCTCTCTCTCTTCCTCTCCAAAATCTCTGGACGACCTGAGATGTCGGTTTCCCCTTGTCTATTCCAGTCCACCACGCCACGCCACGCCTGAATGGGCTGCTGTTCCCTCCCTCGGGAGTAAATCATACGTCGAGGCGAGGTTTGGGTTGGGTTGGGGTGCGGGCCGGGGCCGGCAGCCGCCCCAAAAGTTCCCTTCCCCATGTTACCTCAAGGTACCTTCCACCTAAAACCGATGGTTACGGTACGTAAGTGCGGCAACAATCTAGGAGAGCCACAACCTACAGAGCAAAAGCACATCATATCGTATAGCCAACGGGTTGGGCGGACGGGATCCATACATCATCATTGCCTGGGGGGAAAGAAAAGCAGATTGCATGACCTATCCTCCCAGCCAGGCCGCCGCCACCTACAGATTCCCGTCTCTCCGGGCGATGGGAAACGTGGAAGTAAGGTAAGGCATTCATGTGCGGAATATGTATAGCACACGTTATACACGTACGAAAAGGATTGATGCGGTGGATGTCCCGCGTTTGGGGTTTCCAAAGCAGGCGCGCCGCCGCGGCACCTATGCCCCAGTTGGTACGCGGTTGTGAAGGGCGAGTTTCCCAGTCGGGGCATAATACCTAGACGGTTAGATAATATAGATTCAATTATCGATCATCGAACGGTGGCACTCGACGGGTTTTGTGAGAAAAGAGAAAAAAGGAGGGTGGGGGGAGAGTGGAGGGGAGGGGGAGAGGTGGCGCCTGCCGTCGCCCATAACGGCCGCTGCCCGCACCTGCAGGCCCATTGTTTTGGCGGGCCTTGCAGCAGCAACAAGGGGGGGAGGCGTGGCCGTAGCAAAGCCGATCATCTGGGTTGATCGACAACCTTTTTCTTTGATACAACACCGAACCTTGCATATACTTAGTCCCCACTCTCGCGCTTTTCGACGACGGCAAGCGGTCACGGTTGGCAGCCTGGCAAATTGGGCAACCCTCCCCCCCTTTCCCCATCCAGTCTTTTCTGTCACAGTGCTTCCGCTCGCCGCCGCTGCCACCGTCGGGTCTTTGCCCTGGCGTCGAGGGAAGAAAGATGCCGAGAGAGGGTCAATTGGGAATATTCCCATTGCGGTGTCTGGAAGGAAGGAGCCTACCGCCCGCCCGCAGCCAGCCAGCCGCCCACCACCACTAGTGCCCCTTCCCAGGGAGGAAAGACATCTTTCAATGATGGCGGGGTGTGCGGCTTCAAGTTCACTTTCCATTGTTATTGTTGGTCACGGCTCGTGGCCCGCCTCAGTTACTGACTTGGCCTTGCCTTTCTTACTTGTGCGCCCTCCCTTGTTTCAATCTCGGTGTCTTCCACCTTAATTACCTACTACGTACCTGACCTGGACCACCACTACTAACCTCTTGTGGCCCGGGCGAAGAGGGTTCGGATTCACAAATGGACGACCCAAGAGACGGAACTTGGACTGCGATTGCCAAGGCAAGGCGAGGTGAGGTAGGTAGTCCAGGGTTCTAGACAAACGTACCACGACTAGCAGCAGCGAAACAAACCCGATTTCCCCGCCTAGACCCTCGTTGCACACACGACACAGACCCGAGACGACGTTTCCGCTCCCGCTGGGGGGCTTGCCTAGGCCGCTGGCCTCATCTGCTCTTCCATGTTGCCCAGGCTAACAACCGAACTCCACCTTGCTACCCTTGGCTTAGCTTAGCTACCTACCTGCCCTACATTCCCGCGTCTGGTATCTACCGTACCTACGGGTTATCCTGCTACCCTACCTTCGGCAGCTACCTGACCTAACTACCCTGCTCGACACTACCTTGCCCAACAAAGGAAGCCGTTGTTGTGTGTGTACGGGGACGGCACAGCGTGGGAGTGTGTCTGTCACGAATCCAGAAGCTGCCCTGCTGCTGCTCTTCCTCCCTGGCTAGGCCATGCCACGCCGTCGCCACAAAAAGGGCGAGCTAAGGGTCAGGTATGGCAATGGCGTACCTTGCCATTGCCGCAGGCGCGGCGCTTCTTATTTCGTTATTCTTATCACTATTACTATTGGGGACTAAGGCCGCGTTAGCTCGAGATCGTATAGATCCGATCCGCATTCGTCGCCGCCCGTCCTTGAAACCCGTTGTGCACAATCTAATCCCGGCTCCGTTCCTCATTTAGGGTGTCCATGCTTTCTCTTTCTCCCTCTCCCTCTCCCCCTCCCTCTCCCTATCCTTTCCTCTGGCTGCCCAGCCAGCCAGCCATGCTGGGACCGCTGAGCCCCTCCCCTACTACCCCCCTCTGGTCTGGCATGTTCGAGGAGCTGCTTGCTGTTGCTATCCTTTTAGGGACAGGATTTGGTTGGCCTAGCCTGGCCTGCCGTTGCATCTATTTACCGTACTGTTCACATGAGATCGCCGCGTGCCGCGTGCCGCTGTTGCCATTGCCATTGTTGCTGCTGCTGTTGCTACTGCTGCTCCGCTGTGCTGCCATGCTGGCAGGTCTCATGTTTTGAGGCGGTGATGGTGGTGCTGCCTTCTTGGCCTTGCTGGCTCTGGCATGACATGGCCTCGCTGCAACATCTGGCTCTGCTCTGCTGTGCTTTGGTTGTTTGCTGATTTTCCCTCGTCTAGGATTAAGCAAATAATCATCGCATGCCCACCTCTCCCACCATGGCCGGCATGGGAGGCGAGAGGGAGAGCTGGAGAGAGCCAGGCGGCCAAGGCCTGCTTCAAGACTAAGGTAGGTCTACAACGCCTGCGTGCGTCCGCCTTCACCTTGTTTCCTTATGCGCCTTGAGAGATTAGCCAGAGTCTCGCCCAACTGTCCTCGCAGCTAGGGCAGTTAGAGTTTGTTGGATCGAGTCACATGGTTGCTCCGCTGCTCTTGTAGGCCTGATGCGTGCGAGGACGGCGGCGAGTCGGGCTAACACGCTCTCCAAACCCTATCTCGCTTCCCTTGCACACCCGGGCTCCATCGGGCCCAAGGGCCAGCTTTCCGTGCCTCGCGTGCTTGGCGTGCTGCCCTCGATGCTCACTCCCACGCCGCCATACTATACTATGTATGTATGTGTGTGCACTGCTAAGGCTACTTTAGCTGGTGGGGGGGAGTGGAGGGGAGGCATGAGAAACTGGGTGCGGTCCTCGTGTACCTTTCGACCCTGGTACCTTTTTACACGGCGGCTGAACACTGTCAACAACCAGGTCGCGGTCGATTTTGCTTTTCTCCATGTCTTAGATACGTGCCCACAATGCCCACCCTTGAACTAACAGAGCAACCTACCTTGCCTTTACCTACGTACCCATTATTCCTCCTCCTTACGGCCTGGCTGCTTTCTCGCCATCTATTGTGCACACACACACACATATAGACCTCTCATACCCTTGTCCCTGCTCACCCACGATGCATGCTGCTTCGTGGATGGACCCTCTTTGAGCTCACTCAGTTGCGGCAGCACCGCCTCGGCCTGAACGGTGAGCCTTGCCTGGGAAAGCTGTGTCTATCAATATTTCCGATATTGAAAAGGCCCGGTCTTCCAGCACTCTAACCCTCGTGTCGGAAGAATCTTGTTCGCTGCGAGTTCCATGTCTCCTGCAGACGCTTAATTACTATTCCCTTCAATCCCGTTGATCGGCTTGGGCCTCCTTCTCTTTTCCTTTTTCTCTTTTTGCATTGCGTCCTCCCTTTTTCTTCTACATACCCTCCCCCCCCTTCCCCCACACACCTTCTTCCCACCCTCGCTGCTAGCCCGTTCCTGGCCGTCCACCATCCTTACGCCATCGTCGTCGTCTTGTTGATTAGCAGCAACGAGACAAGAGGCAATCACTGCCTTGTCACTCCTTGACACTACCGACCTGGCATCTCTCCGGTCACTGCTTAAACGCAGCGCTGCCCACAGCAGCCCGTACAGTTATTTCGATATCGACTAGTCACGAAGAGTCGACTAGTCCTTTTTAGGTCTAGGAACCTTCCCAGCCACCTAGATCGACGAGAACAAGTCATATATCGCCGCCATAATGGTGTTTTGTGCGTACTGCGGGAAGAGCTTCACCCGCAAGGAGCACCTTGAGAGACATCTGCCCAGTCGTGAGTGCACCAGACGGAAGGATGGACGGACAAGCATGAAGTATTGTGTGAAACTTACTAAATATCGGTCCAAGATACCAATGTCAAACCTCACCGCTGCAGTGCCTGCCAACTGTCCTTTGCACGAAGGCAAGTAGCCGCTGTCTACAAGTCCCTCTCGACTGACTGCGCTAACACGCCCAACCAACAGAGACCTGCTGCAAAGACACCACTCGACATTCCATGAGGCAAGAGACCCGATGGAGCCGCTTCCAGGCGGCGTGCCGACCATCGCAGGCAGGACACCCATTGCTTGCCAAAACTGCGCCAACGCGAAGACGGGCTGCGACAAGAGAGTACCGTGTTCGAGATGTGCGGAGAAGAACCTGCCTTGTGCTGCCCGGTTTGCACGACGCTCGTCCAAGGCCGCGATACGTGCTGCGCAGGCAAGCGCAGCGTCCCCGGGGCCGCCGCTTGTTCAATCGCCACAGCAGATGCAGCAGCCTCAAACGGTCAACCCTTCTTTTATGGAAATAGACCAGGCCTCGACAAAGGTGGAGGCCGGAAAGTCGCCAACAGTGGTCGAGGCTGTCATCAAAGTAGACAGCCACGCCCCTTCGGAAGGCTCACCAAAGAGGAGCTCGCCACCGCACTCGCACGTCAGCCCGACGGAGTTTCCATCGCCACACACACGCATAGAAAGCCTAGACGAATTCATCCAGATCGGCAACGAGTTCGTAGGCCCAGAGTCGTCTTACCAGGACCTCCTGGTCTGGCCCGAGTACTCGATGGATCTCGAAATGTACCCGTCCACAATGCCGTTGACGAGGACGGACATGTCAATGCCGGCCTTCACTGAGCTCAGCGACATGTCGGGATCGGAGCCAATGACAGCATCGTCGTCGCGGGGCTCAATACACACGCGCGGCACCAGCATCATGTCTTCGAGCGATTTCGACAACGGGATGAAGTCGGCCGAGCTAACCATCACGGTGCCCACCGACAGTCCCATTCCCGACTTTGAGGTAGTGATTGTGGCCGAAGGGGCGTGGAACCTGGCGCGATGTAACCCGCCCATGTACACAGGGACGTGCCCGCGGACGGCCATTGTGCACCTCGAGTGTTTGGAGCAGAAGTCGAAGGAAGAGGGCACGTGGAGCTCGCTGGAAAAGTACCTAGACCAGACGGACTGGGACGCTTCTGATTTGGCCTCGGTGGTGCCGCTGACATCACGCACACGTGACAAGATGCTGGCCATCACGCAGAGCTTCCTGCACAAGGCGCTCGAGATTCACCGGGGCGGCATCAACGGCTATCCCAAGGCGGGCTATGCCAGCCCTGGCGACTTTAACTTCATTGTGCTGCCCCCGTCACGCATCCTCGAGTACTTTTTGCGGAGCTACGTGCGAAGCTTGTCGGTTTACTACCCTCTGGTCATGGCTGGCTGCGTCGACCCCAATGAAATGTTGCAGAACAACCAGGCGTCAACTCTACTCGTTCTGCTCATGATTGCCCAGGGCGCGGCGGCCATGCCCATGGCTGAGGCGAGATATCTCTCGGCCGGCCTGACAGAAACATGTCGAATCTCGCTGTTCGATATTGTTGAAAAAGACGTTGAGCTCTCGGCAGATCCCATCGCCTTGCGGTGTGCGCTTCTGTTTATCGTGCTTGGCGCTTGGAGCGGCGACAAGTGGCTGATGGACATAGCTATGGGTCAGCGGGGAATGTACATGTCGGTGAGTTGAGGAAACATGGTGACAATTCGCTTGATAATGTGACTAACAGGCTCCTCTTCTTAGATGCTGAAACATGCTGGCATGCTGGAGCCCCAGCAGTCCATGATTCCGGCCTTTAACAGTTCGACTAGCACTGAACTTCAGTGGCGCTCGTGGTTACAACGCGAAAGCCAAAACAGGTGTGCTTTCCCTTGTTCCGACCCATTTCTGCGCGGCGTGCTAACATAAAAATTTCAGGCTCGTTTATAATTATGTCATGCTGGATCAGGAACTCAGTCTTTTCCATGATGCGGCGCCTTTGTTTGCTATCACCGAGCTTCGGTGCCCTCTTCCGGGGCCCGAAGTACTCTGGATGGCATCAAACGCCGAGCAGTGGCTGGCCGGCATCCAGTCCGTCTACGGCTGCACTGCGAATGTAAATCCCCAGCTTCTCACCGCGCCATCCCTTACACCCTCCTTGTATGACCTGTTCCAGGACTTTCTCCATGACAGTCTCCCAAGGAGGCAAGGCAATCTCTCACCACAGCAGCTCAGGCTGATTTTGCACCCGCTGCAGTCGCTTCTCTGCCACCTCCGCCAGATACTCTCCTGTTTCTCGGATGTTCCCTTTTCACGGCTCAACGGCGCGAGGACAGTGACAAAGTCTTCGACCATGCTGCGGCTAGAGGAAGTGCAAGCGTTGCTACAGAAGTGGTACGAGCTTACTATGACGTACTACAAGGCCAACCCGAATTGTCCCATCACGCGCTGCAACCTTGTTCTGTACCATCTCATATCTCTGAACGCCGTCACCAACTTCCCCGAGGTCGAGCGTCTGGCTCGCCGCGAGGGCTTTGATGGCTCGTACTGGGAGCTCTCGCTCCGGTACAGACGCTGCATCTCGCAGCGCGAGGAGGCCATCTTCCACTGCGGCCAGGTTTTCCGCCTCTTGAGGCTCATGCACAACAACCGCCGGCCCAGCTGGTGGTCAGCGGCCATGTACCGCGCGACTCTGATACTCTGGGCGGACAGCATTTCCAGGCTCGATCCCAACTTCCAGACCGACAAGCGCGAGAACCCCGGGACGGGAAGCACAAAGCCGGTTGCCATCGACCAGGTCACGCCCGAGGACCCGGCTGTAATTTCATATCTCTGGAGCGGGGACGGCGAGGCCGTTCTCACGCAGCTCGACGGCTCAACGGTCAGCCTGGACAAGCCGGGCGACGTCTTGGTGTATGCCGCCAAGAACATTGAGGCTGGCTTCAGCTCGCGCGTGGGAGACGGCATTAAGCGCAAGCTGATGACTTTGAGGAACAACTGGAGCGTCAACACCATGGGGGCGCCGCCATCATGAAGGCCTGGAACACAAAATAATTTCCTTGTTTCTTGTTGGATTGGACACATATTAGCAGAAGGCCATATCGCCTATCTGTCTAGATGGCGTTATGGATGGAATGAGACGGTCGCTCAAGACCACACGACCGGCCAAGCACCGAGGCAATGGCATGACGGCGTTTACCTGGGTATATTTCCTGGTTTCTTTTCATTTTGCCGATTGTAGAGACGAGACCGGGCCGCCTTTGAACCAAAAGATTTCTTAGGGACCCAGTCACTATTCATTCTTTGCTCGGAGCAGCATGTTTATTTCCCCCCTTCATTTCCTCTACCAGGAAGGATCCGACTTATTGTCTATTTAATTTAAAGGGGAGGTGGCGGCCCGGATGGCATGGAAAGGAGGCGGCCGCGGCGGCGGCTAGATGTATTATTTACTCATTCATGATGATTACCTCAGTATCATTATCATTATCCGTATCATTATCAAGTATTCTTAGTGTCTAAGACAAAACATTACACACATATTTACCTCACTTCACACCTAGCTCGAGGCAGGTTGTCCTTTTTTTGTGTTGGGGGCTGTCTGTTGATTATCGATATCCAGGGCAACAAGCAAACAAACACCGCCAACCGTACACTACGGTACATGTAAACCTGAATGCATGTATATATGGATGGGTGGCTTGTGTTCCCCTTCCTCTTCCATTTCTCTTCTACTTACATCCCCCTTCTTTCTGCGCCGCTGGCTTGCCTTGTACCGCCCTCCTCCCCCTTCTTCCCCAGACCAGACCCAGACCCAGGGCCAACCAACTCCCGGGTCTTGTGTGTGTCAGTAACGTGGACATGCGAATGCAAGCCCTCCCGCGCGCGTGCGTGCCCGCTCCACCTGCTCCTTCTACCCCCACCCCCTCCTTTCTTCTTTTCGTCTCTTCTCTTCCTTCACCCTCCATAGCCACACCCCTGTAAACTTGGGTCGGTGAATACGGGAGAACATGTGTGTGTGTATGTGTATAAGTAGGTCTATTACGACACACTACACTGATCTTGACAGACAAATTTGGCCTCAACCTCAACCTCAACGGTCTCGACCTCACTTCAGCTCGGACTGCTTCGCACTTGTGTCATTATCATTACCATCATTGCTATCACCATCACAATCACCATCACCGCCAAGCTATTTTGTCAAATAAGACGAATTTGACTCAGCAACCATGGTCGTCTCGCAGCACTGCTTGGTGATAATCTATTCTGGCTATTCCGAGGGGGTGCTCCAATACCTTGTCTGGTGATATGTAAGATATGTATGTTATTGCCTTTCTACTGTTGCTTTCTCGGTTTGATGTGATGGCATGGAACGGAACGGCGGCATGGGATTGGTGGGCCAGCGGGCCAGCGGCAGTTGCGCCCTCGTCTCGCAGCCATCACGCTCCGTATATTTGCCCTCGGTTTTTAGGCATGTCCCCGATCCATCTCGCCCAGGTAGAAAGAGAAAGATTGATATGTAAAGACACACACGCAATCGCACACGCAAGCGCAATTACACCAGAACAGGATAAGATAGGCCAGGGCAGGGCAGGACGGTTGGAGTCGACAGAGAGCCAAAAGAAACCATGGATCTATGTCATGTTAGAATAGAGTCGGCTTCTCCACACGTCGATCCGGCGGATGCGAACGCGAAGTTCAAGCGTCGTCTTGGCAGACCCATGTCCCGTCGGATGTGTCTACACGTGTACACAGGGGGCGGGTGGGGGTGGGTGTAACGCAGTCGCTATTTTAGAGCTGCAACTGCAGCGCCAAGCTTTACCGGCCGCCGTCCCAGCGGCCAATCAAGCGGGTTCCAGCTCGTCTCGCTGGGCGCGGGGCAGAGTGTCGTCGGAAGATTTCCTACGCTACGCTTGTCTGTGCCTGTCTTAGACGCGGGAAGGCAGGCTCGCAGAGTGTGCTCTGGTGCTCTTTCGGCCCCCAAAACCTGGTCGGGAGCCTCCCCGTTGCGGCATGGTGCAAGGGGAGGCTCAATCTCAGTGCCGCTGGCGCATATTAGCCAGACATATTAAAACGGGGGTGGGGGAGGCCACTCTCCTCTCGCCTCTCGCCTCTCGCCTAGGTACTGATGTGATGCCTCAGCACATGTACAAGTGTCTCAGCTTAACACTCTATTTGCTCCCGCTCTACGCTCCACGAGGGCCCCCTCCCATTTAACCACTGGGCTAGTTCGACAAGACCAAAAAGCCCATATCCCATGACTCTGAGAGGGGCCTTAGCAGCCATACTTGGCCTCTTATCAGCGGCGCCATCATCTCATACACCAGTACCGGGCAAGCAGCCCTCAAACAGGGAACAGGGGAATGCGGCACAGGGCGGAGCACACGACTGTGACCTTTAAGCGTGTAATCAAGACGGAATCACAGGCCGTGCTATCCCTGGCGTAAATCTGTAGCAATGACACCAATGAATCATGCCGAGTTCGCGAATGGATGAAAGAGAAACTTTCCTTGACCTAGTGGAGGCGGGAAGCGGTAGGCGGTAACGGTTTGGTTATCGGCTTAGGTTCGAGACCGACACTAATCGGGAATTTTCTGCTCCCAATCATTTTGGGGCAGCAGGGCATGGCAAGGAGCGAAACGGCGCGGAATAGAGCTCAGCAGTACAGAAGATACTCGCCATCACGCGCCAGAGAAAGAGACAGGGCCGAAGGTGTAGGAAAGAAACACGAAGGCTTTGGGACAACAGCCTAACTCCGCTGACACTGGTTGACGGCCTATAGGGGGGCAGGTAGACAGGCAGCTCGTACTTTCGCAGACTTCGATCTGGCTGGAAACGGGATGAATTGAAGACCATAGAGGCACCTGTCAGGCCGTGGTCCCGATGGACTATGCGGCATTTGCCGCATGGCCGCCACCTCGCCCCTCGTATTTGGGATGTGCGCATGCGCATTCTGTGCTGCCGCTATCCAAGGCTTTGCAGGCAGCCCGCAAGGGTGCTGCTCGCTCGTCGTGCATGCAAGACCGGAATGTCGGGAACGGTGCAGAAAGTGTGCTCCCGTACGAGAGAGAGAGAGAGAGAGAGAGAGAGTTGGGTTTCCAGCGGGATGGCTGCCCACACCTAAACCCAGTGCTGCCCAGACACTAGATGCAGCGCAGCGCGGCGTGCGTGTCACGACATGGACGAGTCGGCCGATTTCTGGGGCCCAGGGCAGGCCATCCTGCGCCCGGGAATTTGTTTTGGTGCCGCTACAAGCGTGGACGATGGGTATATGTGAGATGGGTGCACAGGCTAAACTCAGCTCTCGCTCTCGCTCCTACCCCCCCTCGCCCCTTCCCTCGAACCAGGCTGTGGGAGAGGCTGCTGGCGAGCGGTGGGCCACTATGAGGTCAACGAGAGCAAATTGCTTATCGAACTCGTGTAGCGATGGAAAGAGGCATCCTAGGCGAACCGGCTCGTTTATCACCCTACCCCAGCTACCATCCAAGCTAGGAAGGTAGGCAATGACGCGATTCTGTAGCACAAAGTGTCGGGAAGGAGCGGTTGGCCATGGAGGTGCCCGCCTACTTACCTCCAAGTCCCAGGTTCCGGCTTGAGGGAGACGGAAACAAGCATCCGCCTGCGCACGGGCTGCTTGATATCTGGCCGCTCCGCGCGTGCATTTGTGCATAGCGAGGCAATCTAGACGGTACTTATTGCATCAACTGCGTATTGCATATGGATGCGATGCGGCCACAATACGAGTGTGTGCCGTGGCTCGAGTACTGTGTGGCCGGCTTCGAATTCGGACGTGGTTTGCGACCATTTTTATCTCATGATGACGAGTGCTCGTGGTTGTCACTGAGATGTTTTGTTGAGTCGGCGTTTAGATGTTGCCCGACGTTGCAAGATGCGGCGGCGTGGCGTGAGCTAGTAGCTCTTTCCAGTCCGACGATTGGCGGCAGAGACAAGGAAAGGAGAGCCCCTAGCCATGTTAGGATTAGCATACAGCAGGGCTTCTCCGCATCGTTCCAGCGATCGCGCTTGTCTGGGCGGAGGGGTTGGACAAATGGAAGGCGACAACACGTCAACAAGGCTGCAGATTGGTACCTAGCACATACCTATCTTCCGCAAAACACCATCAAAACCAAGAACTACTATGCGGACCACGCGCAACACTTGGACCAGGAGCCGACACACACATACGGGTCAATTATCGCTCCAAGATCTGACTGCTGGCGTTTCTAATGTTTTTTTCCTTTCATGTTTCATTTTTTCTTGGGTTTACCTATCTTTTACTTGGTCTTGACAACTTAAAAAAAAGACCTCGCAACAACGTCAGCCACACAGGCGTCAGATGGGTATCGGGATAGGCAGGGCTCTTCTCAAAGTGGCACTGCTGGCTCGGCTGTCATGGCGGCCTCAGGAACCGCATCTACCTTGAGTTCCATTGCCAGGGAATAATACACCACGTCGAGTTGGAGGGATGCCCACGTGACGGCACGAGTCGTCCAGGGTCTCTAACCCCTTGTCCCTTATCCTAGCCAGCTTGGCTTGGCTTGACGACGAGTCAAGATGCCGGACATCCGTGGGGACGCGCGTTGTCTCCCTGAGATGCTGCCCTGGCTTGTTTTATTTGCTCTACTGACCATGGAGAGCATGCTCGTGTTGCCTCGACGCCGGCAGTGGTATTCACGATGTCAGGTCGCTTTGGGAGTGAAATTTGCATATTCTCTCGTCTTCCTTCGACTCTGTATGCCCTTCTCTTGCCACTTGCAAATGCCGACATGCCCCCCCTTCTGTCACAACCATTTCGCCCCATCCTGCTATCCTGTTTCCTGCCGTCCATCATGCTGTCGACAGCTGCTCTCTAATCGCCACAGCCACCCGATCTCCGTTGTCTCTAGCAAGTCAATCCAGGGGCAGCGAGCCGTTAGCCGTGCAGAAGCCGTGCAGACGCCGTGCAGAAGCAAATCAAAGATGGACTATAAACACGTGAGATGACATCTCCCGGTTGCTTCAACTAAGAGACTCTAGACGGGTAAGCCGGCTTACCCCTTTCCGGGGCGTCGTGGATCGAGCCATCTGCTCAGTCAATGCCGAATCCCAATCAACCCTGCCTACAGGGACGGTATTGTTGTCCAAATCCAGCCCCTGGCCCGTCTCCTCTGCCGCCGTGAACGGCGTCGTCAAACTGCTGGAAACAGTAGTTATACCGATTTGGGAACTGCAGGCAGACGGGCCCCTCACCCGGTCAAGAGTTCGCTATCATGATTTCGAGATTGGAAACTCTAGATGCCTGAAACCAACAGAACAACTAGCTGATTGGTCCTAGTTTGGTCCGTCGCGGACGACGTCGCATCGAGCGGCATGTGCGGGCAGCAACCCTCCGCCAAGCTTTTTTTCTTCCGATGGCCTGGTTGCCTTCTGTACCAGCAGCTATAATGGGGGTGTCATGTACGTGCTCGACGCAAGGCATGTACTGTATGTAGGTCTTTACTCCATGTAGCATGACGATGCTGGTGCTGCCGGGTTCAAGGATCCAGCGTGCCTGTAATCTCCCTCTCGAGACACGCCTGGGGCAGACCAAGCTTTCCTACGCTATCATGACAGCCTAGCAATCCTAGGCGCAATATCAAAATTCCATGCATACGGTCGTTGGATGCGGGGTGCTTCTTAGCCGGCCGTCTACGGGTGGATAGTGCTTCTCCCTAGTATCTACTCAGCTCTGTTAATTTACCAGTTAATAAGTTTATGAGCTGCTAGGAAGTCTTGGCGAGAAACACCTAAATTAAGACCCAACAAGCCTTTCCTTTGAGATGTACGAACGAAAGCTCGGATCGCCTTGTGCCCGTGTTTACGGGAACTTTGGAATTGTACCCGCGAGCAAATTCTCACGACTACCACATTCTTCATTGGGATAGGCGTGCGTGCATGGTAGTTGTTGTGATGAGGCGGAGACAGAGGAGAGGAGAGGAGACAAGGGGTTGGGGTAGGGATAACGGATGAATGGAAGGCCAATTAGTCGTCCTTTCCTTTAGCCCCTTTCCATGGCTCTCTCTGGCTGGACTGAAAACTGAAAACACACGGTCGGCCGGGCCGCTGTTGTGAAACTGGCATCGTATCTCGGGTGACCACACGCAACTCTGGCCTTGAAAGCTGAGCCAAGCCGAACTACTCCGGTATGGACACCGGGTCGTCAAGCCTCCCGTGCCACAGTAAACAATCACGAGTTTAGTTTGCTAGCAGTCAGGGGCCACGGATTTAGAGTATCTAGTAGAGATTATCTCTCCTCGTTTGCCTCCCAAGAGTATCATCATATGTTTGCTCAGTGAGAACGCGTTTATTTCTTGATTGTTACAGCGGTATGTGGCTTTGCAAGACAAAAAGGCAGTAGGTTTTGATGTGACTACGACGAGCTACAAATTCTGCTGGTCTTCAGACTTGTCAAGCTAGAGGTTGTTACTTGAGATATCTCTAGTAGTAGCATTGACTGGAGGACGAACAATAACAGCAACAATAGAACATAAGGGATATTTGCGCCTCTTTTTCTCTCTCTCTAACTGGCAACCTATTTTGCTTTACGGGGTTTAAGAGTAGTGGGGCCTTGCCTATGTTCACAGCACAGGCGAGGCCACGTAGGGAAAGACAGAGAGAGAGAAAAAGAGGTGGCCGCGCCATTCACATATCCTTCAACCTAGTCTAGACCATTCTCTGTATGAGTTCAGACTACAGCAGAACAGAGCAAAATCGAAGCCCCTATATCGTCTACAAAATAAAAACAGCGAAAAAGATAAAGCGTAGACATAACAGCCCTATTGTCTGTCATCACCGACATGCCATGTCGCATGTATGCATGTACATACATGTACAATACATTTCCAGAGACAGCAGCAGCAAAGCTTTAACTGCGAGCATTTCAGCAAGCCAGGCCAAGCCAGAAAAGAAAAGAAAGGAAAAAGAAAACATGCAGCGAGTATGCGTATGCCGAGGCAGATGGCCGACAAATTCACTGTTTCTCTGTGTTTTCTTTTCTTTTTCTTCTTCTGAAGCTGTCATCTTCCCTGAAAGTAGGCAGGTGGTTACGTTTATTTCACAGCATATCCCCTCTCCACTCCCTCCCCCTCTTCCTGTCGAAGATAAATGCTCAGTCAACAACAGGTGGTCGCTCTCTTTACTGCCTGTGTGAATCTTCTCCCCGGTCAGCGGCAAGGGGAGTGGGTCACCACCTGCTTTCCATCAACTCTTCTTTCTTCTTACCAGGGATTCTTGTTATCACCAAAACGGAAAAGGACTCCTGAGACGAAGCCTAGCTTGTGCATATGTTCAAAGAGTCTTGATACTTCCAGAGACGCCCCCTTCCCTTGTGCCACTGCAGCAACCTGGTTGTGCACGAACAAAAGTAGCCCCAGACTTATCTCTTCAGTCGTTTGTGTAAGTAAGACGTTGTCAGCAGCGGGTGATGGACCCAGGATTAGCACTACTAGCCGTCGATCAGAAGATTCTAGATTAAAGCCCCAATCTCGGAGGTTATCTACTTTATCTTGACAGATGTTCGTCGACGCTTAAATGAGCCGCAACATCGGTCACGTATGCCGGCACTACCAAGATAGTTATCTCAGGTATTCTCAACCTATCTTTTTGCTATTACATTGAAGGACGGCTCCATGACAAGAGGCAGCCGGCAGCTGCGCTCTCCGGCGTGGATGACAAAGTCATGACAAAACGGACCCCCGATAGCGCACCTCCTTTGTGCGTAGGTTGGTAGGTATTCTCCGCAAGGCAGCAGCTTGGCCAAGTGAAGTCCGCTACAACGACCGCACTGGACGAGCACTTAGTTTCTGGTAAGCCCTTAGCTGCCGCCTCTGTCTCCGCCGCAGACGTGCGTCACTGAGAGATGCCGGCCTGACTACTTATGCAAGTCGTGACATGGACCTACCAAGCACGCAGCACACTCGCGGCATTTGCCGTACTAAAGCATATATTGCTTTATCTGCCCGTTGAGGCTCAAACAGGCAATCTTCCGGGGCGATCGAGCTATCCGGATCGCAGATCTTACCCTGAAAGTCAATCTTGAACAGGATCGATTAGGTTCTTATGCCGTGTGGGTGTGTGCGGCGGTTCGGGGAAGTAGGAATGAAACTTCTCCAGGCACGTTTCCCCAGTGGCTTCGCCCCCACGCCAGGTCAAACCGTCCAAAGGGAACTACCAATGGAGTGTGCATCATCTGATCTCTTCGTTGGCAGTATGAAGACCGGTTTTGAGTCTTTGAGCGGCGGCCGTGATGGGGTAGTGAAGTCAGTCACGATTTTTCGTTGGAAACGTTACATACACACCAAACCACATGTCAAAAACCTGATTCCAGTCGCACATTAGAGCTGAAGAACAAAGATCAGGGACGGCCAGTTCGGATGTGTATTGCTGCGCGCAGAGGCGGTAGATCGGCATGTTTCGAGAGCAACAAGTCGCCTGTGGACCGAATTCGGTTGTGATCTGCCAGTTGATGCACAGAGGGTTGTTGTTTTCTCGATCCAGACTGGACAGACGAACCAACCAAGCATGATCGTGTTTTGGTCAGGAACTCGGTTCCAGACAACCAAAACCAAGAACACAACCGGACGCGCATGGAAAGGGGGACCAATGGTTGTGCTAAGGGTCTAGGTAGCACGACAGGGTCTTGAGAACCGTCTCTGGCTCGTGGAAAAAATATTTGGAAACCAAATGTTTCTGAAAAGCTTCAGTGAGCAACCGACTTACCTAATACACTCTCCCAGTGGCAGAGGCGATACCCCCCACAGACTGCAGGCTCGCGAGGTGGCGTGACAAGCAAGCATTGCTCTGCAACACGGCTTTAAAAATCACCCCACGGCAGTCCGACTAGTGGGGGAAGGATTAAACCGTTTTCCATTATTGCCCCTTTACATGCACACCTTCCTTTCTCTGTTCTCTGTTCTCTGCACTGCCAGTCGAAATGCCCAGGCCCGGGAATGACTCGGCTGAGCGTCTTGCATTCCATGGATGTCGTCATCGAACTCAGCTGTCAACGAGTGTTCGCCCAGCCGCTGTAGTATTCATCACCTCGCGAATGCTGCCTGCCCATGGCGCGGATCCGTTCTTTCAGTCGTCGTGTCTATACAGTGGCCTCGTGCGTAGCCGGGATTGGACGCATTTCTAGAAAGGTCTTGAACGGGCGGTAGCAATTAGAAGATTTCGCGGGCTAATACCACCCACCAGTGTTCCATCACCAGGCGGGGTGCCCACAGCCGATCCCGAGGCGTCCGCCGTCCGCGGCTTGTTCCGCCGATTCCGTATCTCACAGGCCGTATCGGCGCCTCCCAGCAGCCCCCGTTGCCTCGACAATGATCGCTTCTTCTAGTCCCAAAAGAACGTGATTCCCCCTGTGGATTGAACGAATCGGATACTTAATTTCCTTAGTACCCGTTGGACATGCGTTTCTCGGTTGCATCTCCGAGCTGTGGGGGGTGGTCTGTCACATTATCTTGGAAACAGGAGCGTAGAAGCCTGGAAGCCCTGTCTGCTCATGGTCAGACCACCAAGGGTTGGGGTCGGTGTAGACTTGCATACCGTGAGGCCGTGCCCAGTAAAGATCGGCGCACATTGGCCAATGGTGTTTACCATACTTGTATGTAAGTTGGAAACATGGCGATGCTCCGCACTACGTGGCCAGTTTTGGATGCTGAAAACGTAGGTACTTGATCACTATTCAACATATCCGAACCCATTGCAATGAGCTGGTGGCATCAACAGAGACGTGACAGTATTTTGCCGGCACTCTGAGTTAATCCCGAGCACGCCGAACGTCTCGTGGTAACAAGCCCCGAAGTCTTTACTAAGTTGATACAAGCGCGGGGGTGTGGCTGCCTCGGAGCACCAAGTCCTGAGCCGTACGGCAAAAGAAGTCCGAAGGAGGGCAGAGACACGATATCCGGCTTCGGCCACCTCACCGTGCAGAGGCCGGCGCACAACGGAAGCCAGAACGCTCCGGGAGGTGGTGGGCTAAGCAATGGGGTTGGGGAGGGTCCGCTCCCAAGAATGGAAGACATCTTGACTGGCTACAGAAGAATCTCTTTCGGTCCCGAGAAATCTGTCTGCTCTGCCTCGAGAGCGCCACTAGCGTAGGAAAGCAGCAACTGGCTGGGC